TATCAAATTCTTATCGGATTTACCACAGTTTGAGTAATAATATCTTTGAACTTTACTAATTATGATCAAAGATAATTTTCATAAAATATTTATGTTCGTGTTTCACATTCCTTCCAGTGAATAATTGTATCATGCGACGTTCCAAATTTCGTCACTTTTCTGATCGGTCATGAATACCTTACCCTACCACATCTCAAATGTTGAGGCCATAAGACGACAATAATCGATGAAACATTAATATCAGCTGACATATCATTCCATTGCTGATCATCATAACTCATATTCACTTGAACGTCGGTCATTCTTACGCCTATGTTTATACAAGTAGACTAATCTTCATGATGCTAGGACGTGATTGATAAAATGCAATTTGTATTATGTCTAGTTAAGACTTATGACTCATTCCATCATATTGGTAGTTTACTACAGGCCTCTACTTTAAGCGTGCGGTTGGTGAAAAAGTGCTAATGATGTACTTGCTTTTCGAGATGAGTAAATAAGTTTGGATGAATTATACAGAACCAGCATGTATCAAATTATTTTATCGCTCAAATACTTTAGTTTTAGCACTAAGTGATGAAATGATGAAATACAATCAGTCGTTGCGATCTTACAAATTACATTAGCATCTTAATACAAATGATTAGAAAATCAAATTATCTGTTGCATCTTACTTATCTTACTTATTCCTATGACGCTTTTTATCCACTTGCTCGTAATGTTCCGGTGATTGAAATTTGGATATGTTAGTACTAGCAATTTCTGGACAAGCTTTTTCTAGTGCTTGCATGCGTAGACGTTCAGGTATATTCTTCCAGTAGCTAGTTTCACGTGTACCTGTAAGTATGACACCTCCAATAGCTTTCTGAGCGGTAACAGCGGATTTTGTGTTTGCAAATCGAACAATAGCCTAAATTATGGTAAGAAAGTACTATTGGCTTTTTTAATATAAGCTTACTGTACCTATAGCCTTGACGTACTCAATGTAAGCAATGTCGTTCTCATCAACAACCTCAATTAAATTTGATCGCAGTGTAGGTTTGTTCATTAGAGGATCTAGATCGGTTATCTCCAATACACATCCTTCAGGGTAGTCTAGTTGACTATTGGACGATGTAATGTGTTTAGTTTGGTTGCTATTACCCGTTTCTAATCGCGTTTTACGTAATCTATTCTCGGATTTTAACTTAGCAGAGAAAGCAAGATACTGATCTTTTAATTCATTCCAACGTGGACTAGTTAGATTGTCGTTAGAGTTGTAAGTTTCTTCAAAGAAAGAACCATAACATACTAATGTAAAGATCGTATTGGATGATTGGAATTCCACGGCCACTGACTGAGTACTGTTGATACGGACTCCATGTCTGACAAGGTCACAAAAACCATTCGTTTATATGTTCCTAATAAATTAGCTTTGTTATTAGAACTATTTGCTGATCGTAATACTGGTAGCTCCACAGCCTGTATTGAAGAAGAAATTCTCGATTTTAAGTAAGAAACGAGATCGCTATAGTCAGATAAATTGGAGGGAAGACCTTGCTATCGTAAATTAGAATCATGAATCAGTAGAGAAGGCGATCTCGACGCACGATGTAAACTTTAAATTGATCTAATTCTACTTGCGTAAATTCAATGTTCTTGGACCGCAAACATATACCCTTATCGTTATCTAAAATGCATTCTAATCCAAATTCTGGGAATTTCTTTACGTAATGAGCAATTAATTGCTGTTGACCTCCTAAAGGTTTATTTTTATTCAAGAAAGAAGTATGTTTAATCAAATGACAAATTGAAACCCCTTAAAAGAAGGATATAGGTGAATATGAAATATGAACGCCTGATAATAACTCACAATGATCATGAATTTGTATATGATGGTGAACTTGAGGGTGATTTATAACATTAGCCGGTGTCAGAGCGAAAGATAACCACCAAATAGCATCCTTGGCTTGATCATCTGTGTAATTTGATAAATTTGATGATGTAGAAGTATTTAAGGATAAAGAATACAAATCATTTGATAGATTATTACTAATATTTTGTTTATCTTTGAATTGCAAAGATCGTGGTATCATTTAAAGGATCAAATGCTCGAATTTATACAATGATATACAATTTATTCGTTAGAAGACTGACTTTCTTTTTCTTCTTCTTTATCGAATTCGTTTGGATCTATCCAAGACCACTCCACCGTCTGTCTAACTCTTCGTATGTATTCCTTCATATTATTCGAGTATAATGATGCAGCTTCACTATTAGCTGGACTATAGGTAAAGGATATAAGGATGTATATTAAATAAACTATAAATACTTACCTATTTGGATTCGGATCGTGGAGTAATGATTGTATAGAAGTGAGTACTGCTGCAACGTCGTACGTAGGTGACCATCTATTCTGAAGGATATCCAAACAAAGTTCACCATTAGCATAAACATTAGGATGAAACATTTTGCTTAGAAATTTCACGCTTGGTGGCTTATTAGGATATTGTTCATCAAAGTTCAATAAGAGTCTGAATGTACCATCTTCAAATGGCGTCTCCCCTGTAGTCGTTATTAGAACAATAGAGATGAAAGCTATTGAACTAGCCTGGCCCAAATATTACTGCGTTCCAGATCATAATATTATCACCACATGGTGCGCCACTTACACCACCAGGTGGATCACTAGAAAGTCTTTTGAAGTCTCTAATCAATCTTCTTCTGCTAGCTGTAGACTATAGACTGTGAGAAGTTTGCAATTTACTATATGACTACTCACCATTCCTGATCGTTTATAAGAAAAGGTGATAAAAATGTATTATTAGAATATAAAATTTATACGTAATTAATATAGCTTTTATATAATTGTCACAAGATTATTGTTTTCTTCACACTGAACAATCTATATGAAGGATAAAGGTTAGTAGTGGTTATACTAGAATTGGATTATATCGTTAAATATTGTATAGAAATTAACAAATTAGAAGGATTCATTAACGTTCGTCCTTCAAAAGTTAGTATTTTTTATCAAATTATGAACTTATAACTGATAATGATAACGTAGGAAGAATTAGTTGAGCGAAACATTCTGAAGGATTCTCAAATTGCGCCTTCTTTGTTATCAAAGCAAATGGAATTAGAAAGGCATCAATTAGAGGTGAATAAGTTTTAAGACATTAGATTTGCCACTCAAAGTCTAATAGGACAACCTAGATCATGCAGTATCTCATAGACCTACAGCTGAGGAGCTTCAAGCTAGAGGTATATTAAAATGAAATGCATGATACAGTACTTGACGTATATAATGATAATTATAATGATCTATTTATCTCTATTTATTCTATCTTTAACTTGACGCATACGCGCTACAACCTTTTCACTATTGGGACCGATAGCATAACCCCTTCTTTGTAATTCTCTCACTAAACGTGGTGTAACACCTGCAGCGAGTGCCAATCTTGGTGGTAAAAACAAAGTTTTATGAATACCATACGCTAAAACAGCCATAGCCCATAAACTGTTACGCTCCTCTTTTGTGTTCTCATCCTTCTCAGAATCTTTATCAGTGTTAATACCAAAACAACTGAGCAGTTTATCCTCTAAGAGTTTTACTTTATCAGCACCTATAACATTAACAGCCGTGAATGCTATTGAAAAATCTAATACAGATATAGCGCCGTAAACTCCAACGGCCACCCAACCATATTTTTGTGATAACTGCTTAAATCGTTGACCTAAAGATTGAGGTGGTGTTCGTGAGTATCTTCTTGATAAAAATTTATTATAATTTAATATATTTTGTCTGAAATTATTTCTAAACATTATTCGAAGACAAAAGAAGAACGCTTGTTCAGCTACACTCAAAATGTAGGGAAAAAAAATAATAACCCATAGTAAATAACGTTAACGATATAAAGGTCTGGTGTAGAATTAATTAACCCACAAGCTGAGAGAGTACGCAGAGCTCAAGCCTTGGCTGTCAATACCGCAGGTTCTATAGGTTTAGCAAACGTAGTCAAGTCAAACTTAGGCCCTAGAGGTACTATTAAAATGTTAGTCGATGGCGCAGGAAATCTTAAAATGACCAAGGTAACTTCATTCTCTTTAAAAGAAGCTTATTGATCTATTATAGGATGGTAAAGTTCTACTCTCTGAAATGCAAATTCAAGTAAATAATCTATCTTGCTTTATAATCGCATTTGTCTAACTTATTATTTAGAACCCAACTGCTGCATTAATCGCTAGAACGGCTGTAGCACAAGATGATCAATGTGGTGATGGAACTACTTCAGTAGTTTTATTAGTAGGAGAATTACTTAAGCAAGCAGAGAGAGTTGTTCAAGAAGGTGTGCACCCACGTGTCATAGCTGAAGGCTTTGAAGTTGCCAAAAAGGAAGCTTTAAGCGTGAGTCTAAATCGTTAATACTCATTGATTCCTTTAACTATTTGAAAGTTCCTTGATGATTACCGTCAATTATCAAATTTGGACAGAAGTACACTCATTAACGTCGCTTATACCTCTTTAGCAACAAAATTACATTCTTCTTTAGCTCAACAATTAGCAACTTCAGTCGTCGACGCCGTTTTAACTATTAAACCTTCAACTACAGACAACCAATCACTTTTGGCTGATCCTATCGATTTACATATGGTTGAAATTATGAAAATGCAACACAAGACAGATACCGATACGCGTCTTGTTAAGGGTTTGGTTTTAGATCACGGTGCTAGACATCCAGATATGCCAAAAAGAGTCGAAAATGCTTACATTCTTACATTAAACGTTAGTTTAGAATATGAAAAGACTGAAGTAAACTCTTCATTCTTTTATAGCTCAGCAGAGCAACGTGAAAAGCTTGTTGAATCTGAGAGGAAACACGTTGATGCAAAGTTGAAGAAGATTGTTGAATTCAAGAACTTCGTCTGTGATCAACAACTTGATGACAAAGTAAAGAAAAACTTTGTTATAATTAACCAAAAGGGTATTGATCCAATGAGCTTAGATATTTTAGCAAAGAATGGTATTCTTGGTTTACGTAGAGCTAAGAGAAGAAACATGGAAAGATTACAACTCATTTGTGGTGGTACTGCACAAAACTCTGTCGATGATTTAGCACCTGAAGTACTAGGATATGCTGGTTTAGTTTATGAACACACTCTCGGTGAAGATAAGTTTACATTTGTTGAAGAAGTAAAAGATCCAAAATCAGTAACGCTCTTAATTAAAGGACCAAATCAACACACAATAAACCAAATTAATGACGCATTGAGGGATGGATTGAGAAGTGTAAAGAATGCTGTTGAAGACAATTGCTTAATTCCTGGTGCAGGTGCATTCGAAGTAGCCTTATCTGCACACCTTTCAGGCCCAGTAAAGAAAGCAACAAAGGGTAGAGCAAAATTAGGTGTAGAGGCATTTGCGAACGCCATGTTAGTTATACCAAAAACATTAGCTGCTAATGGTGGATTCGACATTCAAGATGCGATCGTTGGATTACAAGAAGAGCAATCGGAAGGCCATATCGTTGGATTAGATCTTAAATCTGGTGAACCATTTGATCCAATCGTTGAAGGTGTTTGGGACAATTACAGAGTAAAGAGACATATGTTAGCATCAAGCTCAGTCATCGCTGTGAATATCTTGTCAGTTGATGAAATGCTTAAAGCGGGTAGATCAGCCAAGTAAAACGAATAAATAAATGATCATTCATCGTATTTTCTTTTTAAAATATAGTAGATGTGTTTTAGAAATCTGATTATAAAATACAGAGAATAATAAGAATAAAATTTAATAAAGAATAGATATTGAATTATTAAATAATAATAAATAAACTAATAACTAATTATTATTATAATTTATCAAAGAGATTTGAAAGCACTTACGCATCCTTTTGACGTAACTACCAAGATGTCAACAGAGCAGAAGCAAACGGTGGATTACACGAAAGAAGTAGACGCTTTATTAAGCGAATTAAGAAATGATGATGACGTGAGCTTGCAGTATAAATTGCTATACTCGTAATAACTAACGATTCATTAGATTAGCCAATCAATTGATAGAATATCAGTCTTAGAGAAGAAATCTAGAAATGTTAGTACACTTTAATATATATCATCAAATATAATTAACTATTTGTAAAGGCAGCTGACTTGAAATCCACAACTAGACTCCTCGTAAAGGCGGTTGAATTAGCAATTCACCAACGTAATACTACAAAATTGAAGGAAATAGTAACCAGTTTCTCAAAAAAACATGGTCAAATGCGTACCGCTATTGTCGAATTAGTCAGAGCTGCTTCATCGATATCTGACGAAGAACAAACTGAGGTTTATACATTACAAGGGAGTGAAAGGGAAGATCTCATCCAATCCCTTAGAGTTGTTACAGAGGGTAAAATGTTCCTCGAGGCTGAAAGAGCTAGATTAACTTATATACTCGCTCAAGTACTTTTGGCACGCAATGAAACGCGTAAAGCTAGGGACGTTTTAGCTGAACTTTCAGTAGAAACGTTTGGCTCTTTAGATAGACGCCAGAAGACTGAGTATTTGCTTCAACAAGCTTTCCTCAACGCACAAATCGGTGATTGGATGCAAATGAAGATTGTTACGAACAAAATCAACACCAAGTTCTTCCAAGAGGATAACACCCAGGTTAGTATACGCTTAAAGAAGTTCCTTCGTTTTAACATTATCAACAAAGGAACACAAATTGAGATACTACGAGTACTTGATTAGATATGCAATTCACAATGATGAATACCTCAATGCTTGTAGATATTACAGGGAGGTTTATGATACTGAAGTCATTAAGAGTGATTCATCAAGATCAAAAGTTGTGAGTATTCCACGAGAAAGATTATTTAAATATTTAGACGTCCTCAGGTTTTAGAGAACATAGTGTACTTTGTTTTATTGGCACCTTTCAATCACGAACAACATGATTTACTTCACCGTATATTTAATGATCCAGTATTCAACACACCAAAACTTCAATATCAATATAATCTTTTGAAATGTTTCACAACACCTGAACTTATGAGATGGGCAGGATTAGAAGCTTTATATGGTGAAATGTTAAAGTCGACAGATGTTTTCAGCAACAGATCAACAGATGGTAAGGGTCAATCTAGATTTTCAGAGTTCCACAAGAGAGTTTTAGAGCACAACATAAGGGTTGTTTACAAGTATTACACAAAAATAACATTAAAAAGATTACAATCATTTTTAGAAGTTGAGGAGAGAGTAGTAGAAGAAATGTTGAGTAATTTAGTTGAGAATGGTACTATCTACGCCAAGATAGACAGACCAGCTAAAGTAGTAACATTCACAAAACCAAAGAAAACAGAAGATGTTTTGAATGACTTTACAAACAACATTGGAAGATTGTTATCGTTAGTAGAGACTGTAAACTATCAAATTGAGAAGGAGAAAGCAGTACAAGAAGCATTTAAATAAATTTAATAAAAAAAGCTATGAATTACAATTATTATGCAGATTGAGTGGATGGCTCGTGTAAATGTTGTGTCTCTTTCGGATGAATAACATCCTTCGCTGCTGCTGAAGGATCAGCAGGGTCGACTGAATTAGTACCAGGATCAAAATCTGGTGTATTAGCGTGTGTATTATCGACTGTACTATCGTCTAAGTTTAGTTTAGTTGAATTTGGATCACTTTCGTCGATGTTGATCACTTCTTTAACATCCTCATCGTCACTAAGATCTAACTTAAGGTCTTTATTGTGTACCCAACGTTTAACTTTTAATTTAGAGTTTGGTACACTAGTTACTGGTGCTTGAACCTTTTCAAAGTTATGACAAGGTGAATTTAGTTGCTAGTAAAGTATTTATATAAAGTTATGAAATAAATTAAAACTTACTTGGTTCAGATTATAATATTGCTTTTGCATATTTTGTAAATACCTGCTAGTCATTTTATTCTATCTTGATTATCAACGTTAAAGAGATAGATAGATAGGTAGATAGATAGGTATATAGATAGACACTATAAATATATATATAAATGGATTCAATTTTAAAGCAATTCGCTCAATTAACACCTTTAAGGAACTTTAATTGGTATTTTAATAATAATCAGCTATACGATTTACAATCAGATTTCATTAAAATTGTTATAAATAATGAAACATTAAATAAATATCCACCATCAGTTGATTATAAGTTCAAATTCTATAAAGTACTAATTCAAAAGCTTGAAACTGTACTTGAAGATGACGAAATGGTAAATATCCTAATGTAATCTTTCATTTTTATCTAACCATCAATATCAGGAAGTTGCAGAAGAAATCTATGATGAATTCATGAAAGCCTTATCTGAATCTCAATCAACTAATGGGTATGTTTATTTTATTCCATCGCAATTTTAACTCATTCTTTTAAAGTCCACCCAAATCAACATACAAAACATATTTTTATGGATCAGACTCAGTCACTTTATACGAAGATCAGACTACTATATCGAAAGGCACAACGGGTTTGGTTACATGGTGGGTTTATAGAATAATGAATAATTCCAGGAACGACCTAATCTAGTAAACATTATAGGGTATCTGCCCAGTCATTATCAGAGGACATCTACAATGAAGATAGTGATATTCATAAAGCATTGAAATCTGCTAATCGTGTGTTAGAGTTGGGATCAGGATGTGGTTTAGTCGGTATGGCAATATCGAAAGCTTTTAAAGATCTGGAAGTATTCAGTACTGATGTTGATGATAATGTTTTGTCTAGATTGGAAAGTAACATAAGTTTGAATAATATAAATAACAATAAAACGTTAAAGCTGGATTGGTTTCATCATAATTACTTAATTAAACAATTACAACCAGACATAGTAATAGCGGCTGACATAATTTATGATGATTACCTCTTTGATCCCCTAATTAAGGTCCTCGAGGAATCCTTACGTGTCGCTCGAAAAATTTTCATAAGAGGTGCACTTAGAAAACAAGAAACTTTCGATCTATTCGTTACTATGTTAAAGCAGGCAATGAACAATTGTGAGTAAATTATATAAAATTGGTCATTCTCAATAATATCACAGTTGATATCATAATCAAGACAATATCCACTGCGCAAAGATCAGATTGTGACATATACGAAATCCTGATTGGCGGGAATTGAAAACCGAACGTAATGAAACTGGTGTACCTTTTAAGATGTAAAATTAAAAAAAGAAAAGGGGGAGTGACCTATGATGAAATGATCTCGATAGTTCTCGTCCCGGCCAAGTTATGGTATATTTATAACGTATTTTCGAGTTGTTTTCATTCAACAATGAAATCAGCATTAAAAAAAAGTAGGAATGGTAAGAATCTGCGGGTCAGGTTCTTATTAAATCCACTAGATAGATCATTGAACAAGGGATATGCAGATGCAGGCATCGGAGTTAGTTAATTTAAATTCATGCATTGCATTGCATTCTAACAAAGATAATAGTATACCCCTTACTGTCAAATTTGTGATTACAATCTAAGGTATCAATCAACTCCAAGATCGTCTTTGCAACCTATGTTAAGTTCAAGTATACCAAGCTATTACGAGTATTATAACAATATAGTGAACTCTATCACTAGACCGCAAATGTATTATTATTAAGTTATTTATTATTCATGAGTTTCAAACCACTTGTACGTTTTGTTAATCTATAAAGTAAAGCAGTTGTGAAAAAGCTCAATGAAAACCTAAAAGATGGTTAAAAAATAAAGTAAATATAAGTTCTTACATACCAAGTCAGAGCGTAAATAGCGTGTTGATTTCTTAATTCAATTTTAGATGGTCTACCTACAGGTATACCATTTAATAAGTGATGATTTGGTAAACCATCATAAATTTCATCAATTAAAACATCATCAATAGGAATATTTAATCTTTGACTAAAGTGATTAGCTATTGCAGGTAAATCAACCCAAAACCATTCTCCTAGCGAAGGATTGTTATTTGGTGTGAAAAAGTTTCTCTTTTGTGATAATCTCAGCATACCAGTTATATCAACATATTGATCTTTCAAATTTCTAAGATAATTTTCAATTTTATCATTAGATAAGAAACCTCTATTTATCAAGATAGTTGAAGCACCTTTTCTCAATAAAGGTTGTATTAAATGAATACCAGTTTCACCGTTGAAAATTCTAGGTTTAACTTGTATACTATCGGCAGATAAAGTACCAGAAGTGGATACTTTTCTGTATTCGAATTCGTCTAACTTTGTTGTATCGATACTTCTAGGTAAAGGTAAAGCCTCATAGTTTAATTTTTCATCTAATTCTTCAATTAAGTTTAACTTCCAATCTAATCTTTTAACTTGCCAACAACCAAGGTAGAAAGTGAAGATTGGGATGATTGATAAGCCAATTAAACTAAACCTAGGTAGTTTAGATTTTTTATTTTTATTATTATTGTATATTTCAGGTAATTTAGTTAGATTTCTCTTTTTAAATATCATCATCGACGTTATGGATGAAAGTGGTAAAACAAAACAAATACAATCATTTAGGGAGACGTTTAGATTAATTGATAAGAATAATGACGGAAAGTTAAATGAGAGTGATATAAAGGATACACTATCAGAGATTGGTGTTGAATATAATGATAATTTACTGAAACAATTGTTGAATGATAAGGAAGAAATAAACCAATCAACTTTTATATCAAACTTCAACAATAAGTTTGAGCTATTTGATAAAAAGCAAGAACTATTAGACGCGTTTGATAGTTTTGATATTGAACAGAATGGTACAATTGATATCAAGAGTTTAAATGAATTTATAGACGTTTCTAAAATATCAATTAATAAATACACGACCAAGAATAATAACTTTAACTATAAGGATTTCTTAAATGACTTATTCAGTTATTAACTCCTGACACTTCCAATCCTCGAATGACCCATCGGGTAAGTATCTTCTAACAATTAATGGTACTTTATTAGAGCTCAACTCTTTGATAGCGATCTGCAATGGATCTGATTCTCCAACTTCTATAGGTACTAGAACAGGCGCGTTCATTGAAATTTGTAATGCCCTTGTACCTAATATTCTTGCTCTCTCATACTTTGTCATATATGGTGTTGTAACTCTCTCCTTATTTGGTTCTGTAGCTTTCGTAGCACCATTCATAACTTCACCGGAAGTGACGATATCTTCTTCCTATTGACTGTTTAATTGATAAGATTATATTTAGAATTACTTACGACAACTTCAGCTTCACCATCTGGATAGAAGCTAAGGAATTATTATCAGCTTATAGCCATTATATAGGATAAACCCACTCTTGGCCTTCTTCTACCTAATAATAAAGTAAATATAAATAAAATTTATATATTTATTTTATTTTTTTCCTTACCATTCCCTCGAAATCTTCATTATCTGACATCGATGCTGTATAGAACGAAAGAAATAATTTGAAATTTAATTTAACAACAAATGTATGAATAAAATAAAATTACATATAATAATAAAATTTATACTATTACTCTCTCCTCACAGAGAATAACCTCTTCAGCTTCTGTCCCATCTTGGACGTCTTCCTTTCTAGCTTTGATCCGCTGCGACGTGGGCTAGCCTCTTTTCTCAACTCTTTAATAGGCTCTTGATCAACGCCTTGTTGATTGCCATTATCTTGGAACCTTAGAGCTGGGAAAGGTGATAACTTTGGATCACTATCATAGAACTCCTTGTTCGATTGTATAGACGGTTTATTCTTTAATAATCTAAACGATCCAAATGACCTTTGTGATTTAATTTTCTTGTGCTTCCCAGTTTGCTCCGTATTGTTAGTTTTAGCTAGTGTCGTCATCGATCTAGCCAACTGAGCCTGTGATCCTGCATTCTCAGTTGAGTACGTAGCCATATGTATTTGAGGTTGTGGTTTAAACATTGACTCTCGTGTCTTTCTGTTACTAGTAGCAAGATAGTTCGATTCTCTAATATCAATTTGTTCAGTTAATGGTATATCTTCATCGATTTGATTATCGACAACTAAATCCAAATCATTAGTATTTAGAATTTCTTCCTTATTTTCTTCTTCATTGGTATTTATTCCAAATTCATCCACAAATTGTGGTCCGAGTAACTGTGCCAATCTATCCGGTCCAAGAGTCTTACGCAACTCATCTATATATGCAGAAGGTGTGAAATGAACTTGTCTTCTACGTCTGTTAGCTTCTTTGCTAGAAAGCGCATCATTATCTTCAATAACTTCCTCATAGATAATACTTTCATTATCATCATCACTTTCGACTTCAGAATGAGATGAATTTATATCAATTGAACGAGTAGAAGTGTTTAACATCCTTTCATACTCAAATTTATCACCATTTTCAGCTGATGATGGTGTACCAAATGAATTATTTGATTCTAAACTTGATTTTCTAGCTCTACCAGGAGTTGGTGGTACTAATAACAAATTAGTATCCAAAATTTGTGGTTGAGTATTTAGTATGCTATCAAATTTAGATATATCACCCAATGAGCTCCGTCTTTTGATTTGTGTTGGCGGATCATTCTTGAGTTCCCTTCTACTACCAAGTCTCTTAAGCATATTAGCTCTAGCTGCTTGGCGTGCATCATCCCGTGAACCTCTGCCACCTACTGCACCAGTGACTGTATTTGAGCGTAATAATCTCGAGGGAGGACGTTGATTGAGAAGGTTGTTAAGTTGACCAGTGCCTACTAGCTTATTGAAAGCGTTAACTCTCGCAGTAGCGGAGTTTGATCTATTTAGAAGGGAATTCCCATGTTTAGACAATAATTGATGTTGTAATTGTGATAAAGTTAACAAAGCCCTCTCCTGACGGCTTAAACGCTCGAGTTGAGTTCTCGGTGTATTCTCCATTATAGAGAAGGTGACTGTGTCGTTTCCATGTCGTACTTGAACTTGCTGACCGGTTTCTCTAGTGTCTTTAAGTAGGTTGTTACCTTCGCTGTCGTAATCTGAATCGTGGTATTCCTCTACAGGTTCGTATACTGTTGTAGAAGCGGGTGAAGAAGGTCTATCTTGGATGGGTTGAGTGGGCTGAGTGGGATGAGTGGGATGAGTGGGATGAGTGAGTTGAGTGGATTCTTGATCTTGAGTGCTTTCGCTCAGAGACTGCTCTCGTTGTTGTACTGAAGGTTGGTTGTGAGTGTTCTTAGATATGCTTGTACCTCTACGTGGTAGAGAAGCTGCTCTGCGTAGTTTATCAACAGCTAAAGCCCGTACGTTTGCTCTGTCATCCATATCTAATCAATGGTGAGTCTCTGACTAGACAATAACTACTACTGACATATTTTATTATATTTTTATTTGTAGAAAGACAATAACGTTCTAGTCAAACTGTCATTACGTCGATTTTGAAATAAAAATCGATAGTTACAAAATAAATAGTTCTCGAATTATTTATGATTTAGGTACGAAAGTTGTGTAATTGAGATCCATTATATTTTATTGGAATTTATTTATTTATATATTTATTATATATTTATATAGTCACTTACTACCCACCCTATACTAACTACTATCAAGATGGAACAGGATTTAAATAATCCTGCTATACGCTCAGAAGACATATCAGAGGTATATCTACCATTCGATATTAATCGTTATCTTTTTCTAATATCTCTCTTAATAGGACATTGGTACTGAAGTGCGTACAGCCTAACTGATCTCTATCATATCTTATAATTAGGTCTTCGCAGATGAATCAATAAGCTTTGATGAGAATGGCAACAAGGTTTGGCTTATAAAGGTTAGTCGCTCTCCCCTCACTCTCATACACTCACAATATCAAGATACCAAAATTCTTGAAAGAACGCTGGGAAAATGTCGATCAGGACGCTTTAGAATTAGGTACTTTAAGAGTATTCAACGACAACTCCGTCAAAGTTATCCTCCCTAATCAACAATACGATCAACTCACACCTGATCTCCCCAGAGAGTACACTCTAAACGTACATAAGCATACATCTGATAATAGCTATGTATTCGCTGAAAAAGAATCAGAAATTACCCAAGAACAGCAAAATGTTGCAAACAGTGGCGCTTTCACAAAGATAAACCCTCCAATAAACACGAAATTATCAGGAAAAATACATCATGAAGGCTCCCTTATTCCAGATTTAAATGATAGTTATAAACATATCATGAAGCAAAGACAACAGTCTGCTAGTCAACCTAAACGTACTGCCAAGATTTTGGAGCCAGAAGATACCAAATTGGCTTCTGGATTTAACACTGCATCTAGATTCAGCTCCTTCATTAAAACTGATAAATCTAAACAAAAAGGTGCTCAATTCGAAAGAGCGGCTAGAATGCCTAGAAATGAACTACTTGATTTACTTTTCAGTCTATTTGAAAGACAGAAGTATTGGAATATGAGAGACTTAAGATCAAGAACTCAACAACCATTAACATACTTGAAAGAAACACTAATGACAATCGCTCATTTAGCTAATAAAGGTCCATATCACGGACATTGGTACTTACAGGATGTCTATCAACGTGAACATCACGATAAAGTTAGACAACAAGCTGAATTTGAAAGGCAAGCAAAAGAAGAAGATGTTTTGGATAATGATGACATTGATAATAATGATACTAATGCATAATTTATTTATTTTTTTCATCGATTTTCGTCTTGATTATTTTATAATCAAATCTCAAATTTATAATTGCATTTGAGAATGCTATGGTTATTGTCTTATTTGATGTAAATTTCATATCACTAACTCTGGTAGCTGGTAAAATAGCATCCGAGTTATTTTGTTGAGCTTTTTGTCGCGTTGTTTCATCGTTCAATAATGATAACAATCTTGGTGTTTTTGTTGACGGATTTACACTTATATTAAATGAGGAAGATACTCTTTCTGAGTCTTTTAAAGTAACTTTACTAGTTTCTAATTCTGGATGTGTTGACAATTTCAATATCCACACTTCCCATTCACCGTCACTGGTTTTACGTAAACCTACGATACTGTCTTCGTAAGGCAAAACAACAAAATCATTAAAGCGAGCATCTAATGTCATTAGTGATTTAGTATGTACGCATTGCGAGCTTTTTTCTTCAACTTCATAAACTTATTAATCACTATTTGATTCAACTGTTTAATGTGACTTACCAGGTTGATCATCCCGCTTATCAGCAGCACTAACCCGCCGCGAAAACCCATGATTGGCGAGTGGATATCCATCAATATTTCCGTTCCCACTCCCACTTCCACTTTTTCTCGAACGATTCCTCAATAACATAGGTGTCGCATTGTTAGCAGTCGATGGGACCAACGTTGATGCTACATTTGTAGTTGTAGTCGACATCGTACCACCACAATCAATACAGCTATCTCCGAAATATATATCAACGAGATCAATATAGACTTTATGTTGTGTATTTCTAACAACGAACAATTGTTGTACGGACTCATCGTTTTCAGCCGATTGTATCAATTTGGTCCTCAATATTGGTTTATCAAGCGATTCTAATTCTGCTATCTGCTCACATTCCGTGCTCTCTCCAAATTCCATCAACTTAACAGATCCTTCTGGTGTTTGAAATACAACAAGGTTCTTTTCGGAGCCTTGGTAATTCAATTTGAGTATATCAACGAAGTTATCATAAGAATTGACATCTTCCCCAACAACTGTCAGCAAAGTAACCACTCGGGAAGGCCAGTCATAACTCATAATATATTGACAAGTTTTCATTTGTCTTTTCCATAGTATACGATCATTTTCAAGACTAATTACTGAAACATTTTCAAAATCCTCTGTTGTACCTATCATTGAAAACTCTTCAAAGGTACTAGTTGGCCAATACAAACCCCAATTTTTTGTGAACACTGCAACCAAAGCTTCTTCTGTTTCTTCATTTGAAAGCATATAAGGTGATCGTAAAGGTACGGATTCTTTGTAATCCTTACTTTTTTTAACGAATTTAAGGCTTCTAACACTATTATTATGACCAACATCTACCTGCCTCTTGAGTTCTTTCAATTCAGGATATCCACTTTGAAGATCCCATAGAATAATCTCACCACTGGAAAAGCCGGTAGCAACGTAGTTATCATTGCAAGCTACAGTTGTAACTTTATCCTTTGGTGATGAAATGAGGTAATAAGATTGTTCGTTAGTGTGTACTACAACATCATTCAAAAGTGTCAAATAGACTAACAACTTTGAACTAGTTTCCACCATAGCGATATCGGCTTTCCTATCAACAACTTGTGCATAACCTTCAACGTGTAATCTAGGCTTTTCTTGAGTAATTTCTTGCTTTCTCTGTTCGGCATCTAACTTCGATCGTTGTAGTTCGTGAAGTTCTTTGTCCTTTAATAAGAACAATAACAAGCAATACAAAGCAATGAGTGAAGATCCGATTGGCAAAACAACTATCTTCAATATCCAAAATAAAGCTCTAAACCGTGGTGAAAATCTTGAATACTTCTGATCATCCATCATCTGATACTGTGAATAAAATTTTGTGACGAACGTAGGTGATTGTATACGTAAATTTAAAGGGTCATTTGATGTCGACAGTTGAGACCATAATAATTCTATTGTATTATCCAAACTACTGGATACGTTTGATGGTTCTGTCGGCCTATTTCTAAACGCTTCTAAAGGTATCAATGGCTTTGAGGGTACTGTCAAATAATACAGAGTTCCCATAACCAATATAAGCTAATAATCAGGCGTTAAATGTCGTACAAAAGATCTTGAACACCTACAACTAACAAACTTGCGTTACGAGTTGAACGCGCTTTCCAGACGGCCTTTGTTGCAACAACCAGTGGATGTGAGTTGTCACCTGCATTCTTACTGTCGATGCTACCATCTTTTGGTGGTAATGGTTGCAATCCTTGGTGTATAAGATCAGATAGCTACCGATAATTCAAATTCCATCATAACTAGTTTTAGTAAACTCACCTCTAAACGTTGAATATCAACACTTAAGACAGTAATAAAGAAAGTTGATTGCAAGAAATAGTCTATTACGCTAACAACAGAAGCAAAAATACAGAATTCTCTGATTGTTCCCGGAATAACGTAACCAGCAATACCCAGTAAAGTCAAATCAGAAAGTACTGTCATACCAATAACAGGTCCCACTTTCGCCATACCTTGACCAACTCTTTCTGGAACAGGTAAACTAATAGAAGTCGAGACAATAGCCCTCGTGATAGTAAGCATATTTTCTACACCAACGACGACAATAACGAAAGGAACTACCGTCCAAGGAAGTAATCTAAGTCTCCATCCACATAGTTCTAACAATGATATGGACATTATTGTTGAAACACATAATTGTACGATACCGGTTATCGCTAATCCGAACCTCGAATGTACTTGGTTTAATCTTGATACTGAAATTGACACGTAGATAATAAATAAGGCATAAGCAATACCGAATATGTAAGGAACAGATGACCAATCGCTTTCAGTCAAATTATCACGTAACTAATTGAAGAAATCAGGCCATTTTATGCAAAAGAATAAAATAACTTACCTTTACTGAAATGGTCTTTCTCGTGCTTAAGCCTTTCTCAACTGACCATTCCCCTGTTGATGAGAGTGTATTTGACCACCACTGATCGTGATCTTCTGAAGGTTGAAAGAGTATTGTTGAAATTGCATAAGGATGTGATTGAAAATGAGTTAAAGTGTAAGATGATTGATTGTATTTTTCAGAATTTGGTGATAAAATCAAACATTCCTTATCAGCTGAGGAACGGATACATCGTGATATTGACAATGCATTAATTTCTTCGAGTAAAGCATCGTACGTTTGATCAAATGGGCTTATTATACGCTCAACTATCATATCAACTGGTGCAACGTTCGCTAGTTCAACCTTGAATGCATCATCGAGATCCCAAATCGAGCTAAATTCCAATGATTTAAAATCGTTACTATTCGTTAAAGTATTTTCTTCTAAAATATTCCAAAATGATGACTGCCTGCCTGATTTAGACCATAAAAGAACACCGAATGCCGGGTAGAATAATGCGGTAATCGCAAGTCCGCATGCGAGCAAAGTAGACACCTGATTTCTAGCACATTGTACACCTTGTAAATAATTTAAATGCTTCGTTATTTTCCGTACATTAATTGAGAATTCGCCGAGCATTTATGTTATCGATGATGATTGTACATCTAAAGAATGCATTTAATGTAATTTTACAATTTAATAACTTATAAACTTATTGACATCCCTATATAATTCATTAGATATGTCTGGATGATCTATAACCTACTCACTGGACAAACATGAAGTGTTTCGTGACAATAGATATCACATTCGCTACAGAAGTCATGCATACACTTTGGACATCTATACCTGCCTGTTGCGCTTATATTCGCTGACACAGTCGCCGCTGTCGGCGTTGGAAGTGTCATAGACTGGGCTACAGGTGGAAATACTTGTCTACATCCAAAGCATCTGGTATCACTAGTTTCAGTAATAGCTTGTGGGTTCCTAGAGAGTTAAGGAGTATTTACGTGTTTTTAACCTATAACTTACACTACTGCCCAGTCTGGTACAGGGAATAAGTGATGGTAAGATCGTGCAAGGTGCGGACTTGATACAACGACCAAATCACAAACGGCACAATCCGTTGGTATATCGCATAGCTTACTACCGCACCTTGGACAAATATAGCCTTGCCTTCGCAATTCCGAGTGGCATGCACATAGCGTCAGAGGCGCTGTGTAGGGCAACCTTACAGCAAATCCCATTTGCATTAGATCAGATTCATCCACTGACCCACCACCTTGCTCGACTGTATTTAAAGCCTTGGCTGTGTGTACTGCAGGTGGTGGTACTGTCTCAAATAGAACGTCTTTATAATGACCTTCATCCAAAGCAACAGATAATGTTCCTACGGTTTGTTAGTAACCAATTAACAGCATTTGACAAACTAACCACCTGTTTTCTCTGCTACTTCGCGTAAAATTCTAACTTCAGCAGCTAATGAGATTATATTAACGCGAATTTTATCTCTTATAAGAGCTCTGAGTGTATCATGAATATTTCCAGGGTCGCATGTTGTTAAACTACCAAAGACAACGACAATTTCACGTGATGCATGTGTTGGTAGATGTCTGATAACGTTAATCAAAGAATCAAATTGAAGATATTACTCACGCCATAGAAGCTCTAGCCATCTCTAAAGCGTTTTGTAATGATGGTTCACCATTTGGCTCTAATTTGTTCTTATTTTGAAGACTTTTAACCAAATCATGTTGACTACCGGACATTTTGCATATCCATTCAGCTACACCAGATCTCATACCTATCGCACCCATTTGTCCGATTGGATTTTGATCGAAATATTCCTTCACGTACTCTCTCGCATATTCTAAACTAAGTAAGAACCTATTTGGACGCATATCCCTGTCTGACATTGCTAAACTGAGATCTAAAACGAGTAGATTGTGTCTAATAATAGCCCTTTGTATAGGTATGCCGCCGTGTCTTCTTCGCCGTTTGTTTCGCTCGATGAAAGCATTGACGGATGTCGTCAACGAACCGGATTCATCCTCTGCGACGACGTCCCAACTACGTTTGTATTCAGATTCCCAGCTATAACCCGTCTATTGTGTATGTTAAAGATAAAGTCATAGGACGGAGATTAGAACGAACTTCTTTCTGCTTTGATTTGCTATTCGTTTGATCAAAATCGCCGTCGTCTGCGTCTAAGATATCAGAATCATCAGAGTTCTCATCGTATTCTTCGTTGTGCGATCTGCTATCCCTAGACATTCACCAGACTTGGTTGTTGATATTAAACGACCATCAGTGAAATGTGAGAAGCCTTTTGTATAGTAATATACACTAATAACTATACATAGGACGAGAGTAACAAATATTGGACGTAAAAGGACCTACTTAGAAGCTGGTTTTCCTTCCACTAATGAACCGGAAGAACCTCAACAACCACCTAACGTCTCAGCTGAGCCTACAGAGGGAAATTCAGATGCACCAGCCAAGAAAAAGAGAATACGAAAGTCAGCAAAGAAGTACAAGAAAGCTGCAGAGCGGGAAGAAGCAGAGAAGAATGGAGAAGACATCCCAGATAAGCCAGAGAAACCCGAAAGGTCTGAGAAGAAGAAAGCAAAACTTGAGAAGACAGCTGCTATTAAAAGTAAATGCTTTTCAACCTCTGTTAGCAAAACTAACAATATACAGAACACAGATCGAATAAACGACGTGAAGAGCGCATAAATCAACGACAATTTGACACAATTTGCTACGGATGCAGACAAAAAGGTCACTCAGTCGATAAGTGCCCTCAAACAGATAAGACAACTTTGTGTTACAGATGTGGTTCAACGCAACATTCGTTGAAAATGTGTCGCAAGCCAAAGCCTAAGAATGGGCCGGAGTTGCCATTTGCTAGTTGCTTTATCTGTGATGGCAAAGGCCATTTAGCTAGTCAATGCTCAAAGAACGAGAGAGGTGTATATCCCCGTGGTGGTGAATGCAAAATATGCCAATCAGTAGAGCATCTGGCAAAAGATTGTCCAACGCGGTCCGAGAAAGAAAAGCCTGCATTTGTTATTGGTACTGGAACTATCGGTGGGAATGCAGATGAGGATGATTTCCACGTACTTTCTTCCCGCAAGACTGACATAGAAAAGAAAGAAAAGGAAATCAAGAAAATGACACCTAGACCGGTCCAGCCGAAGAACAAAGTTGTCTCATTCTAATTGTAGCTAAATTATTGGTATTAAGTATGCATTTATAGAAGATTAGCATAAAGTTGGTATCGTATCATCTAGCCGAGGTAATACCAAATAGCAAACATTATAAGGAGGGTGCAAGCTGCTCCAATATAGAAAATAATAATATCTTTTGCCCTAAATACCAATAAATGCGTGAATGTTGATAAGTATAAAGCACTCACGATCGCCTCTCAATAAAACTAATAGCAGTTCTACCCAATCCTATACCATTTGCAGCATCAAGTAGCCTTCTTTTCGTACCTTTGAGAAAGCTGCGTTGATCGCGTAAGTTCTCCAGTATGTGGGCACCCTGAGCCAAGAAGGAGTCGAGTTGTGAATCCGCATTCCTAACGAAATCATTCTCTCTCATATTGAAGTCATCCCATTGACTTCTGTTTGGCTGAAATAGTGGATCCTGGTTGCGTGTCCGTATGTCTTGCCCAGCCATAAGATCAGATCTAAGGGTAGTCGTAGCTCTCTCACTAGCCTTGTTCTTAGATACTTCAAAGTGTTGTCTAAGGGATTTAGATTGTCTGCGTAGATCTGCGCAACGGCTGTATATATTAGTATATAGCACAGAATTGAAATGTAAACTAACGCCTCTGCTTTCTCCTGCTTAGCGCTGTTTAATTCTCCTTTTGAAAGTTGTTCGTAATCGTCTATTGTTCTATTCAAGGCTGCTAAAGAAGCTGCTATCTGACCTATGGCATGATCAGCAGTGCAGTGCAGGGATAATATTAAACACACCAGTTAAAGCATTTGACACTATACTGTTCTCATCGTCTAGTTTACTCAGATCTTCCTTTAATTTGTTTATCTGCCTAGTGGCTTGTGAGCTCACTGCATTCATAATGATAGTCAAGAAAAAAGAGCAGAACATACTATTAAAATGCAATATCCATTCAATTCAACAAAAATCTATTACAGTACATCATCAATAATTCATCCAAGTCGTGTCGCTGACTGGCAGGATGCGCCTCGTTGACCGATTATTAAATCAAACACCTCCATTATAAACTAGCTACAGGCTAAAACTCAGTGAAGGCTTGAGAAGTTACACCAGAGTATGAAGATTGTAAATCATCAGGAATTTCATCCTTATATCCTCCTACATTGTCTGCTGCGTCACGTAATCTATCAGATTGCGAGTATGCAATTGAAGATGATATGATTGATGGTGCTACACTACCAAGATCACTGCTGAGATCTTGTGATAAGACTGAACTAGCGTAATTAGCATAACCTCCACCATTTTGTTTCATCATTCTACCAAATGTTGGTGGTAATCCACCGAAATTAGAAGCTGGATTGTTATAAGCAGATATATCATTCAAATCGTAACTTGGTGTATCACCAGCGAAGGCTGTATTAGATGCTCTATTACTAGCCGCAGCTGGTATACCTGCACCAAGTGCCTCTCTCGCATTTATCTCAAATCTTCGTGAAAATGGATCAAGCGTTGCTTTATTCAGCGGTTGTCTTGGTTTGTTAAACCTTATCATTGACTCTTGTAAGTTATTAAGTGGACCTTCAACCAATGTCTTTTTCTCTTTAAAGTGTGTAAGCAAGTGGTGCCATAATGGATGTTTAGAAAGGATTTTTGGATTACCCAGAATGACGGCACCATATTTCGCTCTTGTCATAGCTACATTGAGACGACGTGGATCTGACAAGAAACCGATACCTTGATGTTCATTTGAACGAACGCAAGACAATATAATATAATCCTTTTCACGTCCTTGGAACGCATCCACTGAAGCGACTTCGACTTGATTGTAAAGTTCCTTTTTGAGTGCACCATTAAATTGCATATAGTTCACAATGTAAGAGCGTTGACCCTCATATGGAGTAACAATACCAATTTGGGCTGGGACAACACCAGCCTTAAAGAACTTGGTTACGATCTTCTCACAATTACTAGCTTCGGTTCTATACATCACGTTAGCATTTAATTATACAGACTTAATCTTACTACCCACCTGTTCAAGAATGAAGTACCAGAGGAAGAAATTTCCTCTTGACCAAGGTTCTGATAAAAGAACATTGGTGTATCTGGAATAGGCCAAGGAAAGTCAACGTTCTTTCTCAAACGTTCAGGAGCGGTGACACCATTTTGAAGAGTACCTTCGTAGAACATGTTTGATGGAAATTCAGACAAGCAAGGATGCATACGGTATTGAACCTGTAATCTAATAGGTCTATTACCGAGCATGACTAGTCTTTCAAATAATGATTGAGTTAAACCAGCCCTTGCGGCCTTCTTGTTCATTATAACAGGACCCAGTTGTTGGTGATCACCGACCAAAACAGCTTGTTTGCATCCCATAATTAATGGTATTGTACATTCCGGTTCTGCTGCTTGTGTAGCTTCATCAATCAAGACAGTGCGGAATTTCAACTTGCTGAGTCTTGGATCACCAGCACCGACACAAGTACAGCATATAACATCAGCCGCATTGAGAATTTCTTTCTCACATACACGTGTCAATGTCTTGAACTTACGTTCATCTGATGAAGATAACTCTCCTTGCTCGTTCTTCAACATGAAAAGCTTTTGTAATTCGATATGGTGAGTTGAGTTGGCGACTTGCTCGTGCAAGGTAAGGAAACTAATCGGTGAGTCTACTGCTTCCCTTGATTTAGCTGTTAATCTGACGGTCTTGAGTCCGGTTAAATGAATCTTTTCACAAAGCTGGTCAACCGCAACGTTTGATGGAGCACAAACAAGCACCTGTCCAGGGTTCATCTTTGACAGATGGTATACTACGGAGGCTGATGTGACGGTTTTACCAGTACCTGGTGGACCCTTTAGATTCATTAGAAGAGGACTTTATCATTTAGCAAAGACTCACTTGAATTAAGCTCAACGGCTTTTGTAAAACACTTTTGACTGCATACATTTGTGAATGATTCAGTTCTGGAAGATTTGGCGCAGAAAATCTTGGTCGAATAAGTTAGAAATGGTTACTTAAGAAGTCGATAACTCACTTCTTTGGCATCTGAGTGCGCACGACCTGTGGCTCCAAATCATGACCGAGTAACTTGTGATAAATGTATCCACTGACGGATTGCTCGTCGACTGCAAAAGTCTTCATTGCCAATTGCATACGATCGAATGATGTACTCTTCCAGACGAATTCAGCTTCAAAGCCATGTGTCATATCAATTGGAACACCATCTTGCCTGCGCAATTCAAGAGCAATTTCGTCGGATACGTTGTTTGGAATCTTGACAACATGCCCAATACCAGACCAATCTCTATCTCCTCGGTAACTCAAACGAAGTTCATCACCGACTGCTAATTTAACTTCACCTGATTCTAGCTTTGGCATAGAAAACCAGGCTACACGTTTTTGATTGAGACCAATATCCCAACGGACGATAAGATCTGGTTGACTTTGAGATTCCTTAAGGCGCTTATCAAAGTCAGCTTCTATTTTAACAAGTGGACCAAAAATATTCTGGTATTGATAGGCATCCTCGTAACGTAAGAGAATCGGCTGTGGTTCTTCGTCGACGCCGGGTCTATCGAGGTCTTCGAGGGTAGCGGCGCGGTCATCCTTCCAAAGTTCCTCGAGTCTATTGATCTGATTGTACGAAATTTGTCTTGCGCGGAGTTGTTCAGTCTCTGACGGTACTTTGACCAACCAAGTGAGGAAGCTGCGATCTTCTATAAGGGGAGCCCATTGTGAGGTGTCCCAAACAATATCACGTGTACCTGTCATAGCTGCACATGGCTGTCTACATAGGAGTACGACGACGGTGTCAGATTTGGCTGGAATGAAACCTAACATAAAGACATTCTTTGAACCACAGTTGTAACACTCAGGCTGAGTTTCTCCAAGTGGAGATTCTTGATGTAAAATAACCTGCTTATGTTTACTTCTAACTAAGTGGTTGACGATATGTGAGCCGGAAGTCGAACCTCTAGCATTACAGAACCACTTCTGACATATTTGACATTTCACAACACATGCTGGATTGTGAATACCACAATAATTACACGCGTGCTCAGGTAGATCGCCCTTCAAATCGTCTAAAACGAGATCGTCATCATCTAGTGGCAAGTTCAGCCTCTTCTGTAGGCTTTCTGTATCTTCTAGTTGTAAATCATTGAAGTTTAACTCATTTTCTAAATTATTTGTACCATAGCTGTAGCTGGACTGCACTTCTAAATGATCAAAGTCCATATCTTGGTGGTTTATAAGAAACGAGCAAGTCTGCGGTTTTGTTTGGCAGGATAAAGAATTTGTTAACTATGCCAAAAAAGAATTGGTACGCAGTAAAGTATGGTAAGCAACCCGGTATATACAAATCCTGGCCAGAGTGTCAATCACAGACTGCTGGATTTCCTGGCGCGGTATTTAAAGGATTTGAAAACTACGACGATGCTTTAAATTTCATAGCACGAGATTCTACAAAGAAGAAGGCTTCAGACACGATGAAGCGTAAAGCTGAGGATAGACCTGATATTCCTACTAAGAAGGGCAAATTGACTGATAATATGTCACGCGCTGGTATTTATGATGACAGTGCGGTTGTATATACCGACGGTGCATGTACAGACAACGGGAAGAAGAATCCTAAAGCTGGATGTGGTGTATATTGGGGTAAGGGTAGCCCATTGTATGTACTACTATATTATATTAAGCTACACACTCACTAGTATTAGAAACCTCGCTGAAAAAGTGCCGGGACCAAACCAAACGAACAATCGCGGAGAAATGATGGGATTTATACGGGCTTTAGAAAGATGTCCGGCTAATATAAAGCATTTGAGCATATATTCCGACTCGGAGTACACCATAAACTGTTGGTTAGCTAAGTAATCGCGAATACGTAACTGAATCGTACTTCAGGTCTTACCAAATGGAGGCAGGGATATGAGAAACGTAACTTCAAGAGCTCGTCTAATCCAAATGAGCCAATAAAGAATATCGATATGATCAAATACCTCTATGCTCTGTATGATAATCACACAGCGTCTATTAAGATACATTGGGTCAAGGGACATAACAGTGAGTGTTATATATTAACAGTTACTACTCTAACAACTCAAAGAACATCCCGACAATGAAGCTGCTGATGAGTTGGCTGTTGCAGGTGCTAAATTGCCAGCAAAGTTAGAAGAGGTAGACTGGGAGTCTTTGGCGATACTCTGCTCCTCCAGTGTAGATGATGTTTTGTAAGATTAGCTTGTATCAATATATCAATACCGTTCTTTTGTTCCTTTGAAGACGATATACTTGATAAGGAAAATAACAAGCAGTTCTACGATAAAATAGCTGCTGCAAACTATTCTCAGCATTCTAAATACTCATAATTGTACAAATGGAAACTTTTGATTGAGTGTATTGCCATACAATTTTTCTGAGGCATGACGCACTTATTGACTGGTATGAAGACGGGAAAATTCGCCTGTAACAAATTTCCTTCCATCATATTCCAAGCCAGATATCCTAATCGATCTGAGTCTAACCAGATTTTCCAAATTTCACCCGAATTGTGCATATCAGACACGGTGAAACAATGATAAAATAAATATCTATATTGTACTATAATATAATTACCGAGCATACTGTACAGTCCTATTGTCAATAACTTACACAGATCAAGCTCTTTGCGTGTCTGCATTAAGTCTTTTCGTATCGAAGTTACTAATAAATGGCTGATTAATTAGACTGTACTAGTAGGCGCTAGGAAACAATGTAATATGTAAAAGCGAATCATATCCCTCTCTACACGTATCGAATAACCAACATCTACAATAAAGCTGTGTAAATCGATAAATTGAAGAATAACGGAAGTATAAATAGGAGACACTGAAATTTCTAGCATCTAGAGCTTTAATTGTTTCGTATCGCATAATTTACTTCTTGCTTATCGGCCATCACCTTCTATGGCATCTTTCGAAAGATTACGACAGATTTGGGAGACACAGTCAGCGTCAGTGACGCCAGAGCCTTCTCAAACAACCACCCCAGAGCAAGAACCAAATGAGATAAAGAACGAAGCTCCACCTCGACCGCCAATATCAACCAAACCATCGAAAGCTACTGTTTCCACAGAGTCACTCCCAGCGACTTCGAAGCAGAGGAGACCACCACCTGCACCGCCTGTAATGCGTACTGCACCGCCCATACCACCAAAACACACAAAGGCCAGTTACAGTGCCGACAGTTTACAATCAGGTCTTACCGTGCCTCCTTCTTTACCCGAGAGGAGCCTATCTACGGCAGCCGATACTTCAAATGTGGACATAGAGCATGAGGGATACTCCAGCGAAAGCGATCAGGACGATCACTATGAGATAGACGAGAGTTCCGTGGCAGGCCCACAATCGAGGAGAGCACCAGGTGTGCTTCCAGACGTATCACAGGCTAACCGTCGTAAACCATTTCTTAAAGGTTTTCATTCTGTCAATTCAAAAACTCAATTTTATAGCGCTGCAACATCAAACAATCTCGTCGTAACTGGAAGTCATCACGTTCGAATATACGATGCTGCGAATATGAATGGCAATGATGCGCCTTTCTTTGAAACAGCTGAAAGAGACACAAAAATCACGTCGATCACTTTCAAGCAATCAAACAGCAGCATGTTTTGGGGTGGTACAAAGGATGGTTCGCTGTTTGAAATGGACTCCATCGACGGCAAAGCCTACGACTGGTCTATGCATCAGCATACGAGCGCAATTATTGGCATTTGGAGGTTAAACAATCATATGATAACGCTAGATGACACCGGTACCTTGAAAGTTTGGTTACCTGTCACTCATGAAGATGGTAGTACATCACCTACACTTAATTCGCCACATAAACTGTTTAAAGTTAATGCAGACATCACATTTGTCAACTTCTTAGGCGATAAACTCTGGTTAGCGTCATCAGCTTCACACAACTCCGAGTCAAACACGTCTCGCAGTATCACTGTGAGAGTATACGACCCGATTGGAGCTGTTTATGGCGGTACTTTTAACCTGACGCCCAATGGTGTGATGCCTACGTCTACGGTTCAACAATTAGCTGTCACAAGTGGAACTATAATCCCGTCTATACCCTCAAATGTTTATTTGGGTCATCAGGGTGGTTTCGTCAGTGTTTGGTCAGCGTCTGAATACGATTTCAGGAGTGTGACGAAAGTGTCATCCACCCAAGTAGATGCACTCGCAGGGGTAGGAGGATATCTATGGGCCGGTTTCCATAGTGGTAAAATTAATGTTCTGGATACAAATCAAGGTTCTATTACCGATTGGAGGGTAGTCCAGACTTGGCAAGCTCACAAAGAGAAAGTACTTTCTATCCAAGTTGACACCGCACTACTAGAGTTTGGACATCTAGCTGTAATAACTACAGGTGCTGATTGGAACATTAATTATTGGGATGGTATGCTCAAGACTGCCCATATCTCGACTGAGTTGCAAAATAGAGAGAATTCCTTCTGCTCGTTCAGCCCTGTGAGGTTGCTAATTGTATCATGGAATACCGATGCTTCAAAACCTTCAGATTTGGTAGATAAAGGTGGCTTGTTTTCAAAGTCTAATAATAGTAGTAGCAATTCGTCCTTTTTGAGAAACGCATTGCATAGTACGAACAGTCCAGATATCATTGTATTTGGATTCCAAGAATTGATAGACTTAGAAGATAAAAAGCTAACAGCTAAGACTATGTTACTCTCGAAAAAGAAGGCTGATAATGCATTGTCAGAACGTATTTCACATTCTTATAGACTGTGGTACGATCATTTAGTTATGGAAGTAAAGAGAAATATGCCCGAGGATAGCCCATATGTGGTCTTACATGCGGAGAATCTTGTGGGGTTATTCACCTGTATCTTCATTCGCAAAGAACGCAAGGACCATCTTGCAGACGTTGCCATCACAACTGTGAAGACTGGATTGAAAGGTAGATATGGTAACAAGGTGAGCAATATTCCGTGAAACGTTCTTTCTAATTATCAAACAGGGAGCCATTATCTCACGATTCGTAGTTGACGATTCATCGCTTTGCTTTGTGAATTGCCATTTAGCGGCTGGACAGAAGCATACGAAGCAGCGGAATGCAGACTTAGTGTCGATATTAGAAGAAAAAGTTGCCTTTGCGGATGAACCAGTACGCTCAGATCTTAGTTATGTAAATGGCGGAGACGGCTCGAGTGTGTTTGACCACGAAATGACATTCCTTAATGGAGATGTGAGTATCTTTCTATATCCTAATCTTTTCTCATATCATCCAGCTTAATTACAGAATTGATCTGCGACGTGAAGCAGTTATACCAGCAATCTCTAAATCTAATTTTGAATACCTATTACATCACGATCAATTGAATAAACAAATGGAAACTAACGCACAATTCAAGTTGAGAGATTTCAAGGAACCACCAATTACATATGCGCCTACCTACAAATATGATAGGAAAACAGATGTTTATGATACATCAGATAAAAGAAGAATACCCGCATGGTGCGATAGAATTCTCTCACGGACGGTACACTTACCAAGAGTTAATAATTTACATTACAAGAGATACGAAGTTAATGTTTCAGATCATAGGCCAATTTCAGCAGCATTTGAGATCATGACGAAGAAGATTGATCATAAAAAAAGGATAGACGTCTTAACAAAAGTCGAGGATGAATCTGCTAGCATGTTTAGTCAGACAATTCAAGACGAGAAGAACTATTACGAATATAAATAAGTTATATTAATGATTTTATTGACAAATATATGTATACTAAGTAAGTAACGTCTGTTCATGCCTCTTGATCGGGTATATCATCATCAAGATCGACTTCCTCCTCTGGCGGGGAAGACTGGAATGCGCTCTGATCGACATCCTCAATCTCATCATCTAGATCGCCCTCCTCGTATCCATCCTCTATAAGTTCTTCGTCGTCATCGTCTGCGTCATCGAGATAATCCTCTTCAATTGAAATTTCAGCCTATATTGTTTAGAAAACAAGGCAACGCGTAATAAAAAGCAACTCACGTCGTGTTCTTCATCTAATTGAGTTTGACGTTTACCGAAAGGCACGATCCAGCTATTTCCCCAATCCCTGATAAGACTACTGTGGTCTTTGAGTGCAGTTTCGTCGCGCTGTAGTTTATCTATAAAAGCTTGTGAACCGATAGGTCTACCGGCCATAACGTCTTGAAATGCAGTACTATTAACGTCTAAATCCCAATTATTCGCATTTGGTATTCGTGATTGTTGGGTGTTATTAATGATAGGCTGTCTCCTTCTAGGACGTAAATTCATTCTTTGATTACTTAACTCTACATTTTCATTCTTAAACAGTTGTAATGGTAGTTGTAAGTTTGGTAGCATCGTCGTTTAACTTTAACAATGATCTCAGTCAGTGCACCAGGAAAGGTTTTATTAGCAGGTGGATATCTAGTATTAGATCCTGCATATTCTGGTGTAGTAGTCAGCACAGATGCACGTTTCTATTCCTTAGTTAAACCGACAAATGGTACGACAACTACAGTGAACTCACCACAATTTGGCAGTAGCTGGGAATACAATAGCGCAATGGAGCAACTTAATGAGTGCGTAATATCACACTATAGCCCTTATCACATCTAAATCACTACAGTGGACCAATCAACGACTTTGTACAACTTGCGTTAACAGAAGTTTCTAAGCTCATTTCTAAGCGTGGAATAACACCAAAAGGATTATCAATAACTATATCAGGCGATAATGACTTTTACTCACAACGTGCGTACCTCAATTCATGCAATTTGGACGCTACGGTTGAGAACTTAAAGAAAGTACCAAAACTGAATAGCGATTTAAAACAAATAAGCAAAACTGGGTTGGGGAGCAGCGCAGCTTTGATTACATCCCTTGTTGGAGCATTACTCGCGTTTTATGGCTTAATTTCACGCGATATCAACCAAAACGATCTAAAATTAGTACATAACCTAGCACAATATATCCATTGTCGTGCTCAAGGCAAGGTTGGATCAGGATTTGACGTATCTGCGGCCACTTTCGGTAGTCAAGTTTACTCACGCTTTGATCCGGAAATCATTAAGGATGTAATGGACAGCCCGACAACTGGAGAGATCGTTGATGCTGTGATTAGCAAAGAATGGGATAACAATGTCGAAAAAGTTGGTCTTCCGTATGGCATTTCAATCCAACTTGCCGATATCGAACATGGCTCGCACACACCTAGCCTTGTTAAGAAGGTTCATGCCTGGAAAGCGGCCAAACCAGATGAGGGTAAGTGATATGATATGGTTCATCAAGTTACTAATCGCATTTCACAAGCTAAGGAGCTCTATGCTGCTTTAAACAACAGCAACCAAGGATTAGTGAAGGTTCTCAAGGCTCTCAATGAGTCACATAAAACAAAAAGGGAGGCTTACGAGCACGCTTTGGATACTCTCTCCACATTGATACCCCAGAAGGTATACCGTTTGCTTCACCTTGAGATAACTCTTTGACACAACACAGTGGCAGGAAAATATACCAGCAAATGACGTGATTGCCCAATTTGATGAGTTGAGAATGGTGTTGAAGGTTAGTTGTTAAGATGCGTAGTGTAATACTTAATTTTCTATAGTCCATCCGTAAGCTCTTCAGAGAACTCTCAGATAAGGCAGGTGTACCAATAGAACCTGAAGAGCAAACAAGGTTGCTTGATGCCTGCTCAAAAATTGAAGGTGTCATAGGTGGTGGTGTACCAGGAGGTGGGTTTCCTAGGATAAGTAAGCTTGATATATCTAATGAGAAGCATAAGCTGGTGGGTATGATGCGATATACATACTCACAATATCAAGAATGGCCAATCAATCACATGCACAGACTCAGGTACACAAGACATGGCTCGAATGGACGGAGTTAAGTGTGAGCCCGCTGGTATGCGGAGAAGGTTTCGAAGGTTTGAGACTCGAGAACGCTGAAGAAATCAGCCGGGCAATGGGTATAGAATGAAGGATGATATAATCTGTATATTAACAAAAACAGGTTTAAAATACATATAGAGTATTGGTGCAAAGCCTGCAATCTTCTATGCAGCTGATTTTGTTGATAGCTTCAACTTGACTAGAATCGCATGAAGGAATTTGAGCTTCAAATGAGAGTTGAGCGTAAATTGACGAGCAATTGTTAGTACCCATTGAGCACGGGTCATTTGCAGAGGGAAGTAGCAGTCAGTATGGCTAAGCTACTGCAAAATAGGAATTGGATAAGAGGCTCCCATCAATTAGGACCTGATGGTCAGTTCACTCTATGAAGCCAAATTATATGGAATTTATGTTGCCATTTTGCTCCATTACACGCAGATAAGGACACGTGTTTACCAATAACTCAGCCAAGCCAATCTGTATGATTGATCTGCTATTGCTACCTCGATTGCTCTAATACACAATGCATACAGTTGCACTAATTACAGGCAGCTATAGAGTATACGCTTCTCTTACTTGACCGGAGGCTACTTCTATTAACATTACCGTGTATTATATTCAGGCAAGAATCTGCGATTTGGTCTTGAGAGATGTGTAGTTGGTCGACGGTTAGTGAAGTTGAATACAATACATACTTCATTTTAAAAGTTCCATTCTATCAGGAAATCCTTCTAACAGTTTAGCATATTTTATGATCTAGACGTACCTTCCTCGATCAGTTCGATTCAGCTGTATTTGCCATTTTTGGAAACAATTTAAATTACATTCCAAAGCTTTCTTGATATTTAGCCTCAACTAAACCTATCACGCGTACTGCCATTAGAACTGGGGCTCTGTGGCTAACATAAGCATCGGTTAACCCGCTAGAACAAGTTACAGTGAATATACATTTACTATAATGCATGCGTAAGTGCTTTAAAGCACAAGGAACATGAATGCCTGTTTTAGAGCTTCAACGGTGATTCAATAGCCTAACGTAACAATTCAGCTTGTCGATAATCACATATAACTCTTTACCGGTTTCCGTCACAATTTGGGCTCACTCTCGTCCTGAAATGTAAGCAGAAATCAAATACATAGGATTGGTTCTCTACATGTAAGAACTAGATTTCCATTGTTGTCCCTAGACTGTACACACATTGTTTTTATATGAATCTAATTCACCACTATGGAATATACCGTCCTTAGTTAATATAGTTCGTTTGTTATAAAGCTTGCCGTTGTCAGAATATACAGCTTGACATAAATGAGTTTTGTCATTATTTTCTTCTGAATTCCACATCTCTGCCATTTGCTCGGCTTCGTTGCCTATTGCATCATCACCCTTAGTCATGTCTGATACGGCTACATTATTCACATTATACTCATAAACGAACTCGAAAGCTTCAGGTTTACCAGACATCCTTTTATTCAAGTGACCGAGGTGATCCTCATTAGGTGCGTAACTAATGAAGTGGTGTACAAAATCAGCTGTCCTGAGCCCTGTCATCTTCGTAGTTATCCAAACTACGAGCTAGCGACATCTTACCAACATCACTCTGTAAGTAACCTATTGTCTGCAGAAGAATATTGCCTCTAGTATAAGAAAGGCTATCCCTTTTGTCCGGGTTGTACCAAATAAGATCATATACGTTACCGCTTGGGTCTGTATATACATTCCTCTTAGTCATAGTTTCAATGTCGTTGAACTGCCCTTGTGAATTGGGATAAACCACCTCAGCTCCGTTAGCACTAATGCGTTGCGCTTCCTGCTGCATCATAAAAGTGGCGAAACCAAAGACCAAAGAAAAAGCACATGGTATCGGATTCCCCATTGATGCACCTAACGCACAGAAAGCCCCTACAGTTGTATAGCTAAAACTAGCGAATTGATTAACAAATGCCGTATTCCCCATAGAACACCATTGTTGCCTAGACACAGATCGCGTTGTTATCCTAGTCTCCGAGGTCCTATTATAACTACTCAACAACTTCATGTCTTCATAACACGTACCCAGAGACTCACAAGGAGAATAATTCATATTTATGTACTCTCTCAACCAAGGTTCCAATCTTTCATCTCTATCTGGTAGACTTTGCTCAGAAAATGCTTGTATATTGAAATTATCTTTAGGATATGAAGGTGCTGTTGATAAAGAACTGAAATAGGGGTCAAACCCTTAATATTGTACAGCAGCAACGTGAGTAATCAACAATCCCATCAATAAAAGAAAAGGTGGAACACCAGAAGTCAACCAATTTGTAACAGAAACTCTATTGAGAGTTCTTCTCTCAACCCTTGAATTGACAATAAACGAACGCAGTACAACTAAAAATGATCCAAGAGCACTAACAGCTCCTATAATGTTTTTGTCAAAAATACTTTCTGATTGCTTTATATAGCTTATCATAGTATACAACTTTCCAGGTTCTGCTTCTGAAATATGAGTAAGCCTTTTTATTGTTTAATTGTTTTCGTACAAGATTTAACTCTTTATATAGTTTTCATTGTCCGCATGTTCCTCACTGTCCGCTTGTTATTATTTATAGTTCGTACCTAACAAACAACTGACGCTGTAATTTCAGCACCTGTATCCGAATTCTGATATTACCTATAAATTAAACGCTTGCGGATTCTCCAGATGAATTTTACGCTCCTCCGGTAAATTGGCCGAATTTCGATGATTATGAAATCTAAATATAATTGTTAAGACGGTACAAAATTTAACTGCCTCCATCAATACTTCTTATATTGCGAATATTTGAAGGCTGTGCCTATTTTGCTGGAAGCTTTTTGTCTGACACATGTTGTAAAATGTTTGACGGTTTGCGTTCTCTCGATTGTTCTTGGATATGCCTAACCATCGGACTAACTTATATACATACTTATATGGATTGAAAAAAAGTAAGTGCTTATAGACTTTTGGATTCCTGAGCATTATTGGATGTAGTACGAACCAACGTGTTCGTTATCTTCCTCCTTAAAGTGATTCTGGCCTCATGAGGGGAATACAATCCAGTACACAATGAATTGTTCACTTCTCAGAGGGAACGGCGGCTGGGCATATATCTTCATGAAGGTTCTGTTGTACTCTGTTACTAGAAAGCTTTGGTAATTATATTCGATCTTAGTACGAAAGTATATTGTAAATAGTAGAGTATTATAGTTTTTAATACGCTCTGTTAAGGTTCCTTGATTGTAACAACTTGTTTGATGTTGTCAGACAAGCCCCTCTCCCAAGCTGACCATGTCTTTACGGCATTGCTACTTAAGAGTGTTTTGAACCATACGGTAGACACAAAAGTGGCCTGGGTTTGCGTAGTAGATGGACTCTAACGGTTTCAGTTAGTTATCTTGACTGAGGCTGGATAGCGGTATAATGTAGTGCAGAACGGCTGATCATTGATGCTCAGTTACTAATAACCCATGAGATAGCTTACTACACACTCTAGACACTAGCCGACTGTACATTTTAAGGCCTCCACTAAAGTTCCGACAATTGGCTGGAGTTCGCACAAATTAAATTCAAGAGGCTCCATGAAGAGCTTCTAGGTCGACGACCACCCAAATAATTGATTTATTAGCTTGACGTATCTGCAGTATTTTTTTTTGTTGTTAATCTTCTTTGAGATGACCATATTGTTCAAGTTGGGTTAATTGTTAATTAAGGAGTTAGTAGCTCATCCTTTATTATTTTAAACCCGCTAAACCAAAGTCCTATCGTTATGTAAAGCTGATAAATTATCGAAAATAACGCTATATAAATATAGTCAACATTATTGAAATGAATTTTGTAAATAGTATAATATAATAATTACCATTGGTGCGACCTGGTTTCTTAAGTTTTACAGCTGAAATTGCCATCTCTAATGACGTCAAACTGTCACTGATAACTTTGTATGAAAGTGAATAAAATGAAGGTGTAGATAATATAGACTAATTTGTATTGTATAGTTAGAGTTTGATGTGATTAAAAGTTATAATGTATATATTCAGATATATTTATCTACAAACGTAAACTCATAGCTTCTTCAACAGCCCCAACGATGGTTGATGAGATTGAAGGCGTGAGTTAATAAATAAATAAACAAAAAATCTAATATAAACATATAAAAAAGGTAAAACACGGTAATATGACAGATAATTATAGAGATACATCTAGAGTATCATCATCATCGTCTGATGAAAGTGATGATAACGAATCTGAGGTTGAGATAGTAAAGCATAGGCATCCAGCAGAACGTAAAAGGCGTTTATCATCTTTACGCCGTTTAAAATTCACTCGTGCTTCACGTAGACCATCAAGTTCAAAAAATGATAATGACAGAAGTTCAAGTCCACCTTTAGAGCCATTGAGGGATGGTACATCAGCATCAGAAACTGAATCTGCACCAGAGTCTTCATTCCGGCCCAAAAATAACGCTTTTGATGATGCGGATGATGAGGTTAGTGATGAGGACCTATTTGATAACAGTCAAGTAGATTCTGACGACGAGGACTTATTCAATTACGATGAAGAATTATACTACAATACAGAAGCCAACGCTCAGTTTATAATTGATAAACCTCTTTATCTTCCACCTGCTGATGACCAGCATTTACTTGATGAAGGTCCTAATATAACAAAACCATTACATGATACTCCACATAAACGTAGTAATAACCTAGATTTGAACCTAACCGGTCCGAAGTTTGAGAAGAATAGGTGTACTATTACAATTAGACAGGGCGATCCAGATCAAGCACTCATTACTAATAATAGACGAAGAAAGAGATACATTTTGGCGAGCGACTTATCGCACGAATCCAAATACGCAGTTGAATGGGCAATTGGTACCGTTTTAAGGGATGGTGATGAGTTATTTATAGCAACAGTACAGGAAACAGACACCAAATTAGACGGTAGAGATGGTAAAAAGGCAGATAAAACTAAATCTCAAAGAGAAAGAGCTGCCTTCAGCCAATACCTAACTAAGCATGCAATTTCGTTGTTACAAAGGACTAAATTACACGTCATTGTCACTTGTCAAGCAGTACATGCGAAGAATAGTAGACATATGTTGATTGATATGATAGATTTCATTGAAGTGAGTTTATTAATAATTTTGAACTTAAACTAACTAAGGAACAAGCCAACTTTAGCTATCGTTGGTAGCAGAGGAAGATCAGATATAACGGGTATATTGCTCGGATCCACCTCTCACTACCTTGTACAGAAATCGAGTGTACCAGTCATGGTTGCAAGAAAGAGAATAAAACATCCACCTCGCAAGCGTGGTAATGCCGATCTTCAAAACCGAAGACATGTACCATTGACCAGCGCGGCGATCGATAGTGTAGCAGCCAGAGATGAAAGTAAATTACAAGCACAAGAAGACGAATTTGCCTCTGAAAGCGGTGATGGTGACGCGGGAGATGAAGATGAAGACGGTAAAGAACTTGGTAATTAGCAATTTAATGCATATGTGGTTTATATATTATGAGTACAATTATTAGAAGTATGAGTAAGATTAACAAGAAAATACATTTCAATTTACCGGACGATCTTTGGTATTTTGTCGCTTGATTAAGCTCCTTGACTGCGCTATCGACTTGAGTTTTCGTACCTTGGGCATTGAAATCAATTCTATCTAGCATAGTACCTTGATCAATGACTAGAGTGTTTAAATCCCTAAATAATTCTGCTAACTGTGCTATAGATTTCGCGATATTGTTTATCTCTAGATCGCGCTTATTTAACTGAGCATCATCTTGTAGTTGTAATTGCGTGGAATTTAATTGCATTTGAGAAAGCTGTTCGTCATCTTGTAAAGATTGAATATTATCGTGTGTTTTACCAGATGCAGCTAGGATATCTGCGTCCTTGATAGTATGACCTTTCAATTCTAAGACAAAATTAAATAATTGTTTTAAAAGAAAAATTTCAACTAACTCTCTAGATAGATTCTTTGTTTCTTTCTAAATAAACCAGATAATTCTTGTATTTTAGTGGCTTGCGCTCTTTGTATATTCTTCGAGATTCTAACCTGATCGATTGTACCCTTTATTTGAATATTTGACATTAAAGAGTGACAGCTTCTAAAATCGTTAGTTATATCTTCTGTGTGTGTGTCTATTTCATGCTCCTCCTGCGATCTATCACTGAATGTAGGCAACAACCTCTTCTGATGTAGCTTATCCAAGCTTAATATCTTGTTACGAGTAGATTGTAATATGCTATTTATCTTCTCTGTGATATCGACCCTATAAATTGTTATCTAAGTATGTCGTATGTCTCTAAATTCACTATACTGACCATTGCGGAGGTAATTTATCTAAATCTATGACGACTTCATCGTCTAACAATCTATGGTCTTCTTCTTGTGTGAAGTTATGTAATGCGCTATCCCTATAACTGAGGTATAGACCCGTTCTACTTCTAGTAATCATCGACGTTGATTAGGAACTATGAACAGAATATTCAGAAGGGAATTCACGACTTCAATAAAAAGATTAGAAATCTATAAAAATACTGGCGATTTTAATAATTTAATAACACGCAGTTCAAATAAACCTTTATTGGTAGATTGGACAGCAGAATGGTGAGTTTATTGTATATCGAGATCTAATAGATATATAACATTCTATTAGGTGTCCACCTTGCAAATTACTAGCACCTTTGTTAGAGAATGTCAGTCAAGGCAACGACAGCAAAGTTGATCTCATCAAAGTTGGTATAACGCTACACTAGGCAGACTAATATCTAACAAAACACTACAGATTGACGTTGATGAAAACGTTGAATTAGCCAGGGAGTACAGCATTACTTCAATGCCAACCGTTATAGCCTTCAAATCTGGTAAACCAGTATCTAAATTCGTTGGAGCTGTGAACAAACAACAATTAGATTCATTTGTTGAACATATAAACAAAATTTAAATTTATCTTCGATTCTTGCATCATCACACCTTCTATCAAACACTATCATCTGACAATGCTCAAATATCTAATAAAACCAAAGAGTATACACCAATATACACAAATTAGACGATCTAATGTGTTAGCATGTAAAGAAGGTTTACTATTCGCCGCTAGAGCGTCCCTACTAGCTGCACCATTCATTTGGCATTTTAAACTACATCTAAAGTACAGAAAAGCAACCGGATGGTTCATAAAGACCCCAATTATGTTAGCCTGCCTTACTATAGCATTCGGTTTAGATCAATGTCCAGATACTGGTAGATGGAGACTATTATGGATGACTGATCATGAGGAACATGAATGGTCCAATAAACGTCTGAAATCTTTACTCGATGAACCAGATATCGTTATATTAGATCATAAAGATGAGCGCACAAAACTAATTCTCACTATCACACGTAGACTGATAAATAGTCTACCACACACAAACCGACGGTCTATACTACCCACATGGCCAGATCCAATAACACATGGGATATCCAGCTTAGTTGATAGACGAGAACTAAAAAGACCAAGCACATGTACATCAAATGTCACTCTCGCTAACTTCCCAGAAGGTTTAACAGTCATTCATCCTAGTTTAAAGAGTGCATGGAATATATACGTCATTGATGGTCCACAGATAAACGCTTACGCAATGCCAAGCAAAGAGCTCGTCGTTTATAGTGGTTTAATAGATTTATTAGATGGGAAACCGGAATACTTAGCTACAGTTTTAGCTCATGAAATAGCCCATGTGACGCAACGACACGCAGTTGAGAATGTAAGTACAATAAATATTATAGTACAATGGCTTAAAAATAATAAATAGCTAGGTGTGAGTCTCCACTTATTTACTATTATTTAAAATTCAACCATATACAGCTGAAGAATGTCGCTACTGTTGTAGCCGACTTTGTTAGAGGAGCGATAATATCTGCTACGATGTGAGTGAAGTTTAACATTACTATTATCTTTCAATAACTTGTAGACCCTTCCCTATCCTTACATCCTCGCTGACATTGACGATAAATTGGATAAACGACCCACTAAGCGAGAGTGCGTTCTCAAGAAAGCTCGAACTCGAAGCGGATGCTGTCGGCTTGAAAATAATGGCTAAGTATGTATTTTCAGGATAACTGCTTTTCTAATCAACACAAATAGAGCTGGATATGATCCTTCTTATGCATTACATTTATGGGCTATGATGTCAACGTTCGACAAAGACAATGAGGATCAAAAAACGCTTTTCGAGCAGCTATTTCCATTTTTAAATACTCATCCGCCCTCTCAAATGCGGTTAAAGGTGGGTAAATTTCATTATAAGCTCTCTGCTGACAACAATTAATTGTGTAGAACATACGTGAACATATGGGGGAAGCAATATCAATTTACAATAATACACTTGATGATAAAATTATAAAATAGTTAATCTGTATTATACTTAAAGTTACCTTCTAGGAGATCTTGATCTTGATCTTTCGCTGTGTCTACCGTTCGTTGGTCTATCTCTATCTTCCTGCTCATGTGCGCGCAATTTCCTTTCAAGTCTCTGAGAGTGTTGAAGATCTCTAATCAGACTTCTAGTAGGACGTTTCAAGTGCATGAAGTTGCAGAAACCTCCTCTGTTGCAATCACCGGTATCATTTTGTCTGCAGCAAGCTTCTCTAAAGTCTGTAACTGGACTGAGCTCACAATGCAATGGTCTACCAGCGTACCACCTCTCATTAAGCTTATCTACAGCGGCTTGTGCTTCTGTCTCCCATTCGTACCTCGCGTAGACATTTCCGATGAGATGGTCACCAACGTTATCACATACGTGCATTTCTAGGAGATTGCCAAATTTGCAGAGTTCCCTTTAGAAGTCAGTTTGCTATTATAATGTAAAGTAATCGACTCACATGAACAAATCCTCGAAGAACATGTCGAAATCAACTTGTATTCCCCTCTGATCGAGCTTATTATCTGGTCTGTGCATTGGGTTTTGGTATACGTTTGGCATAACTATCGTCTGAGAGAACTGTGGCTTTATGTGCTTCCTCGAGCATCTTTCACCGTGGCGACATGCACCAATCTGAGTTGAGTGTAAGTGAATAACTAGCTAATAGACTATATATAACCTACTTTATAATAGAATGAACAATTAACTCTATCCTGTTCTGTACCAAAAATTGACGCTAAACGTGATGCAGCCATCTTCTTGAAAGTTAAGTTCAAACAAATAAATAAATGAATTTATGAGGGTATATTACAAAAATAACTATTCAAATATCCATTTTTTAGCAAGAAGCTGTATATTTCTCTTATCTTATTCTCTTCAATGCTACTTATCAATTTACTAGCATCTTCGACTTTCAGTTGTCCTAATCTTTTGTAGTACTCCCTAGATAGTGCCTCTTTTATAACCATGTAGGGTTTAGGTAGCATCTTCACGCTTTGACAAAGCTTTTGCTCGTCTTCATTGAGTAGATAGAGAGATTGAGCGACGGCTAGTGATGCAGGAGTCTTTTTTATCGTACGAATTGATGGCGTTGACTCCCTAGAGAATTCTTCACCTTTCTTAGAATCTCTCCTTCCGTTATTCGTACTATTAGTGCTCTGTAAGAGCTGCTCACGTCCAGGTATCGGTTTAAATGCAGCCCTTGCAGCTTTATCTTTCTCATACATCTCTGCATCCGCAAATGTAGTAACTCCCATCCTTCTATACTCTTGTAATTCATTAATACGTTTCCTCAAAGTCATTTCATACACCAATCCATCAACGAATCTTTCATGCTCCTGTGCTGACTGTAATCTAGCGAATGGTTTCAACTTATTAACCAAATCTCGCTCATCACGCGGTCGCTTCCGCTCAATTGCTTGGATTTTTTTATGTTGCAGTAAACCTCTGTCGAATATCAAGCGCTTTCCTAGCAAACGCTTATCAACTCTGCTATTGTATATATCCATCAAAGCTAGTTTAAGTTGTAAATCAGCCTGAGGCTCATCTTCTAATGTTTCTTCTGCGGCTGATGGAGGTAAATCATGAATGGAGACTTGATCACCATTTTCTAAAAACTGTTAGGCTATAGAGACTTTGGCATTAATCACTTACCCAATTTAACGCTACTAGTACCAGGTCTACGCGGATCAGGTAGACTGTCACCTTTTAAACCATGTACTAAGCCGAATTCGAGATCTTTTATTAAAACTTCAGCGTCATTCTCTAATTCATGCTCGAATTCTAGTCTACCAGGCATATATCCTCCAACTTCATGATTTGTTGGTGCAGAAGTCAATGGTTTGGTCTTTGGTGGAGGAATTTCTACAGGTTTATTACCCAACTCTTCAAAGCGTGCTTTCTTTCTTGCCTGGAAGGTATCCGGATCTATCTTTATATCTGCATCAAGTGGCTATCGGGTGTAAGTAAAATATCGTCATACCAAGGGAGAAGACACACGGGCATGCAATCATCAGATGCGAGGTATACGCTATGGTAATGTTCTGCTACTTCCTCTTTAGACCTGCTACCGATATGTCCGCTAACGTCTAACCAATTTCCCAGTCCATAGAGCTGGCAGCCTTCAAGTAAGAGTAACTCCCTTATGGAATTAATAAGAGAAAAAAGAATAAAAAGCTCTACTTACTCATCTGCACCCCAATCATCTGTAAATATAGGATAACTATGCTGCTCTATGACTCGGTATGGATGCCAGGGTTTGTGTTTCCCAATTGACTTTCCTTCTAAAAAGCAAGGTGGGCATAAATCTACCTCATCGCACGTGCTACTCTCCGCACAGCGCATTCTAACGGATTGTGTGATATCCCTCGCGCATGCGTCGCAATGAAATCTAATACCTGGTTGATAATCTAAGGAATAAATTAGTATATTATGTAATTAAGTAATAAAAGATATATACCAGGTGCTTTAGCGGTTTCCTGCTGCTTCTGCGGCCGCTTATGAGTGACCGTCATTTCTGTCGTCTAAAGCTATAGAAAGACGTGGTCGTTTTAAAGAGCAAAGAAATATTATTTATAATAGTATAATAGACGTTGATATAATGAATTTATTATTATTTATCTACAAATTTACTCATATCTATTAGTCAAGTATATAGATATAACTAATAATCTATAATTGAGTGCTAAAAGCTATATTACTATTACAGTAAATAATTAATATCGAGGTATCTATACGGATATCTATATATTCCTAATATAAATTATAGCAGCTGCCAAAGCTACATCTAATATAATTATACACCCAGCCAATGAACAGCCTCCCTAATCAAATAAACTCCAAGCTTAGATATAATATAATTTACGAATCTACTCCGATTGTAGCTACATCTAACATCTTGAACGTCGACGACGATCATCGTAGACAATAAGAAAACATGTGGTGGCCATTTAGCAAACAAAAAGAAGAAGAAAAATCTGGTTGTCCTTACAATCACGATAATAAGCAGTCTGATAATCCTATTCTAAGTAAAGAAGTTAGTACTATACCAAAATCATCGAACAATAACGATAATTGGGTATATCCTTCACAATTACAATTCTTTGAAGCTATGAAACGGAAAGGACATAATCCTAATCCTAGAGATATGAATACTATCGTACCAATTCACAACGCTGTCAATGAGAGAGCCTGGATGGAGATAAAGAAGTGGGAAGACGGTAAAAGCGATTGCGAAATATATCTACACAGTTTTAAAGGTAGACCGCAAGATAGGTCGCCCAAAGCATGGATAAAAACTGCATTAGGGTTCGCTACTTTACTTAATTACTACAATCTACTAACAAAGACATTAGTTACACACCACCTTTCGATAGACACGATTGGATTATCGACAGATGCGGTCAACGCGTCCGTTATGTTATAGATTTTTACTCAGGTTCTAACAAAATGGGTTTAAACACCCCTTCATTCTATCTCGATGTTAGACCTGCATTAGACGATTTCGATAGTCTAACACAACGTTTGTGGAAGCTAATTAACTAATAGACATATGCATAATCACTTTTTTATTCTTACATTCTCTGGTGGTTGACTTATAAACCTCCCTAAAACATTCGGGATAGTAAAGCCAGACCGTTTGGCTAAGTGAATATAGAGTGAGATGTTATAATGAAGTAAAGGATAATGAGTCAGACTCGCTGCTCTAGATGTGTAAATATACCTATCAATTCCACTTGCGAAGAGATCTTGATGTAATCTTCTACTAACTTCTTCACCATCCTTTAAGCTAGCTGCTGATAGAGCATTAATTAGACTGAAAACGGATGTAAGATATCCTATAGCTTCATATTCAACTCCGGCAGTCATTCCTCCTGGTACTCTAAACCGAAGTCTCTCAACTTGTCTCATATCGACAGAAGGGTAATACCAAATACCATTGTTCTTGTGACCAAAGCACCTATAACTTTGTTAGAAGGGAACAATTACAGAGCTCAATAAACGTACCAGAAAAAGTCCCTTTGAATTTCGTATAACTCACTCAAGAATAATTTATATACGCGAGGTCGTTTTGCCACCTTTATAAACTCGTGTTGGTTTTCGAGCGCTTCATCGACTGGATTGTGCAAAAGTTTCCTAACCAGCTCTCCAGTACTCCTGTACGGATATGGTAATTCCATTGGTTGAATGTGCACACTGTCGACTTCACCATTAACTTGATTTAAATATGTTTGTGTAGTTGGTGATCTAATGAGCTCATTGTTTGATGTTTCATCAAAAATTTCGAAAAGAAGTGTAATTATTTCCATCATCAGTTGACGTGTTGACAAGCTACCAGGCTTTTTGTCAGTGAAAAGCAAGTCAACCAGTGACTTGTAGGGTTCTGGTGCCTTTGAAGCCAGCGCTTGTAAGCCAATCTAGGTTGTTTTTATTAGTTAAAGCTAAGGTGTGAGTTCGTACTTACCTCCGAGGTCGATAAACCTTTAAAGCATCGTAAGAGTTCATGTAGTATCTGATCATCGTGTTGTTCCTCTCTATAAAGTTTGTCAGTTGTGAAAACAAGTATTTTACCCACTTACCTCCACTCAACTTTGAGAATCTCATTGAGACTGCTACACAAACCCTCATAACCTCCTGCAGCAAAGAAATCAAGTAGCCATTTAGATGATTCAGCGCGTATGAGTTGTCTTAGACGCTTTACTTTATCAACAGACAAAGCAGTACTATGTTCCTTCTCTAACATCTTAGCAAAAAGGGTAGGACTGTCGCTTTTATCGACTTTGCTAGAGCTACTTGATGCACTCTGCTTACTGGCTTTGTCTGGTGATCTAGACATCGCAGAACTAGATCTAGTTTTCAATTTTGGTTGAGGAATTTCAGTGCTATCTGATGAAGGTAAAGCAATCTCAGACGCTTTAAGTATATTCTCTTTTTTACGCGTATCCATAGCCCGCAATTGATTCCTCACTGGTGGTGGAATATCGCGTATTTCTAACATTTCTTCAAAAGCTTTATTGAATTCCTCATTAACATTCTCGTCCTGTTTATTCTTCTTTGCGTCTTTTTATATTTTAGCTATGTTTATTCAATATATCAACAAACTCACTGAACCAGATTCCAAACGAGGACTTCTTTGGTGAAGACTTCTCATCCATCATCTTATTATGCAGGAATATCTCATTAGAGAATCCCAGCGGGGGTGTCCGTGATGACATGGTAGTAGTTGAAGTTTAAAAACCCATGACCGTGCTTGATAAAAATTCGCGTTTAAATTTGTTTGTTTTAGGTAATATAAATCGATTAACCGTAATATACAAGAAATTGACGCGTATTAGCGTGTATATTCTATATATACGATATTTTTAACGTGGGGTAGTTCCGAATCGGTCGATTGATAGATGTATTAAGAAGTTATCTAATTATAACTATCTAAAACATTATTATAAATAAAATGTCGTTTTTTTATTATCAATTATAATACTCTAAGTCACTCCAAACGTCATTTTCTATGACGTACTTCTCTTCACCCAGAACGACGACGAAATGTCACAATCAATATCAGATTTAGGTAAGCTATATTTGCTCATTTACTCAACACCCTAATGTAATCAGTTGTTCGTTCAATCACATCAACGATAACGATATTCAGTCGACCATTCTCTCGTTATCCAGGTGTACCGGTAGGATCAAGGTCTACTGCTATAAAACTAGAAGAAGGTGAAAATAAAGATAAAGTTTGGGTACTTGCCAGTTCGAGATGTGACGAAGTTGTCATTGAGAACATCAAGAAACTAGGACAAGTGAAGTGGGTATAGTATATTCATATAAACACTTAATGCTCAACTGTCATACAGATACTTAGTTGCACCAGATACAGGTTTGTTCCCTTCTGTTTTACAACTTTAACAATAAACTGACACACATAGCGCATTATCTTTTCTTGAGTAGGTTTAAATACTCCAATAAAATCATCTAACGCTCTATTAGAGCAATATATAGATGCATTCCCAGATGCGAAAGTTATAGGCGTCGATGGCCTTCAATCAAAGGCAAGCGACGTCAAATTTGATTACATCTATGGTCAAGAACCAGCTGACAAGAAAGTGGGTTATGAACCTGAAATTCAAGTTGTCTGGTTTGATAAATTCATCAATCGCGATCTAGCATTTTTCCATCAACCAACTAAGACACTCGTTCAAGCAGACTTGCTATTTAATTTGCCAGGATATGAACAAGTGGGTATCATTAAATAGAACTGCTATTCTGACAAGCTTCAAGTACTCTAATTCCAAGGAATCAGCTGAACCATGGGTTCCATTCGTGCAGAATTTCAGACCGGGTACACTCACACATCGTATAGCTGCTATGGCGATGTCCAAAAATGATGCGTGGGTCGAATGGACGAAGTGTACGCTTTATCAGCTCTGACGAACTCAATAGTGAGATAAAGAAGGTGTATGAGTGGGATTTCGACAGAATAATTCCATCACATGGTGTAAGTAGTATATTTCTCTCAATATTTCCTCTCAACAGCATAGGATGTCATTGAAACTGGAGGGAAGAAGGCATGGTATGATGTCTTCTCTAGATATCTACCAAAATCTTAGCTTAAAGTCTAAATTGTAATGAATATAAGTTTATCTAATAATATAATCTACTCTGAAGGTGCTTTCCAATCGTGGTTCCAAATAACATTGCGTGGTGTGTCCGTAGGAGCTCTTAAATCTCTAGGGAATAATCCAGGAATACGCATAGTTTGAGCCTTTCTTTTACCAACCTTAGCAGCACTAATCTTTGGAGGTCGAGCGACTGCTTTCTCCCATAAGTCAATGTCGGTTTCTCTAAGTCTATCCAAAGCTTCTCTCAGTCTATTTTCACGGTTTTCCAAATCTGTTAAACGTGCATTCTCTTCTGATCTTTCAAGTACTTTAAATGCTCTTGTTATAGTTTCATGTGCTTCTTTTCCAGGATAAACGGCATCTACAGCTCTCTCGACGTCCTCACGGTGGGCTATTGCAGGGCTAGTTCTATTCGAGGATGGTTGTGGAACAGCCTCTGGATAAAGCATTTGACGAAGTTGCTCTGATTTTCCGTCTGCTATAAATTCATTGCTACCTTTGGCACCCGCTGGCGGGCCTGAAGCGTAATATCTTTTAGAAGATAGGATAAACCTACTAATATTTGATATATTTCTCTGCATTTTTTAAAATGGGATGATGGTAGTAAGAAACTAAGCTTCTTGAAGAACACCCCCCATGGACGGCTTGTACAACCTCACGGAATGGCAAAATGTTCATAACGAGAATTTCAGCGATAGGAATGAGCCAATAGAGAAAGAGTTGGATTATGAGGTCGATAAGGATATCGACAACAACAATGAATCTTATAGGGATTACTAGTAGGCATATGGCTATTATTCAGTAACACTCTAACCAATACGTTAGCTCAATTTTAAACCTACCACGTAATGCCACCAACGAGGAGATAAAGGACCGTTATAAGCAACTCGCTATCATCTTCCACCCAGATAAGCAGCGTTCAGATCACCAAAGAGAAGCAGCTGCTCTACAATTCTCTCATATTAAACACGCTTATGAAGGTATCGATTCATTATCTCTTTTATCCTGTGAAGCTGACAGCATCTAGTCCTTTCAGATCCACACAAGCGTATGGCATATGATACCCTCGGTGAAGAGGGTCTCAAGAATGATTGGCAAGTTGGCCAACGTTTACGCACTCCAGAAGAGGTCCGTATCTTATTTTAATCGATCTATGACGCTAAGACAACATCAGATGAGAGAGGAATACGAGCGTAGACGACGGGTGAACGAATTAGAATCACTTGAATCAGTTTTACGTAGTAAAGGCGACGTAAACGTACACATAGATGCAACTTCTGCGGTAGCAGATGCTATCGGAGTTGAAAAGACCCCTCAACTCAATATGCTCGGTAATCCAGTATTAGAAAAGACAGGTTTGACTAATTCACTCGCTGGTATAGCCGTAAGACGCCTCGTTATGCAGCACTCCTTTGAGTGTCCAATTACACGCCAAACGCAACTCGTTGTACTTGGTCAAATGGTTAGTAAGGCAAACACTGGCGGTGGAAACGTGATGGGAACAATACGCCATTTCTATTCACCTAAATTATCATTAACAGCTACTCAAACATTCCTCAAACCGCAATTCACACAACTTGCAGGTGTATATGAGATTGACGATGACACTAGCCTTCAATTATCATCTATGCACCCAGATTGGCGGCTTTTCCCTCAAGTTAATCTCACCCTTTCACGGCGTGTACAAGAAACTGTTCAAGCTTTCTTAAGTTTGAGATTACCATCTCCAATGGGTCCATCAAGTCTGAGCGTTGGCGCTAATGGTTTAACGCATGGTCGAAGTGCATCAAGTTGGAGCACCTCACTTGTTTTTGGTCCAGTTGAGAATGGTTTGGGTCTTGAATGGGGTCGTCGCATCCTCGATAATACGATACGCTTTAGAGTTGGTACTAGTCTGAGTATGCAAGGTATATTCAATTCTTTTGCCTGGGCAGAGCGTAAGATAACGAGAGCGACAACAATTGGTTTCGGTATAACTTGTAGTCTTCCCGGAGGTGTTATCGCGCGTTTTAGATGGTCCAGATTAGGCCAAAGGATTACAATTCCAGTCTTATTATCGCGTGACCTTGATCTCGCAGTTGCAGCATTAGCAGCGGCTATTCCATCCGCAACCATGGTCGCCTTGCATTATTCATACCTCGTTCCTCGGAACAAAAAGCTTAAGGCAGCAAAATTAAAGCGCCTTGCCGAAGAACACCGTGAGAAGATAGCCGAAAAGAAATCAGAAGCTGAAGATGCTATCACGATATTGAAAGATCACGCTGAACGTAAAGAAGCCGACGAGAATGCTAAATCTGGTCTTATTATCCTCGAAGCTGATTATGGTTCAAGTGAGAACTTACAAAATAACGAAAGGATAGATGTTAGATTACCACTTATGGCTCTCGTTAATGACGGTCAATTATACATACCTAAAGGTACATCCAAAGCTGGACTCCTCGGTTTCTATGATCCTTGTTTAGGTGAGAAGAAGAATCTTCATCTTAAATACCAGTATCAATTGCGTATACACGAGGTTACAGTAAAGGATAAAGAAGAAATTGCATTACCACAGCGTGATCATCTTGTATTTGAATAAATAAATGTTAATAAATTAGCCCACTTAGTCTATTTCGCTATCACTATCTTTACTAAACACTACTTTTTTCTTTTTTCTGTTCCTAGTCGAAGTACGCCTAGGTTTTTCTATAGGTGGTGGAGGTGACAGTGAACTCTCCCTTGAGTCCGTCGTTTGAGGTTCCTTTTTGGTACTCTTAGCTATCCGTTTGGAAGGTTCTTTTCTGACGCTCTCAGCTGCTCGTTTGGATGGCTCTTTCTTATTACTTTCGCTCACACCTTTAGATGGCTCTTTTTTCACGCTATCAACTACTCGTTTTGGGCGAACGTTAGTCTTCTTTTCAGGACTGACAACGGACGTGACGACACCTGGAACCACATCATTTTCATCCTTGACTGACGGTGACTCCTCCTTAAAAGCTTTCAAATCAGCAGCAAATAGAACCTATGCAATGAATGTCTAAGCAAAAAATATTCAACGTGTGTTTTGACCCACTGTATGTGCCCAACCGGCGTAAGGACCCCAAAGATCTCTGAACATTTTACCGACAGCTGCATAGATAGACGGAGACATAGCTGAACTCTGCGAAACCTTCCCTTTACATGATTTAACATAAGGACTCTTGAGGAATCCATAATCGCGTACGGCTATTTGCCAGACATGGGTATCAACTGGAATACTACTATGTTGATCGAGTGACATCAAAGCTACACAATCTGCAACTTTAGGACCAACACCCATCATTCGTGTAAGTTGTGGTATGACATTCTCGTAAGATTCTTTCCTAAGTGAATGAAGGTAAGTGAAAATATTTTCATCCGAACCATGCTCTTCAACTAGCATTTTAGCAACATTAGCAACATATTTGGCTCTATAACCAAATCCTAAAGTACGTAGTGTATCTTCTACATCTTCACCTGCGAGTTTTGAAGGTGGTGGGAATGGGTATCGACTGTATATTTCATCTAAATCACCAAGAGGTTCTGAAAAGGTTGTTGAAAGTTTAGTAATCATTTGCCTGTATAGTTGTCAAGTAAAGTAAAAGAGATACAACTCCAAAACCTACGATATCCGTGCTATATTGTTGTTTGATGAACATATAAAGCTAATGAGACATTCCCAAGGATCCTGACGAAGGATGAGTATACCATCAAACTTATTTGTATCCTTTATAGATTTGAAATGACGATCGCGTGCGCTCCAATCATCGTATAAATCAATAATACGCGTATCTAATTGAAAGTAATCGTGTATGAAGGACTTATCAGAGTCAAAATTTGATGGTATACTCCTAAAATCTAACTCTTTAACATTATCTTGTTTAAGTATGATAGTACGATCGTTTAAAGCTAGACTGAATTCGTTTGTTGTTGAATTATGCATCCACTAACGCGTTTATAAGCTGATAATAATAATAAAAACATAAGACGAACTCTAAAAGATTGACCACATTTTAATACTATTGATATATTTATATTGAAATCCTTTATTTTGTTATACTTCATTTATTAGCGACCAAGTCGATGGTTAGATTCAAAGTGCGTATATTTATAAATCTCAATATAATATTCATAAGATATTTTATAGAATAGGTGGATTATTGCAGAGATTATCTTTCCAGATAGCCCTCCATTTGAGGATTCTCCAAATACAGAGAAAAGATTAGATGGTAAACAGATATTACAATCTATACGGCGGAATATTGCACATAACTTTGGTGATCATGGTGCTGGTTCAGTAGCAAATTCCTTATCCTGTACGATTAGCACCATATGAGAAGACCACACTAATGAAGCACTATAGTGAAATACCACTCAGCTATAACTAGATTATGCATATTTCGAATAGCTAGAGAATACAAGGATATGTTACATGCTGCTCTCACCTTAACAACATCGCTCTCTGAATATGATGTATGCATCCGTGTATTACACGTTAGCGGTACAATACGTAAAGTGCAAGAAGCTGCGATAAGATATAATAGAGAAGCTATCTTAAATACGTCATCTGATACACAGGAAGAAGACTTAGATACATCAAAGAATGATATAATGGCAATTGAGAACTAACTTTAGTTTTAAAATAAGGATATTTATTAATACAACAACAATTATTCTCTTTCACGTGCAGTAGGTGACCTTGATCTATTCCTAAAAGAACCTCTTCCTATTATGTAAAATTAGCATAGAATATATATATTATAGTAAATACTAACTCTCAGCGCGTCTGGCATCACGTCTTGCTTCTCTTTCATCTTGTCTTCTAGCTCGTGGGTCAATTTGTTCTCCTGGTGGAGGACTCAATTTGGATGGTGCATCTTTATCTTCATATAAACTACTGCTAATATTGATATCATCAGTTTGCTGATCCCTTTCTGGTTGCTGTGATTTATATTCTCTATCTTGATCAGCCTCCTCTTGTTGTTTTCTACGTTGGATTGCGCGATTTTCAGAAATTTCTGCGATAATTCTCCTTAATTCGAAATAACCAAGATGCATCTTACCACCAAAGTGATCAGCTAAACGTCTATCACTATCCAAAATACTCAGGTATGCACCACAAATATCACAAACACGTAACTTTTGATGACCGGATGCACCTGAAGTTTCAGTGAGATCTGTTAATTCCTGTTCTTTGTTGATCTTTTCTTGTTTGAGTGCTTCTACTTTTTGTAATTCCTTCATAGATTCCTCAACTAAACCTGATTCACCGAGTTTTTCAACGTCAATCATAGCTTGATCCATAGCAGCTTGAATTTCACCAACTTCTCTCATCAAAGCCGTTGTTTTGTTATTTTCCTCTGGAGTCTTCTCTAAACGTTTGTGTGCAGTCCTAATACGTCTATCACACTCAGTAAGGAAGTTTCTAATGTTGTTCTCATATTCTCTATGGAATTCTGCATACTTTGAAGCGTTCTTTAATTGATCTTCTAAGAACTCTTTCTTCAATTTATCAGAATGAGATTTTGGACAAGGACCGAGATCCATTTTCTAAGGTAAGTTAGATATAGTGTATAAGATAAGAAAGTATACCTACTGTATTACTAAATAAATCGTGTGGACACAAGCCACAGAGGAAGTTCCTACAAACTTGTTGATCTGTGAAGTGTAGGTTTACTGATTTAAAACCCATGGCTTCCGCGCCCATGAGTTGCTTTTATTTGTTAGTGAATCGGTATATGATATAATATAGAACACTAACTTGAAGCAGTTTTCTTTGTACTTCAGCTATTTTACCCATTTCGTTGTCAAAAACCAAGAAGATCGTCTACTTAAATTCATAGAATAAAATATATTTTAAATTATTACAATCAAGTTCTTCCGTTCTTGATAATAGATGACTATATGCAGCTGTAGATAATGAGATTGATGTGTCATAAGATATTATGATTGAGATAAAGTATCTAACATTATGTAAAGATTTCTTATAACTTAGTGTTATATTGTCTATAAATTCAGCTAAAATGTCGTGTTAATCTCAACTAAAGTAGTAAATAAACACTCACTAAGTTGTATAAGTGAGAGATTATTCGAGAATTTATCTAAGAATACATAGTTATAACCTTTAAGAGTGTACCAATTATTGAAATGGCTAGATATCTGATTATTTATGTTGACTAGCTTATCTATCAACTTGGATAGACTATTGAGTGCATACTTGTAATTAATCAATTTAGATTCATAGGTAGCAACTTTATTAGATATAAACTTATAATTATATTCATCGATCTCTAATAACTCTAATTTGTTATTCAAAGTGTCATTTAACTCTAAATCATCTATAACTAGATTATATTCCTCTATATGAGCCAAGTAATCGAATAACAGCTTCTTAATTTGCCTTAAATTGAGATCATTTTTTATTTTAGACGGACTGCTAGATGGACTAGACGTTGATTTCTTATAAGTTGATTGTAATCTATTTGACATTATGTGGATTGTCAATTTACTACGCTTATCCTTATTGATTGCAATATATTTTATTAATCAAACTAATATAAAGATAGATGAGAATGCCTTACAATCAAACAATTTAAACTTAAAATTTAACAACAATTACGTCAAATTGTCCGATAATTATTCAAACAATTTAGAAACTCTTGACTTTATCAATTACAGCGATTTCATTTATGATACCCTCTATCAAAACAATTTGGAAGCTCACCATTATAAAAGCTCAATATATACCACCTTAAAAGCACCAAAATCGTCAAACAAAGAAGCCATTTTAATACATTCACCTTTCACATCTCAATTAGATAGCGATTTCAGTTTGAAGTATGACAACAGCAACGTCGTGAATGTTAGAGCAATCTCTACCCTGTTATCGTTATTAAAATACTTTAATAGTCAATCAATTTGGTCAAAAGACCTTTTATTCTTCTTTGGTGACGATTTAGATACCTTCTTATATGACTACATGAATGGTCATATCAATAGCATACCAAAGAATAATATATGGCTTGGTTATACTTTAGATTACCCTTCAGATAGTTTCAGTCATTTAGAAATTAACTATGTACATCCACTAATTCAACCAAATTTTGACGTAATTGCATCTTTATATTCAATTGCAAGACATAACAACATCGAGATACGTTCACCAGCTTTATTAGAAACATATAAGCAATCAATAATGGGTAACACGACTAGTAATTATCATTCAACCATGTTGAATTATAAAATAGACGCTATAACTATAAATTGTATACCAAACAATGGACCACATGGTTTCCTCAGTTTAGGAAGATTATTAGAAGGATACACAAGATCATTTAACAATCTAATTGAAAGGCTACATGCTTCCTTATCATTTTACTTATTTTTTGATAACAAACTTATAAAGTTATCAGATTATATCCCCATTATAATTATAGCATCACTTATCAACATAATTCAAGCATTTGAGAAGTTTGAAATATCGTCAAAGGATGCAATCACAATTACAATTGTTGGTTACGTCACGAACACGTTTTTAAATCCACAAATAAGTATAATTTTATCAACGTTTATATTAAGGTTTATAACGAATCGAACAAGTTATAAATTGTTGACAACTATGATAATGATTTACACATCTCTATATAACTTTTACGTTAGTTTATCTGTAGCACTTATATCCACATTAGTTTAAATATATTTTTATCTCTAAAACAAGACAGTTTGAGGTATTTAAAGAAACATACCGCAGAGGGTGGAGGTGCAAGTTAAACACCCGTAATCTAATAATTATCCACAGATTTAGTTCCGTGAAACATTTAATACAAAATAAGTTCCGTTGTTTTAGAATGCAGTCACGCAGTAATACATACGGCATGATATATAAAGTCTCACGGCATTAAACCAGGTATTTAGATATAAAAAAGTATGGATGACTATTTGATAATAATTCTTACGAGTATATTCTTATCTTGTATCATGTCAGCGATCAGTCTATATAGAAATTTACTCAGAGAATTCAGCAAAAGTGTGAGCGAGATTGCAAAATATAAACAAAAAATTAATAATTAATTAGACACCAAAAGGAGAGCGTAATGGTCAGATATTCGGCCATCTAAGAACTTTATTCATTTCTTCCACACACTCACAAGAAGATATGCAAAATATGGTAGAATTCCTTAAAGCATCTAGAAACCACAAAGATCTCCTTAAACGCTACAATCCACTATCAGATCAGACTCCTGAGGAGAGAGTCAAAGCCACCGCACGTAGAGTTGGTTTAGATGTACCAAAGACTGTATAATATGAATGTTTAAATAATTGCTTGCATTTACTTATACAAAATATCAAATTATATTGGTTGTTGGAAATTTAAAGAGAGCTTTTTAAAGTTAAACATCAACTCATCCCGAAGTAGATGTTTTCACTCAACCTGAGCGAATGAATCCCAAATTTAAACGTATATGAAAAGTAGAAATTTCACTTTGTCATGCCATGAATGTCAATCGCAAGAGCAGATGGATATCCAACTCTTTCAATGTGTGAGTGTTCGTCGAAATCTGACTCAATATCCAAAGTCATTGGCAAATCCTGATGTTGATGTTGATTATTATTATGATGTTGGCTTGTATACTTTGATGGCTTGAATATCTGTGTCAATTTCGAGAACGTTGATGATTTTGGAGAACTGAACTTCGCATCATTTGGTGATGCAGGTGGTGTTGACAATGGCGTTAATAAACTCTCTGGGTGTTTACTAGTGTATGAGCTACCAGTGTCATTTGAATCGCAGGATGAATCTGATGAATCAACAGGAATCACTACCTTTTTCAAATTCGGCTTTCTTTCAACTTTCCTCAAATGATGTATATTAGTTTCTTTTGGTGGTGTAGTGGGAGGCGTCAGTGGGAGCTTATCATTCTTGTGTAGCCTCTGCCTGACTCGAATTCTATCCTTTTTTGGTGATCCTTCCTCTTTAGCGATTGGTGGTGGTGGTGATGTTACAGCCTCAGCTTGTGCTTTCTGTTGTAACTCTTGTTGTCTTGTTGCATTAGCTGTAGCTGCGGCATTAGCCGTAGCGGCAGCGGCTTGTCTTGCTGCTTTGTGTGCATGCTTCAATTGCATTGGGGTCAAGGTGAACCTCTCAACTTGTAATATTCTATTCTTCAATTCATCAAGACTGCACCGTTGGAGTGGGTCAATGGTGAAAATTCTCTTTAGTATTTGGTTTGTAACTTCAGAGATTGGAAGTATAGTTTTTAAGAAATCCGGTTCACGAAGGTATGCTGAGAATGTTTCGTCTGTTAAACTTGCCTCTTTCCATGGATTACGACCACATGTAAGATTGACAAGTATAACACCAAGCGACCAAATATCGTTACGCTTTGTGCAGTAAGGTACTTTACGATGTGTAAGTGCACCATGACAATCTACGGATATGTTAGTCAATTAAGTCACTTTCCAAATCCGAACAAACGCACCTGGACTCATGTAGAAGCTAGAACCGCAGCCAAAATCACCAGAACGTCTATCAGATGTAGCCAATCCGAAATCAGCTAAGAGAACGCTATCACCATCTTGTGTACAGAGAATATTTTCAGGTTTGAGATCGCGATGGTAGATACCAAGTCTGTGGCAATGTTGCACAGCATCTACGATTTGTAAAAATACATGCTTAATGAGTTCGTCGTTATCGATATACTTGAAACGCTCCGTGATCATAGAGAAAAGATCACCGTCTTGTGCGTATTCGAGAACAACAAAAATAGTTGCAGGGCTGTCGATAATAGCATGTACTGTAGCAATTTGAGGATGTGAACATGCTAAACCATGGAGTGCTATTTCCCTCCTCTGGAATGCCTTCTGGCGTTCATCTAAACCAAACTTAGGTAGGCACTTAACCGCATAGAATTCATCCAATGGCCTGTAATAATCATCTAGTCTCTCTGCGAGTAGTACAGTACCATAGGCACCTGTCCCTATTGTCTTGACGAACTTGAGCTTGATACGGCCATCGTCTAGTGTGGAATGTATCAGCGATTGGGCTTGCTGTACATGCTGTGGATAGCTTGACATTATTTTTTACTTGGTCACAGTTCAAGTTGGGGGAATTTTCTTTTGATTATTTGCGCAAGATCGAAGTGTGTGAACGGCTAGTAAGACGGCGTGTCTAGTCCACCTGATGATATCATGGCTAGAATTCATAAAACGACTTTCCAAAAAAGGCAACCTACATTTACTAAATACGTATTCGGCGAGTAAGGCATGAGTTTAGCTTAAATTTGCTTCCTTATGGCTACATGCACCTTTTTAAAAATTTTTCTCGTCCAACTAAAACATTAATTAGGCACGCGGATCATCAGCGGCGTTAAGGCTAGGGAAGTGCGAATAATAAAATAAATTAAAACGTCATAAAGTACATTATCTGTATAGTCAAATATCATGAGTCTCTTCTGTTTTGTTCATACTGCATATTCATATGCACTCGCCGGTTGCAAAATCAATATTGGATAGTTACTCGGCATAATGGCATGATCCAAAACAATCTTCATTAACAGATGAAATCATTTCAAACTCTTACATCTTTCGTGATAGATATTGTATACGCTATCTTCATCTTTGTAATAACCTGGTAGAACATCTTGTACGACATCTTTGTCTATCATCAAAGTCAAATGGTTCTGCTTGGCGACGGGCTTGGGTCTATGAGGCAAATGATTCAAATATGCCAATGAGCTCCTTGTATCTGGCTCAAATGACCACCTATGAGTATTTTCTTCCGATAGTGGCGAGTCACCATCGTCGTTAACACTATAAGATATTAAATAAGGGACCTTATTTATACCCAAACCCACTATTCTAACTTTTCGCTGAAACGTACGCCTTTACTTACATTACCATCTTTGTTCATAAGCTGGCTGAAATCTCTATCAAACCAGGAACTCGAGTTATTGAAGAAAGAGCTACCACTAGAGCGACTAGAATTGTATGAAGTCCTTCGCTGTCTGTTGTGCCTTGTAAATATTTCACATTTAATAAAGAGACCTCCACCTACTTGTCTTCGACAGAAGAGGAAGGTGCATGATTCGGACTTGTCTGGTTGTAGTCTATACTCTCCTCATCTGCATAGTCCGCCGCTTTTCGCCTAATTTGCCAGCAAATTACGACGATAAACACAATAACAGCTAGTGCACCAGTAGCTATCACGCTACCGAATACAATAGTCTTAGTATCCTCTTTCGTAGATCTTCTAGTCAGCATTGTCTATTTCTAAGAAGGGAACGTCAAACATCTTAATCACTGCCATTACATTCCGAGCCCGATCCCTGGCAGGCAGGCAGACTGCGAGATAACTAGGGTAATAACTAAATAAACTATAGATATAGATACAAAAGACATGCTACTAAGTTAGGAATGTTGGTCGCTAGAGTGACTAATTGGGCGTCGTAAAGCCAAACCCAGTAGCCAAAAAATACGATCTTTTATCTTAGTTCTAGGAGTAAACAAGGTTTGATTTAATCAAAACCTCTAGATATATTTCCATATGAACATGATTGAGAAATTGAAAGAGAAGACGTCTCCAAAATTCGCATTTTATTCACGACAATGTTAAGAAATTTATCGAAACTAAATAATAGACAATTTTTTAGAAATAATAGAAATTATACGCATTATTTTACAACTCCTATTTTCTACGTAAATGCAGATCCTCATATTGGTCATTTATACTCTATCGTCGTCACAGACGCTTTAGCGCGCTATAGTAAACTAGCTAATCCTAATGATGAAGTTGTTTATTCCACTGGTACAGATGAGCACGGTATGAAGGTTCAACAGGCTGCTGCTGGTCTGAATACGACGCCAAAAGAACTTTGTGATAGGATTAGCGGTAAATTCAGAGTGAGAAGAGTGTAAAGTGGTACATCTTTTATTAATGAGAGTATAGGATTTAGCCAAGGCTGCACTATCTTCTCATACCGATTACATTCGCACTACAGATGATCAACACGTAGAGACAGTTCACAATTTATGGGTAAGTATTACCTTAAAGTGATATCAATAAGTAACAATATATTAGAATACCTTATTAGCGAATGGATATATATATAAAGGCGTACACGAAGGCTGGTACGCAGTATCAGACGAAGCATTCTATCCAGAAAGCGGGATAAAAGAAATGTTTGACAACTCCACAGGCGAAACCTACAAAGTCTCAATAGAAACTGGTAAACGTGTCGATTGGATGTCTGAAACAAATTACAAATTCAAATTAGCTGCATTTCGATTACGATTGATCGAATGGCTCGAAAATAATCCGGAAGCGATACAACCGCGGACTCAATACAATGCCGTACTCGGCGCGTTACGAAATGAGGAGGCTGCAGCTAGCGATCTCAGTGTCTCGCGGCCACGCAGTCGGCTTGAATGGGGAATAAACGTTCCGGGAGACCCCGAGCATACGATTTATGTATGGGTAGATGCTCTTGCAAATTACCTCTCCGTTGCCTCCCGACACAACGCTTGGCCAGCTGATGTACACGTAGTTGGTAAGGATATCATCAGATTCCATGCTGTATATTGGCCAGCATTACTTCTCGCCTCAAACAACAGTCTCCCTCGTACTATTCTCAGTCATGCTCACTGGACTATGAATGGTAGTAAGATGTCAAAATCGACAGGAAATGTTGTCGATCCATTTGAGGTGATCAATAAATATTCAGCAGATGTTATACGCTATTACCTCTTAAGAGTTGGTGGCAACCTTAGCAATGATGCTGATTTCAAACCAAATGAACTTGATCTTAAGTATAAGTCGACTCTGCAAGCTATGCTTGGTAATCTACTTTCTAGGATCAGCGGTAAAAAGATAGTAAAGAGAGTAGAGAGCGCCCAGCAATATGGCCTATCGATTGATCCAACTGATAGCGAGAAAGCGCTTTACGAAAAACTCAAAGTGCTGGCTTCGAAGTACAGCGCGTCAATGGAGCGTTTTGAGCTTGGAAAAGCACTTGAAGTCATAGAGGATACCCTGCATGAGGTACGTTAGTTCCCCCCATCGTTTCCTCAACTTACGCAATACCCAGGCTAACAGATACTTCACCAAACTCGAACCATGGTCAGACAAGACTCCAATTGAGGAGTGTGCTAAAGGCGTGCTCTATGCACGCGAAACTCTTAGGATAGTTGGTATACTTCTCCAACCAATCATGCCTGAAAAGAGTAGAGAGTTGCTTGACAGACTGGGTCTTGAACAGTCGGTGCGAAACTTAGTAGACGCCGAACTCAATCTTAGTCTCACTCAATCATTACAAATCAAGCCATCCAGAAATGTATTATTCCCACCGCTCATTGCATAATTCTATAGATTTTGTATTACCAAACCATCCGGAAAGTAGATTAAAACTTAGCTGTGATTAATTATAAGCAAAATTAGGCTATATCTTTTTAAGAGCACTATAGAGAGTTCTTGCTGGGTTGATATTGATACCAAATTGTTGAATGAGGTATGTTGTATGAAAAGCGGCCGATTGCTTGAAAGTATCATCTTTCCGGGATATCAAAAGGGATTATTGAGTACGTCATCACACCTTGAGATGTTGTTCTAACCTTAACTGAAGTGTTCCTGCTTCTTATCGTTCCTGCTGTAATGAACCTAGATATTCATTCAACATCTACCTGGATATGGCGTTATTTACTAACAGCATTTCTATGTGATGTATAGCTATGCTATCACTAGTTTTACCAGCAAACTTTATTTCTGACGCACTTCGCTCGTTCTCGATTTGTCTGAACAAACAAAGAAACCATTATAGACAGAAATGTGTAAATAATAAATCATTATATATTATAGTAAGTCATACATATAAAGATATCCAAGAAGAAGAGTTCAAAATACTTAAGTTAGGTCAATTTAGCTGATCGTTATTTTCTTAGCACCCTCAGCATCTTTCTTTGGGTAATTGAGTGTTAAGACACCATCATTGAGACTAGCTTTGATATCTTCATGAGTTAATTCTGGTGGGACAGCCCAAGAACGCGAAAATTCGCCAAAGTGTCTCTCACGAATATGCCAGTTTCTATCGTCTTGAACAGTTTCCTGTTTCTGAGAGGCCTTTACGTTCAGAAGACCCTTATCGAGTGAGATGTCGACGTCTTCTTTCTTCAAACCTGGTAAATTGAGCTGAGCGAGGTATCCATTGTCAACTTCTTGGACATCAAGTCTGAATATTGTCAGAAAGAATTCTCAAAAATCGAATGTCACTCACGATGGTCTAAACAATGAGGATTGTCCTCTTAATACGTTGCCACCCTCTTTGTTGCTATGTGGACGACGAATAATCGGAGTGAAGAAGCTGTCAAAATCTGAGAGCTCTGCGAAAAATGGATCGTTGCGTATGATAGACATTGTACTTCGTTGATTAATTAAGCTTTCGTTTGATGATGGTTGGTTATTTCCAAGTGCCGTTCTTTTATATACGAAGTGTATCTTTGTCTAGAAAATTCTAGTTACTTCTGAGATTATCGACTTGAAAGTGAAGAAATTGAACGTCAGTATATTCTAGAGCTTTCATGAACATCATTTATCAAGGTATCAGGCTGAATCTACATTTCTGTTTCATATACATGGTAACGTTGCTATGATACAAAATAGACCAATATAAAGTAAAGCAAGAGACATAATATGGAAAACTGATCGGGTGGTATTGCATTATTATGTTATTGGTCATAGGTCACCATTAAACGGGGCCCTTCTTGTCTACCAAATAAACTTATTTGCACATCACCGTACCCTTCTAAGGTTCACCTAGTCGAGCTGCGTGTATAAAGAAACATATAAGCATGTGTATGCGGTAGAGAAAGCTATCGTCTTGTTATTGACTGCCTTGTGTTACGATACTAAGTAAAGGGGTATTCATTTGGAAAACAAATCGAGTTCCACGTCTAAACATGGATATGTGAGCATCTTACAAAGCCTTTTATTCTGTTAAGATAATAAGCCGATACTCTCTTCATAAAAATTAGATGTGTTGTTCATCATTGACTGATGTTTTGTTTGATTGATTTAAGCTCCTATCCGAATATTGAGCAATTAAAGAGTAAAATCGATCTATTACGTGTAAACTTTAAGCTTCCAAAATGTAGCGATTTCCTTGTATAAAAACACTTAAACATAAAATGTTGTGATGACTTAACTTTAATGAAACCATGTTAACAAACAAAAAATTTTAAACTTTCAGATTGGATGGAATCATTTTTTCATTGAAATAGGTCTAAACATATATCAATTTTCTGCTTCTTTTTGTATATGTCCATCGAAAGCGTTTCAAGAAGCATGCGACTTCGGTATTATGCCATCTCAGTGACATCTAACAGAAAACAAAGCTTAGAAAAGCGAAATTATAAATTTACATAGAAGCAATCAAAACTTTATCCTTACAATTTGGTTCGTCGCGTTTCCTCCAAATATGAGTGAGTGAATATTCATTGAGTTAGAATCTAGTGGCAACACCTATAGCCAGCCATATAGCTACTAACCATGTTGCAATATCGCTTAAGTTCAAAGCTAGCTTTCATTTCGCTATTTACTGTTCGATAATTTTGTCGGTAGAATGTTTCGGTCGACTCTGATTGAAAATTATGTTTAAGATTAGCTGTCAATGTTGTTCACTTGAAATTGTGGTTACTGTGCATATAAAATATAAGTGTGTATTTTTGCTGATGGGATGTATTGCTATTGACAATAGGCATTAATATGCTTAAAGGTACATTTGAAACTTTGATTGTCCTACAAACCTTTCTACTATCAGCCCATAAAAGTGTAAGACGTTCTTCATTACGATAGAATATTTCATACACCTCTTTAGTATAATTTGGTTTGGATGATCCATTGTCCTCAATGAAGTCTGTCCAATATTGTTCAACGTGATGTAAATTATCTTTCTCAATACAATTAGGCATATAGCCCATTTTCTTTGTCATCCAGTGCACGAAATTATTTGACTCGATAAAAAATGTCGCCAACTTGGGGAAAATTTGCCTTCTGTCTCTAAGCAATGAGGGAGGTGCTACGAATGAAACTGTGTCCATCATCAGTGCTTTCAATGTGCGAAAACGTAAATTCGATTTAAGGGCAGAGCGTAAACTTTGTGGACCAATTTTCAACATTTCTAACCGAGGGAGTTTCGATATCAAGCGGAGATGATCTTGTAAATCGCTATCGAAGTATGTATATGTACTTATTGAAACAGATCTAACAAGAAATTAGTTAAGTATTCTCGATTTTAGTCTAGTGACGTACACGATGCTGTTAGCAATTGGACGTTCCAGAATGTAATACAAAAGCCCAGTAAATACAGAAGACTCATTGGCTGTCATGCCTCTTTGATTACCATTACTTCTCGGACCATTGAGATGTAATCTTATGAGAGGCAGTCTGATTGAGTTGTATAAAGCACAGCAAGTTAAACGTAAGTTAAAGTGATCGCAACTATCAGAGAAAACTCGTTATTACTTCTAACACTTCAGGAGGTAAATCCTGGATGTTTGTAGTTACTTTCGGTTTGTTCGGCATGGCAGTGGCAAACGAAAGAACTAAACTCAACTACACAAATGAACTTAAAACACATCAAACATCTATATAATAACCCAGTTATTATAAATAGTGTACAGTAAAATGGCCTCAGAAAGCACTCCAAATCCCTCACGACAAACCACACCAAATGTTGGAAGCAACACCGGCGTATAGGTAAGCGTGCACGTCATCGAGAGGCTGGTAGTAAACTACCCCCTCATAGTTCTCGGTGGGAAGGGAAGGAGGCTGTCAGTCATCTTCGAGCCAATGATAAAGTGGCAGAATTAAATCTGCAGAGACTGGATACGTCCTATAGAATATGATCCTTTGGAGTACCTGCGTGGATGGTAAGTATTTATTATACCGCCTGAGCTCTTCACTAACCGTCTTAAAGAAACAAAACACAAGTCGCTCAGTTTTTATACCATCTAACCCTAGCACGAAAATAAAATCAGAAGTACGATGTGCTATTATAAAAGTGTACTATTTTTGCGTGGAAAGCTGATACTATCTGTGACTAGTGAAAAGCATAACCATCTCTAGCCTATGTGGTTTAAAATTTTCAACACAACTATACTAACAAATAACAATACATTTACATATACAATAAAACAAATACATAATCTATTACTGAGCAGCGGTGACAAGACCACCCTCATCGACGATACCGACGACTTCAGCACCCTCTTCGTTCTCTGGATCACGACCACCTGGACCTCTCGATTGTTTGCGCTTGGCAGATGCACCGCTGAGGGATGGTCTACGTCCGCGATGTTCTTCATCCGGATTGACGACTTCCTCTTCACCATCGACGACCTCATCCTTCTTCACCGCGCTATCTGTGACTGGCTCTGGTACGCGTATCTCTGGCGGTGGACCGCTGAAATCAACGCCAATGAATTTACCATATTCAATCATATCGAATGGTTTTCGATTCTTTAGTGCGTACGTTATCAGGTCGCTGTTGTACTTCTCTTCACGGGTGAATTTCGCTTTGATAACCCTCCGGGTGCGTCCTTTGAAAAGTGTGGCGATCATTTCGAAGTCTGTTCCAAATCTGCTAAGTGCCTGTCATCGTTAATTACATATCTAGAAATCTAATATATCACCCACATCGTAGAACATCTCAGTCTCAAGCCTGGTCCATCTATCATGGCTGCCTCTACCTCTGCCTCGCCAGGTGTTCGTGTTGACAAACCTGTCACTATCGAGTTCATCTGTGACTTCATACCCCGAAGTGTCATTGCGTGAGTTTGCTGATCTGTCGTACAAAAGCGACTGCTCATCGACTACAAGTTGACCATCGACAACCCTCATTTGAGGACCCTGCTGTTCCTTCTCGTCATCGTCATCATCATCTGACGAAGAAGATTCTTCTTCCTGATCACCCTCGACTTCCTCAGCGCCTTCTTCAACACCCTCCTCAGCCTTCTTTTGCTCTTTGAGGCGCTTCTTCTCAGCTTTCCTGTCCTCTTTCTTCTTTCGCTTGGCTTCTTCCTGCTCCTTCTTAATCCTCTCTTCGTCTTCCGCTGTACGTCTGCGACCGGTACCATCATCACCCCCATCCAAATTGAGCTCCTCCTCTGTCATGTATTTCAATTTCGCTTTCTGCTCTCTCCGTCTGAGCTTCATTTCAGCGTGTTTCTTGGCGACGTCTATGACTCTGCTACTGAGTCTACCGACACCTGGATCATGTATGAGGTCTGCCATTTTGAATGTAGATGTGTCTATAGGTTCAGCTGTTGGGTCCTCACTCCAGATCTCCTCGATCGGTCTTCTTTTCATTTTGAGTTTCTGGGTGCGTAGTTGTCTGGCTGATAACTTCTTGTTCTGAGGGCTTCCCCCAGGAGTACTCAACTGATCGACACCCTCGCCCTCAGGACTATCACCCTTATCGTTCTTCTCCTTCACATGTTTTTCTTCCGGATTTGCAGGCGCTGCTGGTGTAGAAGCCTCTGCTGAGGTACTAGCTACTGCCTGTGAAGCCCTCGTCTGCAATGGCGCGTGTGCAGCCCTGGTAGTGAGTGGCCTAGCGGTGGGTGCGGACTGAGAAGCGCGTGTATTGAGTGGCTGGTGAGACTGCTGCGATTGTTGGAAACGCTGATTAAACGATAACGGCTGAGCACTACGCCCTGGCATGACCGGAAGTGGTGCGTTTTTCTGCTGTGATTGCTTCGACTGCTGGGAAGGTTCAGGGGTAGCAATGCCAATAGCAACAGCTTGTTTCTTCTGAGCAGGTGCAGCTTCCTCAGTATTCTCAACTGCTGCACGCTTGTTGTTCTCCTGGGTTACGGGAGGCGTTGGGGGCACATCTTTTCTGTTATTCAACGTATCAGCCGATGTCTTATTCAATTCACTATTTTCCCCTGCTGTTACGTTCTCTTGTGTAGATGCCGGCGTCGGCTGTTGTGCTACTTTCCTAGGTTTTCTATTGCCAACTTTTGCTTGGAACTTTGTCGTACCCTTGTCTATAGAAAGTTAGACTAGAATTTACTAGCGATTTCACTTACTAATCCTTCCACTCATCGTTGTTTTTTTAAAGAAGGCGTCATCGAGCGACTATCAACTTCGGATGCTGAAAATAGCAAGAATAGCGAGAAATCAACTAAATAAGCAACAATTCGTTAGATGCACTAGTTCTTCTATTCCACGCACCCATCCAGACGCTCCTTCCTTCCCTTGCGTCGATGCTAACGAATCGAGAGCTGCAAAGTTGGCCTCACAGACCAATAAACTGCCATTCATGCGCAGCGTCAAGATAGAAGACGTAGAAGGTGAAGGTCCAGAACCTGTCTATGCTACACCTACACCAGCCACTTATCAGACATTCACATCCGACGATCCTTTGTTGTTAGATTTCGGAGGTGTGCTCCCACGATTCGACATAGCATATGAAACATGGGGTACTCTCAACAGTGACAAATCCAACGCAATCCTTCTACACACAGGTTTGAGTGCATCCTCACACGCGAAATCGCATCCAGGGAATGAGACACCCGGCTGGTGGGAGAAATTCATCGGCCCTGGTCCGGAATTCGCCATAGATACTAATAGATTCTTTGTAATCTGTACTAACGTTCTCGGTGGGTGTTATGGATCGACAGGCCCATCATCACCTCATCCAGATGACAACAAACCGTATGGTACTCGTTTCCCAATTGTCACACAGTTCGATATGGTTAGAGCACAGTGGAGATTGATCGACAGTCTTGGTATTGACAAGCTGTACGCCTCTGCAGGTTGTTCTATGGGAGGTATGCAATCCATAGCTGCTGCCCATCTTGAACCAGAACGCGTTGGATCTATAATAAGCATCTCTGGTACTGCTAGATCTGGTTCTACCGCCGTGGCTATGCGTTTCGCTCAGAGGAGCTGTCTCATGTCCGATCCAAATTGGAATAGAGGTTTTTATTACGATGGTCTGCCACCACACACGGGTATGAAAATGGCCAGACAGATTGCAACAATCACATACAGATCTGGCCCTGAATGGGAGCAAAGATTTGGTAGGAAGAGGAGAGTTACACCTTTATCCGAGGAAGAAATGGCAACAAATGTCAATAATCCAGGCGACGCACCAAAATTGTGTCCAGATTTCCTCATAGAGACCTACTTGGACCATCAGGTGCGTCTGGGATAAGCAAAAAAAGACGAAAACAACTAACGAAAGATCTAAGGGAGAGCAATTTTGCTTGAAATATGATGCTAATTCACTCATATATGTCTCCAAAGCGATGGATTTGTTTGACATGACGAAACCAGCTTTGATGGATATCCATGAGCGTCGTCTGAGGAACGCACATCTCATCGATAAGAAACTATTAGGATCAACGACGTCACACTCTATGGAACCACCATCACTCGACAGTGTTAAAATCAAAAACCTCAAGCCATACATCTCCACAGCACCTACCGTACCATACGCCCAAGATTTGACAGAGGGGCTGACACGATTGTCTAAGATACCAGTGCTCATTATAGGTGTACACAGTGACATTCTCTTCCCATTCGACCAGCAGAGGGAGTTAGCTGACAGTCTGAGGAAGTCTGGTGATCCCGAGCGTGTCAAGTTTTTCGCTTTGGATGGACCTTGGGGACATGATACGTTCTTGTGAGTATTCTAACAACATAGTTGAAAATGCTAATGGAATAAATAGGATCGATACATCTAACGTTGGTGGTGCAATTAGAGGATTCTTAATCTGATGTCTTGTTATGTTGTAATTTTTCACGCTTATAATCCTGAACTTGCGAATAAGGCTGAGAGTTCGTCGATCTCACTTGATAGCTGCTTGATGGAGTTATCCTGTGGCCAACTGGCAACCAATGTCTCTAATGTGATTTCCTCATGATTGTATCCGTCGATAAGGTCGCGTTTCTGGTTGGAAGTTGAGTGAATATAGAACTTTAAAAGAGGAATCCACCTACTTCCAAATGAACTTGCTGGTAGTTCCCAAATTCGGTCGACAACTTGTCAAGATGTGGTCCAGCATCCAACTCGAAGAACAAATCCATCATGCGTTGTATAAGGTTATCGTTTTGTACCAAATTGTCTTGTATACGTGGTATAGAACCCTCTAACTCGGCTTGAAGCTGCGTTGCAGAGGAATTATACTGACTCTCGTCAAACGAAGCAGCGTGTTGCTGGAGACTTTGCAGTTGCTGTCCGAGATTTCTGATAGCTGTGAGGAGAACATTCACATTCTCGTCGTTTTTGTCTATTTGTTTTACGATATTATGCAGTCTGTCCATATCGCAGTAAGGGTAAGAGAATGCTTAGTGAGTAATACACACGTTTATACGAATGACATATGTCTATCAAATAATGAAACACATCCAAAGTATCCACTTTACGCGTTTAAGTTTGGCTGAGCTATGGCATTTATACGGGGAACGCACGTAGTGAGGGGTATATAGAAAGTGCACAAGTAATTCTGTAGCTAATATGCACTTCTGCTGCTACACATAGGCGTCCTGTTTGTTTATTAGAATACCCCAGATCGGGAATATGAAATCACGCTTTCTTCATATCTATCAACACCGAATTACTAAAGCTGTGGGGGAGAGTCAGAATATGACAGACTACAAACTCCTAGCACAGGTATATTTCCTTGGGGGTATCACTTTCCTCCCGCTTCTCGCCATCTTGTCGATATCATTCTTTATGCTTTTGGCACCACGGGATAAAAATGAGACCAAGAAATTGCCTAAAAACCCTAACCAAGATGCTAAAGTATCAAAGTCTGGCTGGTTGCATATTAAGCGTGACTTCGAAGTTGATCCCACGCTATCAGTCGATGAATCCTACACATCGATGATCATCGCAGGATACAGATCCTGGGTTGAGCATAAAGACGTACAACACCGTCCGCGTCCTAAAGCCCGCCATATGTTCTGGGCCGTCCTCAAAGCAAGGACGCTGTACGTCTACCAAGATGAAAGCTGTGACGAAATCGTCATAGCACTAAATATGGAATCTATCAATGTTGATATACATCCAGAAGGACTTCTAGATGCTGAGCTATTCACGAAACGTACCGCCATTAAACTCACTATCGATTACGACCAGGGTGTCTTACTCGACGAGAAAGAAAAGGAAAGCAGCAACGGCGAGAGTGGAGACGTTTTAGATGTCACCAACAAAGTGAAGCCATTTTACATTCATGCCATGGGTCTCGTAGAGTATGAAGGTCTGTTGTGGTTTTTATTGTGAAATTCTTACTAAACTGTACGCTAGATTGGTACCACGCTCTCAATCTCGCTAAAGATCCTACGAGCAATCCTTACACAGAACCTTCACCTGCATTTATAATTGAAGATATGAAGAGACTCGTAAACAATATCGATAATGACCCAGATCCAATACCCACACGCTGGTTTAATGCACTCCTTGGAAGGTATTTCTTCGCTATTTATCGCACACAATGGCTGGAAGACTGGATTATCGGACGTATAATGAAAAAGCTGAAAGTTGTGAAGAGACCAAAGTTCTTAACCAATATTATGGTTACAGAGGCAAATTTAGGGGATATGCCACCTACTTTCTCCAAACCAGTTCTTAAGGAGTTGACGAAAGAAGGTGATGCGTCAGTTGAAGTTCATGTCTCCTTCAAAGGATGCGTCAAAATCACACTTACAGCGACAGCCACGTTAAACCTAGGTAATCGTCTTAAAAGTTACTCCGTTGATCTCGTTTTGGCAGTTGTCTTAAGGAGTTTGGAAGGAAATATGATAATCAAGATGAAGAAACCACCTTCAAATAGAATATGGTATGGATTCACAGAGATGCCCGAGATGGAACTCGACGTGGAGCCAGTCGTAGAAGATCGTAAGGTCAAATGGAATATGGTATTGTCTACAATTAAAGACAAGCTAAGAGAGATGGTGAGAAATGTTCCTTAATCCTAAAATAATTAACATATCCCTCTAGATACAAGAAGGGTTGGTATTACCATCGATGGATGATATTGCCTTCTTTGACACAACTAACGAAATACATCGTGGAGGTATATACGCTGAAACAACAAGACTTCCAGGCACCAAGCAGCCGCAAAACAGACCACCATCGATTAAGGAACGTGATCAGGAATTATTAGAGCATGGTGATAAGAAAGAATCTACAGCACCACAAACACTGGATGGGACTGACTTACCATCCGGCCTCCCGGGTATAAATCTAGAAAGCTACGAGAAGGAAAGCCGAGAAGATAAATATGAAGAACCCCCATCAACAACATCAACGGGAAGCACATCATCGAAGACTAAATCATGGTTTAATGAGAAATTCAACAAGGAGAGTTGGCTTGAGAATCTAAAAAACAATCACCACCATCATCATCCCACGCAGTCGTCACTTGCAGATGGATCTGCATCTCTAATCGGCAAGCATCTTAAGAAGAAGAAGAGTGGTGAGGTGAGCGTGACACAGAGCGACGTCATTCCATCGCCTTCTGCTAAGAGCGAGAAAAGTGACAAACTATCTGTCAAGAGTGAGACCAATGTGCCAGCGGCAGCAAGTACGAGTTCATCGCCTAGCTCCTATTCAGTCTCTTCGAAGGAGAGCGTGAACACGAGCACACCATCATCAACAATAGACGCGATCAAGGCGTCGCCTAAAGTGATACAAGCTAAAGATGCATTCAAGAAGCTGAACAAGAAGACGAAGAGCAACACATCACTCAAGAAAGACAAGAAAATCAAACATCAGAGATCACAAGAACAGGTTATCGACCCAAATGAGGTACCAAAACTCAAACCAGCCGAGAAACTAAACGAGAGGATGCAAATATCGCGTAGTCAGCCAGTCGTCGGGCTCAATCTTTCGAATGAGACGGGAGAGGAGAGCAACGAATCGAGAAGGCGGTCGAGTGTGACGACACCTCCTAAGGCATCACCAATGATGGCTATACCTGGTATACCAAATGAACGCAAATCTCAATCGAATAGCTCACTTCAATCAATGGAATCGCCACCAGGATCAATCTATAGGGCATTTTCTAGTCCACGAACAAGCCATAACGTCACTTCAAGCGTCGACAGTAACAATTCGATGAATGAGGAAATAAATGCTAGTCTATCAAGTTCGCCAATTAGTAACAGAAGCAGCAATAGTCGAACGGAGCAGTTGTTGTCACGAATAAGGACACTCGACCAAGCTAATAGGACAGAAGATAAGGATAAAGATGATTAGATTGTTTACTTTGATGATTTTTTACTTTTCTTTGACTTCATTGGCTTTGTTGGGTGACTATCCGACGATCGTTTGTTCTTATCTGTACGGACATTACTTTCATTATTATTGTCATTATTATTGTCATTATTATTGTCATTACTACTTTCATTATTGAGATTATTGTCGCTAGTTGTAGACTTCTGTTGGAACTGCAAAGCAGCTTTAATGAACCTGTCTGCAGCTGGTTTGTCTATGGACTGTTGTGACTGCTGTTTCTGTTCTGAATGCTTTATCTTGCCGAACTGAAGCTTTATCCTATTCAGCTCTTGTATGATAGGGTGTGCGGTTGTGTCTATACCTCTAACGTTTAATAGAATATAAACTAGATCCTGTATAAAGTAAGCTAAATTTGCTTGTATTTCTGCCTGCTTTATTGGTTCAAGACGACCTAAAGTTTCTTCCAATGAATTTCCATCTGTTAGTTCATTTAGATGTTTATTAAATTCTTCTAATTTTATCTTGAATTCCTGATAAAATTCCATCTTGATAGTAAACGAAGAAGATGGTGAGTAGAGAGTAGTATATTATATTTATTTAACGATAAACACAGTCAGATAATCTCAACTATATACAAAATCAACAATTAGAGAGATGTAAGCTCTTGTTATCAGCTATTTCGGCTATCTAACCCCTCTAGTACACGCAAGATATACAGGAACAGGTTCGTTGATTATCTATCTATCACATATCTAACAGATTACAAGGACATCCAGATATCTCCAAACAGTGGGTCTATCTATCCTTTCATAGCCTATTCTAACGTACTTAGTGAATGGGTGACGAACCAACAGAGAGACACGCTATCATCTATAGTAGGACACCCAACGTTGTCTAGCTACATGTCAATTGCAGATGGTCAATCAATCTCACGCACAAAATTCAATATGATAGAAGTCAGTATGAGACTATACCTCGGAATATCTCTAATTAAGGCTCTACAGGCTATGATATCTCCTGCTGGACCACCACCAGAGAAGGAGGATTAAATATTTTTTTATTTATTTGTACTTTTACCAAAAATAGTTAAATTTTCTCTAATACGCGTATGAATCCGCGTTTAGTCACTTCGACTTATATCATCATCAACGAAATTAAAAATGGCGGCTACATCGACTAGCCATAACAATAACTTTAATTTGCTATTACCGCCATTAGAGGATGAGGATATTGATGAGCCGCCGGCATCAGCTCCATTACCAACTAATCACTCGAGAAAGAAACCACGCTTGGAAGTTAGTAGCGGCCAATTTAGATGTATAACAGGCTAACAATACTCTATAGAAACAATCCTCTTTATCTAAAACTCAACCTATTGATCAAGAACTCAAACATAAAGATAAACACCGGAATCAGAAAAGTAGTACACTTAAAGACACTAAATCCTCTCAAACGCGCAAGCATAATGCTAGTAGTAAAGAGCCTCCCGCAAAAGTTCCAAAAGAAGCGCGTAAATCGCAGAAATCGTCTATAAATGGTCAGGTGTCCACCAGCAAGGAAGCGCATCGCACAGAGGTACTTCCCCCTCCTCAGAAAGTAGTCGCTCCATCAAAGATACCAAAACCTTTTAAAATCCCCGAAAACCCTCATACGAACATCACCACAACTCCTATGAAACCCCGTCAACCACAAATATCGAAACACGTTGATATTTCAGCTCCCATGCCAATAGCAGAGACACCAGCGATAAAGGCAAACAAAGATTTGAGAAAATCTAGAAGATCATCAGTCGGTAATAGAGGAAAGAGGTCTTCTTCTTGGTCGCGTGCTGGTATAATAGTACCACCACATCCTGATCTTAACAGCACGGAGTTCTGCAGACATATCGATGAAGATTTGCCTGATCCAAGGAGGTTTAGAATTCTTTTCGAGTGGTGCAGGTATAGAGCCTGTAATCCAGACGTAGTTAAACCAAGACGGTCGAAGAGAGTCGAAGAGAGTGAGCTTAATGAACAGAAAATGCTCTTAAATGCGATAAATAACAAAGAAACTGTCGCACTCGCTCAGACTATCGTCGAAAACTGGGTGAAGAGTCTAAACACTAATGCACCACCGTGGATGCCACCAAAGAGCAACAAAGAAAAAGAAAAAGCGAAGAATCCCGAGAATGAGAAATATAAAGAACTTATAAGTAAGTCACAAGAAACGCTCGCGAGATTAAAGCAAGAGGATGAGATATGGTCAAAATTGCGATCAAATGCAAGATTGGCTGAGCAAGAATCGGTTGATGTGTACAATATTGATGCATCTGAAAACAAAGAAGAATCCGAGGACATTCAACTAGATTATCTCCCTGAAGGAATACGCTCCGATGTTCTAGAAATACTAAACAAACCAGCAACGACGAGCAAGTCCATAAACCAGAATGAGAAAATGAACCAATTGAATTTCACAATCGCGGAATTAGATCAAGTATATCATCAAGGAGCAATCTATACTGAGACTTCAGATATATACACTAATAATGTGATGTCACATTATTTGAAATTACTAAGAAATCGGTTATCAATTGATAACAATGATAACGAGAATGAGAATAAACCGGACAAAGAGAAAACCCTTCCTTCAACACTTACATTGGCTGCAAGTAATAATAAATATGAGCAGAATGATGCATTACCCTTACTTCGAGCCATTTCTCGGCCAATTCAGCAGCAAGATCAAAAGAAAGTCTCTAATGAGGATGATGATGACCGTGCTGGTGAAATAAGTCTTTTTTGGAGTAGAAAAGTTTAACATTGTTATTTACTATCGTTGATATTTTAAAGTTGTACAATTTAGATATAATACTATTATATATTACCATTATATATTAACATATAATTAACTATACAATTAACTTAATAACTCGGTTATACTAAGTCTTATCATATCACACTTCACACTCTTTCTTTATCTCAGACGATCATTACCTTATGGATGCCAATTATCTCAAAAAGCTAAAGAACACAGTGATAGGTGATCAGGAGCAAAAGAGGCGTCTAGCAAGTAATAAGGATAACCTCGAGATGCTCCTAGTACATATATCTCCCGCTAGATTACACAATCAGGCCGATATCGACAAACTCGTACAAGCAACTCTTATCCTTGGTAGTTTATACACAAATTCACAGCCGCCGCATTTGAGCAAACTAATAACGGGCGTAGTACCACGTTTGATTGAAACCGCTACAGTCTGCAGCTGTCCAAGTGTACTCGAATACTTATTCAGGTGCTTGAGGAATGTGGGATTATACTACAACAATATGAGCACAGTATTAGCTACCACTCAGGGTGGTATCGACGGTGACGCAATGTATATCGATGACGACCTCAGTTGCAAAGCGATCACAGAATTAAATGCAATATTTCTCGTAGGTCATAATCCTTAGTAACGTTTAATTAACAATAAGTAGTCCCCGCATTTACCTAGTCTGTTCAGACATCTCAAATCAACTAATAAACAACTTATCATCAATCTTCTTACTTTGCTCACAGCTGCGAATGATTCCCGACAAAAGGCATCTCTTGTTGCCATCGATGGTTTACTCGACTATGTGGTCAGATACACGTTCTGTGATGTTCAGAAAGTGAGTATCTCACTCATTCTATACTTCTTTAACAAATAAAAGGTCCAAATTGCTGCACTTAAAGCACTAGGAATTTTATGCAAGGATTACCCACCAGCTGTTATGGCTTTGAGGCAGGTTGACCGTGAGTAACACCATGATTTTGAACGATGTCTTACATTTCACCTTAATTAGCACGTGCTATTCAGTCTTTGACTACATTTTTTGAATGTAAGAATCCCCAGTTGAGATTGGAAGCTTGTGTGGCGTAAGTCAACGCAACTCATTACTTTCAAGCTGACTTAATTAGATTGGTTCATATTATTAAAAGCCAACAATCAGATTTCCACAGGACAGATGGGCCACCTACAATTCAATTAATATCTACGATAGACAGACCAAAAGCACTGGAGCTGATAGAACAATTGATCCGACTTTTAGACGAGTCTCTTGAAATTCAGATACCAACATCATTCATATTGGCTAATATACTATCTGACGCGACTGATCTGGAAGATCATGCGTGTAAATCAGGTATATTGGGCAAATTAAATGATATCTTTGAGATATGCTTATCTTGCCAAGATGATGAATATAATGTCGAAGGAAGTCAGCTATCAAGGGACAATTTGCGTCTTCAGGAAGGCATACTGATGATAATAGCTGCACTCGCTTTGCACTTGGATGAATTACGTACTGCAATTGTCGAAGCACAGCTCTTAAAACCTGTCGCTATATCACTCAAACATTCGGCAAAAGGTATACGAGGATCAGCAGCCCAGTGCGTCCGAGCACTCTCTAGGAGTGTAGGTGTATTGCGCACTTCACTCGTCGACTCCGGCGTAGAGCTCACTTTACTGGATATTATATCAAATGATGAAGAAGATGAACGCAACAGGGTGATCGCTTTGATGGCTCTCGCTAATCTTGTTTGTGGTTTTTCACCACTCAAACAAAAACTTATTCAAACTGGCGGTGTTAAGATTTTAGTTAAACTAACTTATTCTCTTTCTTATAAAGTTCGATTGAACACTTTATGGGCTATAAAGAATATGGTATTTGCAGCGTCGACTGAACTTAAGAGGTTCGTTTGTGACCAAATCGGATGGGAACATTTTAGCAATCTCCTCAAAGATCCAAATATTGAAGTAGTTGAGCAAGTTTTGTTTGTTTTGCGAAATCTAGTTACACGAGAGCTAGATATCGGATTAGTTTATAATGGGTTTGGCGGTCAGGATAAATTCTTGGAAGCCATTGAACAGAAATTCCAAACAAATCAAGTCGAAATATTATTACAAACTGCCTACATCATCAATAACGTCGCAACTGGTTCAGATGAGCAGAAGAGGTCACTCTTATGGCGTCCCATCATTTGTCAAGGGTTGCACAGACTTTTGACACATTGGGATGAAAGATTAAGAGCCGCATCTGCGTGGACATTGCGTAATTTGACTAATCAGACTGATGGCCAAGCGTATAGATCACGAATTGAAATTCTTACCCGTATGCGTTCATTGGAATTTGACAAAAAGCTAGCAACATTATCAGAAGATCATTACTCCGTTAGCGAACCTGCACGATTAGCCTTATCAAGCGGATGTGTTTGATTATGTCGCTAATAGAAACTGTGTCTGTACTTATTGAAACTGATCTAAACAAAAATTAGCCGCTGTGTCTATCGTAATCTGGTGACGTACACGATATTGTTGGCGATTGGACGTTGTAAAATATGGTGCAAAAGCCCAGTAAATACATAGGTCTCATTTGCTGTCATGCCTCTTTGATTACCATTACTTCTCGGACCATTGAGATGTAATCTTATGAGAGGCAGTCTGATTGAGTTGTATAAAGCACAGCAAGTTAAACGTAAGTTAAAGTGATCGCAACTATCAGAGAAACTCGTTATTACTTCTAACACTTCAGGAGGTAAATCCTGGATGTTTGTAGTTACTTTCGGTTTGTTCGGCATGGCAGTGGCAAACGAAAGAACTAAACTCAACTACACAAATGAACTTAAAACACATCAAACATCTATATAATAACCCAGTTATTATAAATAGTGTACAGTAAAATGGCCTCAGAAAGCACTCCAAATCCCTCACGACAAACCACGCCAAATGTTGAAGCAACACCGGCGTATAGGTAAGCGTGCACGTCATCGAGAGGCTGGTAGTAAACTACCCCCTCATAGTTCTCGGTGGTAAGGGAAGGAGGCTGTCAGTCATCTTCGAGCCAATGATAAAGTGGCAGAATTAAATCTGCAGAGACTGGATACGTCCTATAGAATATGATCCTTTGGAGTACCTGCGTGGATGGTAAGTATTTATTATACCGCCTGAGCTCTTCACTAACCGTCTTAAAGAAACAAAACACAAGTCGCTCAGATTTTATACCATCTAACCCTAGCACGAAAATAAAATGTGATCATAGGAAAGACTAAATGTAGTGTGATACTATATACCGATTAATTAGTTTATGGTGTTTCTTACTACTCTCCCCATTTAATCAACGTAACATACATGTATTACAAATTTTCAATTATTCATACCATCTATCGAAACTCCCACAGTTAGAAATGCTGAAAATTGGTCCAGAAGATTATCGCGCAATCCTCCATTCAGAACTACCATTTCTCTCATTGAAAGTACTAGCGTTGGAAGGATATCCCGACTTGCCACCTCGCGAAGAGGTTGAAAGTAGAATAAACCTCTTACCAAACTTGACAACATTTTTCAGCAAGTCAGGTAATTATGTCTACTGTACGACAAAGAAAAGGGACTATATTTCTAAACGTATTAAAAGAAGTAGATTACATCGCATTGAACAATATTGCACAGAACTTTTTGAGGACAGTGGACCAGACAAACCGAATTATATGAGAGAGGTACATGAATTGCTCTATCATGATGAAGGTGGTATTACACTTTCATGGGCTGATAATAGGAAACTTTGTAGAAGAATCAAAGTTCAAGATGTACATATGAACGTCAATAGAGAGAGACCTCATCATGTCGATCCTCGTGATGCAGAATATGAAGAATACAACAAATATACAACAATTTTTGGTTTACATGGCAACCACACTTTGTAAGAGAAATCATACTGACGACTCATCTTGAATATTCTTCTCAATCAAATTCAATCGAAAAACATTGGCAAAATGTAAATAGCGAAGTTAAGACAATCTTGGAACAATGAATGATTTTGCAAAAATGGTAAACAGCTATATTGCTGACTATAGAGGTTGCCATTCTATTCTAACTTGTCGATATGTTCTCACACTTATTTTTGGACGTAACCCGAATGATCCAGATCACAAGGAGGTAACGCTTTATTTTTTATTTATTAATTGATAGCTTTAATTGTTGTGCTTAAATGTTTGCTGCGTTTTGTTTTATCAGGAATTTAAGATTGCCCAACCTTCAGTTACAGTAGTATGGATAATGAGTCGCACTTTGCATGATAATTTGCAAGTTTATATATAATATTTTGGTGTTACTTTCTCTCTCGCGCTCAAACACTTTTTGCTTGTTTATTTGTCGCTATGTTATATGCTATTGACTTGGACAGACAACCAACTGAAATATTCTAATAGTATTAAGCTGCATTAGTAAGGTCTATACAGGAAATCCAACCTACTTCAAATTTAATTTGCATATTATAACAAACTTGGAGAAGTTATGTTCATATATCTACACGGACTTGTGAAACCATCTGAAATTTTGCAGTTCGTCGAGTGATATAGTGAACGTTAATATGATTTATGTTACGTTAAGATAAATAAATAAATTCAAAACAATCAGAGACATATTCCATGCCACTGGTGGTTCTGTCAGCGAAACGTTGTGTCTTTGCAATTGTTCGGATTTCCTTCAACATTTTAATAAATCTATACAAGCAGGTATGAACATCGCCAGTAAAACTTTAAATATACAGAAAATCCTTTAAAGTCACAATGTATCTATCAACGATTGGAGTGAGGTGGATGTCATCTTAGCTTACTATCAGGGACAATAGACGGATGAGATGTACTGATGTTATGTAGAGAAAGTGACAGATCATAGGGAAGCTTGCTCTATCAGGAGGAATAGTTGAGCACATAAGTGGTTGGATTGATAGTGAAGATATTACTGTAGTCGCAAGTTAGAGGCTTGAAAAGCTGCTCTCGATGATCAGATGTTAATAGCAACATAAAACAATAATAGAAAAGAGATAACTGATAAATAAATAACGAATAAATAAAGCTTCTCCCTTATCGTTGTGACCACCAAGTGTTAATAATTTTAATCAATGGATGGAAAACTTAATAAAAAGCAAAAGAAAGCCCAAGAGGCTAGACACAAATTAAAGAATAAAAAGCAGTCAAAGGAAGTCGAACAGAAGGATTTGCCAGAGGAAGATATTCTCGTCGACAACAAACCGATAGAGGAGGAAGCTTATGCCCCAATAGATGATGATAAGGAAGAGAAGAAAGCTCAAAAAGAGAAACAAAAGCTCGAAAAAGCTGAATCTGATAAGAAGCAAAAGAAGCGGAAGAGAGAAGAAGAAGAAAAAGTCAGTGAAGAGATACCCGGATTTGTTAAGAAGAATGCGCTCAGTGAAGCCGCCAAAAATGCTAAGAAGAAACGCAAAGGTGGTGAAGCGAGATTTATTACCTTCGTTGGAAATCTTCCATATGACATTACAGTAGAGGGTATTGTACAACATTTCAATAAGTGCGGTATGTCGCTGATTTTTCCACAATTAACTAGCTAATAATATCGACAGGTGAAGTACCAGAAGTTAGACTATTGACGAATAAGGTGAGAGACGACGGTAAATGGCAAGCAAAATCAAAGGGAGCGGCATTTTTGGAATGGAACACAGTAGATGCACTCCAGAAAGCTCTCAAATATCACCACACCCATCTCGGAAAACGCAGCATAAATGTAGAGTTAAGCGCAGGCGGTGGTGGTAAATCCCAAAACAGAATGCAAAAGATAAGTGCACGCAATAAGGATCTCGATGTTCAAAGGTCAAAAATATATAATAAGAAGATTGGCCCAGCGAAGGAAGCTCACAAAGCTGAAATGGCAGAGAAGGGTGGTAAAGCTAGAGATTCGACGACCTCAGGTGCAGCACCAAAACCTAAACCAGCACCTGCGTACAAAGCACAAGCACAAGCACAGAATGTTCCTTCCAAGAGCACCTACAAGCCTTCAGGTGCTAACAACATTCCACTCGGATAAATTAATAGAATTTGTTTTATACAATGCATTCGTTATTTATTTAGAAAATCTTATTACAGATGGATGAAAAGGAGTTTAGACATCTTGGGATGCCATCATAGGGTTGATTAGTCTACCAGCCGGTCCACCGAAGTTGTTATTTGTGCTAATGCTTGAGAACTTGCTGACAAGCATTTCGTGCATCTTTTCCATCTCATTGGTCCATTTCGTCAATGCTTCGTATCTCCTCTTTTCGAGCTGTGGTCTACATTGAGTGTTATTAGATTCAAGCGGTGGGTCAATATAGTACGCACTCTCTATTGATCTCGAGACGTTGATTTACAGAGTCGATTGTACCCTTGATTTTCTCATCGAGAATAAGTTCAATAAGGAGATCTTCAACTTGAGCTACAGTGACGTTTAGTTGCTATGCTTATGTCAGCTAATTATTGTATGGATTCGCTACATACCTTTGCAATGTAACTCAATTCTAATCTTTGGTATGGCTTGATAAGGTCAACAAGGTAAGTAATGCGTAAGGCACGCATGACATCGTCAATAAAGTGACAAATGAATGGATCTTCCATTATAACCTTGCGATTTTTGGCTATAATGCGCTCAGCTTGATGTACCTCCTTGTGCTGATAAGCTGACACAAGTTGCGTCATCGGTAAGATTTCCGCATTTTCTTTATATCTGGAAAAGATTAGTGGTGTAAATCCACAAAGTTATTACGTACGGTTTAGTCTCTTGTGAGTCAAATGGATCAATCTCAGAGTTCATGAGCATATGAGCGAGGACGAGGTATTTGAGGACTTGAATACGCTGCATTGAGCCAGCTTCATCGTAGCTTCTGAAACTTTCGAAAAAGTCTGTTTGGGCTTTTTCCCAGCTTTCTTGAGTGGAAGTTAGTGTACGATCGGATCCAACTTCCTGCCTACTCACTCTCATTCATGTGCATTTTACCACCACATTCTTTAATAATACCCATGACGCGTGGATGGGAAATAGCTGACGTGACTGTTGAAGTTTGATTGTAAATTTCCTAATATGATGAGTTGCTAAAGGTGAAGTCTGAGTAGTAACTTACTCTCAACTTCTTGGTATCATTCGTGTGGGAATACATTTGGATCTCAAGAGCGAATATTTCGAGTAATAAACTACCTTTTGATTGATCATCTGTACCGTCAGCACTTTGACAGGATGAACGGAGTTCTTTGAGTGTCTATCCCTGATGAGTGGTGTTTAAATGGACTCGTATACCACCTACCTCGGTCAAACGTGCGTATTCTCTCCTATCAAGCCACAATTTTGCAAGTTTCAAGTTTGTCTTAACGCTGAGTCTTTCGTTCTTCATCTCAGCGAGTGTTTTCATAGTAACAGCATAGAATTTCTCCATGAGTTCCAGATCGACAGTCTGATCTGTCGCTTTGTCTGAAGAAACATAGTCGAGGATACCATTGATAGACTTCTCTGAGTAATTACGTGTGACTGCGCTTTTAGTGTAAGTGAGAAGTTGTGTGTAGTATTCCAAAGCTTCTGGGAATTTCCTGAGACGGAGGAAGTGTAACTTTGTGACTAAAGTAGAGTCAACTTTGTTTGTTGGATGATAATCTACACACGCTGTTTGAGAGCTTTGAATCCCCAATCACCTTTCTCTTCTTCATTGTCTAGAATATATTTAAAGTCTACTATCGCCTCATCTAGATTATCCTCCTTCTTTCCTAAAATAGTATGAGATAAGGTGTATATACCAGTATATATATCCACCTTTGGCTAAATAGTATTTGTTCTCTAAACCTGCTTCACCTTGTTCAACGTCCTCATCGTCGTCTTCATAGTCGAAGTCGTAATCCTATTAATTAGCCCATAGATCGTTTATTTGCTCATAGACCCACCTCGTCACCCTCATCCATCATAAACTATAAGATATTTAAATAATATCCTCGTATCTCTCAATATCCACTCACATCTTCTTCATCTGACATTTTAGCTCTTGAACTGTTACCACCAAGAGATGAGTGCTAGTGGTACAGAAAATGACGTTGAAACAATAAATTCTAATAATTTTAATGATTTACAATTGAATGGTCCTAGGTATTATTTTTTATTCGTCTCTCCATATCTCTAATATATCCACTAGACATGGTTTCGCTGATCCGTTTACGCAACAGGATATTTCTGATCCATACCCGCTATTACCTTATTTCGTATCTAACAGGCATTTCACAGGTGGTAATCCGTCCCCTGACGAACCACCTGAACCTGATTGGAGATTGCGGGAGAGACTAAAGACTATCACATGCGCAATCGTACTCTGTTTAAACCTCGGTGTAGACCCACCAGATGTCGTCAAGACCGAACCATGTGCTGTTCTCGAAACTTGGGTTGATCCAACGAATATGCCTCCGCCTAAAGCCTTGGAGACTATTGGTCGGAATTTGCAACAACGTTTTGAGAGTTTATCACAGCGCACGCGAGTTAAGCAATATTTAGATCCTTCTGTAGAGGAAATGAGAAAGCTATGCGCTAGTCTACGACGTAATGCCAAAGAGGAACGTGTTGCTTTCTACTATAACGGACATGGTGTACCAAAACCAACGGCGAGTGGTGAAATATGGGTATTTAACAGAAACTACACCCAATACATACCACTATCAATCTTTGATCTTCAATCATTCATTGGTAGCCCTGGTATCTACATCTGGGATTGCTCATCAGCTGGCAACATCCTCAATTCATTCGTAAAATTCGGTGAAAGGAGGGATCACGATATAAAAACTGCGTACGAATCAACCAAGCAGATGGCAAATGCTAATAATATGGCACACGCAATGCCTACTTCTCCTTATCCAGCATCAATAGATGGTAGACCAGACACACCTCCCGTCTTCTTTGCCCCTCTAGGTGATTCAATACATATGGCAGCTTGTTCTCCAGATGAAAGTCTACCAATGACGCCCGAGTTACCTGCCGACTTATTCACTTCCTGTCTTTCCTCACCAATTGAAATGGCTGTCAGGTTCTTCCTCCTTCAAGATCCACTCTCAAAGAAGCCAGATCTCGATCTCTGCTTGAAGATACCTGGTGAATTGAAGTTGCGGAAGTCCCCACTTGGAGAACTTAACTGGATTTTCACAGCCGTCACTGATACGATAGCATGGACTACATTCCCTAGAGAGACATTCAAAAGACTATTCAGGCAGGATTTGATGGTAGCTGCATTGTTTAGAAACTACCTCCTCGCTGAGCGCATAATGAAAACTTACCGCTGTACACCTATGTCTCATCCGGTTTTACCACCAACATATAACCATCCACTCTGGCATAGTTGGGATCTCGCTGTCGATGGCTGCTTATCTCAACTGCCCGCATTATTAGGTCAGGAGAAACTAACAAAAGAAGCTCAATATAATACACAAGCGGCAAATGAACTAAAAAACACAACTTTATTGCATTATCAACAATCATCATTTTTCCAAGATCAATTAACAGCATTTGAAGTATGGCTAAGCAGAGGTCTTTCGAGTAGCTCAAGTGCTTCCACTGCACCTGGGTCAATGCCTGCTACATGGGATCCTGTCAAGCGCAGAGACTACAACCCACCACGTAAACCTCCAGACCAATTACCTATTGTTTTGCAAGTCCTGCTTTCACAAGCTCATAGACTACGAGCGCTTGTTTTATTATCGCATTTCTTAGATTTGGGACCTTGGGCAGTCAACCTCACATTATCAATTGGTATATTCCCTTACGTGCAAAAGTTGCTACTATCGCCAGTTCCTGAACTCAAACCATTATTGATTTATATTTGGACTCGCATATGTGCAGTCGATAGAAGCTGTCAGAATGACTTACTTAAAGATAATGGTTTTGCATATTTCGCTAGAGTTTTATCACCATTCCAGGAAGATGGTGGTTTGCAAATATCCAACGTCTCAGAGCACAGGGCAATGTGTGCATTCATATTGTCACTATTCTGTCGTGATTTCAAGCCAGGTCAAATGGCTTGCTTCAATTCAGGTGTATTTGAGATGGTTCTCGTCCACCTAAACGATGAAGATTACTTGTTGAGACAATGGTGCGCTCTCATGCTTGGTCAACTCTGGGATGGAAATGACGAAGGCAGAGCCTTAGCTTTGAGGGAAGGTGCCACTGACAGATTATGCTCAATGTTGAATGATATTTCACCAGAAGTTAGATCAGCCGTCATGTTTGCCTTGGGTACCTTCATGGGTGCGTCAGGCAGTGTCTGGAAGGACGTCAACAAACAACAGCCGGGCGAAGTTCCAAGGCTTGGCGGTGGTGGTACGGGCTCATTACCTGGAATATCTAGTATGGAACACTTTATGTTCGAAGTACAGCTCGCTACAGCTGGTTTGGCTGCCAAAGAAGATGCTTCGCCAATGGTGAGGAAAGAACTCGTGATATTCTGGTCAGCTTTCGTACGTGAATGGCAAGGATGGTTCTGCGTTGCTGCGTACGCATATTATGTTTCAGAGAAACGTGACGAGTCTCGCGTTACTGGCAATCCATACAAACCATCTTTGACGGTAGTCAAGGAGGCCATTTATGAACATCAAGGCGAAAAGGCAGGTGATAAGCTCCTCGACGACTTCGCTGCTCTCTATATGGCGCTTTTGGACATGACCTTGGATCCTTACCCAGAAGTTGGTTCATTAGCTTGCACGGTAGTCGACTTTATTCATGCTCTACTTATCGAATCACCATTAAGTGACTCTGAAGACTCGGCGTTACCTCATATACCACCAGTCAGACCAGACCTTGGCTCTGACTCCGAAGACAAACCGATAGGTGGTACCAAGAAGAGCAAGAAGGGACCGCCACTACCACGCACCTTCACAGAGCCGAACTTTGCCAAAGGTAAGAATCTCAAGAATCTCAAGGGTAGCTCTCCATTGAAGTCAAGTGGTTCTTTCGCTGCTGCTCTCAACAAATTGACTTCTCTGCCTTCATTCACAACCCTTACAAGTATGAACAAAGGGCAGGAAGAACCTGAAGAAGACCACCCGTCTCCTCACTTTAACCACGCGCTCTATCATTCACCTTACGTTCCCCAACAAATAACGAAGATCACTCCGGAGATAGCACCAAACTCGCCTTCTGTGGATATGAGTCAAAGTGGTCAAAATGCTGATACGCCTCCGAGAACGCCATCACCTGAGTTTATTGACCATGGCAATAACGGAAACAATGTTCAAGAACAGAACGGCGACCATGGTGTGTATGACGATGCGACTATGAATGTATTCGATGCAGTCACGACATTACTCGATGAAGATGATTATAGGTTGAGAAGACGCAAAGAGAGGACGATGAACAGTGGTCAATTCCATTCGACTACGCTCGCGCCAAACAATGCTGATGTGCCTATTATGCCATTTAGAAAGGAATTACAAGCCCAGATGGGTATCGTCTTACCACTCAAGAGTAGACTTTTCGATTGGTGTTGTGAATATTTCACAGAGCCACAGATGCGCGTAGGTTATACTTGGACAGGTACGATAACAATCACTTAACCACCTTATAGAACCCAGAAGCTGAAGAACCTGGTAGCGAGAAGTACAATGAGCAGATGTGGCGCCGCCAACGTAATGAGAAGGTAGTTATCGATACCCAAGCTCAAGCTGAAGTGGCCAGTCGGAGTGAATGGCGGGAGAATATAATCAACATTCAAGAGCATTATTTCCCAGTAAAACTAAACTTCCACCAATTTGAACCACAGTTGATAACGGCTGACCCACACGACGCTATATCAATCTGGGATTGGAAAGAAGGTGTAAGACTAAACAGATTTGGCAATGGTAATCCGTGGGGTAGCAACATAACGACTGTCAAGCTCATCAACGAGGATGACCAAGCCTTGCTGCTCACTGCTAGTGCTGAGGGCATGGTACGAGTTTTTAGAAATTATAGCACACCAGGAGGAGCTGAATTGGCTACCTCATTCAGAGCTAATAGCGAAATGGTGCCTTCAAGATATCCGTCTGGTCTTGTTGCCGATTGGCAACAAGCTACTGGACATCTCCTCGTCGGCGGTGATTCTCGCGTTGTAAGATGCTGGGATTCCCAAAGAGAGCTTTTCCATTCCGTGGGTATTATCTATTCAAGCTGATTATACTGACCAACTCTGCTAGGATATACAAACGACCGCACAGAGCTGTCTCACTGCAATCACCTCCGATCAGGATATGGGTAATATCGTCATCGCAGGATTTGGTGATGGTACTGTCAGAGTGTATGATCGTCGTGAAGACTCCCGCAACTCCTGTGTCGCTCATTATAGAGAACACTTGAGCTGGGTGCAGAACATTCATCTCCAGAGAGGTGGAAATAGAGAGCTTGTTAGTGGAAGGTGAGTAGTATTTTAGGGAAGGGGTATCAATTAACGCATCTCTAGTATCGATGGTGACATACGCCTGTGGGATATTCGAGCACAAGGATCAATTTCGCAAGTAGATGCTCACAGAGAAGGAATGTCCTGCATAGATATGCACGAACATGCGAGTGTGCTAGCTACGTGAGTATCAACCTATATTTATGGCTGCTTTTCTAACATATTCAAGCTCATCTATGCCTGAATTCAACAGCAGCGGCATACGAACCCAGACTGTAAAACTCTGGAAGGTAGATTCTGAGGGTATACTTCCAAGGGGTAGAACAATTTCGTCGCGACCACTGGCCCCTCCAGCCAAGGCTTTGCCTTTCAACCCATCGGTTTCCAGTTTGGCTTTCCACCCTAATGAAATGCTAGTCGGTATGGGTAGTGCAGATGGTCAAATAAGTATAGTCGCTTGTAACGAAGCGATGAGTACGCATGAGGATAATTTCATCTAGACTTCATTAATTAGTACAATTTTTCGTTTTCTCTTTGTCCTTCATCTGTAATTATACTTTTATATGTTTTAGTAATACATTAATACATTAATATCTCCAAAAATATAATTAATATGTCTCTGATTGTCATATAGCGGAATTTATGCCTCAGAACGACTGTGAATTTTGTACATTAGATAATGACTATTTGTCGTCGATATCAGGATAATGGCAACCATACATAACCCATGAAGTAAAATCAAAGTATTGCAAGCTTATACTACTAGAATATACTTATCTATTGTATGGTTTACAAGAAACATGCTATGCTTGTGAGGATATACTTTTGTATAAGGCTGGAAATGGTTTAGTTCAAATTTTTCAATTCAGCAAATAATTGTAAAGCACAAAATGGGAGGGATGGATTATTTGGAGGAAAGATATTTAAAAATTATTTGAGTACATGTATGATGATCTGGAAACGATTTTGAGACTTTTAATTTCTTTCGGCAACTGAAAGGACATTAAATAACGGAATGTAGATCTAAATTAGGTACGGTAAACTATTCTAGATTTTTAATGTTTATAATAAATTGTTATTACATTCTAGAGCTGTTTCACAATATGCGTCCTACAGAACGACAATGTTAGTCACTTAGAGTCTGGGTCTCATTTGAGTTAGATCTGCTGATCACCCCAGACTCTGGTCTGAGATGGGCATATTTTTTTTGTCATGCTAACCGCTTTGCGCAGTATTTTACAGTGTATTATAGTCTTCATTTGTCACTGTCACCTGCGTGGTCTAGTATCAAAACAAGAGATTTTGCGGTGAACTGTCCAAATTGAAAGCGATGCTCATAGGTTTAAAATATCAAAGTATCAGAATAATAGATCCAAAAACATATATGGTTATATACACTAAATCTGAGTGCAGCCAGTGTGAACGTTGAGTGCTTACATCATGTAAAGCAGATGTTGATCATAACTTCTAAAGAAATACAGCAATGTTAAACTGATTTAAAAGGTGTCAGTGTACCTAGTACAAGGGTCTCTCTAGAGGATGTTTAATACAAACATTAGCAAAAGCGAAAGAGGCTTTATCAATACAAGCAAGTTCTAAGTGAACTTCACTCAATGATGTATTCATTTGCAGTCTTTGTGACCTCATTATCGAAGCAAAAGATATATATATAGATGTATAATTCCATTATGTATCTTCTCTGTGGGTATCTTGTATGCTTCGTGAGCGAAATGTAGATCATACAATTTATCCAACAACCGAATTGCAGACCTCACTCTTGGTTGTATATATTGTAGTTTGTCTCCAAAAGCATGAGGTCGAAGTCGCTTATGTTGAACCCTCTCCCTTTCATGTTACGGCGATCTCTATCGATCGCATTAGAGTGCCCAATAGCGGTAGATGTCAATTGATGGGAATCGCCAATACTGCCTTCATCTGTGCTGTTCTCAAATGAACGCATAGGTTTGGATTTCTGGAATATTTTAGCGCATGTGCGCTTTATAAAACGCGTAAGACTAACACTGTTTCTTTCTCTGCTTTGTGCAGAGACGATTGAGGATGTCTCAGAGACTGGCATACCACCAAAGAAGATGTCAATGTTTGCTGCCAATACCTTCGCCTTTGCGATTTGCTGGTCGCGTTTCCATTCCAAGTAGAGCGCTTCCACAGCCTCATTCTGTGTGAGGCTATTGAGGTTGGTATCGTATTGGTTGTTAAAGAAGTTGTTGGTCATCTGCTTGGTGTTAGAGCATCACGTTTGGCGCGATACAAAAACACTCACACTAGCTGATTCTATAAACGAGAGTAAATAGTTGAAAAAGAATACAGCTAAGATTCCTTGTTTATATACTCCTGCGATTGGTTTGTTGAAAGAGTGCGAATTTTTTTTTGATTGTTTTTCAAACACGCGTGCACTGACCCTCGGCCAATAAGGTTACGCTAGCAAATGCGTAGCCGAATAATTACGCTTTTTGGGCTCGGGTGGAGGTTCCACGTGTTAGAATAGCACTGTTTTCTTCTTTGTATTTATTTCACTAATGCCCCAAGAATTACAACTAGAACTTCGTCGGCTCCACTGTGCCGGCCGATGGTGATTATAAAGTTTCAGTACAAGTATGAAGTATAATCTAAAATGATACCCACTACTGGTAAAGTTTAGCCTAAACAGTACATTTTTGTAACTGTTTTAGTTTTATTCATGGTCTGGATTTCAATTAACAGCTATCCTAACAAGGTGATATGTTATCAGCGTTTATCTGGCGATGATTGTACTATTTAAAGTTTCCCATATGTCAATTCTGGCAAATTTCGTCTTCGTTGCACATAGTTCAACGAAGAAATCACAATAATCAGATAGGTAAGTAAAACATACATTATGTCATAGTAATAAATACATCAAGGTCATCCAAAAGGACTTCAAAATCATTAGTTCGTCAATCTAGTTAATCGTTACTTTCTTAGCACCCTCAGCTTCTTTCTTTGGGTAATTGAGTGATAGAACACCATCGTTGAGGCTAGCTTTGATGTCCTCGTGTGTTAATTCTGGTGGAACTCCCCAAGAGCGAGAGAATTCGCCAAAGTGTCTTTCACGAATATGCCAGCCTTTGTTATCTTGAACAGTCTCCTGTTTCTGTGCGGCTTTGACGTTAAGAACACCCTTGTCAAGTGAGATGTCGACATCTTCTTTCTTCAAGCCTGGTAAATTGAGTTGAGCGAGATATCCATTGTCAACTTCCTTCACGTCAAGTCTGTATATCGTCAGAAATAGCCCCCATGGAGATAATTTAACACTCACGATGGTCTAAACAATGAGGAATGTCCTCCTAATACGTTGCCACCCTCCTTGTTGCCATGTGGACGACGGATAATTGGAGCGAAGAAACTGTCGAAATCTGAGAGCTCTGCGAAGAATGGATCGTTGCGAATAAGAGACATTGTTGCTTGTAGTTTAGTGTGTGTTCGTTTGATGATGATTGACTATGTCCAAGCTCCGCCTTTTTATATACAATGTGCGACATTGTCTAGAAAATTCTCGTTGTTTCTGACACCGTCAATGCAAAAGTGGTAAATTGATACCTAGCACATTCGAAGGCCACAAAACCAACATTTATGAAATAACTGAGTTGATTATGCATTGCCGTAATATTCAATGTGATGTTTCCACAATACAAATTAATCAAATATAAATAAAGCAAGACATGTGATACCAACAAATATTCAAGCGATTTTGCATTGTGTAAGTCTTGCCCATGGTCGAAATTACAGAGACCTCTTTGTCATCCAAGATATACGCATCTGAGCTATCACCATAGTCTTCATATGATCATATCCTGTGTATAATGAATACGCTATATCGACTATACAGGGAAAATAATAGAATAATTAGTAAGCAACCAGATAAATTCAAGCGAATATAATAATATCACATTATAGTTAATCTTTCCTATGATCACATTTTATTTTCGTGCTAGGGTTAGATGGTATAAAATCTGAGCGACTTGTGTTTTGTTTCTTTAAGACGGTTAGTGAAGAGCTCAGGCGGTATAATAAATACTTACCATCCACGCAGGTACTCCAAAGGATCATATTCTATAGGACGTATCCAGTCTCTGCAGATTTAATTCTGCCACTTTATCATTGGCTCGAAGATGACTGACAGCCTCCTTCCCTTACCACCGAGAACTATGAGGGGGTAGTTTACTACCAGCCTCTCGATGACGTGCACGCTTACCTATACGCCGGTGTTGCTTCAACATTTGGCGTGGTTTGTCGTGAGGGATTTGGAGTGCTTTCTGAGGCCATTTGTACATTGTTATTAATAACTTTTCTTGCTATATTGTCGTTTTGCTCTTTCGTTTTTGTCATGCCAAAAAATCTGATGTTACAAACATTGATAGGTTTGCCTCTTGGAAACTGAAGTAATGAACTGTTATATGACGCATTGTTAGTGGTTTATTAAAAGCAGATAGATCGGTGGGACACTCATAAAATACATTTCGAAAGCGCATAAGAACACTCTCAGGATTGATTTCTATAATTCGGATTTGTTCGCACTGATTGAACCCGACGCTCTGTACACACTCCGAAAATACGATGCGGGAGAACAATCAAGATGTCATTGCTCAGGTTCAGGAATCTAACGGCTGTTGGTATCCTTAGTTGTGGAGGATATTACTACAATCAGAGTAAGAAGCTCGAAGGACTATACGCAAATGTCCCAGTATCAGACATGGCGTCTATGACCGTAGGTGCTTTACTCAAGGACTATAATATCGATGCGCAAAAGAACTTATATACCCCATACCACGATTGCTACACTGCCAGAATACCGCTATCAGAAATCAAAACAGATGAGACAAAGAAGAACGCTGATGGATTACTACAATTATACCAAGATGCGTTCTTCAAGCAGGCTTTGATGCGCTACGAGGGTAGTTTACTCTCTAAATTTACCGGTAAAAATGATGGTGAAGGCGTTGGTGATGCCAAAGCAGGCGGTGCACTGCGTATCCTTTCCAAGAAACGCGATAATGTTGATGTATCGCCAAAAGAAACAAAGGACCTCATTAAACAGTCTGCTTTCGACGTTCCAGTAAAATCATTCAACTGGTTTAGCTACTTAAAGTGGATTTCTAAGCCATCTTCAGCAAGCATCGTTATGGATTGGACAATGTCTGATGGAGCGGTAGGATTCTTTGACAAATTATCCACGTTCGGCTATCCATGTGGGTTATATCTATTATCTGGAGATATCAAAACTGAATCAACTCAGACAGGTTAATGTTAGGGGGAGTGCAAGAGCTTCATGTAGCGACTACAAAGGATGATGCTATATTTACATATGCTACTACACATTTCTACGATCCGAAAGACAACAAAGTCATACCAAAATGGGTTCAAAAAGTACACGACACATACGCAAGAATGTTACTCGACGGTGCAATTAGTGGATTAAAGAGTATAAATTAAAATTACAATTGTTCTTTATCATGGACCAGTCTAGCAACAGTGTTGGCTATGCCAATGTTGTCTACACTAACGTCACGCTCGTAAGGCTTCTCAATAGAGCCTGTAGTAGATGTGGTATGATTGATATCAATGTGGCTTTCATTAGAGGAGGATGAGTAAATACTGGCTGTTGCTGTCTTTCTGAATTTCTGCATTGACTTCTTGAAGAAAGCACCCAGTCCGCCGTGTTCGCCTTTCTCCTCTGTACCTTCGTATCTCCGCTTCTTATCGTTGTGCTTTCTCTCCCTCTTTTCTCTGCGTTCCCTTCTCTCCTCTCTCTCCAACTCCTCGTCTTTGGTTACTTCACCAAAGAAAGAATTGAGCTCCGCGAGTTTAGCACGAGCTCGCGCTTCTTTCTGCTCTTGCTTCCACTGCAAGTGTAGAGCAGCTTGGGCTTGAGATTGTACGAGGAAGCCATCACATGTGGATTCTGTGGGCAGTGGCATTTCAGACATTCTTTTAGTCTTGCTTGTCTTTAATTTGTTTTAGTTACTCTTTTTGGGTATAGTTGTGGTATTGGTAGACTAGCAAGATGCACCTTCGCGTCTTATCACCGCACGACGAGGAGGGGAGGGGAGGAAAATCAGGCACGAAGAATTTATAATTTGAGGTTTAAATGTTTCAGCTCAGGTAATTACCGACATTATAAATTTTACTTATTATACATAAATTTTCATAAATGTCAATCCAGCTGTCAAGAATTGCTATCAGCTGGCAGGCTCGGCGTCTCAGCTCTTCATAATCAGTGATCCAGGGCGCTAAGGTTGAGGACAGGGAGGACAGACCCTTAAATTTATTTAGTCACATACCAAATGGGGTACAGATTTAATGTGCATTTGGCATATTATTGGAAAACTACGAGGTAATAGAGCCATAATATCTTATCTTTAGTAGCTGTATAGATAGCTATGCTAACTATAGCATATTGCCTCATTTGGCAACATCTGTCGTCATGTACATGACTGACTCTGCATCCGAGAACTCGCTTATCAGCTCTTGAAGGTGGCCGGAAGGAGTGATATAAAAATAGCTAATATCTGATTGGACATCTGTGATATACACAGATAATTTCAATTGAACAAAATTATTCGACTAATCAAAGACATGTGTGTGTACTATAAGTAAATCCTTGCATTTGCTGACTAGGAAGACCATATCAAGAAAGGGTGAAACGTTATCTCTTGATAGACATTATTTATGCTATCAAGTAATATGTCTGCTGGTAGATTTAGAGAAAGCTGTTGAACCAAGAGAAGGTACCACAGGTTATCGGGCTCCACTTTGTTCGTGAAGGCGATGCTCCATGTTATAAATTGAAGAGAAACTGACTAGCCTTTTAATTTCTGACCGTTCTTCCTTCGTGGTCCAACTCCAACATGTGGTTTTCTGACGAAGATGATCAATCAACTTTGCTCCTATTATCACAAACCACATGTTTGCTTGTCTGCTTTTGCAGTCACATTCATGAAATCGTAATCGTTACAAAATTCGTGAGTAGTTATTGGACGACCAATACTGACGTCTTAGTATGTTCGATAACAGCAAGTGAAACAGATGGGTGGAAAATCTTCTGCCATCTTCCCAGAGTACGTTTGCCGACAATGATGAGTTGGGCTGAGTGCCATTTGCTTACACGTGGGATTGTCTCTCTTGGATCACCATGAGCTACATGTAATGTGAGTGTGATATTGCGTGGTGCAAGCAGTGGTGTGATTCTCTCTCTCTCTTCCTTCAACCTCTTCAAAGCATCATTGCGATCTCGGAAGAAAGCCCCAATGCGTGGATCAATCTTCCTACCGGCATCTGTTGCCTCTTCTTCGGCGCAATAAACGCTATAATCGAGATGTCTCTCGAGTGGTCTGAGAACGGTGACGAGGAAAATGTGGTCGTTGTCTTGAGCGATGTAATCGATATAGCTGTACTTCTGTCAGAATGGTTATTCAAATCTATCGTACCCACTGTTGAAGCGCTCCCTTCGATTCTGACTATTGGTGGATTAGATAACTCCAAATAAACTTAAATAGGACTCAACAGATTCATCATATGCAATCAGGACTCTTCTGTCGTGGTTTTCTGGGTCGTTGTCGAGCTCATGCCCAGAGACACCCTTGATGCTGACAACAAGTTAGTGAGACTTTCGATGCCAATATAAACCCACGTGTGGTGCTCCGTCAGAGGTAACGTAGGCTCTTTGGCTCGAATAGGGTCTGCAATGGATTTAATGAATTATATTTATCCATAACTGAACACTTTACCCGGTGGGATAGCATCTTTGTCTCCCTCGGCTGGTGGAAATTTGCTTGCTTTTTCGGCGTGTATTCCAAATATATTGACCATGGTGGCAATTATGATACATAAATCGATCGCAATTCACACTTTAATCTGGAGCTCATCCCACGCGGACATATGACAAAAGATGAGACATGACGACATATATATTACAATAAAAAACTAAGATAATAAAAATAAACTTAAAGATCCTAGCTATTAGCTTATTTTGCGAAAACCTCCCTTCTAGAACTGGATGATCGGGATGGGGAGTTGCCCCTAGTGGTTGTACGTGCTTGATGCGATGGCGGTTGAGGAGTTGACGATGCAGAGATAGGAGGTGAATCTGTCGAGTCGTCATCTCTATCTGTATTGCTATTGCGTAAATTATGATGACCAGCTTTAGGCGTTGGATTTTGCCCACTTTTTCTTAAATACCTTTGTCTAACTTGATGATAAGATCTTGTGCCGACCATTTTGGAGACAGCGTCCCATTTTTGGCCATGTATGCTGACTGCTTTAGCGAGGAGAGCATCCTCAGCGCCAGTCCACTTCGTATACGGAGCTCTGCTATTTGCGGAAGGACCAGATGGCCTCGTACTAGTGAACCCTGCAGGTGGGACATTGAACGTCGCAGACGGATGTGGCGCTTGAGGCTGTTGAACTACAAACGGTGGTATCTGCGGAGTTGTGGTCTCAGCTTTTATAACGCGTGGACTATTGGCTGCAGATGATGGGGTGAACCTTGATGGTTTCGATGGGGATTCCAATGCAGGTGATGACGGAGTTTGCGGAGAAGACCCCCTCAATTTTAATGGTGGACCTAATTCATTGATGTGATCTCTATCTCTTTCTAAAGCGTTGAGTTTTGGTGGTAATGCATATGATGAATTTGGGGTACCCATTTCATTTTGTGATTGTTCAACTGCATGATCAGCCAAGAAATCTAGCGCAGAACCTTGAATTGGGTTTTCAGATGATTTTTGTTGCTGTTGCTTCATGACAGGAGATGCATTGTAATGTAAGTACGGGTCTTCATTTCTATTGTCGCCACCCGTCACGTACTCGTGTTGTTCAGCGGTTGCACGAGATGGCAACTTCCTTCTCTTTGGAGACACTTGTGGGGATGGCGAACGAGTGCGTGTTTGGAGTTTGAGGGGTGACCTGCTTGAACTTCTAGTTGGCTGGTCGAATACGGATGTTGCAGCGTTGATCAAGTTTTCTAAGCCATTCTGATGCATTTGTTTAGGCGTTGAGGAAGAAGCACTATGCATAGCTTTCCTGCGTGAAATTTGCTTTGGCTGTAACGACTGATAGCTATCTGGATTTTGGCTTCTGCGAATAAGATTGTTGAGACGCTTTGACGCCAACAAGAGGTGCTCGGCTCTAGCATCACCCATGCCGTACTGATCTGATCTTGTAGCGTCACCGTCATGCCATGCAGCTTCTTTCCATGCTTCTATACCAGGGTGTGCTTTAGTGATGAGAGTCGCTCTTATTTGACGCAATTCGTTCTCCAATCTGTTGGATCTTTTTAGAGCTTCTTCGAGCTAACATAAGTCAGAAAGTATTACTGAATCTCACAAAGAACTCACCTTTGTTTTTAGAACGCGCTTATCACCGACCAACATTCTGTTCTCTGTCTCGATATCTTGATGGAGAATGGAGGTGCCTTGTGGCTCAACCTCATCGTGTGCTTCCCACCTTGTTAAGCGTGCATCCCAGCGAGATCGTTCTAACTTCCAAGATAAAGCTTCAGCCTGTCGCTTTAAAGACTCCAATTCGATTTTACCGATGTTGTTCTTCGTTATTAGAGATTTTTTATTCAAGTCTAACTTTTGTATCTCGAAGGAGTGTGTTAATAACTTTTTTGATATTGCGAGCAAATCATCTTTATGAATATCAAGACTGTCGTTGTTTAATTGGTCTCTAATGCTAATCAAATCATTAATATCTAAAATGTCAGCTCCCTTTAGCTGCTCTATTTGGTCCCGATGTTCTGGGGGTGTATCCATATTAGTCATTGTAGTAGGGGCGGGGCGGATGAATATACTGATAAATTTATTTTTTGTTTCGGCGAAATATAAAAATTAATAGTGTCTGTTTTAGGAAATACCTTCCTGTTTAATATGTTGACTGATAATCTACCCTCAATCAAAAGTAAAAAGAAATATTAATATCAAATTATCAAAAATCAAAAATCAAAATTTTATTTCATATTTTTTAGATTATATATTATAATAAATATCTCTAATTACGAATAGCTATTTAGTTATTTTTTTATATCCAAAACTGACTGATATCTCTCTATCGCAGCAACGGCGACAACGCATCATCACTAAAAATGCTGTTAGACGTCAAAGTGCGTATTTTATTAGAGATGAATGCAAAATCTAATATTTTTATTAGCGACAATTCTTTAGTCGCAGTGAAAGAGTGAAATCTCTCGACTTCCATCCTACTGAACCTTGGGTCGTAGCTGGTTTATACAACGGTACTGTAGTCATATACAACACCATTACAAATGCATCCGTAAAGACGTTTGAAGTCACAGATGTACCTGTCAGATGCGTCAGATTCATCTCTAGAAAGAACTGGTTCGTAGCTGGCTCAGATGACTATCAATTGAGGTATTTAGATCGTTTTTACTTTATTCGCTTCTTACACACCCTCTAGATGCTTCAACTACAACACTTCAGAAAAAATCGCAGCTTTCGAGGCCCACCCTGACTACATTCGTTCTTTGGCAGTACACCCAACCCAGCCATACGTTATCACAGGCTCTGATGACATGTCCATTAAACTCTGGAACTGGGAAAAGTCATGGCGCTGTCAGCAAGTTTTCCAAGGCCACACTCATTACATCATGAACATCGTCTTTAATCCGAAAGATACCAACAGCTTCGCATCCGCTTGTCTTGATAGAACAGTTAAAGTTTGGTCATTAGGTAGCCCACACGCAAATTTCACCCTCGAAGCTCACGATAAGGGTGTGAATTATGTCGAATACTACCATGGGAATGACAAACCTTACATCGTCACAACAGGTGATGACAGACTCGTAAAAGTTTGGGATTATCATTCAAAATCGCTCGTACAATCGATGGAAGGTCATACTAGCAACGTCTCCTTCGCAATCTTCCATCCATCGCTTCCACTCATCATTTCAGGTGCAGAAGATGGTACAGTTAAGATTTGGAACTCAAACACTTACAGACTCGAACAAACTCTCAACTACGGTTTAGAGAGAGCTTGGTCGATTGCTTACTCAAAGTCTATTAATGACGTTGCTGTCGGTTTTGACGAAGGTTCGGTCGTATTTAAGGTGTGTTTCACACAATTTATTTTTGATGTTACTGACAAAACCGCCAGCTTGGTCGTGAAGAACCTACATTTTCGATGGACACCTCCGGTAAGGTCATCTTCGCACGCAACAGTGAAATCTATGGTACAAACCTTCAAACAATCGAGCAATCTGATTTGGTCGACGGTCAACGTATACCATCTCAAGCACGTGAATTAGGCAGCACTGAAGTTTTCCCACAAAGTATTGAACATTCACCAAATGGCAGATTCGTCACTGTTTGTGGTGATGGTGAATATATTATCTATACCGCTTTAGCATGGCGCAACAAAGCCTTCGGTCTTGGTACATCCTTTGCTTGGGCTGGTGACAGCAACACCTACGCAGTTAGAGAGCCAAGTGGAAAACTGAGGATGTTTAAGAACTTCAAAGAGAAGAACGCTCCTACAGTTGCAAACAGCATGGGCGGAATTACAAATGTGTACGGTGGTACACTCCTTGGTGTTCAAGGTCCAGGTTGGATTTTATTCTGTGATTGGGAAACAGGAAATGTTGTCCGTAGGATCGATGTAGATGTCACCAATGTTAGCTGGTCACCTGCTGGCGATGTCGTCGCTATTGTTGCTGAAGATTCAGTTTATATGCTCAACTTCAATAGAGAAGCTTATGATGAATTTGTTGCAAGCGGTGGTGATCTAGGTGATGAGGGTGTCGAGGATGCATTTGAAGTAGTTTCAGAGATAACTGATAGGTGAGTTTTGTTGCAAAGTAAGATTAATCTAACAAAAACACGTAGTGTAAGCACATGCAAGTGGCTCGGAGATTGCTTTGTATACATTTCAACAACTAACCGCTTGTGTTATGTATTGGGTGAACAATCTCAACCTTTGAACAACTTTGATGGCCCACAATACCTCCTGGGTTACATATCTACACAAAATCGTGTTTACGTTATAGACAAGGATTTACAAATAAGATCATACGCATTGGCAAAATCATTGATAGAGTATCAATTAGCAATTCTCACCGGTGATCACGCATCAGCTGAGGCTATATTACCAAGTATACCAAGTGATCAAAAGAATAGAGTTGCTAGATTCTTAGAAGAACAAGGGTTGAAGGAATTGGCTATGACTGTTGCTACGGATACCGACCAAAAATTCGAGTTAGCAGTTGAATTGGGTAAGCTTGACGAAGCAAATGAGTTGGCCAAGGAAACGCCAAACGTTGATGCACAAAACAAATGGCGTACGCTTGGTGACAAAGCCCTTGAAGGTTGGGATATCAATCTCGCTGTTGATTGCTACAAGAAAGCAAACGATTTAGAAGCACTCCTGCTCATTTACACCAGCAACGCCAGCAAGGAAGGATTGGCAGAATTGGCAGCAATCGCTACTAAGAATGGTCAACACAATATTGCTTTCGCTGCACTCCTCCAACTCGGTTCACCTGGAGAATGCGTCGATTGCTTGATGCGCACAGAGAGGTTCGCAGAAGCTGCACTTTTTGCTAGCACCTACGCAAGAGACAGAATACAGGAATGTACAATGGCATGGAAGAACAGTTTGTTTAGCGACAAGAAAGACAAGATTGCTAAGAGTATAGCTGAACCTCAAGAGCAACCAGAGTTGTTTAACAATTTGATTGATGTTGAATAAAAAAATGTATGATTAATCTTCCTTATTTTTTTCATTTGGGGAGCTAGACAGTTAGACACACTGTGACACATTCCAGACAATATCCAGAAGAATGAATGTATGTGATGAGATTTACACGATTTTTTATGCCCGAATGGATGAATTCAAATTGTGTCACTTTCGTTTATTGGGGGTTCTCGTTCTTAATTATGAGGACGTGAGACCAAAAATTTCAGTACAAAGTAGTACATTTTATGCTAAAAAAGCGAAATATACTTTATTATGCGCGTAGCTAGCTATCGGCATCAATGAAAACACTAATCTAGTTTAGGTTCTCCTTCTAAAAAAGGAAATACCAGCCCGTGGCAGGCATTCGAAATGGTGATGTAATCACATCCTCGTTCTTGACCTTGAGGTATGCAGTGAGAAATGAGTAAGTAACTCGTGGAATATCTCTCGTTTATTAACAATTGTTAGCAGCCGTCGACGATAGTTCAATGAAGTCCGACAACAGATCGCAATCAAACAAAGTGAGTGTGTGGTATCTATTGTGTGTTTATCTAACAAATAAATAGAGTAGCGTTTCTGTTCAAACTAACAATAGGAATGATATAGCTATACAAACCTCACCCGCACTATACGATAATAATGAAGCCAGCCAAAATGGTCTTCTCGCCCCATCAACAACCTCACTCGCACCGACAGCACATAATGGTGTATACGGCAACAATTCAAATATACGGTCGAGATCTGTGTCATTTGCTAGCACAGCTGCACCTTCTCGCGTCGGTGTAAACGATCCTTACGCCGCGTTCAGATCAAAATCAACAATCTCGCTCGCTTTACCAACTGGTGACGCTATTGAAATAGAAGACGAACCTGACCAGCTTCCAACGGATCAGAAACCTGGCCAGCGTACACCTTCCCCACAGCAACCTTCGACTAAGATGCAAATATTCAGACGGATGTGCATCATCAACCTTGTCGCGTTCAGTTTCGGTATAGATTCCACGCTGTGGTTGCCATCTGTCTACAACTTCATCCTCACTCTCAGACCGAATGATGCGGACAGATATTTGGCTGTCACACAAGCCGTCAGTGCATTGGCACAGTTTATTGTTTCACTCAGTATCGGTGTTTTCGCAGCGAAAGTACACTCGCTCAAGTGGACAATTGTTGTTTGTATCGCGCTCTCTTTTGCCGGTAACTTCCTCTATTCTTGTGCAGGTGTGGGCGCGTTAAATAACGTGGGCGCTATTATCGGTGGTAGAATCCTCTGTGGTATCGCCTCAGGTAGCTCCGGTCTCGCGATGGGTTTCATTGCTATCAGTACGGCGAATGTAGACAGATTGGAAGCACTCTCTCAGTATCGTACCTATGCAGGTATAGCACTCGTTCTTGGACCAGCCCTAAACGCACTCTTTGGTCTTATCGACATCAAAATTGGAAATTATACAATCAATGAGAACAATGCGCCAACCTATTGCTCCTCGTTCATTATGGCTTTATTGGCTATCCTTCTCGGTTTATTCCTCAGTAATAAGACAAAGCCAGCACCAAATCCTATCGTTCCAGCTATTGAATTCTTCAGAAGAGGTCACTATGGACCTTCACTCATCATTTTGTGCTCCATGTTAAGCAGTTCTTACGTATCTGCTTTGATTCTTTATGTTTTACCGGACCGTTTATCCAGTTTCTGGGGATTCAGTACTGGTGTACAAGCTGGTTTACAGACCGCAGTTTATGCTGCAGGTTTGATAGGTAGTTTGCTGTCATCCTACATTCGCGACGGACTTGGACGGTTAGTCTTGAGCATCACCTCATGGAAGAACGGCGTTGACAAGGTCACACTCCTCGAGAGAGCCAAAGCTGATGGTGGTGTCAGTGCTGGTGCACCTCTTTACACCGGAATTGGTCTCGAAATTCTCCTAGGTATCGTGTCATTCCTCTGGGTCAGCCTTGGTTTAATCGCAATGATGATTTCATTTGGATTAGATTTCGTCTACAGTTCCTCACAAGCATCAACCGCTGCTGGATTTTTAATCGGTTGTGCGGTTGTCATGGTTGGATACAACATTCAAGCGGCGGTTTTACCAACGCTATTCTCAAAATCTCTCCCAAATGACCTTAGAGTCGCCCTCACACCATGGTACGGTGCTACTGTTGCCATGGGTAAGATCCTCGCACCTCTCATCACGGAAGCGATCACAAAAGCTACGCCAACGGGTGGAAGAACTGGAGGTAACCAGATTGGAGGTTACGCACTTGCTTTGGGCGTTAGCGTAATCGGTGTCATAACGACATTTTGGGTCAAATATCACCTCTCACACGCAACTTCATCCTAATTTCACATTCATACAAACAAAGGATTCTCGTTTATTCTCGATGTGGTTGTTTTTCATTCTATCGTGTCTATTGTTTTAATTTTTGCTTTACTTAATATATGCATTATTTTTTTAATTTAACCGTCACAGTCATTGAGCTTATCTAACTACTTGCATCATCGACAATGTTTAGCTGTATATTTGGCAGAGACACAGAAAACAAACACACTTATGAGAAGGTTCCTATCGAACATTTGCCATCATTTGAAACGAAATTGCTACAAACGTCACAAACGGAGTTAAACGACAGACTCGAGGATTTCAGAGAGCTGCTTACGGATAACAAGCTCGATTATTAGTGTGTACAGTACATTTATTGATATTTTTATAACGAAATCTCCAGTATCGTACCCACTACAGATGCACACGCGTCTGAGTATGTCGCAGACGCGGACGCTCGTTTGGCATTCCTTTCTGGATTTACGGGAAGCTCTGGTGTTGCTATCGTCGGTGCATACGATGCACACCTTTGGACGGATTCTCGCTACTACATCCAAGCAGAGCGCGAGCTTAGCAGGGCATGGACGCTCCATAAAGACGGTTTACCAGGTGTTCCAACCTGGACAGAATGGTTGTCTAAATACACGCAATCTGCGCGCATTGGAGTTGACCCAAAGTTGATGACTTACAAACAAGCAACATCCATCGAAGACATACTGCGTGACGTTGAATCACAATTGATATACACAGAACACAACCTCATAGACCAGATTTGGTATGAAAGGCCAGCACTCCCTCTCAGACCACTGTTTGTGCTCGGAATGGAGTTCACTGGTAAACACGCGAGCGAGAAATTGAAAGACGTCGATAACTGGCTGGGTCCTAAACGTGCATTTATCGCTAGCGCCCTCGATGATATAGCTTGGGTGCTTAACTTAAGGTACGTACACCTCATTTTGAGGACACTGGCTTATTGTGAAACAGGTGTCAGGATAGCGTACCATTTAATCCTGTTTTCTACTCATATCTGCTTATTTCACAGTCAAAGAAGGTGCTTTTCGTACACAAAGATCAACTCACTGGTGTCGTTTCCGACTATCTGAGTGACTTGAACGTCGAGATAAAGGATTATGCAAATATTGACAATACTCTGAAGAGTGTTTCGAGCAACTACACAACAATTTTTGCGTCAGAGACCGTATCTCGTGCTGTAGCATCCGATAGTGGATTTGTAGGTATCATCCTTGATATGCATGAGTATCTAATATCCCCCATAGAGCCGCATCAGGACTACGACATCACCAATCACCTTGGCTAAAGCCGCAAAGAACCCAGTCGAGCTCAAGGGAGCACGCGAAGCGTACAAGCGTGATGGATTAGCATTCGTAGGTTATTGTATTTTGAAGACCTTCCAGCCTGAACAACCCTAAGGTTCGCTTCCTTGCATGGCTCGATGGTCAAGTCAGAGCCGGTAATCCTGATCTAACAGAATGGAACGTTAGTGCAAAGTTCGACGAAATCAGAAGCAAATTGCCATTATTCAAAGGTCTCGCGTATGAGAATATATCAGCTACTGGTGCAAATGCAGGTGAGCGTTGTCGTTTTTCCTTCTATCAGTTGTTGATATACTTAAGCATTACCACATTACTCAACATCGAAAGACAACTCGCCAAAATTGGATTTAACAACGCCATATCTCAAGTGAGTGCTCCTAAAATCTAAGATAGCACTGACAGCAACTCCTAGTGACTCTGGTGGTCAATATCTCGACGGTACTTGTGACACCACTCGAACTGTTCATTTCGGCAAACCGACGAAAGAGCAAAAAGTTGCGTTCACGAGAGTTCTCCAAGGTCATATTGCTATTGACTCGCTCGTCTTCCCTGAAGGCACGACTGGCGGTCATATTGACGTATTAGCTAGACGTCCACTATGGCTCGAAAATCTAGATTTCGGTCATGGAACTGGGTGAGTTCAATTTAATGTCGTTTTGAAAATTCTAAAAGCCCAATAGTCATGGTATAGGTGCATACTTGAATGTGCACGAAGGACCACACGGCATAAACAAGGGTCTATCGTTCGCACAATTCCCTTTGCGTGTTGGATGTATGAACTCCAATGAGCCTGGATACTGTGAGTATTGAAAATTGTGGTCGTAATTTTCTGAGACACCCATATAGATGCCGAAAACAAATTTGGTATGCGTATCGAGTCGGTTGTCACAGTTAAGGAATCTTCTAAGAAGGGATGGTTGAAATACGAGAGACTGACTAAAGTACCTATCGATAAGCGTTTGGTAGACTACTCGCTCCTCACACAATTCGAGAAAGACTGGTTAAATGTGGGTACCTTCCATGTCCTGAAATACACACTAACAACACCAAAGGCTCACAATGAAGACGTCAAGCAGACGCTTTTACCACTCCTCGACAAATCTGACAAGTTGACCAGAAAATGGTTACAATTACAGTAAATGGATACATGTCCTTTTTGACTTATTACAATCTCGCTGTTGTTCTTCTTTCTTGGGATATTTTCACACGTTCCAATTCAGGTATCTGGTTAGGGGCGTCGACGATGAAAGAAGCTGGCCTCTGGCACGCAATTTCAGCGACGCGTATCATAACCCGTCTGGGTATGTCAATTTGGGAGTAGGCGAGAATGAAGACTCACGCCGTAAATCCTAGTATAGGCTTTATTGTGTTTCTCCCGGTCTCAAAGACGTGTTTGCGGAGACTGTGCCTGCTTGATACTGGATCAACATCGTCAAAGTGCTACAGTTTATGAGAGACATCACACTTAATGACCAGACACACCCAATGATAGGCATCGCTCTCATCTTCGAGATGTCCCAATCTCAGCAGCAGTTTGTCAGGTCTATGGCTCAGGAATGATTCCAGAGGGTGACTGAATATGCGCTGTACTGTGTGTAACATGAGTTAGAATGATTGTGTCTGTCAATACACACCTTCGTCTTCATTCAACATAGGCTTTAGTGTCTGTCAGCAGCCGTTTCTTTCTACGTGCAAGAAAACTTACAACTAGTGCCCTATCAGTAATGAGACAAACGATAGGCCATACTGTGACTGCAGAAAGTCCATATCCAGCTAAATGCGGCGGAAGTGTAGCTACATAGCGTACACAATCATAGTCTATAGGCAGTCCAATCTCCTCCTCCGCTTCACGTCTGGCTGTGTATTCTACGTCGACATCCGATGGCTCTTTCCTCCCGCCTATCAAGCAAGTATCACCAGGGTAGGAACTTAAGAAATCTGATCGTTGTGATAATAGCACGTGTAAATCTCCGAGCCTTCCAATAAATAGTGCGACCATTACAGCTGCTTGTTTACCCTTATCGTACCCCATTGGTGGTATAATATTTGATAGATTCCTCAAACGTCTGTAGTATAGCTTAGTCTATGACGCATATAATAATCGTTTATTCACTCTTTTGATTCGACGTTTAAACCGTTCACATCGTCTAATTTTAGTGTCGTCATCGTCGCTTATCAAGTGGGTAGAATAAAAGGAATGCGTATAAAATCAAATATTACATTTAACTAAGGTAATGGGAATGTAGATGGATTAATTCCAGCGTCCTTTATGCATCTTTCGAAGTATTCCCTGGATATTTTACGTTAGATAATTGATAGTGATATGAGTGTACACACCTTCTAAGCGCCTCATTGTCATATTGTGCAGTCAGACTGGCAGGTTCTGCATTTTCATCCCAAAACTCACCACCTGGAAGCTGTTCGATTGAGGCACTACCAAGGTATAAACCCGGTCTGGCACCAACTTCTGGGGTTATAGCGTATCTATTAGTGAGAAAGTCGACTGGTATTGACAATAGTGATGATAAACCGTAGTGATCCTTGTTAGAGATCGTAGTTTTCTAGGTAATTTGGATAAGCAAGGACTATAACATCAGGGAATTCACTTACGACAAAACCAGGATGGTAGTTTGCTACGAAAATTTTCCTGTATTTCTCGTCCGGGTGGTTTTTGAAACTCTCTTGCAGTTCACGTACAACCATTGCGAGTACTGAAATTAATTAGTTTTTCATTATTATTCAAGAGGTTAGAAACTAACATAACTTTGTATCGGTGTATATGTTGAATGCGTTCAATACGTAGCTACCAATAGACCAAGCATCTCTCAATGGTGTTCTCTTGTTAGAACCTGGGTGATCAGGGAGAGTAGACATTTTTGCACCACTCGATCCAGTGAAAATGATGCGTGGATCGTCTGATAAAGCAAGTGATGGGAGAAGTTGCTCGATAACAGCCAAATGACCCAACACATTACACTATCAACTTCATCAGTCAAGCTTATTATCCCATAGTATAAACTTACAGCATATGTCATTTCTAAGCCATCCTCGCTTGTTATCAGACTCGCGTTCGGTGCTATCAAACCGGCATTCAAATAGAGTATGTCGATCTTATTATCAGGATTTGCATTCCACTTGCTGGCAAATTCCCTGCATGAGGATAAAGAAGCGAGGTCGATTTTCCAAACTTCAACAGTGGTACTATCGTTCTTAATCTTTTTGACAACTTCCTGACGCGCTTTTTCTGCCTTATCGGTTGAGCGACATGCCATAATAAGCCTTGAAACCTTGTTCTCTACAAGATAGTCGCATTTTGCCAACCCAATTCCTAATTTATTTGAGCATCTGGTCACTGCTATAGATCCTCACTCACCAGCATTGGCACCTACACACACTACAGTCTTACCTTCGAATGTCTCACCGTTTATTTTTACTTCTTTAGTTGGTCTCAAACCCATCGTGATGGTATGATGTCAAAGGTAATAATTACGTTATATACACCACCGATACGCGGCGACCGCTGATAGGAAACAAAAATGAATACTAATGATATTAAATAAGTACTTTTTAGTCATAAGCTTTATTTCATGGTAAAACGAATGTGTATCAATGATATAAAGGTGAATAAAATGTGAGTGTCCTGAAATTTTTCAAATCCAGTATAATCAACAGATAAGAAATAAAATGTTAATAGATAGAATTTCCCATTCTATTCTGGCTTGTAATTTTTTTTTTAAAATAAAAGTAACAACCAAATTAACTATCCAGCTGTATCACTCTAGAGAGCAATAGCGAGAACAGCGAGTGCGACTGCTGAAACTGTTGCAACACCGGTGAAGGTTGATGCACCTGAGTCACCACCATCAGTGTTAGCGCTGGTTGCGCCGTTGTTGGTTGAAGATTCACCTGATGAACCTGAACCTGAGTCTGAGCTTGAACCTGATGAGCTTGAGCTTTCTGGGTTGGCAGCAGATGATGATGATGATGATGAAGCACCGCTTACAGAGACGTTGTTAGCTGCAATTGATGATTGGGTTACACAGTTAGATGAGCTTGGAGTGAATGCAGCTGCTGATGGTGTCTCTGTAACACCTACAGTGTAAACGGTTGGAGTACCGTCGATACTGTAAGTACCAGTGAAACGTTGTGCGAAAGTGGAGAATCCACCGTCAACAGGGTAGACACCTGGTGGGTAAGCGACGTCACCTTCACATGTGTCGAAACCTTCGTCGTTTGATCCTAATTTTGGGGATTAGTAGAGTGAAAATTTTCACGGAACACATACCTGGCATGACGAAGTCACAACCCATTTCATCTAACTTGTGTTCACACATGACACTGTGGATTATGTTAGTGTTAGAATTTTGCTAAATATAAAACTTACGGTGTGCCGAATGTTTCGTTACCAGCGATACATGCTCTGATACAAACTTGGTTGTATGAGAGGAACTCCATCCATTCTTGGTAGCTGACATCGCTACCAGAGACGTTTGATGTGATGTTACCACCTACTGGGTTACCGTCACCGGTAGCACCGTGTGGGTCGAGTTCTCCACCATAGTCACCATCTTGGACACCGATCTTGGTGAAGTCACCTTGTCTACGAGGTGTTAGATTGCCTTTTTAAGAATATAAATCACGTACGCGCGAACTTGGACATATGCGTCTGTCTTAACAAAGTGAGCAGAAGTGATAGTGCCGTCTGGAATGACTCTGGCGTTGTTTCTTGGTTGGGTGCACCAGGCAACTTGCTCAGCCTCAGTATCACCGATTGTCTTTCCTGCCTCTTTTGGACCGAAGAAACAGAAATCGTCGATGGAGTTGATAGAGACCAAACGAGCTTCAGATGATTGGTTAACATCTGTACCCATGGTTGGTGCAGGTGGGTTAGTGACACCCATAGCTGTAGGATGTTAGAGGGTGTCTAGACCTAAAGATACATACTCACTTCCACTTGCTACGACGTCTGGTGCGTTAGCATCCCAGGCGGCGGAAGCGAAGCCTGCGGCGGAGAGGATAGCAGCAGTTCTAAGTAATTGCATTGGTTGTTCGAGTTGAAGAAGCGGATTCAGGAATCGAGAAACTGACTTTTATAAATAAAGAATGACTCGCACGGGCCTATGGTATTTATAAATGCAGTCTACAAGAGAATAGAGAAAATATATACAAGGCACTCCAATGTACAGATGTCTCGCATTGTTGCTCCATCAGCAGACAGAACGATCTAAGAAAAATTGGCGCGTGCCTAATTAAATCTTTCTACGGTAGATATGCCAAGTATCTTTTTAATAACGCGTTAATTTAAAGGTATACAGAGACTAAATAAACACTCTAGAATAAATATACATCAGGTTCCTAAACAAATACTTCGACTCTCTCGATTTCTCCTCTCTCATTGTCTACTTTAACGGTGAAGGGTGTGCCAAGTCTTGGTGCTGCTAGATATTCAGATATAGCCTCCATAGTTTGGTTCTCTACGTCGAATTCCTTATTCAGCTGCGTTACATCACTACTCCCTTTGCGTTCCTCCAAGTATGACAAGAGTGACTGCGCACTTAGCCTATTACGCGTCATAGCTGCGTTCTCAATATCATTCTCTATTTTTCTACCTTTGAGAATATCCATCATTTTGTCTGACTAGTTCTCCATTAGATGTTTTCGCCACTATATAGAACTGTTACCCACTGGTTTAAAATTAGTTTGCATTTTATGTATCTTTACAGGATCAATCTTTGATAAATTCGCACTAAAATCTGGATCTTGTCCATCTTTTAGAATCTCCTCCTTTGGAGGTGCTTTCATTCTATTAAGTGACTCGCTAGCACGTGGTATTTCCTTAGTTTGTATTTTTGATAACCTTCTAGGTGCTTTTGATGCTGCGTTTCCCATATTTATATACACTAATGATGGTTGCTACGATTAGAAGTATAATAGTGTAGTTGAATCTATTAAATATAGCATTCTCTATGCTTAAATCGAATGTAGAATCTAGCTTGTAGTTTGATTTATAACAAATTTCTAACCTGCCATCCTCTATTATATCGGCTTTTACGTTGATTGGCTGATATGTATTAGATTACTGCTATATGATAGTATACACTCACACCAGCTGGATAAGATATTTTTGCTCTCAATAATTCACCCTCTTGATAGTCTACTAAGCGGTATTTATCGCAGAATACATCCGATGATAAGCTGTACGTGTGCCGTTTAGGGTACTTCAAATCAGGTGAGAGTACCTCAGCATCTACCAAATTACTCGACGCGTATTTAAATGTAACAACTTCTGTATCTGCTATCACTAGTACTGCCAATAAGAAAATCAGTAGTGATTTCATCAACATCATCGTAGCAATGATGAAACATCCTTGAAAACTTATGATTCTATTGATTTAGTACATCTATTCTATATCCATGAGATGGAATGGCGCAACTACAATAAGTACTTCTATTACTTATGCTCTTCATAAATAAGAAGTGGTTTAGCCTGTGAGAATTAACAAAATTATAGTAGCACAACACATTTTCAACGTTGTAGCCTGCAAAAAGAGGTCTTGCCCGGATTCGAACCGGGGTTAATGGAATATTTGTGAATCAAAATCCACTGTGATAACCGCTACACTACAAAACCAGTTGACGGTGTTAATCTGTTACTCATTAATATTGTTTGATTTACGGAAGGGAAAATTTTCAGTAAGTTATTTTTTTTTTAAAAAAAAAATATGATTTACTATGTATATTTTTAAATTTAAAATGTATTGAGCTGTTTAGACATATACTATTTCTATGATAAGGAATGTTAATATTCTGACAACCTTCCTTGTCTTTTTGAATGGGCGAGTATCGTTACACAGAGTTACCACTAGACCAAATGAAATATGCGAATGGTATCTACCAAACATTGCCCTCTGTATATTCTCCTTTTGCACGTATAATGCCAGGCTAGAGTTGTGAGAACGAGTGTTGTAAGTCAACAACATAGATCAAAGGTGCAATACTTTCGAATCAATTATTAATAGACATAACTATTCACTTCTTTATTTACCTCGGGTAATACATGTGATAGAGAGTTTGTACTCTTATAAAGTTCTACAGAACAGTGTTGTTATTCTCAAAAAATATGAAAATGCTTGTTCATGATTTTTCCTTTAATATTATTATCCCTTGATAGATTTTCATTGTGTCCCCATTGTCCCCATTATTTCCCTTGTTCCTTTTGCGCCGCAGTGTCTATGGTTAATAAGCTGCGTCTGTACCTGACAGATAATTGACGTTGTATATCCAACAATTCTATCTGAATTCCAACGAACGATGTTTGAAACTTAGTAAATCAATTTATTTTAACTGTCTCACCAGATAATAACGGCCACGATATATGAAACATGTCAAGAAAGGTAATTACTATATTCGTTCATTGTGTGAATTTAATGACCGAAGGGTGATTAATAACGGAACCAAATAATTAAATGCGAATATATATGTATGGTTCAAAAGTGGTTACGTAATGCGAAGTAATTCAGTAATAATACATTGTAAGATAAATTGAGAGAAACGTTCTCGAAATTACTAGATAAAGCGAAAAAAGTAATTATTGATTTTGAGGGCACTTTTGGTATGGATGAGTGTGTCGCTGTTTAGTTCGTTAGTCAAGGTTGGATGTTTTTCAATCTAATACCCACTTTGGTCGTGTGTGTCGTTCTGCTCATGCGAGCTTTTGTTTTATAACTATGTACACTGCAATTGAGTGCCTGTATGATTGTCATTGCAGAAGACATCATCTTCAAGAAGTTGTCTAGACCTTCGTGAAATTCATTTTCGTAAGGAAAGCTTTCAAGCTCTTTTTCCTATTAAGCGTATTTGTCGGTTCACCATTTTGGGTAGTTGGCGTCGATGGTTGAGTAGCTCCTTTTTCTTTCTTCACTCTCCTCGATCTAGTTGAAGAGAGTGAATTCAGTCGTGATAATAGATTTGGGGTGCTAGCGCTTGACCATGATTTATGCTTTGATGATTTGCTACTCGTTGGTTGAGCTGTGTTCTGTGGTCCGAAATCATCAGGTGTCCTGGCTATTTCATCTTTCTTCCATTGCGCTGTACCATCCTCACCGATTCGCAGCTTTGGTAATTGGGGGACTCCAGCCACGCGGGCTTCTGTAGATGTTCGTGACATTCCTGGACGGTTTACCTCCAATGACCCTGATTGGCGTGACTGTTGCGATGATATTCTACTCATCTCAGGAAGAGGCAACTCCTTATTGACATGTGAATCTGAAGAATGAGATTCGTCACTATGGAAGAAGAACTTTGAAAGCGGTGACATTCTTCCTACCTCATTCGGTAATTCGAGCTGAGGTGTGGGCAAATCACTCAACCGGAGAACTTCCTCATTGTCATCGTGGCGTTGCTTATGCGAAGTGATTAGATTTGTAAATCTCGATCTTGAGCGCGTCCTTTTATGTGATTCTGGGGTGTTGGCACTCACTATACGTTGATGAGATTGTCGACCACGGACTGGTGTCGCGCTGGTTTCTGCAGCTCCGCTCGACGTCGATTCTGGATGTGAGTATGTCACACTCCTTAGGACATTTGGTCGTTTGGGCGCCTTATCTTGCTCTTCGGGTGATTCGTCTGGTGGTCCAATATCACCTTGAAGATACTTAATGTAGAGCGCTTCAGTCTCGGTCAAAGGTTTTTTGGCGCTCGACTGGGAAGCCTGCCACAAATTCTGTTCAGATGTGCTGCCCCTAAGTGTGCTCTTGAGACCACTAAAACTTTTATTGCGTTTACGTTCAGTGAATCCATGATCATCTGCTTTGGGTATAGGGGCCTTCTCAGTCGCATAGATAGCCGTAGGTGTGCTAAGAGGAGAGTTACCATGGTGTGTGGTAGGAGTGAACGACTTTATAGAATCACCAAAACTACTAAATTTACTACTAAATGAGTGTCCGAGCTTACGGCGATTTTTGTATATTTGTGATTTAGAGTGATGATCGTCAATAGGGGTTAAAGCTGCGGAACTGTCCGTGTTGTGAATTGCATCACTGGATGATGATCCACCCAAAGTCCCTGATGTCTTGCGCTTGCGTCCATATATTTCGGTTATCCGAGATGGTGACTTCTTCTTCGACTGGTCAGGCTGATCGTCGAATATATCTCCGAATGAGTTGTTGGTTTCATCCGTCGTATCCAAGTAAACGAAGCTTCTACGGCGTTTCACATCAGGCTTTTTATGGCTAGGTCCCTTTTGCTCGTTCGCTAATGCATTGAGATCGGCATGAACTGAGCGTACTTTCCTAGGGCGAACTTGATTACGTGATGGTAAGTTCAAGGCTGCCATATAACGCGCTTGTGACAGCTCCTCTGAAAGTATGCTGGCCATACATCTATCAACCGCTGCACGAGGTGCTGAAGGTGAACGACGTAATACAAGTGGCTCAGCTGGGTTTCCATTGTGGTAGACAAATTTGGTCGAGCTTGATTTGTTGATAGATGGCGCGGTTTCCGGTGGTGGTAAGAGATTGTAATGAAATGACATTGCAGGTGTAGGAGATTCCTGTGGGGGTGGGGTAGTTTCCATGTTACTCATCAGATCCGTCGTAATTGGTAAAGAATTTCTCTTTCGCGCCAGCAGTTTGAAATGTTGGTTGAACTGAGTTGCTGACTCTTCAACATCCTCTGCTGTGGCTGATGCTGGAGGGGCTGCAACTTTGCGATGAGCTAATGAATAAGGTACGTTTGTAGGCAACATTTTTATATTATTAGAATTACCAGTTGTCATTGCAGATGCGTAATCTTGTGACCATAATTTGCGAGAAATTGATATTGAGTTGATGATTGATTTCATCCAGATCTCTTTCTCTTGCTCAGAGCAACAACTAAATTCGAAGTGTTGCGTATGTAATGACATTCTGAATGAGTTTTGCATCAGACCTGCTAGAATGTTAATTAAAAGGAACGTGTTGGACTTATAACCTACCTTCACCAGATGGTACATCAGTTACGTGCCACAAATCCAAAGGGAACCAATAGCGAGGTTCATACATGGTACTTTTGCGTATTTTGACCAAAACTAGGAAACGCTCGTAGAGGAATGCGCCAAGATACTGGTGAGATGTTAGAATAATCACGTAAGACAGGAACAGATCTTACCTTGACCTTCAAAGGAGGAACTAATGGCAGCTTCGAGTTGTGCACAAAGACATCAAGTGCACCAATCAACTTTGTCATTCCGAATGACAGTATTTCCGATGCTGATAATTCGGAATGACCTTCGCATCTAGCTGCTACTAGTTCACTCTTTTCTTGTTGCTGAGCTTCCAACCTGGCCTGATCAGCTTTCTCTGCGACGACTTTCATCATATCAAGTGCTTTTTCAACTCTAGTGTCCTCATCGCTACTTGATTTGGCCAGTGAATCTAAAACGAGAGGGTAGCGACAAACGCGCTGAATTGGCTTAATTAGGTAATCCTTTAATTGAAGTTTGTTGTTTTGTGGTTTGTACTGTTGTGATTGTAGGAAGCACCTCCTCTCATAGTTGGGCCAAATCGGAAGATTATTGGACGCAGATAATTTGCTAAGCGCACGAGAGTGCTGCGCACAGAATTCGTTGTACATATCAAAGTATGGAGCTTGATCGATGAAAGCATTTGCGACTTTGTTCGTGCACCTGTCGATGATGGACTTGTGTTGAGAGGAACCAGCGCCGATGAAGAACTTGTCGAGGTGGGTTTGCTCTTCCTCTAAGACTTTATCGAGTGAAGTCGTAATCCTCGAATGTAAGGCTAAAATGGATGAAATGTTGCGTTTTATGAGATTTCTAGTAGGATAACTTAAGCTTTTTGGTAGATTGTGTAGAAAAACTTCGACTAAGATACGTAAGTCATTATAATATTGCCTTTCGGTTGAGATTAACTCTAATAGAATGTGATATTTGCGTATAACAGATTTATCGACTAGAGATAGAGATCTATTTGTAGATGTGGAGGACTTTGAAGATAATTCGGTGTGTATAGTAGATATGCAGCTGAAAGATTGGCTAGCTGTTGTATTCGTCGTCGTCGTTGACGTAGACTTTGAGTTCAGCGGTATAGAAACCATATCTCTAACAAAATGGAACTCATAACCAGCGATAGTGGATCTTCGCTTGACGGTCATTTAGAGAGTTTCCAAATTAAAATTAATTTCGTTTTTAATTTATAGCCGTTTTTGGTAGTTGATGCTCGTTCAACAGAACGTCGATATTGACGCGTTTGCTAATTAAAAAATTATTAAATGTCACAGTCTAAAGCATTTTTATGTGACGTCGTATTAGAAAGGAGTGATAGTCTAGAGTATTCAGAGTTGTTAGACGGTTTAGGCGATGACTTAATAGAAAACAACTTCGTCGGATCACTCCCACCAAAGCCTACTAAGCTCCCAAACCAACAGTCTTTCTCCCAGCAATTGAATGAGCTAGTCAGTACCGAGAAATCCTACGTTAAGCGTATCACAGCCCTGAAACTCAACTACTCAGACCCACTCAGACAGTTCGCTAAGCACAAAGACACGCAAATTATCAACTTATTTGACGCTAAGACTCTTTTCGGTAATATTGACCAGTTAGTCACCGCAAACACCGCGTTTTTAAACGAATTGGAGCACGCGAATGAGTTCAACATTGGAAACATCTGTTTGGCGCATTTCCCAAATTTCACATGCTACAATCAGTACTATTTCAACAGGCAGAAGAGTGTTGACCTTTTCAAAGATCTTCTCAAGAAAAAGTCCTTTGTCGAGTTCATCGACAGAACGAAATGGCAGACAACGGGCCTAAATAACATCGGTTTGCGTGAACTTCTTATGGAACCGGTCCAACGCATCCCCAGATACATCCTCCTCTTTCAAGGTATGTGTTTTACTAACTGCCGAACTATGTCTCAAATCGGTCTCAGGAATGATGAATTACTTAGATGAACAACATGACCAAAGAACACAACTCTACAAATCTTTAGATCTGGCATCAAAGATCGCTTCATGTGAAGCTGACGAAACAACGAAGAGGGCAACCCTCATGCACACCCTCCAACGCAATATACAAAACTTCCCAGTGAGTTATATTATCCATAGCGCGCTTTACTCATTCAGAACAGCCTAATTTGATATCTCACAACCGCACACTCATCGACTGTCTCGATGTAAATGACCTTCCAACTCCTATGACCGGACATATCGAAGAGCCGCTACCATGTACTGTATTTTTATTCAACGACAAACTCGTTATCGCAAAGCGTCCGTCAAGCAACTCCCGTGGTCGTAAACTCTCAGGTCTGGACGACCTTGATGCGTCTAATCCTTCAGCCACACCAGCAAAGTCCTGGGGAATATCCAAGACACAGCTGGTCTGTAAAATTGTCGCAGATTTGTCTGAATTGACTGTAACTGATTTATCGAATGAAGGTCAGTACAGTGTTTTCCTATCACTTACTTGCTCACCTAGCTGTAGAATTCGGTGTTGTATTCCAAAGTTCAGCTTTCTCCGATTGTGATGATGAACGCTTTAACAGAACATCGAAAGCATTTCAAGTAACTCAAGTCGCATTTTCTCCAAGTGAGCCACTCTCCACTGCCTCACCAATGTCGAGGTTTATCACAAAGATCTGGAAACAGCAGGCCCTGTTACGCGCAAAAGATGGTAATTCTTATGCTAAGATATCTAGAGATTGGCTCCCACTCATGAGTGGTGCTGTCGCTGGTGGTCGAGGAAATGGTCAGGCTAGGCTGTATTTCAATGTCTATGAGAGCCGCGACAAGTGGTTCAGATCTGCAAATAAATCCAAAGCGGTCCTTCAAATCGACGGAACTCATGGTCAAGCGGATAGTATACCAGTCGGAGAAGGCGGTACACTTCCCTTGCTAGTCATACGAGCTGAAGCGATGGAGGGTAACCTCTGCAGACTTACAACCGAATTCAGTAATCCACCCGAGACGCTCAACGAGATTATGAATATTGAAGACGTCTACACCAGAGTTGTCTGGCACATCCAAGCTCAAGGGTTATACGATTACAAGCCAGCAGGTTTGGCTACGATGGGTAAAAAACGTGAAAGGGCTCCATCATCGCCAACGAAACTCAAGTTTGAGAGTATATCCAAAGGCTTCTTCAAGAACGGTAACAGTGGTAACAAACTTGGTGTCCCTGACCAGCATGACTTCAGTAATTCGACAAATTCACACAACTCACACAGGCGGACTCGTTCATTGGTTAGTAAGTCTAGTAGCACTTTCGGTAGTTTATCGAGTGCCGTGACATCCACACCGGCAACATCTGTTGAGGGTCCGAGCGGCGGTACAGGAAAACCACCATCACCACTGCCTAAGTCACCGCCACAGCAAACTTACGAGCGGAAAGTCAAGAGGAAACAAACTCCTGCATCACATGAAGCCGAGCGCGAAGCTGCAGAAGAAGCGTACCGGAAAGCCGAGTGTTTACGCGCTGAGCAACTCCAACAGGAGGAAGAAGAGCGCCAAGCGGCTATCAAGAAGGCCGAAGAGGAGGTTGAATTACTCAACTACCGTGACAGAGTTCGGGCATCTTATCTCGACAGACCACATTCTGTACCACCACCGTCGACTTCAAACATGACAGATGAAGATGGCGACGACAGTGATGCCTACGATGACGCACAATCAGACGTTGCAGATACGCTCAGACGCCGCAATACACGTTCAAGTATGGCTACAGTTGGAAATTACAGTATACGCTCAGAGGCAACCACTTCAGTGCCATGGGGAAGCGACACTGAAGCGCGGACATCTGACGCTACCCAAGGAAATGGCTCAACTATATCCAATTCAACAAGTGTTGATCTCAGATTTAGTGAGAGTGATTCATTCCCTATCGATCAGGCCGAGGCCGACCTAGACAGACAACCGTCATATGTTCCGGGAGGAGCAGACGAGGCAACTGTTGGAGCACGGACTGATTCAGGACGTACTGATTCAACACATTCGAAATCTAGATCTACGTCGAGACGTCGCTCATCGAGTCTGCCGAGCTACCCAACTGAAAGTGTTAGCAGCTCACTCATACCACCAGAGCCGGCATTTAGTATGTCAAGGCAACCAACTACATCTTCAGTATGGTCACGTAGTACCGGTTTAAGTGCTTCTTCATCCACCCGTAAACCATTTGGTCCACGACAACAATCGACAAACTCAAGTAGAGGCACACCAACTCCAAGGGTCGGAACTGGCTATAGGATGGATTTGCCAGTTGTCCGACCATTGTCAATCCCATCGAAGAAGCCAGTTGAAGATACATACGGATATACCAATGCACTCAACGACTGGGTCTACGGAGATGACAGGAACGATGAGAAAGAAAATGCCAGAAGTATGCCGCCACCATCCAAACCATCGGTAAAAAGGCACGCCGTCATGATGGACCTCGGACTTGAGAATCGGAAACGAAAGTGGGGGGAAATACAGAAAGAGGGTAATAACGCAGATTATCTAGAATACCTAATTGATAGTGTAAGTCGGAGTTTTTTAAACTATAACGCCATCTAATATAAGCAAAAAAAAAGTTAGACCAAGATGCACAAGTGTGGAAAAAACACAAATCTGGAGAGATAAATGAGAAATCTTTCAAGGAAATGGAAATAGCAAAGTATATAGAAACAGAAGTAGCTAGAAAGCTACAAGAAAGAGTCTCAAAAGATGAAGAAAAAATGAAAATACTCGAAAAGCAATTGATGGAATGTAAGAATGAAATAAGTGTATTATACGAATCGTTCAATGAGGAATTGGATGGAATGTACGCTGATGTAAACTCCGGAGACGATGCTATAGAAAAAATGTCTCGTGACTTGTTCGTGGCAAAATCTCAAAGAAACGAATACTTGAAGATATCTACGGAGTTAAAGCAACAGTTAGATTTATTAATGTAAATTTTATTTTTATAAATTTTGATATTTTATAATTTTTTAAAAACGCAGTTCCGGGCGCTGATCACTGAGAGAAGCGGCGGCTGATATGTGCGCTTCTTTCTGCAATCAATGAAAGGACGGCATGGATTGACATTAAATAAATTAGAGGAGGATCGTGAATTAAGCGGAGAATTTAAAAGATTCTTAGAATATAATCAACATTCAATCGAGAACTTAAATTTCATCCTTTGGTTCAAAGCTTATAAACAACGATTTAATGAGTTGCAGCAATCTGAGCAGGATAAATCTATCAGTCCAAAGTCAAAATCGAAAAAGAAGCATAAAATTGGTAGTCCACCCCCTGAGCAACCGTTTAGACCGGAAATTGATCAAGTGATAACCATTTATTTCGATAAAGCATCACATTTCGAGCTGAACTTACCTGAAGACATACAAAAAGCCGTTATAGATCTAGCAAACCTTTCAACACATCCGGATTGCTTTCTAAAAGCATATGATCACGTTCACTACCTCATCGAATCGTCCTCTATACCAGAATTTCTGAATCACAAGTATCCGCAAACTTCAAAACCATCTTCTAGTAGCAAATTCAAGCAATTTTTTAGATCATTATAGACTCAATTATAGATTATTGCAAAGTTATAAGTACAAAATTAATCCATTTAACATTATTTTTTACGTTTAAGTAGTCTGAATTTATTGTGTGTTGACTTAGTTTGTTGTGAAGGTGTATTAGACCTTAAATAGCCTAATTCCTCTTCTTCACTATCTTCGACATCATCCGAACCGAAAAGAACATCAAAATGTGTGACAAGGACTTTAACGAATTGAGCTGATAAATTGACACTTGGACATATAACTAATATTAGATTTGATAATGTCATCTTGTTTATATCACTATTATCCGCTGTTAATTTTAAAATTTTCATCGTTAACCTTAATAACCAATAATTTGAGCAAGGTAAATCATTTAAGATATCCTTTAAAAGTTTCAAATCTAATTGATTGAAATCCTTTCCTTCTGTTTGATTATAATTACATTTAAATGCAGCTGCAGGTGCATCATCTGAAGTCACAGCATTTACTTTATAAGTAATCTGCATAAAATCGTTAAATTGTGGTATAGTTTCATTACTAAGTATGTTATGTGGTACTAAATAAGTAATTAGTTTTGTTGTAATGATAAGAAAATATCACCTCACATTCTCTTAAGTATGCTTTGAATATAGATGCCACGGCATGTGGATCCAAAACAGATGGGTGTATATCTCTAAGGTTAATATCACTACCAGAATCGAATTCATTCTTTAATTGTAAGATCTGTGATGATTTTCCTGAGATTCTAAAAATTCCTTCTTCAACAATAGCCCATTGTATTAAGTATTCGAAGCATCTGATGATCAAACAAGGTAGATGATCTTTTGCTTCTATAGGTATCTTCCATAAGGATGTGCTTTTATCTATCTTTGTATAATAACTCGATTGTTGTAAATTTACACCAAAAACTAATTTTTGATTAGATTTTCCAACTCTCGTTCTAAAGTTTGAGATTGAAGTTTGATGATTTACTTTACTGATATCATTGAAATGTAGACTAGAAAATGCTTTTCCTAGCATACCACGTTTGCTATCCTTATCCTTATCCTTATCCTTTGTGGTGGTATTACTGATATCTTTATAACCATTATCAAAGCTAGATGATTCGCTGCTGATCTGTGGCGTTGAAAGCGAGTTTGAAAAATTTGGCATCCATCCCTGGATTTTGTTTGACAAGTAGTCAGTTGATATATTCCGATAATGATTGACAGATTTTAGACTCGGTGAATAGCTAGAGGTTGCTGCTTGAGGGATATTTGAGGTCGATATGCTCATGCTAGGTGGTCGGCTAGGAGGGTTGCTAGGTGAGTTGAATATCTGCAAACTAGGCTTTGTACGCCTCCTCTGACTATTTCGTTTGCCATTCGTTATCGTCGTGCTACTAGATCTGTTCGACTTCCTATCATTATCGTCGTCTGGTTGGTATGTTTGACCGCTAGTACCGCCGACGTTGTTGAACATGACGCTGAGTGGTCGCTTATTGAGTTCCTCGGTCGTTGATTCAAACTTCGGACTGGATATCGTCGGGGTTGATCTCGCTACTTTTTGAGATTGTTCGTCTGTGCTGCTCTGCTGGCTGTTCTGTATGAAGTATATCAAGGCGGGTGATATCGTCGGTGAACTCGGTTCTAGATATTCATCCTTTTTCGTTATTTGCATTTCCTACTTCAATGTACCCAGTTGAGAGGTCAGAGCATGATTAATCGATAAAAGGGTGCATTTTATTTTATAAAATTAATACTAAGACTACAATCAATACGACTATAACTAATATAATCAATAAGCAGAACGCTCTCTTTCCCGCTTTGCGTTGGTATTCATGAGCCGAAACGAGCTGTTGATTAGCTCGGTTGGTATCGCTAGCGATAGAGTAGACGTTTGACTCGATGTTGTCCAGCATACCCCCTTGCTCTACTACTATGTTACCCAGATCCCTAAATATGTCGTTTAATTCTTGTATACCTCTGCGTTTTTAATTTAAGTTATGCACCCCAAAAATATCAACACACCCACGTTTCAATATCTCTAATCTCATTATCGCGCTCCTCTATGAGTCCTTCCTGGTAGCGCCTTTCTGCGTCTGTCATTCTCCGTGGCTGCTGTACCTGCTGCTGTAGCTGTTCCTGTGGAATTGCGTTTTCCTCCTCAAGTTGAAATTGATCTTGATGGTTGTATAGCACCTCATCTTGATTTCTAGAAACTGTCTGCTGCTGATTGCTAACGCGCTGGAGTTCTCTCTCGGTTGATATCTTGGTACGCTCGGCAGCTTCCTTTTGCACCCTCTGGAATGATTGTATAGCTAGACTAAACTCACGGTTTATCTTTGCTTGTGTGTTGCTAACGACGTCTGGCTTATCACCGGCTTGATCCCATGTCGTCAACCTACGGACGTCTTCGCTCGTATTTTTTACTATGACTCTAGTAGATTCTAGTAATTCATGCAGCCTATCCCTAGAGTCGCCTTGTTCTTTCGTTGTACCTAGAACGGTGACTATGCGATTAATACCTTGTATATTCCCGTTTATTTTGAATATACTAATACTAAGCTTATCTTTCAGCTGTGTGAATTCATCTTTTCGCTAGTTAGCGCTAATAGAGGGTGGGTGCATAGACTCACTAGATACGCCCGGACTGTTGCTAGCTCGTGAGAGCTGTACACCACCACTTTCTAGATCATTGAAGCTGTTGGTCTATTAGATTGCTCGCTAGCCCCTGTATTTCTCTATCTCACCTCATCGTAGTTGATAAAGAACTGAACTGACGTATTGAATAGAAAATATATATATAAATATAGAAAAACAAGCTACTATTATATTATACAAGCTATTCATATCCAATCGTTATGCCAGCTATAAGGCTTTTCTTCGTGATTGACATCCTTTCGAGAATAGCGGCTATGACCGTCGATTCTTGAGAGACCTTTGCTGTAGGCTGTAATGTAGATTCTCTGCGTTTTATCTGTCCATGACGCTCGTATTCGACCAGACGCAACATCGTAGAGGCGAAACCAACAGTCGACCATTTCCTATAAAGAACAACACCACTCTCTAGCTTCTCAAACTCTTTCATGCGCTGGCTGAGGCTGTGCAGCAATGGCTGTATCGACTCTTGAAATTCATTTCCAGCATAAATAATGAAATGTCTCAAGTTTGGTGTGCAATTTACCAGTAAATCAACAACCTCCTGCGGTTCTCCTCCCTCTAGGTATACACTCCTACATTCGAGCACAAGTGTTGTTATCTTATCAAAAACGACGTGTTTTATTGACAAGATGTGGTATAATGAACTCAAGACAATGTTGACTTGAGTAAGATTAGGAAATGACTTCAGGTTCGCCGCAAGCTTGTTAAAAAGGATGTGCCTCCTGCCTGTATGTGTTTTTAGATATAATTGTAGGGAAGAAAATCTCTAACCTGATCTGATGTTGTTCATGTTGACACATAAGGTCCTAAGTATTGTAAATTTACATAAGGCGAGAATACAACGCTCACCTCAGTGCGAAACGGTGGCGTTCGATCTTGGTCATATTTGATAAATGCCTGTTGAAACTGTCGATAAGCATGTATGTATTTTCACGATAGACAAGCCTGCAAAGACCATAAAGCTCATATCTAGGTCCGACAACTGTATTATTTAACCATCTGAATCCAATGTGGTAGAGGGATCTGCAGGTGAATGCAATTTGTGGCTCTAGACAGATTATCTTGTCTAGGATTTCGACAGGTAGTGAGTAAATCGAGGTGGGTATATCTCTATTAATTGTGGTATGCTGACCGTCTGTAATATCTTTACTAGTATCGAAAACATCCATTATCGCCGTCGACTGTCGCCTCATTTCATCGTCGTCAGCTGATAAGATGCATTCCAAATGATGAAGAACATACATATCACTCATACAGCCAGGTATCATCTACAAATATTACAATAATACAACACAATTATCATGTAAAGATCTGGTGCGACATGCCACCTCGGAAGCAAGTCCGTCTGCAAAATTTCAAGGCATAATATTACGAATAAATACATAGATTATAAACTTTTTATTCAGATTTAGATACGTTAACGGCATCTTTGACAACGCCTTTCGTTATGGTCTTTCCTTCATTGCTCAAATCTTTGATTTGATCAGCAGCTTCCCGGCTAGCTAGTGTACCATGTTTGGTGAGTTTTTCCATTATCTCGTCAACATCTCTTGTCAGTAGCTCTTCATCTAATCCTGCTTTGTCTCTCATTTCAGCCGTAGGCGTTCCGTCAAAGAGTTCCTCAAGTGCATCATCGCGTCTCTGCTTAAGCTTGGTTTGTAAACGATCGGTGCCGCCCATATATTTGAAGTAATTGAATGCTACAATAACCACGATAATGCCGTATCCACCGACACTATACCATCCTTTCAGACTGTTCTTAAAACCGAGCAGCATGAACGGAATAATAGCGAAGTTAATCAGCATCTGCGTAGTCACAATTGAGAGAACATCATAAAGTGGCTTTTTAGATGTGTCGATAAAGAACGGCCTAATGTTCTTCCTCACGAGCTTGCCAAGAGCTTGAAGGAATCCACCGTAAATGAAAGTGAGGTAGTACCCCATTGGCAGACCATGCCAGAATGCACTAGTGACAAATGTAATGAGTGTGCTCTGAAAACCTGGTTTCTTTCCTTTGGTAGTGACGCGCTTGTATACGCAAGAACGCAACCACACGTTGGTGTTCATATTCCACGCGTCTAGGAGTTCTTTGACATTTTGTGCAAGCTCTACACCAAGTACGTCTATATTACGTACACGATCCCAGCGCGTACGTCCATTTTTCTCGTTGTAGCCATTGAAACCCAGTCCTGAAATAATACAAGCACCTTCGGAAATAGACCATACAGCGTAGTATTTGCATCTTGTTATAACGGCCGACTTCTGAAGGAAGGCAATCCTTGACAAAATACCATGGTTCTTCTTCCACTCGCTGTCGATAAGGAAACCCATATCAGTTGAACCACCGAAAACAGCATAGAGAGCCATAAATATCAACCCAAATACCATTCTGCGATAACCTGCGCGACGACGTCCTTTCAATTTGCGAGGGCGTGATGTCTCGAAGAGGCTGTTGTCGACCAGACTGGCGTAGGCGTCGTAAGGGAATGCCGGACCAACCAGTATAGCGGGGAAATAGAGTGTGTAAGCTAAGAATCCGAGTAGAGGTGGTTGTTTCATGACTCTATTATCTTTCTGATAGTCTTCAAGCTCCTCCTCTTTGAGCTGTCCGTCGTGTACATTCCAGGCATACGTCGTTGTACGCTGGATAAGAACCATGAGACTCCCGCTGATCTCAATCGCAGTCGATGGTGTGACATGTATCAACCTTTGTATGTGGAAGAGCAACAAATGGGTCATTGCAAAGCCCATGACAACCCATGGCATCCAGCTATACGCGCTGAATGATTTTGCGAGATAAAAGCTCACTATTGAGTTAAATAGTAAGTTCAAGAGTCCATATTTCAAATCGAAAATGCCGATTAAAAAGAAAAGTGAGCAAAGAAGGTTGAACGCGTTGCGTAGACTAGGATATTGCGAGGGTATACGCAAGAATACTGCTAGGGGTTATTACGCCATTATATACCAAGGTTGAGCTCACAGTGGGATAACGGATAGCTAAGCAGGAGGCAACTGATCAGCTGTACGGTGTATGAGCTAATATAGGCTGCATAGATAAAATACCCACTTTGAGGTGATCAATCGGTATTCCTCCTACTTTTGCTGATAATCCTGAGTAAAAATCATCAATCATCCAGTTGATAGTACTCCGTGAAGAGCAATTTATAGACTATATAGATATATACGCTATATGATAACCAAATTACTCTCCAGATCAGTAACTAGCGTACGGGCTATATCCACGACCGCTCCAGCCGCGTCTGCGCTGCCCGTGCGGTTGGACGAGCTTCAGGGCTGGATGAGGGATAGGTATCCATCATTTAAAGCTAATGCCAGCCAAATTGAACTTCTTTCGAGTCCCAGTGACTTCCAAAAGAAATTCCGGGTGAGTGGGCCGCCCTTTGAACGCACTCGCTAATTCCGCTTACAGGAGGGAATAGAGAATGCCACGCGGAGTATATACATATCTACACTCTATATAGGTGAAGAGCAGCACCAACTTGTAAGCAAAAACTGCATTATGTTTATCTATGTCTCACTTGTACACAGATCGATCTCCTCCAGCGGCGTCTGGACGAAAGAAAGGACCTCACGCTGACGATTCTGGCTGACTATAATAGGTGTACACGCCAGACACCAGCTCACTCCTCTGCTAGTCTTATGGCACCACTCACAAAACGCTTTGGTGGTAGAGTACGAGTGTTTCTCTACAAGCCGAATACCAAACTGGGTGCTTTGGAGCGACTCATACCACCACGTTTCAAGGAGGGTTTCGGTACTCAACATACAAAGATTTACTGCTTTGACGATAACGTCCTACTCTCTGGTGCGAATATAAACACGTCCTACTTTACGGATAGACAGGACAGATATATGCACATAAGTGCACACCCTCGTTTGACAGAATACATGAGGTCTTTTGTAGAGCAGCTCGCACGTTTCAGTCACAAGTTGAGCTGTACAGACGATAGCGTCCAACCAGCTACCTACGAGTTGGCGTGGAACAACGACGAACCAGCCCACGCTTACGGCGAGAAAGCTCGAATTGAGGTCGAGAACTTCAACCAAAGCTTCAGATGTACGGATGAGCAGGAGGGCGATACTACTATCTATCCTCTAATCCAGGCTGGCTTATGGGGCGTCAGGCAAGAAGAGGAAGCAGTCAAGTATCTTCTTGAAGCCGTAAATGGCATACCAGGTGCTAAGTTGGATATAACAAGTGGATATTTCAGCTTGGGTGAGGCATACAAGCGTCGTATTATTAACAGTCGTGTACCAACTTCAATCATTGCGGCATCTCCTCACGCAAACGGCTTCCTCGGCAGCAAAGGTGTGAGCGGACGCATACCAGAAGCATACACGCACCTTGAATCAAAATTCTTCAGGAGCTGCGTCAAATATGGACGCGCGACGACACTTTCTCTCAAGGAATGGAGGAAAGATGGCTGGACGTACCATTGCAAAGGAATCTGGATTCGTAATGAAAAGGACGACGAGGATTGCATGGTGACGTTCATAGGAAGTTCAAACCTGAGTGGGCGTAGCTCAGATCTCGACTTGGAGCTCAGCTTTCTCATGCTAACAGAAAGCGAGAGTTTGGGGGACAAACTCAAGGCAGAGCTTGAGGACCTCGACGAACATAGCTCGTCTGTCAACCAGGCGACATTCGATGACAGTACACGGAAGGTCAGCCTGTTTACTAGATTTCTACTCTGGATTGGAATTGATAAGATGTTGTAATTGTAATGCATTATGTTACGTGCTATTCTGCGATGTGTCTTCCTTGAGTGATAGATCGTTCTATGAGATGTTAGATGGTCTATGCGCTGTAGTAGGAACCCACCTGATGCTTCTCTAATGCCTCCAGTCTCATCTTCTTGTGATTATTGTATCCCGTTATGAGGGTGAATGTCCCGTATACCTGGTATCTTATCAATCTAAGCAAAAAATGTATGATATAATTACAGTAACGCCTGCTAAAACGCTAACGAATGCTCTATGGGCAATATCTGCTACTCTGTATGCCGCTGGCATGATAGTTTATCAACAAGAGGTAGAAAGTTCAGTCCAGGCGCCTGGTAACTCATTTTTGCCTTGTTTTCGTCTGAGACGTTCTAAAATCGCTTCTACGTCTTCGCCTTGCTGTACAGCCTTCTCGCATTCGCTGAGGAGATAATCGACGGATGGCGTAGGATGTATATCTGTATGCGTTGTGGCAAGCGCTCTAACTACATGTCTTGATAGCTCCTGCACAGATTTCGTTTGCTTTTCACTGCTATCAACGGATTTCCTCTCCCTTCTTTTTGTATGGCTAGTCGATTTGGGTAGACTACCGATTGTTACTGCGACATTACCATCCGCATCTACAATAACACGTCGTCCATCGCTCAGTGTACAGCTTTCTACGATTTTCGAAGCCATGAAATCAAAACATCAGATATGGATCGCACTATAGTACAAGCTAACAAATAAAAAATATAACTAGACAAACAAGATTGGTGTATTAATATAATCCTTAAAAATGATTAGCGTCCTGGTGGTCCTTGAACCGGCAGGAGTAGCTCAGCGCTATCGATTCTAGCCGGGTAGGTGGATGCCTCAAGGGGTGGTGTTCCACGCGATGATGTGCGTGGTAGAATACCACCAGTTTCGCCATCAGTGAGTACATCCCGTACCTCTTTCGCGCATCTTATAAGCGAGTTGAATGTCATGTTGAGTGTATCGATGCTGGCGTGTGTGAGTTGATGAACACGGCTGATATGCGGATTCTGCGTCAATGCTCGTAATCTATCAGCAAGTTCCTTGCAATGTTCGTACGTCTCCTTTTCCGGTTGTGAGACGGCATTTTGCGATAAGTTATCAAGATATCTGACCAGATCGTCAAGAGACTGGCGTGTATTCGCGAGTGGTGAATATATTATATCCTCCAACGCTGGCAAAGCTTCTGATTGTGCCGGTGTGCTTGGCGGTTCGGCAAAAGATACATGGTTACTATATACTGGTGAATTGATAGACGCAGAAGTTGGTGGAGTGGCAGTTACGACGGTGAAAGTGAAAACATCACCGAATTCGTCATATGCACATGCAAGTTCGTCGTCTGTTGTGAGTGTGATGTTATCGCCATCGCTATCAATATACTGGAAATGGATAATATCAGAGACTGGGACAGAGTGTAGATAAGAGGCTACAGATTTCAGCTGCTGGTAATCGAATCTGTCGTCGCTGACTCTCTTACGTATCTCGCCGTGCTTTATGAATTTGTATGTTAATACCATGATGGGAGCTGATCAAGACGAAAAAGGAAAGAATCAAAAGCATACACTTATATAGCCTTATTCTATATACCGCAATAAAATACACACTTCTCTTACTAAGAGCCCGCCATGAGCAACTTTGACGACATTTATGACGAAGCCGTCGATATCGAAGACAAAGCAGAGAGACTGGGTTATGACGTAAAAGTGGTTGCAAGATTTGATAAGGCGCTTGATTTGTACAGACGCGCACTCGCTGTGAAGCCTAACAACTTTGACTGTCTATACAACTCCGCCAGACTGCGATTAGAAATAGGCAGTCACTACAAGCACCCAAACGAGTCTTTCCTCTGGTTACAGGAATCCTACAACGTCTTCTCAATAGCTGCAAACAACGCAGAAGACCAGCTCAGTAGATTTGACGCGATTTACAATTCCATTCAAGCTTTGACGACCATCGCTGAGCTGCACGCTGATATTGGAAATGAAGCAGAGGCGATACAGACTTACGAAAATGCAACATCCCTCATCAAGAATCTCGTTATGGAACAGCAGCAGTTGGGTACTGTTACTAATGATGTTGATCTAGGTGATGGTGCTAGTTTCTCACTCCCGCCATACCAAATTGTTCAAAATATCAAGTTGTTGATAGATGCTTTACTCAAATTGCATGATTTGAGCGACGATGTGGGATACCTCACCCGAGCACAAGTGGAACTAAACGATGCGATCAACATTAATAACACAGTAGAGGAGCAGTTTAAGGAGGTTGACTCTCTGATGCTTCTGCAAGCTAAAATACACTTGGGAGAGTATACATCATCACAACCACCTTCCGTGGATGCTGCCCAGGTCTTGGTAGGAGAATACAGGAGTGTGCTCGAACTCAGAAGCCAGAAGAAAGACAATGAGTGCGTGGAAGCACTCTGCGAGTTGGCTGAAGTGCTCGTTGAAGTTGCCAAAAGTGGTACATCAAGCTGGGCACTACTAAGTGAAGCTCAAGGGCTGTTTAAGCAAGCATTGGATTTGGAGGTATCCCTCAAAACTATTGGCAGCGTCGATCCTAACTCCATAGCAAACCAGATTAAGATACTGCTAGCAATGTCAACTGTGTCAGTATATCGTGCAGAATTAGTCGGAAAGAGTAACGCCAACTATCAGACGCTGATAAACAACAGTCAGGTATACCTTAAGCGTGGATTAGAGATGACACAGCCAGTTCACAAGCCACACCCAAATTGGCAAGTCGAGGATGCAAAGTATGAAGCAATCGTGAGGATAATCGATGAGCGTATAAAGTACCACAATGAGAGTGAGGAAAGTCAAAGACATTTGGTCGATATTCTCCGTAGGAATAACGTCAATGTGGATGTATACAGGAGAAGACAGTAAGATTACTCCCAGGGTTTCTTAGGTTGTTCACTGTGTGAAATTGATGGTTGATTATCTATTACGGTGTCTGGTATCTTGTCTGTGAAGGGTAGACTATCGGCCTTGCCTTGTTTGATTGCAGTGACGACGTCTTTAAAGGACAAAGAGTGTTTTTTGTTGAAGTAGAATTCCTTAGCAGATTGTACGAGCTCAGGGGATGGATTATCAGATATCGACTTCAAACCGTCGAGAAAGTCCTGATCGTCATCGAAATTGTATTTGTCCATGGTGGAATAGAAACAACGAGTTTTAGGTACAAATTTATTCTGGCTTTTGTATTTTAAGTCCAGGTACTGTATTAGCTGTCAATAAAAAGTACGTAAAAAGAAGGTGAACTAACTAGCCAATGGATTGAATAGTCTATTGCAATCAGAGTACGCGTATCCACCACCGAAACCAGTGAAAAGCTGAATTGGCCAGGTTCTTCTCTTGAAGAGTATAACCGAGGTTAGTACGCCAACACCCAAACCGGTCGCAGATTTAACGAGGAAGTTAGCGATGCACTTGTCTGACTAAGTAGACGCATTGTAAGTAAATAATCGTTATTTTTTATTTTATTTACCAAATTGCCAATTCTGTTTTCAGCAGATTCTTCTATACGTGATGACATAATGACTTTAACAGCCAAATTTATTAAATTGTCAAATAAAAAGTACAAAATGATAGAAATTATTCTAAAAGGAGATTGCTTGTTTTATAATTCTAAAAAGGAGGGTTTGATTGGCATAAAAGACATTCAATACATCCATCATATGGGACAGCTGCTCACTATCTATTTCACTTCAAATCAAACAAAGAAGTTTAAAAAGCTGGAACTTATAGATTTATTTGGCTATCAGTCTTTCATTCTCTCCTTGCAGTCCCTTTTCAATCAGATACACTCAAACAACTCCTATTTGGGCGCAAAACCGGATATTGACAAACCAGACGACTTCAAATCTTTTCTAATTTATGACCAACAAGACTCTGTTGACAGCAGTACTCCTACTGATATATCCGATGAAAATTTTCTTGAATACCTTCACTCACCTGACAACTCAATATTAAAACCGGCAAGCCCTAATCTGCATCATTCCATACACGATTATTACATAAGTGCATCTCACAATACTTACCTCTTTGGTAATCAACTTTCAGGTGCATCCTCCACAATCGGCTATATCAGGTCCCTTTTATTAGGATGCCGATCTGTTGAAATCGACGTTTGGAATGGGGACGATGGAAATCCCATAGTTTACCATGGTCATACCCTCACTCAACCAATCCCATTTGTTGAGATACTAACAACTGTCAAAAATTTCGCCTTCGTTGCATCGAACTTGCCATTAATTTTATCTGTAGAGACACATTGTGACGTCCAACAACAAGATAAAATGGCACATTTGCTCATCAACATACTTGGTGATTCTCTCATAACTCAGAAACTTCAACACGACCCAAGCAGTTTACCATCCCCGGAGCAATTGCGGAATAAAATACTTTTCAAAACTAAAAATAGACTTCTTAATAAGGAGAAGTCAATTTCATATGATGATTACTTCACCTCATCGGAAAACTCCTCAAGCTCGGATTTAGAGAAAAGGTCATTCAGCAATTTCATTCAGAAAGTCACCAGACGTGCCAGTGCTTCATCCGACAGGTCATCAAATAGCTCAGCAGGCTCACCACGTTTCGTTGATAGCATTGGTAATATACCATCTAATAACAGGATGTCTCAAAAATTACTAGATCTACTGATATACACAGTAGGAGTAAAGTTTAGAGGCTTTAACAAAAAGGAACACTACAATATTGAACATATCTTCAGTCTTTCTGATAGATCTGCACGGAAATGTATAAATACAAGTTCAGCTGAGTTCATAAAGCATAATCGCAATCATCTTACAAGAATATACCCACATGGTGCTAGAGTAAAGAGCACGAACTTCGATGCTCTCGACTATTGGGCTGTTGGATGTCAACTAATTGCGCTCAACTACCAGACCGTTGATTTGGCGATGTGGTTCAATTTTGCAATGTTTAATGGCAATCAAGGGTTTGTTTTGAAGCCATCTCCGTTACTCCACAAAGACGAGAAGAAACTTCTGGATGTAATCACACCTGTGAATGTGACTTTTCGTGTGATATGTGGACAGCAATTACCGAAGGATATCAATCAGGTCTCTGTGGAAATATACACACCGCGCTCATTTAATAATGCACCATTAAAGCAGTCAACTAAGACCTCTACAGAAGCCATCAACCCTGTATGGAATGACGTACTGTCTTTCAGCGTCAATGTGAGGGCTTCAATGACAGAGCTAGTCGTTGTTAAGTTTAATCTACATAATAGTCAGTCAGAGGACATAATAGCAAGCTACGCCATAACGCTTGCAAACATTCGACAAGGTGGGTGGTCTCTCATTCTCACTTAGACAGACAGATTAACGGAGAGTAGGATACCGCAACGTGCCACTCCATGATGCACAATTGAACAAAATAATATTCAGCAAATTGTTCGTGTATAATAGCATAAAGTAGATGACTGATGAGGTCATTAAGAGGGCAGTGCGTGAGATCGTATAAAACTTCAATAGTGTTTATTTTTGTACAATTTATGCCTAGATGGGTTACATAAACTTACATGAGTTGCTCACCTCACAGGCCGAGGAAAAACTTTTCGAGGAGAAATTAAAGTGCGTAGAAAATCACTAAACATAATGAAATAAGCGTAATTTAAAAAACCGTTCCTTATTAAAATATAAATAGACGCGTAAATAACGCGTCTTATCGTTTACTTACGCATTTGGAGTTTCTCTCAGGAAATTCAAACTCCATTTTCGCATCCATCAATCGCGTTAATAGTGACAACCAAGAGCTAAAGTATAAAAAATAAAATAAAAAATAATCTAGAATGTCCGATATCGATAGAGATGGACAGGATATTCGACCAGAAGAGGCTGCAGTACTCGAGCAGCTGTGAGTAGACCGCATCTCTGATATAATGAGCTAATGGGATATACAGCGAGATAATGTCGAATCAATCATCATCACAACCATACGTTCCCCACGTCCTTTCAGTTATAGGAGAAGAAACTGAGCCGGGGACATCCAGCCAAAGTAATAGCAATAGCAGGAGTAGATCGTCTTCCACGAACGACGTCTTCAAATCTTTCCCTGATTTTAAGAGTTTAGATGAAGCAGACACCACCAGTTCACATTCTAGTAAGGGTCATCCAGCTTCCACTAAGCCTCCCTCAAGTTTGCAGCACGTCCCCACTATATCAAGTATGAGCAGCCGTTCGAGTGCACAAGCAAGCTCTATACCGACTATTCCTTCGCAATATTCCTCAAGACAACCACCAGCTTTAGAAACACCGGCGTTTAGCAACTCCCCATTCCCGAACATGGCATTTGATCAGCAATCGACCCACTCGAGGAGCAATTCAGCTTCGGAAAACACTAGCAGAGCCGGCAACCTTATTGCTTTCTTTGAGAACAGCAAAGAGAAGGAAAAGGAGCAGGAGAAGGAGAGAGACACCTATAGTTCTCCCGTTATTAGCAAGGTTATACAGACGAAGCGGCCTATAAACCTCAACCGAAACAAGGACGAGCAGATGCCACAAAAGCCTGTACAACAGCCGAACATTCCTAGTCTACCTTCACCTACTCGTCTCGAAAGTCTTACGGACGGATGGGAGACTATGATCAGTTCAACCAACACGACGGACCTTTCGACACCATTGACTTCTCACAAAACTCCAATGACTTCTCAGCGACCTTCTTCACCAATCGATTTGTCTAGCTTTGACGACATCACTGAACAAGTAAGTTTCACTTTTCTGATATTTAAGACATTCTGACGTTATCTTACAGATCGCGCGTGCTGGCACACTTTGGTACTTACACGTACACGATGGTACTCCTTACCGCTGGGTGCGTGCTAGAGCTGCGCTCCTCCCAACCACACTCAAGCTTTCTTTCTTGCCTTCACCTGACCTTCCTAATTCAAGACTTCAGCGCCAAATTGTTACCTTGGATCTCAACCACTGTTCTGAAGTACGCTCAATAGCAAGTCCTTCAAACCCAGCATCGCACAAGATGGATCTGGGTTTGGTCGCAGCTAGAGAACAAGGAGGTTTGGAAGGTGTCCTCAATCCGTTTGTCTTGGTATATCAAGATGGTTGGGAGAGACTAGCCACTGATAGTGCCAGAGAGCGTGTTCAATGGGTGGGCGCATTCTGGGATGTCATCAGACCAATACAAACACCTCAAACGCGAATGCTACAAAGAGAGCCATCAAATGCCTCAGGCTCATCTGCCACGTCTCGGAATTCACCATTGCTACAACCAGGTCAGACAACACTTACAGGTACACCTATCGTTCGCAGACCAGTATCACCATCTAATTCAAATGCTGGTTCTGTTTCTGCATTCAACGTCCGCTCAGAAGACTTTGGTGCACCAGAGCCAACCGCCAGTGACTCCGAGCAACACTCGAACAGTATGAGAAGCAGATCGACCAAATCCAAGAAGAGAGAAAGTCTAGATGATATGTCAATTGGTATGATTGCTACTGCATCAACATCCGACACAGTACGTGGATTAGGTATCTTGTCAGATACGAGGGATGGTAGTGCCAATGACAGTGAAGCCGATGATATTATTTTCCCTCCTTCAGTTTCTGTGAGAGCGCACAGAAGAGGAGGACGTAGACGGCGATCAGGAAGATCATCTGATAGCAGCTCAACATCAAGCACGACAACCACGAAGTCTACCAGCAAGAAGAGTGAGTCGAAGAGCTATGGTACGAGTACGGAGAGGATGTTGAAATCACCCAAACTTGGTCAGCTTGCTGAAGACGCTGACGAGGAGGATGAAGGGCAGACCAGGTCGGCCGTCAGTAGCTTGGAGAAAGACAATGAGAGCACACCTTCACCTCAGCAGCCAGAAATTGCAACAACGCCTAAAACTCAGTCAGCTAGATCTCACTCTCAGTCACGTTCACGCACCCATTCGATGCGGTCAATTCAAAAGACACCAGAAATGTCAGCCCAAACTCAGAACACAAATGATGTCATGCGTTCAATCCCTTCTTCATCTTCTTCGTCACGCAGTTTGAGAGAGATCGATGAAAACGGAACGTCAACTAATGAGTTGATGAGATCGCTATCAAGGAGATCATCCAAACCATCAACTATGAAGAAGGCCGAAAGTTTGTCCTCTTCACGTAAGTCATTGGCGCAAATAGCAGATGAGCTTGGTGACAGTCCAGAAGATCAAGAATTAAAAGATGCGTTATCGGATTTGATTAACAAGAGCAAGCAGGGAACGCCTGAGCAGGGTGGAACACCATCAGCTTCCAGCGTTTCATTGAGCAGGAGGAGTGGAATGAAGCGCAATGGTAGCAACGCGTCCTCAAATCGCTCGTCGATGTTGAGGAGCAAGGATAAGTCAATGTCGACAGAATTCCTCACTGCACAGACACATCCTCAATCTCAATCGAATCAAGTCACTAGCACCGCTTCACAAGCCCCACTTACGACTCACAATTCAACTGCACCTACAAGTACAGCTTCACAGGCACCGATAACCACACGCCATTCAACTGTCCCATCAACACATACCAATAGCTCACCATCTGCACCTCTTCCAACCAACAACACTGAAGTGAGCGAGCGCAAGCCTTCTTCATTATCTTCGTCTATCAAGTCATCCACAAAGACACCAACTAGATCAAGGTCACAGAAGAGCGCATCATCGAAAGCACGCTCTGATATCGCCCCACCTGAGCAAGGTAGTGAAGAGATTGTTGAAATTGGTACGGAATACGATGACGAATTTGATATGGATTTGCTAGCCCCATCGCGCACAGGCTCACCAGATTCAATGTGGCCTCCTTCAAGAGTTTCTTCACTCGTCAGCAGGAGCAAAGCCCCTACTACAGTATCACGCAGTTCTACGATAGATTCAAGATTATTAGCACCTACAGTCATTTCTGCATCTTCAGACGGCAGTACAATGATGCAACTCGAGAAGAGCAGCGATGGTCAGACAGTGACGCCAGAAATCGTTAGCGATATCGATAGGAAATTCCTCACAGGAGAATTGGAGAAGTTGTTCAATTCATTATTAGCTAGGGATGCAGGAAAGTCCACACAAAATGACAACATCCTTAACGCAATTCAAGATGAGTTACGCCTATTGGCTGAAGCAATTAGAGTCCTACCATTCCGGAGAAGGGGTAGCGGCGACTTGTCAGTGACGACTGAAGGACAACTTACTGATCATCAAACTATACCTGATTTACCAGCTGCACCACAAGCCGAAACATTTAGCGACAATAAGTCAGGAGATATCTTACGTGAAATCAGACATAAATCTAGTTCGAACTCTATGCCACCACCAGCTCAACCAATTGTTCAAGATGACAAAGCGGTGCACGACTTAGAAAACAAAGTGAATAGCCTCATTGATGTCTGTCGTGATGCTCTTGATTCGACTGGTCGCGATAGGCGCGTTAGAGATGATACTGAGGAGCGTAACAATAAGCATATGATGAGATTGGAGAATCTTATGAGGAGTTTAATTCGTAAGTTAATTATTTTCACAACTCGGTTTTGCTAATAATTTCGATAGGTCATTTCACACATGGTGGTGCATCAAGTATTTCTAGCTGGCCTGATATGATGTCGGAACATCCATTTGATGATGTCGAAGAAGATGAGATTGATGATGCGGCCTCTAGTTCAACAGTTACGCAAAAGCCAGCAATCGAGCAAGTACGACCAAGTCCAGATGATATGTATCCTCACGACTCAATCTCAATGCGCGATGTGATGGGTCCACTACCAACACCGCCAATTTTGGATTCAAATGAGATATCCGAGCCAGAAATACCACATATCTCACGTCGTGAGCGCGACTTCACTTCACGTAGACGCTGGGCAAGATCACTCTCTCCACCACCTAAATCACTCTCGAGCGTTTCGACTGACACCGCTGAAGACGAGTACGATGATATGTTGTACCCAGACATATACGAGCCAGGTCCACCACTCGAAGAAGGCTATGTTGAAGAGCTTCCTCGTGAGGAGGAAACCCCACCTGCAAAGGAAACCAAGCCTACGCCAAAGATCGCAATGGATGAGGGTGGTTATCCACGCACAGCTAAAGAGTGGAACAACCATGAGTTTAGACCACCACAAGAGCGTCTGGCGAAGCCACACGGTCCACAATTTCCACCGGGTGGTATGTCAATGCGTCCGCCAATGCCAGCTCCGCATATGAACATGCCACATCCCATGAGACCAAACTACACATCATTCAGAGGAGGTTTCAGACCACCACCAAACTTCAACGGTAACGTCAGACCAGCCATGCAAGGCTTGAGGGGCTTCCACCCACCGATGCTTCCACCGATGATGGGTGGTGCGCCAATGCGTCCAATGATGAGACCGGCTATGGGCACGGGTCCAATTCATGGCGCCGGCCCTATGCCAATGAATGGATCTGTACCGATGAGAAGTACTCCTATGTTTAGGCCATCTCCTCCAATGATGAATAGCGCCCGTGGCGGTCAGTTTGGTAGATTTGGTCCAATGCCTCCTCCTGGTATTCCAATGGGTGGTATGGGTATCCCATTGCGTTTCGGTTCCGAATTCCATCCTGGATGTAAGTGCCCATTAACTTACAGATTTTTTGCTAACATTTTTAGTCAATGAAACTCTTTACAATACTAGACGTGCAGGATGGAACACAGAGGAAATTCTGAGACATCAAATGGATGCTGATAGGTACCTTGGGTAAGTGTACAACCATCGTATGAGATTATAGCTCACACTTAGATAGTGCACTCAACAATTGGCTCGAAAAAGAAGTTTCTGCCAAGATTAACGAGTGGGGACCTATTCAACGTCAAATTAAAGACATGGAATTGGTCTTAAGAGACGTCCGTGATTCTGTCGCCAGTGGTGCTAGAAGCATGCCTGATGGCTCAAATCGCGGTATGGCAGATCCAAGTGGTCAAAACCGCGGCGAAGTACCATCTGGAGGAGATAAAGACTCACGTGCAATGGGAGACGCACCACAAGGCAAGGATGGTTCAGATAGAGCAGTGATGTCCGAACTGGGCTCTATATCTCCACATTACGGTGATGAGAAAGCCGTACATCCTTCAGAAACAATGCGTGGCTTGAAACTCAACGAGTCGACGGGCTCTAGACTTCCTTCCGAGCGCGGTGATGTCGATGACGAGGCTGATGAGGATGAAGAAGGTGCAAAATCTGCTACTGGTAAATCAGAGGGTAAAGGTCCTTCATTCAGTGCTGTCAGATCAGATAAGCCTTTCGCGGAGGAGATTCCTGGCCTTGGTAAGCTCCTCAAGGGTAAAGCAACATCTCAGATGCCGGATGAAGTTGATACTTCAAGACCACCAAGTCAATTCGGGGACGTCGTTCAACCTGGTAGAGAGAAATCACAGGCTGGTGATTCACGTCCTGGCAGTGAGGCTGGTATGGCCGATGATGCGAAAAGTCATCATGGTGGATCGAAAGCACCTTCGCGTGCTGGTACACATGCTGGCTCAGAAGCTGATGATGATATGAGAGCATTCGGAGATATGCCAGATCAAGATGAAGATCATGGTCACCATAGTCACCATAGTCATCCTGCATCCCATCATGGTCATTCTGTCGCTCCAAGTCACGCGGGATCTGCTAAAGGTCATGCAACTCCATCTAAAGCTGGCACACCATATAATCAACATGCTTCACTTGGAGATGCACCTCAATCAGAGAAGGCTACTAGTCATCATGGAGCAACCCCAGACAACCGTGCAGCTGTCCTTGGCGATGCACCTCAATCAGAGAAGGCTGCTAGTCATCATGGAGCAACTCCAGACAAACGTTCAGCTGTCCTTGGTGACGCTCCTGATGCTCCAAAATCTCAAAAGGCTGCCAGCCATCATGCTGGTACACCTAACCAGGATCCAGCCGTGCTCGGAGATGCTCCTGAAGATGACGGACATTCTCAAAAGAAAGCTGGAGATGGTACGTTTGAATGTTTCTGATTTTCGTTATTAACAATAAATAGAAATCTCAAGATTACCTACACCTGGCGCAGAAGAGCCTCAAGACATTCCGTTGAGCTTACAGCCTGGCGTATCGCCTATATTTGGTTCACCAGCGAAAGGCAATCCTGATGGAAGCCAGGCCAACGGTAATGGCAATGGAGGCAACGGTAAAAAAGGAAAGAAGGGCAAGAAGAGTGGCGACGATATTAAGTCTATGGGCGATGCTCCCGGTGGTGCGGCTGATCCTGTTGAAAAAGTCCAAGAAGCAGCTGGTGAAGCACCAGCTTCTGAAGCAGGCGGTAAAGCTCCTTCACCAGCTGGTACAACAAGAGCACTTAGTGACGCACCACAAGATGGTGCTAGTGCTAATGCACCACAAGGTGATGCTCCTGAGTCTGCCCCTGCACTTCCAGATGCGGCTCAAAAGGTCGATCAAGTACTTGGTGATGCGACTAATGGCCAACACCGTCGCGATCCTGGTATCGATGCCATCTTGGATATCCTTAGTAAGGCTTTCCCACCGCAACCACCTCCAGAAGCTGCAAGGGATGCTCCTAAAGAAGCACCTTCAAATGGTTTGAGCGATGCCGAAAGAGGTGCTCTCGAGGAGAAGGCAAACAACGCTTCCAAAGAGCGTGATGAAGCACATTCTGTGAGTGTTTACATTAGATTATTACGAAGGTAAATTAACAAAAATCGTAGAAACTCAATGAGATGCTCGCTGTTGAGAAAGCACTTTCTGATGAGAAGGCTAAGAATGCAGAAAAGGATAAGGCTGAATTAGGACAAAAGCTAAAGGACATGGAAGCTGAGAAGGCAAAGCTTGAAGCACAATTAGGAGATGTTGGCAAGATGCGTGATGAGCATCATAAGTTGATCGCTGATTCACTTAAACAATTGACATCATTCACCACTGCTGAGGCAGACAGGCTGAAGCAAGCTTCGGCTAAACCAAATCTGCAGGAAATTCGTGAAATGATGGATCACCAACATGAGGAGAACAATAAATTGCTCAAGGTTATCGCGTCTGACATTATCTTGCATAATACCTCACAGCACAGATCTACAGTTGGCAGTATCGAAAAGACCAATGCTACAGCAATGAAAGGTAACATTGATGCTGCTGTTGACGACTTCAAGAAGCAATTGCTGCCTGAAGTCAGAGGACTGGTCAAGGAGATTGGTGATCTTAGAGAACAGAAGAGAGGATTACAACATGAGATCAGTGAATTGTTCGCCATTAAGTCTAAGCAAGGCAACGGCGCACCACCACCACCTAAGGTTGATTATAATCCACGTGCACCACCTGCTAAGGAGAATAAGAAGGATGAACCACCTAAAGACGCTGCACCACCACCACCAGCTTGGCTTAGCTGGCAACCACCTGTAAACTTTGGCCCACCACCATTACCTCAACCACGCTAAAGTATGTAAATACCCAAACTACCACTTTCGTTATTTGTTTTTCTGATTAATTCGTGTATATACCTGGTGAGTCGTGGTGTATATGTCAAACAGCTTTTCTAACTTTGATATCTAGTTTACAATTCTTTCACTCGTTCAAAGCATTTATTTACAATCTGTTTCTATTACAATTTGTATATTTTAAGATAGACTTAATTGGGAAATCAAACCAGACCGTCTGCTCTATTTATTAAATTTTTTCTTTGGTCTTCTCTCTAAGTGAAACTCTGACGACACTTATCTAGAAAAGATTATGAAAGGATTTTTAGATCTTCCGAATGAGGTACTCAGTCAGATAATAGACAACTATCTGGATTTAAATGATATTTATTTACTTAGAATCTGTAACAAACGTCTCCTAGAGTTGTCTAGAAGCATTGTCCTCAATAGCATACAAATGAGATTGTTTGGATTGACTGCAGGTGTACACACGACTAAAGTAATAGAGAGTGGCCTCTTCAGTTCGAGAAATTGCCAATCCGTACACTCGTTATCGCTGATTATGTAAGTGAGAAGACAGTCTATTAGGACGGCATATCCTTACAATCTACACAGTGGTCCGCCAAACAACGAAGAAGAAGAAGCGGTTGCTAAGGAAATGGAGAATTCAATGGATTTTGCGGATGAAAGCGAGATTTCCGAGTTGATAGTCAGATTGCAGAGGGTACAAAATGTCAGGCTTCACTTATCTAACACACCGCAATGGAAAGAAACTGAAAAGGAAGCATTTCAACGTTTGCTCTATTCTCTGGCTACACTTAGAAGGTTGAAAGATCTGACGATATTATCCCCTGGGGGGTTATGGGAAGCGATGATATTACCACCTATACAGACACTCGAATCTCTCACTATCAGAGGCGATATTCCTAACAAAGCAATACTCGGATCCTGCGTCGAAAACAGTCGGGCTTTACGTCAACTTAGATTGCCTAACGATGATCGCGAGACATCAGAAGCTCTTGAAGGGTTATCATCGAACACACTACCAGCACTCGAATTTTATGAAGGTAGATCTGATGATATTGTCGAACTGACGAACGAAAATGTTGCACCAAATCTCAAGAGACTTCGCTACATTCCTCACAAAGAGGGTGACAGTAGTTTAGAAGAAGTACAGTCCACTTTGAGCGTTTTGGAAGGTCGCCCATTAAGCTCATTCGCCTACGAGACACTCTTTACTATGCAATTCAACGAAGTCGTTAATTCGCTCACGCCATTCAAAGAAACATTGACATCTTTGGCTATCGGAAACACCAATGCGTTAGCACCGCCTGAATTGACATTGGAAGAGAGATTGATTGGTGAAATCAGATTCAGTTCAGCCTTTGTTGACAATTTGCCTAGGTTGACAACTGTATGCTTAACTTATGCTACTGCTGAGGGTATGCCACATCTCCCTTCGGGTAACTCAGGTACCACTACCCTTCCAGATGGCAGTATAGCAACATATTTCGATAGAGTAGCCGCCTTGTGGTTCAAGCAACTTCCTACACTTTGCGGTGTCGGTATGATCTTCCTCGATGGTACACCATCTAAAGCTTGGTATGCTACCGTCTTTGGTATCGATCAAAAGGGAGAGAGTTTAGATGTAGATGATAGCTGGAGACGTTATCAACCCTTCCCTGAGGAGCTTGCTCTTCCGGCCATCCAGAGCTGGATCGAAGAACTGTAATCATACATATTATTACGAATCTTGAATTATCCCTATGAGAATTTGAGTCTGATTTTGATAGTAGTATAAGACTAATAGAGATACAATCTAATATGATTGTAGCAGTGCTCTCAGCTTACCATTAGCTGATAGACAGATACATCTAGACCCTAGTCATTAACGAAGATAAAGTATAAATTGAATGCAGCTTTCATTATTGGTATGTGAATGAAATTGCATGATCTAACGTCACACTGGTGGCATGCATATAATCTAATCATAAGTATGAAGATTTAAACGTGTCACATTTCATTTGCAGCTTTCTTTTGCCCATACGACTTCTTGTTTGTAGTAAATACCCAATACATCTATTGATTAAATAACAATAATAAAGATAAATAAACTAATCATCGTGACGTTGCTCGTTCCAGGCAACAGCACGTTGTTTGACATCATCTATGCCGCTTTCATCACCCAATTCCTTTTCAATAGTTAACCATTTCTTGAAAACACTCTTAGCTTTCTTCGTAGAGAGCTTATGACTGAGGAGTCTTTCAAATACATTTCTAAGACCTCCAAGATCCTCTTTACGTGATAACATATCAACGTAGATGAACCATTGGTCAAGTTGCTTTGGATGACTTTCAACAATCCCCTCGAAGATTGTCTTTCCTCTTTCAGCATCGCCTAATCTGAACTCCATTTGGGCGAACTTGGAGATACAAGATATGTCTAAACTTATCAGATTAATTGCTTAACAACCAGAAAAGTACTCACGATCCCTCTTTTCTAATGATTGTAATGATCTAGTCAAAAGGCTTCTGGCTGCTGTTTGATTGCCAATTCTGAAATTATATTCAGCGTAATTAACCCAGAAAATAACTTCAGCTCCAAATTTCTTGCTAGATTTAACATAAACATCACTAGCTTTGTCGAACTTCTCTGATGCTTCAAGGATATCAGCTACCTTCAAGTGCATAGTTAAAGGATCGTTATAGCTTGTAGCATCCTTGAAAACCTCTTCAAAGCTATCATCATCTCCGAATGTATTCTCAAGGTTAAGAAGTGCGATCCAGATGTTGAACTTTTCTTGACTTTCTCTAAATCCGATAGTTTTTAATGCACGTTTGGCAATTTCACGAGCTTTATCAATTTCACTTAACTTCAATTGGAATGACATGTACTGGATCCAAACGTAGGATGAGTTTGGTGAACCAAGCAATAATCTTTCAAAATCGTTTGACGATTCTGGTGGCTTCTCATTCATAAGAGCGGTTAAATCACCTTCAAAGTGCTTAGTACCTTTGCGCTTCTTTTTCCGCTTTCCGTCATCATTGTTAGTAGATTCAGCGTCCGAATCTTCATCTTCCTCGTCTGAACCATTTGATTTCTTTTCATCATCATTATCATCTCCATCCCAGTTGAATCCACCAATGTCGAGTGCTTTAGCTTCTTTAGTGCTCATCTTTGGTTTTTTGTTTGTAGTGTCTATAGTGACCTCATCCTCGTCTTCATCTTCCTCTTCTTCTGAGCTCTCTTCGTCTATTTCGAGACCTTGCACCGATCCATCTTCGGATTCAGAGTCATCTTTTGAGGCAATCTCTCCATCGATTTGCATGGTCTCAGCATTGACATCTTCTTCATCCTCTTCATCAACGACAGCTGGAGACTTGTCCTTTTGCTCTGCCTTCCTTTCCTTGATCAAGGCTTCTCTTTCTTCTTTTGGAACGGTCTTACGTATGCTTGCCATCATTCTCTTGGCCTCAGCTTCAACTTTAACAATGATAACTTTGACGATTTGACCAACTTCAAGAGCATCTTTGGCATGCTTGGTGTAACTTTCACTGATTTCGCCAACCGGTAAGAAAGCCCTTACGTTGTTGTAGAAATCCACAATTGCACCCTTCTCTTTAATACCAGAAACAGTAGCATAAGTGATGACGTTCTTATTTGATGCGTCGTATGAGGTGATAATTGGCAAATCACTCTTAACGAGTGACTTTTTTAAGGTAGCAGTTACACGGTTTTTGTCTGCTTCAGCGGTCAAAATTCTAGCTTTGACTTTCATATCACTTCTGTATTTCTTTTCTGGATGTTTGAGTTTAACATCAGAGTAGTGAGTTGGCCAAACGATAGCATCTACATTTCCACTGATAGAGATGAACATTCTATCATCAGCGATTTTCTTAACTATACCATCAACTATTGCTCCAACTTCAGCGTCAGAAACCTTCATGAATGACTTCTCTAAAACGCTTGGTTTGATACTGAGTTGAACGATTTTGTCGACGTAACTTAAACCGACTACTCTGGCAGTATGGAGTGATCCAACTTTGGTAGCACCGCTGCTGCTACTCAATGATGGAGTGTGGTCATCTGCGATTTGTGATATATGTACGAATCCAAGTAATTCACTATCAGGTATGGTCACATAAAGACCTTTCTCGCTTTCGACGGTGATGACTTGTACGCCTTCGATAATCCTACCTTTACCGAATGCTTCTGCAATAGTCAGACCATCTTCACTCTTCTCTGTCAAGCTGTTTTGGAGATTGACAATGTGAGGGAGAAGCGACAAAGAGAATCTTTTTGGATTGCTTGTTGGATGGTCGAAAATGACTCTAGCTTTAACCTTTTTTCCAACAGGGAAGCGTTCGGAGAGGGACTTCTTTTCATACGGGATATGCTCTTTACTGATTGTACCATCGAAGAAACCGAAGAACTTAACATTGAGACCAGCTGGTAATACCGCAGTCACCATTGCGTTGAGAACTACACCAGGTATAACTGATTCTAGTGTGTTGGCTTCGTTCATGTATGATTTAGCGAATGTAGATGGGTTTGGAGAGAGGTTAACAACCTTGTTCGACTTGCTTGTGACAGTCAGTGGAAGTATAGAGCCAACTTGTCCAGCCAATTCCTTGTCAAAGCCACTGGCGTCCATTTCTGTGGTGCTAACGAAACCATCTACGTCTGGAACGCCCAAATCGACCAAGTAACCATGATCTTCGACGCTTCTGACAGCACCTACAATTGTGAAGTCCTTTTCGAGATCTTTCTGAGTAAGGCCGTCATTTACACTACGTGGATCGATTGATAACTCTAATTTTCGGGATGCTTTGATAATTTCTTCGCCTTCCTTCTTTACTCTTCCGGTATTACTGTCCTTATGAACGTGCAAAACGGTAGCCCTAAGCCACTGACCGACTTGAAAGAGTTCATCCAACTCAGGAAGATCTTCGTTGCCGTCGTCTGAAACGCTCTTACCGTCGTCGCTATCGTCATTCATAGCACTATCTAAGCGTTGAGTGAAATGAGTTGAAATGTTTGTAATTGGAATGTGCGCTAATAATTGCTCTGGGAGTGAAACAATTAAATCTATTGCAGTAATGTGTACGATTTGACAGAGAACTTTCAAGCCTGGCAGAGCACGTCTATAGTTAAGGTGCTCTACTCTAATGATATCCTTCTTCTCCTTCTTATCAGATGAGCTCTCTTTTGTCTTTTTCTGCTTTTTCTGCTTTTTCGTTAGATAAAAGAATAAAACTGGGTATAACGCACAACTGAAGGTTTCTTCTTTAATTTAGCATCTCTATCAGCTTCCTTTCTACCTTCGTGCTTCGCCTGAGCAGTTTCTACGGCTGTGAGTCCAGTACCACCACCTCTTGGGAAGTCAACCTCTGCACCGATGGATGAATCTCCTGCGTTATCGAACGTCTTGTGCTTCTTAGTAGACGCTGATTTTAGTACGGAAGTTGTATCGCTGGCCTCAGATTTGCGTTTGACCATCACGGCTGTGAAAGAAGAAGACAAAATCTAAAGTGAGAGTAGAGAGTATTTTTTTAGATAAATTTGTAAATAGTGAGCAGTTCCATTGTTGAATAAGTTAGTCTAGTTGATAATTTGCATATAAAACACTCTCAAGGGTTCGATAGGGGATGGCTATTACAGACTATTGCAGATAATAAATATAATATAGTTGTATAGATAGACTGTAAATCACGGCAGAACCTTATCTCACCATCGTTAAGTCATACATAACGTCAATTCCATCTTTCACGCGATCCTCCATCAATTAAATATCGACGGCGAATTTATCTAAGACTCTTAAAACTTAACAACGATGGCGACAACAGAAAGTGTAATCAAAAGAGCTCACCCAATCTACATGGGCACACTCGTCCTATTCGGCATCATCCTGATGTCTATCACAGCCTTCCTCGTTGACAGGTACAACAGATTCGACAACTTCCCTGCGACAGGCGTATCAAACACCGTCAAGTACCTCCTCTGTAAGTACATCCTCGAGCTGTAGCTATTTAGCTCCAGTAGAAAATTTTCAGTATCTCACCCTCAATAGTTTGTTCTTTATGGTCAATCGTGACCTCCGCTATCTACCTTGTTGGTTTCTTAGCCGTACCACTAGGCTCCGGCGGCGCTTTACTCTCCGTCGCATCGCAGTAAGTTTTTCTTCCTCCAATTTCACTTCCATCTCAATCCATACAGCCTTATATGGGTGATCCTATCCTTCTGCATATGGCTCGCAGGTGCTGCTGCGATCACCGCTGAACTTGGAGGTGGATTGAGCTGTAGATTCTCAGATTTCACCTATTGCCATCATTTAAACGCTGTTTTGGGCTTAACTTGGATTGAAACAGGTGGGTATCTTACTGCGATAAAAACACAGACTAACTAATATCACAGTTTTGGTCTTCCTGGGTATGATCGCAATTATTGTTCTCTCAGTCAGGTCACGCTCATCAAGCGGCCATATCGCTGCCTGAGCGCTCGTCATGAGCAGGGATTGCTCATAGGCACAACCAAGATGGTTGACATCCTAACCTTTTGTTACGTGATTTACGGCTTACGAATACTACAAACAATAATTTACGACATACAGCGATTAGATATTGTATTCTAATTTAATTTTTAGTCTACAATTGTCTATTTATGCTAATTTATTACATTTAATTACAATCCTTTCGTTATACTTTTTGTGTGAAAATTATCAGATTTTAAACAGCTAGTAAAATAGCAAATTCATTTAATCAATACAAAATTATAAAGCTATTGCAATGCTAATGAGGACAAATGGTTGTAGTTCATCTACAGATGTTGATGGTCTTTCTGAACCATAATTTTTTAAGTTAGACGCATAAAGTTGGCGACAATCATCAGTGGTATACCATAATGATCACGTCTGATGTTGAAGCTGAAATTACAGGCAATATTGCTGCCATTTTGCATATTGACAAGAGATCCAGCCGTTAAGACACCTTTGCTCTCAGGATTGAAAGCAAGTTGGCCGTATTTATTCCAATAGTTAGTGAGACTTTCCTCATCTAGCAACTCGTGTATACTAACGTTTCCAGTTTTGAGTGTATCAAGATCACATCCGACAATCTCTGCGAAGCCTTTATTCGCTTTGTAGATCTCGCCAGTTCTTCTCCAACAGCAGCTAGGGAGGGCTATAATAGAAAAGACTCTATCGTAGTCAAGCAGCAACCTTGCGAAGCTCTCCTCAGCCGCTGTAAGATCCCATTCTGTGAGAGTTGAAGCTATCTGTCCGAATTGGGACCTTATTCTCGACAATTCCGATTGGATTTTGAGTCTATTCCGCGGACTAACCTTCGCATCTACGTATTTACCAAGCTTTGCGTATCCATTGACATAATTGAATGGTTTGAGCATCCCAGCTTCGAATTTGGCATTTATGACAGCTTTTAGACGCTCCTCTTTCGTGCCTTGAGGCGGGGGATTAGCAGCTGTAAAGTAATACTGATCCTCTGGTTTGACAATAAATGAAGGAGTCTGTGCACGGGATACGAGTGGCTGTTGTGAGAAACCCTGCGAACTAGTCGATGCACCGACATTCGAAAGTGAATTCAAATCGAACTCTGGTGAATTTCCAGGCAATCCAATCATATTCATAAAATCGCTAAGATAATTCGTCAATCTAATGCCCACTTTCCATATCCGAAACACTCACTAGAGACTGGCCCCACCAAACTCAGTATCTAAACCTAAACTGAGGGGGTCAAATTGCGGAGGTTCGATGTCCAGATGTTGTGGTACTAAACTAGGGTCTGGTTTGGTATCATTTGGAGCAGCTTCTGGTGGTGCGCCTTCTGGTTTCTGCTGCCCGTTCTTGTTAGGCGGATCGTGGCAGAGGTGAGCGATATTACGTTTTATGCAGCGCTGACATGGTCTGCCTTCGTCGCAAGTCATGTGGCTCCTCCTACAATACAAACAAGCGCTGCTGACCTATATGATATTAGCCTATTATGACGCTCGGTTACTAAACGCACTTTCTTCCTCCTCGCCTTCTTTGGCTGAGGTTCCTGCTCGTGGTCATCTCCGTTCTCTGTTATACGTCGTTTATCCATTATATCTCTATAGCATTAGAGATGGTGGACGTCAAGAAGTAAGGTGCATGTGACAAGTTATTCCTTGATTGTCCGGTAATAAAGATAGCGAATTAAAAATTAAAATACGCTAGAGGTTAAGATCTCTCCTCCTTGTGACGTACATTCACTATCGTCAGACCAGAGATGGTGAGCGTAAAATAGATCTCTAGATGACGGCTATATTGACGGAATATGAAAGGATATAGACAGAGACGAGCCCGCTGTGCCACTCTATCGAGCCAATCCAGGCGTCGATCTCCCACAAACACAAGGATACGAAGATATACACATAAATGATACTTCTACTAGCATGTGAGGTGTATATATACTATATTAATACGCCAGCTAACATTATTTAGTGATCTCCTTTTCATTATGGATTGTACGCAGAAATATCTCAGAAAACGTTCGTGAACTAATTATTATGGCAGCTACAGGAAGTATGGGCAGCTATCTCGACAATGCGACGAAAAACGTTATAGAAATATGCCAGACTATCATTCAATCTGAGAAACTTCAGGGTGAACACGCATTACGCCTCGGTTTGATATCATACAGAGACAGCAAGCCGCAGGACTATACTTACGAAACTAAGAACTTTGGATTCACCCATGACTATGATCAAATGCGTGAAAATTTGAAGTAAGTTTGCTTTTATCGCATCTGTCGTCATATTGATTCACAAAGGTCATTATACGCATCTGGCGGTGGCGATGGACCAGAAGCTGTGACCATCGCTATGAAGGAAGCCGTAGAGAACATGCCATGGCGTGCGAATGCTTCAAAAATGGCTGTCTTAGTCGCAGATGCCCCTCCTCATGGTATTGGCGAGTATGGTGACGGTTTTCCAGAAGGCTCCCCATGCGGGAATGACCCTCTACAATTAGCACGCGTTATGGCATCACACTCAATCACCCTTTTCGTCGTTGCCTGTGAGCCTGCCCTGAGTGGGTATCAATACTCGACAGATTTCTTCAAGGCACTCGCAGATTTGACAGGCGGGATGATGATTCCACTCGTATCTGCAAGTCTTCTTGCACAAGTTATAATCGGTAGCGCGCTCGAGCAGATGGACATAGAACGTCTGATCAAGGAGGTCGGCAGTGCAGTTGCTGAGCGCGTACACGGACAAAATGAGAACGTCGATGACGTTGCGAGGGCACTCCATGAGACACTCATGCTTAGGAATGAGAGTACGAAAAGGATATATGTTGAGAATATCTACCGCGAGAGCGAAGAGGCTGATTACAATTACAACGTTTGGCGTAACATTGCAAACATACAAGATGCCAAGGGAGTTGTCAAGAGAGTCCCTGGATCGAGGTTCACCGATAAGTATCTATCTATGCGCTATGCGTCGCCGCCTTCATACTCCTACACAACAGGTGCACCTGCGCTGCCAGCTCGCCCGGGCGCATCGAGCACATCAGAAAGTTCACGAAAGCCTTTGTCCTCATTCGCTGCATTCTCAGCTGGTCCACAACTACACAACACAAGTATCATGTCAACACCAGTAGGTGCGTCAACAACCTCAGCTGCGTTCAGTGGTCCGAGAACAAGCACACGCAATGAAGATATGATGGATGATGATTCTGACGACGAGAAGCTAATCGACCAGCAGTTAGGCGAGGAAGACGACGTTATGCAACCTGACGAAGGTGTACAGTTCCGTCAGGGAGCGATAACATACGATCAGGCGAGGAGGATCACGACGGCCAGTGCCTGGAGATCAGCGATGGCTTACCGATAATGATAATGATATCCAATAATGTTATATTTGCTAATTATTCATTCTACAAGGTCTTATTCAGTGTTTGAACTCTCTTCTGCTCGGCTTTGACTTTACGTTGGAACTTGCGTCTTCCAGCCCCCCTCTTTGTCTTTGGTATGTCTGTTGGTGTCTCTAATTTACGTTTTCTGATGGCTGCGATGTCAGCCTTACGCTTTTCTCTCTTTCTATCCCTCTTTCTCATCTTTGCTTGGAGCGACTGGTGGAGTAGACTGTTATACTGTCCAATGAAGCTGTCTAGTTGTGTCGAGGCTATGCGTGTTGCTGTTTTGTGCTGCTTGTCGCCCACTTGAGCCGAAGCTCTCAAGAGAACGTCGTACTGGCTGTCTGCTGTGTTGTTCATATTACTGTCTGCATTTTCATTATAGTCGTATCGCTTTTGTGTGAGGAACACCGTCCCGGAGTCAGACGCCAGTCTGAATAGTTCTGTGAGGTCTTTGATGAACTACTAAAGTTAGACTATTGTGTGTACTATAAAATATAATATTCACCTCCTCTGGAGTGACATGTGGTGCCATTTTTGTTAGCAAATGGACGTCGCCTTCTAAGATTGTAACGTCCATCTTAAAATGTCGATAGACGAGCGCAGAATTGGTATATTAGGTGGTGGCCAGTTAGGTAGAATGCTCATACAAGCTGGACAGCTTCTTAATCTCAATGTTGTTGTATTGGAAAACGACAGCAACTCACCAGCGAAACAAGTGACGAACAACAACAGCGAACATATTACTGGTTCTTTCAACGACCCAGTATCTATTAAAGCACTCGCTGATAAAGTAGACCTTCTCACCGTCGAAATTGAGCACGTAAACGTAGAAGTATTGGAGGAAATAGAGAAGACAACCAATGTGAGAGTTTCACCATCACCAGCGACTATCAGAACTATTCAAGATAAATACATTCAAAAGGAGCACCTCATGAAGCACGCAATTCCAGTTGCGAAGAGTATCCCACTCCTTGAACAATCCCCAGAGGCACTCAAACAGACCGTTGATAACGAATTGGCGGGCGTCTATCCTGTCATGCTCAAAGCACGTAGACAGGCCTATGACGGTAAGGGTAACTACCTCGTCAAGTCTCCAGAAGATGCAGTTCAGGCAGTTGAAACACTTTCCAAAACCGCCGGCAGCGGTGGTCTCTACGTTGAGAAACTCGCACCATTTGTAGCTGAAATCGCAGTCATGGTCGTTAGATCAGAGAGCGGAAAGGTCGTTGCTTACCCTGCCGTAGAGACTGTACACGAGGATAGTGTTTGCAGTGTCGTCTTCGCACCTCTCCAAACAAAGGACAGTGGTATACAACAAAGAGCCCAAGATGTCGCTAGAAACGCAATAAGCACATTCACTGGTGCTGGTGTATTCGGCGTTGAAATGTTCCTTCTCGGTGATGGTGAGTATCGGTATTTTGTGCACAGTTACAATAAGCTAAGAATGTAAAGGTCAAATTCTCTTGAATGAGATCGCACCACGTCCACACAACTCAGGTCACTACACAATTGAAGCCTGTGCTACATCACAATACGCAAACCACTTGAGAGCTATCTTAGATTTACCGCTCGGTGCGACTGATTTGGTAGTACCATATGCTGGAATGATAAACCTTCTCGGCCGCAACGATGGAAGTGAAGAGGGTGTCCTCAAATTGGCGAGAAAGGCACTTGAGATCCCTGGCGCACATGTACACCTTTATGGAAAAGCTGGTTGTCGCAAGGGTCGCAAAATGGGACACATCACCGTCGTCGGTGAGTCATCAGCCGCTGTTCACGCACGTATCGACGAGTTAAGTGCATTGTTGCCTCCATCCGACTCACGCGTGAAGGAGAATCCATTGGCGCACATCTCTGCACTCCTCCCATCACCATTCAAGAAGGCAAACAATAAGTCAAGCTCGACGAACCCACTCGTTAGCGTTATCATGGGCTCAGATTCTGACCTTAAAGTAATGAACGCTGCAGCAGAAATACTCAAGAAATTTGAAATACCATATGAACTCACGATTGTTTCTGCTCACAGGACACCAGACAGGATGGTAGAGTTCGCAAAGAGCGCTCCAAGCAGAGGTGTGAGGTGTATTATCGCAGGTGCGGGTGGTGCAGCCCACTTACCGGGAATGGTAGCCGCGATGACACCTCTTCCAGTCATTGGTGTACCAGTAAAGGGTAGCTCACTTGACGGTGTAGACAGCTTGCACTCAATCGTCCAGATGCCCCGCGGTATCCCTGTCGCAACTGTAGCCATCAATGGTGGTCTTAACGCTGGTTTACTCGCTGTAAGGGTTATCTCAGCTGGTATGCCTCGCCTCTTGAATTCTCTCGATGAATACAAGCGTGGATTAGAGGAAGAAGTCTACGCCAAGATCGACAAAATCGAAGACGTAGCTTGGGAGAACTATAAAGGACTCTAAGGAGTATCGAATTTGTATTGATTTCTTTGTTATGCATCTATTGTCTTATTATACAAGTTTCTTCTCCACTGGTGGTGCAGATGTAGTGCCTACATTCTCCACAGTCTCTACCGCATCTACAGCTCCCGTGAGCTTGTCGACTGCCCAGTTGATAATGCTGTCGGCGTCGTATGCTCCCTGTCTGGCTCTTATAAAGTTCAACACTTGGTCGTTCCATTTGGACTGGAATTCCTCAGCCAGAGATGGTTCACTGGACTTTATATAGGCTTTCTTCTGAGCTTGAAGAGGCTCTTCTGGTGCTGATTGTGAGCGGTAGTACTGTCGTATTTCTCTCAATCTGAGTGTGCTGTTAGTATGGTGATATGTGTACCGAATTCGACAGACTCTTTTGTCATATCATCTGTGCGTGCTCCTATGGCCTCACTAAAACTGTAGCTCGCTGCTGCTGCAACTATGACGCCTGTTAGAGAGCCCCTCACAAACTTGGACATCGCGGTAGATCAACAAGATGATTAGGTAGCGTTCAGAGATTTAGAATGAGTCTATTGAAATCAGTTATCGAGTACCAGTTATTAATTTAAACTGCCGTTCATATCAGCTGTTCAGGAGAACAGGGTAGGTTCTCTAAGAAGCCATATTAGGTAGGAGCGTCAATAGGATATACTATTATGTAGGAAATAAGCAGAATTTGTCGTTATCTCTCCCTCTTTACAACAATCATGGCAGCACTCAACAATAGTATGGTAAATGAAGATGGTACGAAACCAGTTGAATTCCCAGGTTAGTACTTGTATTTTATTCATACATCTCTCATATCTCCTCTCAGAGGAAAAGATTACGCTGAGCTATGACGATGTGCAGCTCAGGCTGAGCATTTCATCAGCCGGGAAGGTATACGATGCACGCGGTAGCTTATTCTTGAGTAATAAGAGAGTATGTCTAGACGCACTACCGTTCTCCTATCACTCACTATCTTAGATCGTATTTCTCTCACCAGAGCATGAATCGATGAGGAGTCTGTCTGTACTGCTTGAATATGTCGTAGACGGCGTACTGGCTCAGCCATTATTAGGTGCAAACAGATGGGAGGCTAGTATACTTCCTAGTCGCGAACCACAAACGAACGAGGAGCCAAATATACTGGCGAATGGCGCAGACTTGAAAGCTTGGTTCAATAATGGCTCTACATTTGAATTCTATCAGGGTGTCGAAGAGATGAGGGAACGCCAGGGGAATTATAATAATGCACCACAATACGAGCCTCTCCCACAATACGAATCACAACAAGCTTCAAACGCACCAAGTCCATCCTACGAGGCAGAGTCTGCGTCGATGGATGCCGCTATCACCTCTGCACAGGCTGACGAAGAGCAGTCGAGACAGCTCCAATCGGAGAACCCACCACCATATTCATAACTGCGACGAAAACTAAGTATATCATTATGTATTATCATTTACTTTATTACGTTCACATCCTGGCTATGCAAACCGAACGATTCGAGCTTTGGCGGGTCATCGTTCCACATTCTATATCGCCATAAAGAAATAGCCAGCTTGGAGAGGTTGACGGTGAGTCTGCCATCTGAAACCGCACCGAATCCAAATGCAAAGATGTTCTTCTCTCGGTCTCCAACATTGCAGCCCCGTCTTCTGAGATGTTCTTCTATTTTCTGCAGATTGTGCGTGATCCTCTCTAGTTGGTCTGGCTGTGCGTATCTCTTATCGAAGGCGTACATGGGTACAGACTGATTGCCGTGCTGTACAAGTTGACTGAAGGTGTCTTCGCTATTGAGTGATAAATAAAATCCGGGGTCTGAGATAGTACCGCTGTCTGTAGAACCTGTATCCTGTCTAGACATCAGCCAGGGCGTCTGTGACATTAAGACATCACTAGTAAGACAATTACTGCGGAGACGCCTAGTAATACTATCAAGGTTTTCTATTATATCCTCAACGAGACCTCTCTCGATCGTATTAATAAAGTTGGCTGGAACGGATGCTTTGTTAGATAGACGCTTGTATAAACGCTCATCTAGGAATATCTGGAGTGCGGATTTACGACACAATAGAGAGATAGATTTACCATTTATAGTTTCCTTAGCGGATTTAGACTGATACGGACAGACTAGTTTGCCATTCGCGAGCTTAAAGCGCAAGAGAAGGGAGACCGGGTATTTGTACTTTGATACAACGCAGAAGCGTAAAGGAGAGGACAGAATATCGACTGTGAAACTAGCGTTAGACTGGCGAGTCTGAGGAGCTCGACGAGCTGGACCGACCGTAGGGGTTCTTATCCCAAGCGAGGCTACGCTGATAGAATGGCGTGCTTGAAATATTACTAGACAGCCTGTATTTCATTTATTCTTGTTTTTATTTTTTTTTCAGTAGTTGATTTCAGCGAACGCTCAGTTTGCCTTTCAACTTAGTACGTTAACCACAAGGTGGGTCTAATATTACGTTGGCGTCCCCAGATGGTTTATATTCCGTTGCAATATGAGATATCTGCTATTTCCCCTTTAGAGGTGACGTGGCCTTCTTAGTCTATAGATGGGGGTAAACTAGCTGGCGAAGCTCTAAAAACGATAAATACTACTATTATTATCTAGTATATTCATTATACCACACTAATTCGCTAGTCATACGATAATAAAAACTAAAAATCATTTTCCTTGTCAACCCAATTCTCGACATCTCCGCGACGCCAACGCAAGACTAAAATTACAAAACTAACTTTTTACTAGAAAATGACTGAAACCCGTGAAGACCACGTTTACCTCGCTAAACTCGCTGAACAAGCTGAGCGTTATGAAGGTTTGTTTCTTCTCTAGCTTCTTCCTCCTCACTTACACCTCATTTAGAAATGGTTGAATCCATGAAGAAGGTAGCCTCATCCGACCAAGAGTTGACCGTTGAAGAGCGTAACCTCTTGTCCGTCGCTTACAAGAACGTCATCGGTGCACGTAGAGCTTCCTGGAGAATCGTATCCTCAATCGAACAAAAGGAGGAATCGAAGGGCAACGACTCACAAGTCGGTATGATCAAGAGCTACAGAGAGAAGATCGAGCTTGAATTGGCTAAGATCTGTGAAGATATTCTCGCCGTTCTCGACGGTCACCTCATCCCATCAGCCGCTTCTGGTGAATCTAAGGTCTTCTACCACAAGATGAAGGGTGACTACCACCGTTACCTCGCTGAGTTCGCAACTGGTGACCGCAGAAAGGGCTCCGCTGAGGCTTCCCTTGAAGCTTACAAGTCTGCTTCTGACGTCGCCATCACTGAACTCCCACCAACTCACCCTATCAGACTCGGTTTGGCTCTCAACTTCTCCGTCTTCTACTACGAAATCCTCAACTCACCTGATCGCGCTTGTCACCTCGCTAAGCAAGCTTTCGATGACGCAATTGCTGAATTAGACACTCTCTCAGAGGAAAGCTACAAAGATTCAACTTTAATTATGCAACTTTTACGTGACAACCTTACCTTGTGGACTTCGGACATGCAAGAATCTGATTCAAAGCCAGAAGAAAAGTCAGATGCTAAGCCAGAAGAATCAGCTCAACCAGCTCAAGGTGAACAAGCGTAAAACAGACTTAAGTTTTTTTATAATTAAATCAAAATAGTGTTCTTTTCTATTTCAAATATCTTTCCTAACTGATTAAACAATCTATAACCATTTTCTATGTTTTAACTTTTTAAGTCTGTTTATTCATTAGTTTCTACAATACTATCAAACCCTGTCCTTCTTGATCTTCCTCAGTTTCACATGCAGCACAGAAGAACAACGGATCGTCGTTTGTCATGAATTGGTTACGCGGCATTCTTGGTTCTTCATTAATTGAGCTCATTTCGGGTGAACTTACTTGACTGTTCATACGAATTTTGAGCATTTGTAATGATTCTCGACGTTTGTGCATTACACTTGATGGTATCAGTGACCGAGCGGCTGCTGTAACAAATTGACCGTTAGTGTTGAGAGGAATAGCTGATGCTTCTTTATCTAGACTTAGGTTGTCTTGACTTTCTTCGATCGTACGCTTAAGTGAAGCATTATCACGGTCTAGAGTGGTTAAGCGACTAATTAGCGTCTTATTCTCGATTGTAAGTTTTGACAATTCTTCTTCTAATCGTTGTTTTTCTGTGTTTGCATCCTTGAGCTCCGCTAATTGCGCATTCAATTGCTCATTTGTATTTCTCAACTCCTCTGAGGTTTTTGTAGACGTCTCAAGCTGCTCTTTAATCGTGGTATTTTCTTGTCTAACCTTTTCAAGTTCCTCCCTGGAGTTCTTGCAATCTAACTTACTTCTAAGAAGCTGTTCAGAGCTCTCTTTGAGCTTATGCTCGATTGTCTCGTTCTCTGTTCGCTGTTGATTGCGTTCTTGTTCAAGTTCAGTGAGAGTGCTTCTAGTGTCATCATGTGCTTGTCTGTTTGACATCAATTCAGCTTGTATCGAATCCACTTTCCTCTCCAATGTCGTCAATTCTTGGTTGTCTGTAGAGCTGTTCTTTAACTCAACGATCGTCTTCTCTAATGCGTCGATAGTGTTATTCTTCTCGTTTAGATTTGTCAGATTGTCATCGTTTTGCTTCTTGAGATTGTCTATTTCGGACTGTTGGGCTGATAGACTATGTTCAAGTTCGATTTCACGATTATTTTGAGCATTCGGCTGCTTGTTATCTCTCTCTGACGAATTGTCTACCTCGTTCTCTAGTGAGGCTTGTAAGGTATCCCATTCGCTAGCTTTCTGAACGTCCTCAGGTGGCGGAGAGAAGAGCGGAGAGCGTGACTCCTCAGTTGGAGTGCTGTTTATGTTAAAATATAGATAAACTATATAGATTCTTGACCCACGTAGTGAATAATGATGAAACATCCCTCGATTCCGTTGATTTGTGTTGCTTTTTCTTCTTCTGAGCTTTCTTCAAGTGATCCTTAGCGCGTGCTAACTTTTGCTGTCTTTCTTTCTCCTCCTCCGTCTGTTGCATCATCGATGTCCTGAACCAAGAAACTCCTTTTCTCTGAACGACGAAGATGTCGAGAGTCAGACAACGTGGATACGACTTTGAAACACAACCAGAGGAAACCTATGGTTTCCATCAGCCTTCTAGACCGGTAGATAGGGATAAGGCAGAGGCTGAGCTAGCACTCAATATCAAGAAAGCTACGAATACAGACGAGACAGCTCCAAAGCAGAAGCATGTCAGGAGTGAGTTAATCCTTAGCTCAGATAGACTCTTTATTTACACTTCCGCTTATAGAGTGTATAGTCTACACATGGGACTATCACAGCTCACAATCAATCTGGTCTGGTCTCCGCGTACAGCCAGTCATGAGCGATGAAGTACAGACTTACAAAGCACTGATCGTCGTACATAAAATTATACAAGAAGGTCATCCTATAGTGAGTATTACCCACACTGCGGCTACGCAACAGCTCATATGATTAGACGCTCAAAGAAGTTCAACAACACGTAAACTGGTTAGATACTTGCTCACGTACAGTTGGTAACTTCGGCCTTGGATACGCTCCTCTCATTCAAGCCTATGTCCAATTCATTATGTCCAAATTACGCTTTCATAGACATCACCAAGAGTTTAACGGTTTGTTTGAATACGCCGAGTATATCACTCTTAAGGGTGTTGATGATCCAAATGAGGGGTATATAGTTTCCTTTTCTGGTGTTTAACTTGCTGACTTTCTTTCAGTTATGAAACAGTAGCTGATTTGATGAATTTACAAGATGGCATTGATTCATTCCAGCGTTTAGTTTTCATGCACTTGCGCGGTATATCAAACAACGAGTGCAGGATATCCTCCCTTGTTCCACTCGTCAAAGAAAGTTATGGTATTTATCGCTTTATCACCTCCATGTTGAGAGCGATGCATAGACGTTGGTGCCACTAATATCACCTTTCTTATTCTCACATCTAAACAGGTGTAGACAATGCTGATGAGGTCCTCCAACCGCTCGTACAACGCTACAATGGCCAACATCATCAACTTCGCAAATTCTACTATGAATGTTCCAACCTTAAATACCTCACTTCCTTAATCAACGTCCCAAAATTAGGACAGGTGAGCTTTTATCTTCTACTTATCATATAAACTAAGAAAATCTAGGATCCACCAAACTTGTGGCAAGATCCAGAAGGCCATGCTGCGATGGCTGAACGCAAGGCAGCTCAAAAGTCACCAGCACCACCTCCAGCTGCACCAGCTACACCATCTGTCGACATAGCCGAACAAGCGCGCATGTTGAAAGAATATGAAGATCAACAAGCTAAATTACAAGCAGAGCGCGATGCACAGGAAGCTCAAAGGCAGGCTATGATGGTCCAACAGCAACGTGAATTCGAAGAGCAGCAAATGCTTCAACAACAGCAACAGGAAATGGCCAGACAGCAACTCTTACAACAGCAAGCCGCTCAACAACACATGGGTGTAGCTGCAGAGATGGAACGTCAGCTCTTGGAAATGAGAGGTCAATTTGAGAGGGACCAGATTATGCTCCAGCAATACGACCAACGCGTCAAGGCACTCGAGACTGAGTTAGCTGCCATCAATGCCAATGTTGGAGCTCAAATGATAGGGAAGGATGAACTTATTAAAAGCTTGCAAGACCAGATCACCATGTGGAGAAATAAGTATGAGGCACTTGCCAAACTTTACTCTCAGCTGCGTACCGAACATCTTGATATGCTTGGAAAGTTCAAACAAATGCAACTTAAAGCTAATTCTGCCCAGGAAGCCATCACGAAGGTATATTTTTGAATTTCTAAGATTCCTTTACTTACACAACAATAGTATGAGAAAATGGAACGCGACGTTAAGGCGAAGAATCTTGAACTCGCAGATATGATTCGCGAGCGTGACAGAGCACGTTTCGATCTCGACAGACTCAAGTCAAGCCAAAAAGACGAACTCAGTCGTCTCCGTCGTGATCTTGATTTCGCAAATGAGAGAGCAGAAGATGCAACACGTCACCGCTCAACGGAAACATCATCCATGATTAGCAGATACAACCGTCAACTCAATGAACTTGAGGATAGTCTTCACGTGAAGCAAACACAAATCGACGAATTGCTCCACAAGCTTGACATAGCCAATGGTGAAGCTGATAGAGTTCGTGAAGAGAAGGATCAAGAAATTGCTATCATTCAAGAGGGAATGGATTCAACGATCAACAAACTCGGTGAAATGCAATTAACACAAGGTGAATCAGATCAAGCACTTAACGCTCAAATCGATCTATTGATTGTCGATCATGATAAGAAACTGAAGCAAATTATCGATTCTATTCTTCAAGCATGTGTTCATAAAATTGATGACGTTAACTATGAATTGGAATCATCGATACAAACTGGTAATCAAAATGCTACACCTGAGTATACGCTTTCAATGATAGAAAAAGCACAATCTGTTGCATCCGAATTCGCCGTTACTTTCACCTCCTTCATTGCACCAAAGCAGACAGCCGGTCATGTTGATGTTATCAAGATTGCAAATGATTTATCACAAACAATTTGTGAAATATTGTTAAATGCCAAAGGTGTTTCTAGATTAGCTAAAGATGATGAAGCCAGTGATGCACTTATCAAAGGTGCAAGAAAAGTTGGTGATGTAGCAGCAAGAGTTTTCTTGGATGTGCAATCATTCAGATTGGCTTTGGTTCCTTCAGAGCAGAGAGCTTTAGTCGTCGCTAGAAAGAACTCCGATTGTCGTGAATCACTTAACGAACTTTCAGATATCCTCGATAGCGCGATACCAAAAGGACGTACTGAGTTATCGAAAGCTAATGGAGAAATTGGTGATATAGTTGAAAAAGAAATGCTTGCAGCTGCGAACGCAATCCAAGCGGCGACTGAGAGAATTCAAGCGATGATGCAAGCTGATATATCATCAAGATATTCAGGATTAGACAAGAATGTACATGATAGTATACTCGAAGCATCCCTCGCTATTACGAACGCAATCGCGAGATTGATCCAGGCTGCAACAGAATCACAGAAGGAGATTGTCGCACAGGGACGTGGATCGACGATGTCAGCTCAACAATTCTACAAGCGTAACAACAGATGGACTGAAGGTCTGATATCTGCTGCTAAAGCTGTTGCTTTCGCAACTAACCTCCTCATCGAGGCTGCTGATGGCGTCCTTAATGGATCACACTCATTGGAGCAGCTCATCGTAGCATCTAATGAGGTTGCTGCAGCGACTGCCCAACTAGTAGCTGCATCAAGAGTTAAAGCAAACTTCATGTCGAAGACACAAGAGAGATTGGAAATTGCAGCAAAAGCAGTCACAGAAGCATGTAAAGCTCTCGTTCGTCAAGTTAAAGCTATCTCCGCAAAACAAGCACAAGATGCCGATGCCAACATCGATTGGGCTCAAGTACCAACCCATGAATTCAAAGTCAGAGAGATGGAACAACAAGTTGAGATACTCAAATTGGAGAAGGATTTGTCATCCGCGAGAAGAACTCTTGGTGCTATGCGTAGAGCTGGTTATAGGAATGAAGATGATGATACCAACTAATGAAAATGAAAATTGTACATATTTTTTTGATTTAAAAATCAATGCTATCTATAAGCGTGGCAATAATCGAACTCTGGATCGCCATAGAAAGATTGTGATGATCTGATTGCTAAATAATGACATACTGCTGCTGCGACAACAAAGAAGTGAAAAATTTGATGCGAGGCTCCAACATATGAGAAATTAAACTTGTGAGATAAATAAGCCTCTGGGAATCTACATGCGTAGATCGTTGCACCAAGAATATACATCATACCTGATAGAACGACATAATCAAGTGCCATTGTGCGCATCACACCAAGTCCATCATTAGCGATAGCGTGAGTGATTGGAAGAATCCCAGACAATCCGAGCGCTATGAATACTGTCGTACGTGCTTTTCTGAATGCTGGTCGCCTGTAATGTGGATGGAGGACTATGTAAAGAGCGACAGAGGAAGCAATCAACATTGAGGCGATGTAAAATATCTGAAACGCTGGCGAGCAGTAAAAGCCATAGTAGAGACACGGGACGAACTGAAGGTGGTGTAAGTCTGGATATAGTGGTAGGAGAATACGCACACTACCAGCAATAAGAATGCATATACCAGCATAATCTAACGCATGCCAAGTATTAGCAAACTCCTTCGAATGGTTCGAAAACGTATGGTAAAGGAAGGAGAAGCTCAGACACTGAGACAATCAGTGAGAACACATAGATTAGATTAACTCACGGTGATAGCTGAAAGTATGAATATCGTAAAGCCAAGGTAATCTTTCCAGCCATAGTTCGGATGTTTCCTGTGGAATGTGTCTGTCGATATCGCAACCAAAGCGAGAAGGAAGAAGATAGCACCCCAGAGGTGTGAGTGTATATTAAGAGACTCATTGTGTATACTATTGAATATCGATCTCAGTGATTGCTTCACTGAGTGGGAAACTGGTCTGTATCCGTGTGTGATAAAGTTGTTATCCTTCATCCATTCCGGGATATCGTTGTAAGTGAGTAGACCGTTGGGTTTTGTAGATTTTTTATTTACTTCCTCCTTTGTAGCGCGTCTCCGCATTCTGACAGTTCGACGTGAACGCACCCACCCAGCTTTGATAGCAGCGTCGAAGATCTCGGGCTCGGTGATGTCCAAATTAGCAGATCTCACTCTAGAGTTGCAACAGACGCAAATATCTAACCATAGCAATAAAATTATGTTAGTATCTCTACCCTACTTCCCGTGTAGATAACTCATCTCTATCTCAGACCAGATGCACAAATAACACAAGAACCCGGCGATGTATCTCCCCCTTTACCCTCTTTAGATACAAAGGAACCTTTAAAACAAACAAAGCAGTCACGCCCTTCTTCTGCACGTCCTTCGCCAACACTCTCAATGAGTTCTTATGCTGGGACTTCTCAGCATCCAAACCCTCGTGCGCGATTACTACTTAATATGCCAGACACCCCTACAAGTTTGGCTGGAAAAGAGGAGGATCCATTTGCCGCGAAGTTCGCACCAAATTCCAGCGAAATGAAGGGCGTCTACTCTGCACAACAATCTCGTTCTTCTTCTATGGCCGCCGAATCCGGAAGTGAATGGGAAGATGAGGAATCTGTTAAACCGAAAAAGAAGAAGAAACAACAGAAAGTCAAATCGCGCAGTCATGATGACGCACAGCAATCTCAATCACGAAATGAGCACTCTGAGCCTTCCAGACCGAACACTGCGACACAAGTATCCAGACGTTCGTCATTTAATGATAACAAAGCTGATAAATTCGATAAGTCGAGTAAACAACGATGGGCTGCTCTCAAAAGTAAAATTATTGGAAATAAAGGTCCAATACAGTCTCGTACAGGTGCTGAAGTTGATTTAGTGTCTGAATGTATGTACGGAATGCTCCCAGCCGTTATGCTCAAGATGGCTCTTGATCGCGACGAACATCAGTCACCACGTATACCAGTATTTCTCCATCATTTGAAGATCAGAGTTAGTGATAGTGTACACCCATTATCCAACACTCATGCTATGTTTAGAATTGAGGTACGTTCTTGTCCTTTCTAAAAATACACCTGCTTAATAATAAAACAGTGCCAATACGGTGATTCTAATCTAAGATGGACAATTTACAGAGAGCTACGTGATTTTGTCAGTCTCCACACACATTTCCGTGTCGCCTCTGTACGTAGAACGATGGAAGGTCTTCCCGAATTTCCAAAAACTAGTCTACCGTACTTCAATCTACTCAAAAGAGAAGTCAGATTAAAAGGAAGGGAATTGTCTAAGTCGGATTTCGCTAGAATGCAAAGAGATGCTCTCCAAAATTACCTCATTGATCTCATTCGTTCGACAATGTTCTCTTCATCTGCTAATCGCATTTGTCGTTTCTTTGAATTCTCAGCCATGACTGTATTCCTCATTTCAAAGGGTGGTAGTCAGGGGAAAGCTGGATATTTGCGCATAATGTCCAACAATTGTGGTAGACTATCAGCACAACCGTCTATTGTATCTGGAATCAAACTAAAGAAACTACGAGAACCAAAGTGGTGGATCGTCAGAGATGATTATCTAGTTTGTGTTGAAGATGCACACTCAATCAACCTTTATGACGTATTCCTGATTGATAGTGACTTTTCAATTGAAAGGCCAAAAAGATACTACAGGCAAACTGCAAATGCAATCAGAGCACCTTTTGTAGAAGGTGAAGCCTTTATTCAGCAGCATCATCCTCACTTGCCTGGTCATCATCCACGACAGGCCACCCAACCAAAGGACAGTAAATTAGATCATGTTAAAAGTATAGACACGCGTCCTTCAAGTTCATATGCGCGTGAAAATAGTGCAGATGAAGCGAACCTCAATCTTGAACAACAGCAAATTAATGATAACGTTGACTCCGATAATCAACTTGTCTCATCTACTTATAAAAAGGACAAAAATAAAACGAAAGACACATCAACACATACTTTCTACATACGTAATAGTGAAAGGAGGATGAAGCTGGTAGCAAAGAATGAGAGACAAATGGAGCAATTTATTCAGAGTATGATGATGATGAAAAATATGACACCTTGGTCACAGATACACAGATTTGATTCATATGCTCCAGTACGCTTGAACGTTAGTGCACAGTGGCTAGTAGATGGTAGAGACTACTACTGGCAATTATCAAGAGCTGTTTCCTTGGCTCAAGAAAGTATTTACATCCATGATTGGTGGTTATCACCTGAACTGCAACTTCGTAGACCAGGTCAACATAAATGGAAACTATCTAATCTCTTGCAACGTAAAGCAGAAGAGGGTGTCAAGATTTATGTCATCGTCTACCGTGAAGTTAGTAACGAATTTACACCAATTGATAGTAATTATACCAAACAAACTTTGCGCTCCTTACATGAGAATATCATGGTACAAAGATCTCCTTCACATTTGTCAACTGGCGTCTTATACTTCTCTCACCACGAGAAGTTATGTGTCATTGATCAAACTATGGCCTTCATGGGTGGATTGGATCTATGTTTTGGTAGATGGGATACGCCGCAACATATCTGCGTCGATGAAGGAGGCGAGAATGGAAATGACTTTATCTGGCCTGGAAAGGATTATTCTAATGCCCGTAAGTTTCCACGTGTATTTTCCAACAAAGTTAACACGAAATAGGTGTTTCCGATTTCCATTCTTTGACTAAACCATACGAAGACATATTTGATAGACCGACCACACCTCGTATGCCATGGCATGACGTCGCTTTACAATTAATCGGACAACCAGCTCGCGATTTATCTAGGCACTTTATCCAACGTTGGAACTACCTCCTTAGGACAAAGCATCATAGCAGAGAGCTCCCATTCTTGCTCCCACCAGGAGACCTCACAAATGCCGAACTCGAAAACCAGAGAATGAAGGGAACTTTAGAGATGCAAATCTGTAGGTCTTGTGGTCCTTGGAGCATTGGTACACCAGACAAAGTAGAACACTCTATTCAAAATGCCTATGTTAAAGCTATTCAAAAGAGTGAACATTTCGTTTATATTGAAAATCAATTCTTTGTTACTTCGACAATTGTCGATACAACTGTAATTGAAAATCAAATAGGAGATGCACTCGTCAATCGTATAATTAGAGCTTATCGTGAAAATCAAACATGGAGAGCATGTATAATTGTACCTCTTTTACCAGGATATGCTGAATCAGTTGATAACCCTAACGCATCATCAGTTCGATTAATTGTCGATTGTCAAAACAGGTCAATTTGCAGAGGTGCACATTCCATTTTCGCGAGATTGAGAAAGGAGGGTATAGATCCGGATGATTATATCACTTTCTTCAGTTTGAGAAGTTGGGGTAAATTCAAATCAGGTAACCTGACTTCAGAGATACTCTATATTCACGCCAAGACAATGACAGTTGATGATAGACTGACAATTATTGGTAGTGCCAATATAAATGAACGTAGTCAACGTGGTGATAGAGATTCAGAGATAGCTTCAATTATTCGTGACACTGATATGATAGATAGCCAAATGGCTGGAAAACCTTACAAAGTTGGTCGTTTCAACCATAGTCTTAGAGTTAGATTAATGAGGGAGCATCTTGGAATCGATGTCGATGATATTAAAAGTAATGAAACATTTGCGAAAGGAGAATCTGAAGCGGTATCTCATGAGCAACCTCAAGCTAATGGTGAAGAAGGCATTGGACAGACGAGTGGTTCTAAATACTGGGCACCTGAGAATGACCATATACATACAAAGGATGATAGACATTACCACAACAAACAGGCCCCAGATCTTGAAGTAACAGAGCCACTTGACAGATTGCAGAATGCTATAAAGAGATCTTATCAAGAATTGAGAGGTGAAGCAAATGATGATGCATCTATCAGCAAGAAAGTGGAACAAGATGAAGCTGACAAGGTTAATGGAGATAACCTAATTACACCTGAAAGACCATACGGTAGTAACGTCGAGAGACGCACGCGTAGTCGCGGATACAGTACTACGTCATCTGCAACGGCTTTCGATCAGCGTCGTGGAAGAAGATCAACAATTGCTACGACCAAGAGTGGGAACTTCACTATGCCATTCCCGGGTCCTTCATTCGATAAGGACAGCTTCATAGATCCTTGTTCTGAGACCTTCTTTGAAGATATTTGGATAGCTTCTGCAATCTACAATACAGAGATTTATAGAAAGGTCTTCCACGTAACACCAGACGATACAGTTACTACATGGGGTCATTTGAAGAACTTCAATATGCTTGCTGACAAGCACAAGAGACCAATAGTCGAGGATCTCACCAATGGTGTGGAACGGTCGAACAGTGGATCATCATCGAGATACCTCAACGGCTTTACTAATAATGACGAAGAAAGCAATGGATCGCCTAAACCACAAAGAAGTAGACGTAATACACGTAATCCGAGCGTTACTGCGGAACCTGGTGGTTACACTCGTAGTGAAATTGAATCAATGGAGAAAATGTTAAATCAATTAAAAGGCAACTTAGTTTTATACCCAACTAAGTTCCTTGAAAGTGAGTAACTCGGTTTTGTTGATACAACCCACTAATGACATAATAGCTGAAGATATGTCTGGCAATTTCCTCTTTAATGCTGATCATCTACATCCACTTCAAGTATACAATTAATATACCCATAAAAACACTCCTTGTACTTTTTCTAAATTACCTTATTCTTCATACTACAACTATCATGAAAATCAGCGAAATAAAGTTAAAGCATTCAATCAAAGGCTTGAAAGCGTATGAGAAGTTAGCGCTTAGGAAATTCGACAGTGACGATGCGTGGTTTATTTCAGATAAGCTGCGTAGTTACGATTACGAGGGTTCAAGCATCGTTTTCACTGTCCGTTTGTTCAACGGTTTAGAGTTAACTTCAGGCGTAATTGGACAAGTTGCACCACACAACTACGACTGGTTGAATGCTAAATACAACACCGTAGCTAAATACCACATGTCTAGTCATCTCTATGGACAAAACCTTATCGTAAAACATCATTCTATACCTAGTTGGCAATTATCACCTGAAGATACATCACGTATTGCTGCAATGGCAGATGTGAGCGAGTATACCAATGAATACTTTCGTACTCTCCTCGTAGAAGAAAAAGGATGTCAAGTCGACTGGAATGAGTTAAGTGATGATTACAGAACTTTCATAAGCACCTTTGAGAAAAAGACACTTCTACATTTTACTGGTGACGAACTTGATGGATTCTTCAAATCCATCTTCCCAAGTTCCGTTGCGAAGACTGGTCCGAATGGCTGTTATTATATTGAAAATGTCCGCATAAAGGATTCTAACGAGAAACTGAAGATTAGTCCAACTAATCTCATGGGTGAAAAAACTGAAAACAAGTATCCGGAGTATGCAGCTCATGGAGGTGCTTTCCCTATCAATATTAAGAATGTATTGAGTCCAATTGGTGAGTATTTGATGTTTTCCGTGTAAATTTCAACTAACACAATCTCAGGAGCACTATCAATATCAGGTTTGCCTAATGGATCGCTAGACCATGCTGTGGCTTATAACGTCATTACTGAATTGGCTGCACATCAAGCTTAAGTCTAGATAGGATCGTCTGACTGTGATTGTCATCAAAGGTATACTGTAACTTGTAAAATTTTGACGAAATACATTACTCAATTGGAAATCAAGAATCTGAAATGTTTCTACGGCGGATTAATTAAGTGGAGACAACAATTATATAGGTAAAAATGCATTATGAAGGTCCCATAATATTTCAGCGAATAGATTTGATCAACAAAAACACGGTTTGTGTCCAAATTCCAAAAACATAATGCTTGATTAACTCTAGCTACACTTTTATGCTGATTGATAGACATTGACGTTGCTGTCAACTTACGTAATAATCAACGATTTGTAAATATCTCAGTCGACTTCTCTAAAGACAACTAATGAGATTAGTACACGATCGTAAATGGTTTACTTGAAATTATGAGAGCTTGGACAGATACTTAATTTATCAGATCACATAATCAGTACTTAGACGAAGCATGCATGTCGGTTGTCTCACTCAACCCTAGGATGAGAATAAGTGAAATTAGAATAAAACATTCGATAAAAGATCTCAAAGCATATGATAAAATAGCGCTTAGGAAGTTTGATAGTAAAGATGCATGGTTCATCTCAGACAAGCTCCGTAGTTACGATTACGAGGGTGCGGACATAGTGTTTGCAATCCGTCTGTTTAACGGTTTAGAGCTGGCTTCTGGTGTGATTGGACAGGTCGCACCACACAACTATGACTGGTTGAACGCTAAACTAAACACTGTTGCGAAATATCACATGTCCAGTTACCTCTATGGTCAAACTTTAGTTACTAAACATCACAGCTTGCCTGATTATGCGTTATCGTCTAGTGATACTTCCCGCATTGTTCAAATTACAGATTCGTTCGAAAGTGTAAAAGAATACTTCCGCACAGTACTCATAGAGGATAAGGGTTCTACCATTTCATGGCATGAGTTGCATTCCAAACAGCGGGAATTTGCCAGGACTGTCAGCGGCAAAACGGTGGAGATAGCTTCGGATGCAGTCGAAAGATTCTTCAGATCTATATTTCCTAACTCTGAGACCAAAGAAGATGGTAAACGAGGGCTATACATTCGCAATCTACGCCTGAAGGAATCTCACGAGAAGGTGAATATCAGCGCTACTAAAGTCATGGATGAGAAGACAGAAAACAAGTTCCCAAATTATGCAGCAGATGGTGGAGCTTTTCCTATCAATGTCAGAGGAATTTCAGGTCCAATTGGTATGTATTGAGCTTTCTTGAAGTGACATCAGCTTACAACCAATCATAAAGGTGCGATAACAATATCAGGATTACCAAAGAACTTAGTAGACCACGCATTGGCGTATAAAGTAATTTCTGAGTTGTCTGCTCATCAGTCTAAGAATAATTAGCTTGTTGTATCCATACATCCATAATGGTTAAAATTGCTTGGGGAAGATGGGCATTTTGGAGTAGCATCAGTGAGTTAGTTATTAATCAAGGTAGTATAATATTTATTGGATTTCTCAGTCGTTGGTTCTGGATATGGTTTGATGGTTGGATTGACACCATCCGACGAGGAATTATATAATAAGCTCTCACCAGATTTACAGAGGAGGGTCGATCAACAACGTAAACAAAGGTTACAGTTAGAAAAACAAGGAGATTTAGAGAAAGTGAGTGTATCTGCTTTGTTAGCCCACCCTTGCTTAAATTACTCAGGCAAATGCATTACCAACAAATAAAATTGTATAATTAAATTAAAAATTAGATTTATTGACATGTAGAAACTATAGAAAGTGAGAAAGATTGAATAGAGAGCTGTATTGGGTGAAATTTTTCTTCATATTTTATAAGAAGGGTATAGGAATGAACGTAGGTTTAAAGGATAACACATTTACGTTTTGAGGATCTTGATTTGACAACTGGTGGCTCTAATGCAGCGACGATAGCTTCGTCAAAGACATTCTTGAGACCTTTCTGTGTAAGAGCTGAGCATTCAACGTATTTAACGGCGCCTAACTCTCTAGCTAATCTTTCACCCAACTCGACAGAGATTGGTTGCTGCTTTTGTCGTGCGAGCTTCTCTCTAACGGATGGATCGTCGCGTAAATCAACTTGTGTACCGACGACGATGCAAGGTACTGCAGGGCAATGGTGGTGTACTTCTGGGAACCATTTCTCTTTAACGTTTTCGAAACTTGCTGGTGAAGTAACGGAGAAACAAACTAAGAAAACGTCGGTTTGAGGGTAGGATAACGGTCTCAGCCTGTCGTAATCTTCTTGACCTGCAGTATCGAATAAACCTAGTGTGTAAGGGTCCTCTCCAATCATGACCGTGACTGCATAGTTATCGAAAACCTGATGATAGTGAGTTTAGCTATAGGGGGACCAGCGTTAGACTAACAGTTGGGACGTATTCTGAAGGGAACTAAAAAGTGTGTGAGTGGATACGCTATTGTGTGGCTAAGATACACACCTTGTTGGTAGTATAACTGATCAATAAACAGGTCTTTCCGACAGCACCATCACCGACGACGACGCACTGGGATGGATCACGTTAGCATATTGCAATAGCATCATCAGCCAACACTACCTTGATTGTTTGCATTTATATTTAATTTAACTGAGTGGTGGTTTCTGTACAAACTAACTAAACTGACGAAAATCCAATATACAGCAAAATTTAAAAAAGACACGATCAGCGCGTATATTACGCGTCCGTTAAATACACGGTATACTATATATTCTCTCCGCTCAGATAATTTTCTCCAGCTAGCAAGCCTATAGGCTGGCTAGTGTGGCGTCTACAGAGCGTTTTTAGTGTGCTGGTAGGACGTACATATAGAATATAATTGGCATGCATTTAATATTCATAAAGTTATGTAAAATCACAAACGTCTGTCAGCGCCTACCAGAGTGACAACGTCAAGCAAGCTGTAACTGGATGTCAAACGTAGCTGCGACAAGAATTGAAATCTAACGGACGTTTTAATTCTTTGTTGAAAACAACAATGTTTGATCCAAAATTGTCTATCGTACCAGATGATAACAATATTTATATGTTTGGTACAACGAGAACATGGTTAGTGATATCTTCTTATCGTGGCTTGGCTAACGACATACAGTTCTCAGTATAGTTTATCAGGAAATATAATCATCAGTATTCCTCCACTCGAGCGTAAACAGCTCCGTATACACTCACTCTCAGTTACTTTCCAAGGCGCTGCACAATACAGCGACAGCCAAAGCAGGCTATCCAACTACAGGTTAGCACATTGCTCAGACCAGATTGTCAAGCGTACGAATGCTCCACATGTGTTTGAGAACGACAGCAACGAATTCATCAATGTTTCAGTTTTCTTCGATCTTCGCCTGAATGGCTGGCTACCACCATCTATAAGTTTACCATCTTCACGGACTTCATACGGTTTATTCGCCAAAATGGAATGTACGATCGAACCAATTGAACACTCTAAGAGGAGTTCCTTATTATGGCCTCTGAACAATACGATAAAGAAACTCACGGTACTTGCACCAGAATCAGAAATATATATAACGCGACACCGCAATCAACATCAGCGCTCCCGGGTGCATAACATACGTTCGCAGTGTCCTACCCATGACATAAAAGATTTCAAGCCAGTCCGGATTGGCATCAAGACACCAATGTGGTATTTCACTGACGATGATGATCTCAAGCTGGATATCTTCACAGGTTTGGTCAACGACGACTCAGATGAATCGACAGAGGCACGTCTGGAATCTCTCCAACTTGGATGCGTGGAGGAAATACATTATACTTCTGAGCCACGACAGAGGTACTTACAGACATATCCGCTGCCGCAGTGCCAACCGCCCACGTACCCACTCATCCCCTTCAATAATAGCCTCCCAGAACACACGTTGAATGACATTGCAAGCACACTCGGTATTTCAACCATGCCTACCAGCTATACTCGCTCGCGGCTAGTGGCTAGAGGTGTAGGACCACCGCCTGCAACTGCTGCATTCGCGACTCATACATTTGGCGAAGAAGGTGTAAACATTAGCGGGAAGCTTACTGCTAGAATAGCCTTGACGTTGCCTATGCCAACAAAAGAAGAGCGCTCAAGTGATAAAGTCAATCCAAATGGCTGCAATTCGTCGCCATATCCTGACTGTGAGACGCCTTTTGTCAAGGTAAGACATGCGCTCAGGTTGATATTGAACATAATAAGAAAGGCGCCAGGCGACGAAGAATGGAGAGGTGAAAGCATAGATATTACAATCCCAGTGTGGTTCTCAACGAGGTCTTCAGACAGCCAGATTGAAGTGCAGGCACAAAGACTGGCATTACTCAAAAGCAAAGGATTGCTACCACATTCTAACCTCCCAGCTTATAGCCAACTCTATACAGACCAGGGTGCGCAAGTTGAAGACGAAGAGGCCCCACCGCGTTATAATAAAAACCCTGAACCAAATGAAGAGACACTTCTTAGCGGGGAATCGCTCAGAAGAACGAATATACCACCACGTCTGGAACTGGATGGACAGACGACATACATAAATTATACACGAGGAATTAATTCACCAATCTCACCAGAACCCTTCATAGGCGAACGATCATCATCGAGGAATCTAATGACATAATGACAAACTTACCCTCAGGATGGGATAAATTATTTGATAGTAACTCTAATAAATACTACTACGTAAATTGTTAGTTTAGTTTTTTCGTTGATATGTCTGCTAATTGCATATGTGTGAAGATAATTACGATCCACCTACGACACAGTGGAAGAAACCAAATAAGCTTAAACTTAAATTAAAGCGTGTGTTCAGTCATCCCGGTGGTTCGAAGGAACGTCAGAAGAGGGAAATTAAGGGTACAGGCCAAGCAAAGGGTTTCGCGGTACCAATGGGAATAGTAGGACTAGCAAATATGGCATAACGACTGTAAACCTATCATACATACAATGATCTAAAATAGAAAACTGTCTCACTGGGCTGTGCGTCGAACGTACGGTAAATTTGATAACCGTAAAGCCCCGTAGTCCTAAATTAAATACGGCGGTATTCAATTTATTCCTTCCAAAAAAGGTAACTGAATTAATCAAGTTGTCTGAGGATGACGTAGAAATTGCGCATTGACATTGATTAATCGACCTGATAGAACTGCGTTGGTTGGGAACATCCATAAAAAATCATATGCAACTAAAAACCTTAAGCCTTTTGGGATTATTAGGCTTATCGAGCGCGGGGTTGCTCGACAATCTCTCCAGTCTGACTGAAGGTCACTACATTATGAGCTTCAAGCCTGACGTAGACCAAAGCAAGCATTATGGGCTCTTAGAGAACCTTTTAGGCTCACAATCAAGCATCAAGCATAAGTATGATGGTTTCTACAACGGCTATGCGCTCAATATGGGTAGCAATGTGAGTCTTCTCGCCTATAGTTGCGTTTCCTAACAAGTAGGCAGCTCTTAGGTGGTTTATTAGATAGCCTCCTTGGAGATATCGCAGATATGGAGGAAGATGTCGAAGTTGAGGCATATGCGATCCAGGACGATGCTACCTGGAACCTGCAGCGTATCATACAAAGGGATGCTCTCCCAGCTGGTTCAGACAGTCATTCACAGGACTATCAATACGCGTACACTGGTGACGGATCCGGCGTCGACGTCTATGTCATTGATACAGGTATTCGTGTCTCACACGATGAATTTGAAGGTCGCGCATCATACGGCTATAACGGTACGTCAGGAGACGGATCTGACCAAGTACACCATGGTACACACGTAGCCGCCCTCATTGGTGGTAAGACCTACGGTACGGCCAAAAAAGCGAACTTGATTAGTGTCAAGGTACTCGACGCAAATGGACAAGGCAGAGCATCCGACGTCCTCGCAGGTGTAAACTGGGCAGTCAACCAAGCCAAATCAACGGATAAACCTAGTATCGCGTCACTCAGTTTGGGTGGACCTGGTTCAAACGCGATGGATAATATCGTTAATGATGCAACAAAATCAGGTGTTCATTTCGTCGTTGCCAGTGGAAATTACAACGAAGACGCCTGCTCATCATCTCCAGCCAGAGTTGAGTCCGCCATTACAGTAGGTGCAAGCGATATCAGTGATAGAAGAGCGCCATTTTCAAGTTATGGTGACTGTGTCGATTTGTACGCACCAGGTGTCGATATCTTGAGTGCTGGTAATGAAAACGACCAAGCTACACTCTATCTCAACGGTAGCTCAATGAGCGCACCAATCGTCAGTGGTATGCTTGCGACTATAATCTCAAACGAGGGCGATATTTCACCGGAGGATATGCAGAACCGTATCAATGATCTCAGCACGGATAGCATCGTATCTGAGTCGAACCCAGTTAACAAAGATGCGGGTAACGCTACACTCGCATACTATAACCCAACCCAATAGGTTACTTGTGATGGTATACACTGGATGTGTATATTTTTTGTATATCTTTATCTCTTCTTATTCATTCCTTTGTTAGTATAATTCGTCGAAGAAGAATGCCCAGCCGAAATTCCGGCGAAGGACGGATCTAAGTGGGAGAAATCACAAATGTAAGGTAAACTATAGTATATTTATGATAGATAAACGAACTATAGTACTCTCTTACGATAACCCCCATACGCTTCTTAATCAATAACTGTCATCATCATAAAATGAATTCCGAACTCAATGGTTATATTTATGATTATTTATACAAAAATAATTTATTAAAAACAGCCCAAAGCTTCTTAAACGAAACCCAAAATCAATCTATGGGCCCATCTGCTAGTGGTAGTCTACCATCGCCGAAAGTGAAGATAGATACACCAAAGAGTTACCTATTTGAATGGTTTATTATAAACTTAGAACTACAATATCAAAATCAGTTCAGATCACCAAACTATTATGAAATTAATTTTAATTTACAACAGAGGTATGATGTATCTCAGAAGAAATATATGATGAAACAAAGAGCAGGCGCTGTACAACATCCAGCTAGGCCATACCCTGCACAGATGATCAGACCACCTATGTCTATACCGTCGATGCCACCACCACCCACGCCGATTCAACAACAACAACAGCCTCAACAACCTCAACAAGCCCAGCAACCTCAACAATTCCAACCTCAAATAAATGGCTATTCGCCTACTGATGAGTCCCCTAAGCAAAGAGTCACACGTCAGAATAAGCGTGCTACAAAAAAGAAGAAAAAAGACGATGACGACGAAAGTTTCAACAATGACGACGGTGGGGGAACTCCTTCACAAAATGATTCACCTGCTATTACACCATCAGAGATACTGGCCAATATAGATAATCAACAACAATCTACCCCAAATTCCAACGAAAACATTAATCAACAAGAAAATTTTCTGGATTTCAATATGCTTAACGATTTACCGCAAATGAACGATTTGAATGAAATTTTTAATGATCCGTTATCTTGAAAATTAAACTTTGTACATATTTTTTATTTTTTATATTATACGCGTTTGTTTCCATTTGACGTTGAGCAAGCGATTAGTGAAAGACGCGATGGAGACGCGTAGAAAATCAACAACGTTCTTAGAAAAAGATAAAGATAAAGATAAAGAGAATTTAAAACTAAAAGAATCTAAGAAATCACGCTCAAAGTCACTCGGAGGTCATCATTTACCACGAGATGGAGATGGAGATGGAGATGGAGATGAAGATGACGACGATTTGACGCCATCTAAATTAGCTAGAAGGAAAGCTGTGAGCGTGATAATTACGAGTATATATATATATCTAATAGATCTCTAGAAACCGCGTAGATCTATACTAAAACCACAGCCACCACCATCCGAAGATGAGGATGAAGAACGCGAGTTAGAGCTCCAATCAGCTAAGAAGGCCCCTAGAAAGTCTGAAGCGAGTAGAAGAGTGTCTTTTGCTAGTCACTGCTTTATCCGGTGTGTAGATATCGCGATCATCTCATATCTTTATTGACGCGTTACAGATTATTTGAAGATGAAGATGGTAATAAGCAGGCATCTAGTAGCCCAAGGAAGTCACCATCACCTAGAAAACCCAAACCATCTCCTCAAAAGTCCCCTTCAAAACAGTCAAACGACTCAGACACCTCAGATATGTCAATCGCTTCACAAGATGTTACCTTTGCATTCAAGAATGCTATAGAGAGGAAGAGACCGCTTGATGGTTCAGATACAGAATCTGATGATGAACCGACACAATCACAAGAGGCCCAAGATGATAATAACGATGATCCAACTATGCAGATGGACTTGACAGAGGCTGTAGGAGGTTTTATAAATAAATCTCCTCAGAAGTCTCCACCAAAATCGCCTCATAGATCACCTCATAAATCGCCTCACAAATCTCCTCATAAATCACCTCATAAATCGCCTCACAAATCTCCCCACAAGTCACCAAATACTTCTACACGCAAATCACCAAGACTATCAGCACATAACCAGTCAGATGATGTTAAAATAGAAGAACCTCCACTTGAAATGCCTAAATTCACTTTATCACCTACTGCATCTGAGAAAGCAAACGATTCTTCCTCCTCAGACAATGATGAAGATGAGGCAGATACAACCATGGATTTCACAGTATCGATGTCACAGACTGGTGTTCCAAAATTACCACAATTTGAGACTGGAAGACGTAGATCAAGTCTAGATAGACGCAGTAGTGTAATAAAGCAAAATTCGGGATCACCTGAAGGACCATCTGTTGTTTCTATGGATGTTGACAATAGCAGTAGTAGCGATGACGAAGAGAATGACCAGCAGATGCTTCTGCAACCGCCTCCTCCAGCTCAGATACAAACTTCGCAGCAGTCACATTCACCAAGTGATAGTGATAGTGATAGTGATGGCAATGGAGATGATATGGATCTTACCAAAGCTGTAACGACACAAATCAATACTGGTGATGTAGATAATAATGCGCAGCCACAGCAAGAAGGTGACGCTTCAGTGACGATGGATATGACACAAGCAATTGGTGGCCTCCTCCAAAATGATAAAAGTCAGACTGAGATCAATGACAAGAGTGATATAAAAGAAGATCAATCAGATGATGATAACTCAATCGCCAGCAACAACGATCAGAGTATGACGATGGAAATGACGCAAGCTGTAGGAGGCTTCACCAATTTCCCAACTATACCAGAAGAGGAGAGTAGCAATTCTGACAACGATAATGATGTCGATGCTACCATGACAATGGAAATTACAAGGCCAATTGGTAAAGGTATTCTCATCAATGATGAAACCAGACGCTTGAGGAAGAGTCTTGGGCCGCGAATGTCTAGAGTTAGTTTCGCACCATCAGTGAAAGCCTCACCACCAAAAGCTTCAAACGGCCCACGCCCATCACTTAAAAGTGCTCTCAAATCATCTAGTTCATTTGAACAATCTCAATCACCAAAGAAAGCTATCTCACCGAAAGGATCACCGAAGGATAAAACCGGCAAGACACGCAGCAGCTTCTCAGCACCAACTCAATCTAGCATGTTGAAGAAGTCTAGTGTTAGACATAGTTTAGGTGGCGCCCTTGGCGGTACTACTTCTTCCCCTCTTAGGAGCGCACTAAAGAATGCATCAGCTAGAAGTCCTGGAAGGGCTAAGAAGAGGGCATCATTTGCTGGTGATCTTCGTCAAGAGAATGTCGAACCTTCAAAGCCAATGTCACCACTCGTGCAGCGCTTACAACTCGCCTCACCTTTACGTCCTCCTCCTTTCAAATTGGATGTTAATGGCGAGAAGGATGAAGATGACAAGTCCAACAAAGAGGAAGGTGATAAACATACGAAAAAACCAAGAAGGAGATCATCACTTGCGCTTTCCACTCATGCGCTCGAGGCAACACCTGACACACTCGCTTCTGAGAAAGCCAAAGAAGAGCGAGAAAAGAAAGACAAGGAGCGGGTGTATGAGAAAGAAGTGGAAGAGGAGCGCAAGCGTAAGTCCACAGAAGAAGAAAAGCGGATAAAGGAAGCAGAGGAAAATCAGAAAACGGCGGCAGATGAGGTGAGCAAGAGCAATATAGATATCTCACACGTTACTGACATGCCACAGCAATCTCACTCGACAAATGACAATAGTGATGCAGTTGACAAGTCAATCTCCGGAGAGAAGTCACAAGTTCAAGCACCTCAATTGGGTACACCGACACGTCGTCGATCACTCCATGCATCGCAAATGACACCATCTAAATTACGCAACTCAATCATTGCATCGCAAACAAACTCACCAAACTCGACACCAAAACGACAATCATTGAGGTTGGCATCAAGTGTCACAACACCACAGAAGGAAGCCTTTGCTGAGGAAAAAGCTGAGCCAGTTGCACCACCTGCAAGGGATGAATTCGCAGCTGGACCAGAAACTGAGAAAATGATAGAAGGATTAATGCAAGAAGATGAAGATGTTGACAATGAAAGCAGCGTTGAAGCACCTGTTCAAATAAGTTTAAATGATTTCCTTGATTTAACTGACATGAAATTCTTGGATGGAATATCAACTATAAAGAGAAGGTCCACTGTTGGTGTTGGTGGTTTAGGCGGCTTAAAGCAACAATCCCAGAAAGATCCTACTTCTTTGGATTACCTCCGCGCTCACAATGTCACGGGCCCAAAATTGGAAATGATGTATTGGTGCTGTCATGAACTCAAACGCTATATCAGTGAAGGTATAGAAGCTCTCAATAGCTATGAAAGAGAAGTAGATAATGAGAATCCACCAGTAATAGTTGATTATTTGTTAGCTAGTGAAGAGATGAGAATACGCATTGAGGCTCAATTGAAAATAGTTAAAAATAACTCACGTCTTGACGCTAAACGTGTATGGTATGGATGGAGAAAAGAACTTGTTCACGGCCATTCAGAATCGATCAATGATTCTTTCAAGTCTCTTGAGAAGGATATAGGCGTATTAAAGGAGACGAGAGGCGCATTGAAGGAGAAGCTTCCTGAGTTACGCAGTTTGAGAGAAAAATTAGAAGTAGAGTTACGTCGAGAAAGAGAAATTGTTAGAGATATCGCAAGCTGCGATAAAGAAGAAGTTGAAGGATTGAGAGAAGCTATCGCTGAGCAAGCACAGCCACTCGAACTCTATAAAGCGGAGATAAGCTCAAATAATGAGGAGTTAACGAGACTGAGAACTCGTCTGGAAGCTAAGAAAGAAACACTCAGTAATAACCGTCTAGCTATCGAAAATAACCGTAACGAATGGGATATGGTGAGATGTCTTACCAAAGCTGAAGCCATGAAGAGGAGACGTAAGTCATTTTATTAGTTTGAATTTTACTAACGAATACTCAGGTGAATACGAATCTCTTCAAAGTCTCCATAGTTGGCATATTCAACATCTTTCACAGAGTCACAAGAAATTCAACTACGCAGAAGATATTGAAATAAATATCACAGATATGGGTGTAGAGTTAATTCTACTTCCACCGAAGAAAGGTGAACTTGGTCCACTTTTGGAATACCTCCTTGATTGTCTTCGCGGTCAGTTAACAGAAGAGGGCATCTCACATACCACTGAATTAAGCTACACTCTTCAACGTGTGTCGACATTATGGACGAAGGTCAAGAAAGTTCACTCGGAGTTCAAGAATTTGGCTCAAATGTATAGATTACTCTTCACTGTTTCAGATGAAGGTGATTTAGTGGTCAAGTTGTCAATACTGAAACGTTTGCAAAAGTTACAATTTGAAGTAACAATTGGAAGTGACTTATTAGTCGACTTATCGTCAGCTTTGCGTAAAGCTAGGATTAAAACTGACGTTATAATTGGTGAAGATGTCAATGTCGAGACGATTACACAATCACTTATGGCCAAATTATCAAATACAGATGATAAAAGCATCGTTGAAGCCTTTGATGGAATAGTCATTTAGCTTTAATTATAATTCTACCAGTTTAATAGATTTTGTTGTAATATCAGTAGTATAATATATCTTGCCTTCTAATTTCAGAATCGTTGAATATAAACTGTAAAAAAACGAACAAAACGCGTCACTTTTTAAAGATTCTGTTGCGCGTTTACTTATATAGGTAAATTTATAATAAATTACACGTACATCATCTCTTGTTACACGACCATCACGCTTATAAATCCGAAGAGTGGGAGAAATGGGGATTAAGGATGTCCCAGAAGTGATAGAAGTGAGCATTAATTGGTAGAAGATAAATAATTGATTCTAACTCAGTCCACCTTAGACGAATTCGGAAGCTGCACTCAATGGACATGTTCACAATCTATCAAGCATAAATTTATACGAGAATGAAGATAATTGGGATAAAATTGAGCATTCCATTAAGTTATTATTAGCAATAACCAAAGGTGGCGCGTATAAGTATGATAAATATTTCGAAATATTACGTACACATTCGGATGGTTTAGTTAGGGCACTCAATAGTGATAGATCGCGACTTATGAGCTGCGCTGTAGATACATTAGCAGGTATAGCCCCTCGTCTTGGTCATAAATTCGATCACTTTACTTTTACTTTCATACCTACATTAATCAAGTTAACTTCAAAAAGCACGAAAATATATGTCGTTAAAGCTAAAAAGGCTCTAATTACTATTATTTCTACGACGCGATTAGGTTCAATATTAGGTCATTTGAGGAATGGTAGTGATGATAAAGCTCAAACGATGCGTTTAGCTGTAGTAGAAGCACTTTACACTGCTATGGAAGTTTACGATGTTGCTGTACTTCGTAGTCGGATTGCTGATATTGAAACTGTAATGAAGGGTGGCGCGACAGACTCAAATGCGGATGTCAGAGCAGTCTCAAAGAAGATCTTTGGAATGTATACTGAGAAGTTTGACGAGAGAGTTGATCAGTAAGTTTACCATATACCTAGAATTTATTTGACATGCTTTACAGATTCACAGATCCTCTGACACCTACTATAAGAAAGTACTTACAGATTGCACCACGAAATGCAAATGCGATGAACGCCAAAAAGGCGGCACCGATGCGACCACTTCGTGAAAAAATTGAGAAAGTCGAGAAAGTTGAGAAAAATGGCGAAGAAAGACCACTGTCAAGCAGTACAGGTGGGCCGTTACGTCCACCCCATGTCAGCTCTAGTATAAACACAAACAATAACCATGATGCTGGTGCTGTAAGATTTTCGAAATCGACATCAGCAGCTACGCATTCTCAGACTGCACCATCACGATCATTATCTTCCTCCACCCATGAACAACATCAGCCAGGACCATCGAGAGCCGTCAGTCAAAAACCAGCCGAGAGACCGCGAAGCACTACGCCAACAAATACAGCGCCAAATACAGGTACGGGCGCACGAAGACCCTTGTCAAAGACCTCTGCCTCTAGTGGTGCAGGTGGTGCGAGACGGCCAGCTGCTGGTGTCGGCTTGTCGAGGCGAGTTGAGAAGCCAAACGAGGCCTCTACACCTTCAGCAGCAGGCTATACACGTTTTGCTGTCAAACCTCTACCTAACAAAGATTCGACTGATAAGTCAACTGGCAGAACGATGGCTGCAGGTGTTAGAGCCAAAATACTCAACATACAAGAGCGTAATACAATCAAAAGGAAAGGAAGTGATAATAATGTGGATAAAGAGAACGAAGAATCCAATGATAATGGAAAAGGAAACGACGAAGCTCAAGATAAGACATCCCAGTCGAGAGAAAGTGATGATAACTCAACTGTGAAGACTAGACCTACCACTACAAAAGTGTTGACTCAGAATAAAAATAAAAGGAATGAAAAGACTACAAACGCACCTACGAAAGTTGTAGAAAGGAAGCGCGTTGTATCATCAAAGCAAAACAATCTAAAACAACCTGTAAAAAAGACGGAGGATCCACCAAAAGTCCCAAGCAATAAGCCGCCACGTATAACTAAACCGCCAGTACCAAAGTTCATCCCAGTCAAAAAGAAATCACCGCCAAAACCACCTACAGAAGTAGCTGAGAAAGCTAAAGATATACCTCTGCCACAAGCTGATGATGAAGAACTCGCGTCTTTATTTGCAGGTCTCACTGTCACAACTGAAGAGTGAAAAGGTAATTGTTATTGTTGCGCATATTGTTATATTTTATAGAATACACATGTTATACTTAATATAAAGATATTAGCAAAAAAATTGTTCGAAGAATCATTAGGCATTATAGACAACAGCGAATATTTTACTAGGTTACGTTAAAATTCCTTTGGAGTCAGCTTGTATTGAAGAATTAATCGCTTTACGCTCAGTTAATGCATGTCTCAGTTTCTCGAAGAACTGTGGAATTGTACGAGATTAGTCTGTTAAACAGCGTTTCTCAAGATTTTCTTTTGCAATTTAAACCTCGATACTACGAAAGCTTAACACTTTTGTACAGCAAATGATCACATCCGAAGGACCTTGAAGACAGATTAGAAGACAGAGAAAGATGAGATTTCTAGAATCAAAATTACAAAGTAGATAGAATAATGATAGCACAACTACATCCTGTAGGTATGCGACAAAAGTTCGTCACGTCAACGTCGTTTAGAGACCAGCTTGCAATGAAGAGATAGCAGCTTCACGCTTGGTTGGGGCAAGACCGAGGTTCTTGAGCAATTGTGGGACTGCAGCCTCTTGGTCTTGGGTCAAGCCGAGCTTCTCGAGGAGGTCTGGGACAGCTTCACCGTCACGCTTGGTTGGAGCGAGACCGAGGTTCTTGAGAAGTTGTGGAACAGCAGCCTCTTGGTCTTGGGTCAAACCGAGCTTCTCGACGAGGTCTGGGACAGTTTGGCCGTCACGCTGTAAAAATGTGAGCTGTTTGTTTATTTCTTACTTCTGGACTTACGGCGACCGGAGCAGCTGAGACTGAAGCAACAATGGCTGCTGATGCGGCAAAGATTGAGAATTTCATTGTTATTTACTTAAAGAGTGTATTTATGTTTTAAAAAGAGTGTGTGTTGACTGGCTTTGCCGTGAGTTGGTGGTGGTTGTTATGAAAGAGACGAAACGAACAGATGACTTTTATGACGAGGACCGCGAACCTTCTAAAAAGGATGATCGTGCGATGAGGAATTGAGGTACGAACATGCAGTTGCATTTAACACATATAACAAACATTGTTTACCAAAAAAATCCTATTTCTTGAATGCAAATTGCTTTTGCCATTCAAAATAACTCGATCGACACCAATTAATATCCTTTTTGGCTCATAATGCGGTATGGTTCCAATTCTCCCACCGCACAGACCACTGTGAAAATTTTGATCCTGTTTGTAAATTGAAGTAGATGTAACATCATACTTGAACAATATGTCTACATTCCACCCCAACTATCCCGATGAAGATATTTGTCTTCCTACAGCTATTAAAAGAAAAAAGCCTAGATCGCTCCACATCTAACTACCACCGAGTGTGATCATAAATAAAAAAATACCCCCGGACATTATCACTTTAAATGGTATATGCGTTGAATTATGAACATACTTTACATATAACAGCAAAACATCCCTGTGTTGGATGTGAGTCACATTTGACAGGGTCTCATGCGTAAATTGGGGCCGCTTAAAAATTGATCCTGCTAAGTGTAAACATTGGTGAAAAAAGATGGATTCATCAGAGTATGCATAACTCAATTGGTGATACCTAAGGTTTTTTGTTGCGTTGCTCATTGCGATCAGGACCTGATGTGACATTTCCATGACGTGTGTAATCAATCGATCAGTGGCTAGCCAGTGCTCAGGATGACAAATCGATGATAGTGTTATAAGCCAAATTTGAATGCACCCCGTAGTGAGATAAAGAGTAGCGATCTATGAGCGATACTCTATCTAAATCGTGATAGTGGCTTATATGTACTTTCGTGTAGTTTAAGTAAAGTGCCATTTACTTTTCAGAAGTTTAGAAGGTTATGGTAGTTCAGTATAAAGGAGGACGCTGCTGAACGCGGCTAACGAGATAACTCATGCCCGTATTACCCCTTAATATTTTGCCGATGATTATGCTCGCTAACACTGAGAGTTGAAATTAGCAGATGATAGAGGCATGCTTAGGGCTGACTTCCTAATTAGGAGATGTCATGCATACCTCCTGTTATAGCATTCCAATGATGTTGTAGAGAATGCTGGCGATTTAAAATAATTTAATAGATCGATGTAAAATAAGACAGGATAGCATATACAATCTGATGTATCAGCACGACTGATAAGCTGATAAGAGCCTATTAATTGATCGTCAACTACGACCGGCATAGCGTGGGAGAACGTAAGAGATTTAGCAATGCAGGTATTTCAGCACGGTGAAATATTACAATTACAACCTTATTTGTCTGTTTAATTTAACAGTCCAAAATAATTTAAACTTTTTATGACTTCACAGGGCGATCGAGGTCAAAGCACGGCAAAGTTTTGACTTCTCTGCGCTTGTCTTATTAATATCACCGTTACACCTAATGGAGTCAGGCGAAAACTCCCCTACGCAACTCGAACAGCCAATTCAACTACCTCAGGCAAATCAAGATTCACCTGCAGGAGAAGCCAGTCAGGATCGTAAACCAAGCCTCAAAGAACGCGTCAAAATAGCACAAGAAACCGCCAAAACGAACAAAGAAATCGTGCATGTTAAAGATGATCAAGGAAGAAGCTACAGCGTAGATATCAACCTCGAAGCTCAAGATACTGCCAACTTCCAGAATGATAAGCAACTTATTATTAATCCGCCTAAGCAGAGAAATGAACCGCACAGTCTTTATAGAGGCGATAATGTCGCTCCAAAACGCTTAAAAGCTGTCAGAGACCATAATAAAGAAACAGGCGGTCGTAGTATCATTCTCTGTCTTGACGGTACTGGTGATCAGTTCGATGATGATAACTCAAACGTCGTTAGATTCTTTAGAGCTCTTGCAAAAGATGAGCCAGAGAAACAGGTAGTTTATTATCAAAGCGGCCTGGGTACCTATTCCACCACCAAACGTGCGAATCCGGTTGCCAACAAACTTAGTGATTTAGGTGATATGGCTGTTGGTAGTGGATTAGGACAACACGTCCGTCAAGCATATACTTATCTGATGGAAAACTACAGGTAAATAAGGTTTACCAAATTAAGACATATCTGACACACCTTCAGATTTGGTGATAGAATTTGTATGGTAGGTTTCTCTCGTGGTGCGTACACTTGCCGTTGCTTGGCAGGTATGCTTTACAAAGTTGGACTTCTTCCTAAAGGAAATATTGAACAAGTTCAATTTGCCTATGATATGTACAAAGACAACAGTACACACGGATTTGATCAATCAAAATTCTTCAAGTCAACATTCTGTATCAACGTTGATATTCACTGGATTGGTGTCTGGGATTCAGTTTCTTCAGTCGGTTTCTACCCCCGTGAATTGCCGTTTACAAACGATAACCACCTAGTAAAAACTTTCTGTCATGCTGTAGCATTGGATGAGCACAGATGCAAGTTTAAAGCTGGTCACTGGTCTCACGAAGAAGAAACTGAAAAGCGTTCCGATGGATGGTTCCATCGTCGTCACAAAGAGAACAAGATCAACTTCGGCGAACATAACGTCAATGAGATCGAGGAAGATGACAAGGACAAGGAAGAAGAGGTCGATCCTTGGGAGAAGGTCGAAAAATTGAGACAGGGACTCTTCACAAGGATTGACGAACTCCGCCAACAAACAGCTAAATCACGTTTTAACACAAAGCGTGTTAACGTGGATAGTATTGATAAATCTAACCCTGAAATTCAATCTCTCTTACAGCAACTCTACAAGTTGCCAGTCAAGCATGATTCGTTTGCTGATGACGAGGAAGAGGAAATCAAACATAAGACGAAAGTGAAGGAAGTTTACTTCATCGGTGCACACGCTGATGTTGGCGGTGGCTCTGTTCCGAACAACACCAGAAACTCATTAGCAAGGATTTCATTGCGTTGGATGTTCAGACAGGCATTCAAGGCTGAGACAGGGATTATCTTCCAAACCCACTTACTTGATTATCATGGATTAGATATCGGAACTCTCTATCCAATCGTCAAGCCTAGACCAGAGGCTCATTACAAAGTTCCAGATGAGTTCCCACAAATGCCAAACCTTAAGGATGTTCCAATTGAGCGTTACGATCGTTCGAAGTTGTCAGAAGAAGATGAGGATGTCCTCGATAGTCTTTCATGTATAAATGACCAACTCGAGCTGTCAAAGATCTGGTGGTTACTCGAATACTATCCTCAGATGGAGGTCTACCAAGATGGCACTGGTAAATTCAGAAAGCGTTTCACTATGAACAGAGGAAACTATAGAGCGATTCGTGGTTCAAATGTCAAATTCCACAGAACCGTTGACATACGTCAAAAGGCACTAGACTATCAAATTAAAGCACGTATGCAAGATTCATCTGAAGCCCGTTGGGTCTACTAAACGTGACATAAATAAGACGCATTCAATACCTTCTAAAGCTAATCAATCACGGAATTACGTTAATTTTATTTTTAATTAGTTTGCTTGTTAATACTTTATACGATCATTAATATATTTCATTCGCTTACTTTATTCTCATTGAGTGAAATGAAGTCTAATTCAAATTTATATTACAGCATCCATTCATGCATACTCCGTATGCTTGACATGACTTTTTTCTTCGCGTATTTGATGCTTCACAGCTGTGGACTCCTTCTCCGCTGCTAAGACCTGCGCAAATTTTGATGCTTTGCGCACTTGTGGACCATATTTATAAAGGAAAAAGACGGGTATTGCAACGACTATACCAATGCAAGCCAAGATAGTTGTAGGGTATGTCAACGTGTTTGGCTCTGCAAAGTATTCGTAAAATGGAACTGAGAACATGGCTGATATACCAGCAAGCATATCTCTTGCGAACCCATTACTACCTGTTGCAGAAGCGGAATAGGGACCATAAGCCAGTACCATGTAATCTATGGTAGCCATGTAGATGTTGTAATTAGCTATACCAATCAATGCAGCAAAAAACATTGGTCCAAACTCGAATAATGTTAGAAAAAGCTTTATTTTGTAAACATGCAGAGCTTACCCAATGGACTGACCTCGAAGGTCCTAAACTTGTCCATGCAAATCCGAACAATCCGATAGGCTCTAAGAGCACTGTACAGACTAACCAGAACAATCTACTCTCTGGATTGACTGAATTTGGATCTTTTCGTCTTTTAAGTTCGTCCCGTCTGATCCAAGGGAGGAACATAGCCCATGCTAAAAAGTATGCGACCATGATAGGAATGAATGCAAGACCAACTTGATATGTTTCAAATCCCCATTGCTGGAAAACAGGGCCATATGATTCCAAGAAAATGAAAATTAGCATATCCTTGTGGCTGTTAAGTTATGATTTTGATGGATAAGGAACATCGCTTACAGAAAATCCAGATAGAAGTGAACAAAATAGAACAATGGGCTCAGTAACCATCATACGAAATGGACGAATCCAAATGTCACAAACACTCTTAACAGTGATGCGATTAGTGATGACCTCGTTTGGACCATAGTATGAAGTTCTTCCTTCTTTGCGTCTTCTCTTTGCTTCCTTATCTAAAAGGATAGAACAGCGTGTCTCAGGCACTGTGAAAAAGTGGATCACTTGCGCTGCTCCTCCCCAAATCAACTGAATCCAGAAGGTCCACCTAAACATGTCAGCTGAAATCCGATAGTACTTTTTTGACATACCTCCAACTAGGGCTTGGAGCGAATTGCTGAATGAAACCACCAACTTTGTAGTGTGAGATTTTGAAACATACATATATATCCACTCACTGATCGGACCAATTGCACTACCAGCAACACTACTGAGTACGACATAGTTTAGTCCATATTGTTGTGTTTCAGCAGGCCAGAGATCAGCAACCATGCCAAGTGTGACACTTCCACCAGCCGAGGAGAGCCCACCCAAGAAGCGGCCAACGACCATTGTCCCAAAGTTTGGCGCTAGACTACACATTAATGCCCAGATATTAACGAAGAATAGTGATAGTTGTAATACAGGCCATCTACCGTATTCTTCTGACCATCTGGAAAAGCGCGTTAGACAAGGACATAATTTGTCTCAGCACCTACGGTGCCCATAATTCACATCCTGGTTATTGTTAACAATACTCAATGATGTATACTACTACCCACCGAAAGCATAAGCAACAAGGAATATCATCTGTCCTACACGAGCTGCTTGTTGAGAGATGTTCCATTCTTCTGACATGCCTTCGACGGCGTTTGAATAGACTACGTTCGAACATTAAAAATGTTTGAAATACGCAAAAGGCCTTACCAGATGTGTTAAAATTCATAGAGTATTGGATAAATGCAATAACTGTGAGGATATACCATTTTTTGGGTGAGGAATAGGCAAAAGCTGTAGCTTCATACGCAGCATCTTCAGTGAGAACTATTCTGCCATCTGCAGTTTTCTTTTCAAAGTAAAGCTCCTCCTTATCAGTGACATCTTCTGGTGTCATTGAATCCTTGTCGGGCGACTTGTTATCAAATCGAGAGGGCATCGCTAATCTTCGCCTTATAAATGTAACATCGAAAGGTATATATGGTCGATCATATATATTTGTTCTCGGTGATGAGCCGTGCATCACTTGACCTCGCGTTAGTCATAGAAGATTTTCACTCGGACAGCTCCCAGCTTGGCCTTATTGGTCCAGGTAGATTAATACTAACGGATTTTATCATATTAACCCAATCTATATTGATAGCTTATCTTAAATTGAAGTTTCTAAAGATGACAAAGGATAATTTTAAAATCCAACGGACATATATAAAAATTTAAAAATACCGAGCATGTAAAGCCTTATACACTTTACGATTATTATCCAAGTCATTTCAGACATATTCAGTTAAAAGATTTCTGTTTTACGAAATCAATGAAAAATTTATAAATGTACAACAATCTATATTTATCCTTAATCATGTACTTGAACCTTAATCGCACCGCTTCTTGGATCCGCTGCGGTATTAAAAGCGTCCATAGCATCCTCTAAATCAAATCTATGGGTGACTAGTGGCTTGAGGTCAATCATTCCGTCTGCTACACATCTAATTGATCTGGGATATTGATTTGCATATCTGTATTGGTATTGGAGGTCGATTTCGTTGGCTGAGAGGTGCATGAAGGGAATGCTTTGCAAATTCTTACCAACACCGATGATGAAGACCTTTCCACCGAATGTCATAGAGTAGATTGCGGCGTGTATACTGCTTTCAACACCTGTACATTCTAACGCTAAAGTGAGCTTCATGTCGGCTTCCTTCTTTACTCTTTCAGCAACTTCTTGAGGTGTTTGGCCCTTCTCGATCAAGATGGTTTTGACAGATGGTACTAACTTCTTTGCGAATTCGAGACGTGATGGTGACAAATCGGTGATGAGTGGAATAGCACCGGCGGCCTTGGCGGCAAGAAGGGTGACGAGACCTGTTGTGTTTGTTAAAGTGGTAAGACTTCAAATTTTTACGACATACCGATTGGACCAGCTCCTGCGATGAGTACACCATCACCTAAACGTAAGCCACTACGGTAAATACCAGCCATTGCAACTGTAAGTGGCTCACAGAGCGCACCTTCCTCATATGAAACATTATCTGGTAATTTGTGAAGCCAAGCGGCCGGATGCAAATGATAGCGGCTCATTGTACCAAAGTGTGGTGGAGTGGAAAAGAAAATATCATTTTCACAAGCGTTATAGCGGCCAATCTTGCAGAAGTGGCATTGTCCACATGGAATACCCGCTTCGATGGCGACTCTATCGCCAACCTTCCATTCAGTTACACCTTCACCAACTCTAGATACTTCACCAGCACTTTCGTGACCACATCCACAAATAGAACGGACGACCATATCGCCGATGTGTCCATGTTGTGAAAAGTGTACGTCACTTCCACAAATACCGGTTGCTCTCACTTTAACTTCAACTTGCCCTGGTGATGGATCCAAACGTGGCTTCTCAACGAACTTGTTAACGTGGTCGACATCGTAACAAAGTGCAATGTTCTTTCCAGTACCTTTGGCTGGCTTCTCCTTCAAAATCTTGAACTCTGGGTGCTCAACAATTCTCTTTGGGTCATAAAGTTGTCTATCTGACATTTTGGCTTTCGAAGTAGTAATAAAAAGATACATATGCTCGCTTATGTACTTCTCGGGGAACTTCCGAGTTTGTCATCGCTTAATACGTCACGTTCATGAGTTTGATAAAGATTGCTTTGGTCATAAAAATGAATTTCGGTTGATAAATAAGAAGGCAGCGGATCTCTCCAATAAAAACTAATTAAATATCTATCCTTCTTCATGAATATCGGAAGTCTCCGTCTTGACTAAGATGAAACATAATATTTAAGAGAAATTTAATGGAAGGAGGCTCTGATTATTAATTCCATTAACATCGAACATGGCATCAAATCTACAAGCATCTTCTCTCTTCAACATAGAAGGATGGGTTACAGTTGGTGAGTAAACTGCTTCTTTTAACCGGCAGAGTTGACGGATTCTAGTTACTGGTGGTGGCAGTGGCCTAGGAAAGATGATGGCTACATGCTTAGCTCAAAATGGTGCTAGAGTTTGTGAGTGTCTCTTTATGATTATGAGGAAGCTAAATATTTGTCAGACATTACCGGTCGTCGCTTTGAAAAACTACAAGAGACAGCATCCACTTACACAGACAGGATCTTCCCTGTTGCTGCCGACTCAACAAAAAAAGAAGACATCCAATGTGTGTGTAGAAAGGCATTATGAGCTATTGCTAATTTTTGTCAGCTATCATCAAATACATCAGCCAAAGAGAGGATCATGTGGATCTGCTTATCAACAACAGTGGTGTATCGACTGTGAAGGCTGATTTGGATGCTAATCGTTCATCAGAAGCAGTTTCAAAAGCAATGTTTGAGCAGAGCTTTGACGATTGGACAAGTCCATATGCTATTAATGTAGCTGCTATTTACTTCACAACTGCTGCTTTCATTCCACTTCTCACTGCTACTCAAAAGCACAGAGGTGAATCAGGAAACGTCATTAACGTTACGTCGGTTTCTGGTATCATTAAGAACAGCCAAGGTGGTCAATTCTCATACAACGCATCAAAAGCTGGAGCAGTTTCTCTCACAAATCAGTTAGCGTTAGAACTCGCTCGTCCACATCTCGGTATCAGGGTAAACCAGCTCGCTCTTGGATACTTCCCATCTGAGATGAGTCCAATCCTTCCAGGTGACAATAAAGGTGAGTATCAGAGTAAATGGAACATCCCATTTGGCCGTCCTGGACATGCAGCGGATCTCTCAAAGGTTATACTCAATTTGGCTACAAACGGATATATGAGTGGTAGCATTGAAGTAGTTGATGGTGCTTATATTCTCGCCTCTGACAATGTAGATCTGAGCAAATATGTATAAGCTTATCTATTTCCCTGTAATAGATATATAAATATTTTCTATCTAATTGAATGCACTACCGTTTAATATTGAATCAATAATTATGCCGTTTAATGGTGGGAGGTTAAAATCATTCAAACCAATGAGAGTATCATTTGAATTACCTCGTATGGACTTTAACATATCTTCAACGATCTCGTCATTCTGCTCGAGTTGGTCTTTTACGTTTATGCCGAGTGTTCTACCGGTCGACTTTTGAGTTGTTTAGCATTGCTTTAATGAAAAGTCTTCGTAACTCACAATAGACTCCTGTGTTTCTACAAATGTATCATCAGAGAGCAATTCAGATGCTTTTAGAACTTGTATGAGTAAATCGAACGCTCTAGCATACAACTGATTCCTATGCTCTTGATTTCTCAATATCAAAGCACCTTTCTTGAGATAGTCGAGATCAGACTCATAGAGTTCACCATTTATTCTGCTTTCGCAGCAACTAAGTACTAAAATTATCGTCGCAGAAAATACCTGCGTGTGTTTTAGTGCCTGTTATGCTAACCTGATAAATAAACTCACGCTCCAGTCTGTCATGCAATCATTCCATTGATAAGCAATCTTCCTGTCGAGATAAACATTAGCGAAAGTCGTGATAACTGATCTCGCTGCATTTGCGCATATCATTAAACTTTTCAGTTGGAATTTGCTACTGCTGTGATCTGGCCGCGGAAGAAATGGCTTATACATGAATATCTTTGATTATGTCAAAAACGATATAATAAAATCAATCAGCACTCACTTGTATGTTGTTAAAGAGGACGCGTAGGTTGCTCTTTAATTGAAAAATCGTATCATCGGAGTCATTTTCTGTATTACGAATAGAAAAAGTTGGATGCACTTCTTTCAACCATTGATGTAATTTTGCATTAAGCGAAGCAATATCATTCACGGTTACGATCAAATCTTCTCCTCTGTTAGACTTTCTAAATTTATAAAGCTGCTGAATGACTTCGCCGTGGATTTTACAGAGTTTCAGATATTCTTTGATGTATACTAAATTAATATCGTTGTCAGGGCATTCATTAGGACTTATAGCTGATGGATATTGAAGATACATATCATCGTCTTTCATTAGAGTAGGTCTCCCAAAACAAGCTGTGTGTGCCCTATCTAGTATGTACAACATCCAAGTTGCACGCTTGCCTAACTCTTTTTCAATTGGATTCTCATGTTCACTAAGCCATGATAAGTGCAAACCTCGATTCTGGACAAGTAGAAGTGTGAGACCGTGTACCATCCACGTGTTTTTCGATTGTGCACCTTTTTGTATATACACTTGTAGTAGAATAAGCGTCTGAATATCCTCCAAAGAAGTTGTTTTAAAGGTAAAATCAGGCAAATTCAGTCTTACTCAAATTCAGTCTTACTTTCTCATAAAAGCTAAATCCAGCCAAGAATCGCAGATGTTCCTTTCCAGGGACCAGAACTCGTGTGTCATCCGAAAACATTGCACCTAGTGCACATACGAGGGATAGAAGCCTTGAAAATCCTTCCTCTAAGCGTCGAAAAGGAATGCTATTCTTAAAATGTGTTTCATCAAGCAAAGGTAGTGTTCGATTGACCCTATTAAAGTAAATGTCAATGAGATGGTTTATCATATTCTCATCCTGTGTGTATAGACTGTCACTGGAATGACTTCTGTTTAGCTCTTCTATCCAATCTTCTACCCAAAACTCTGGTCTCTTCCCTTTTAACAATGTCTGGGGGATCAAGATTTGTGTACAAGAAGACACGCTCAAATAAGCCCCTCATTGAGGCCTTCCCGTAATATCGCTTTCCACTCATATCACCGGGAATATACAATCCGTCTATGTCCTTCGCGACTTGATCATCTTGTAAGTCTTCCCAATCATTGCTGGGTATTGTCTCGATTGGTGAATAGTATTGAACATTACTGGATGTGCTTGGAGTGTTATTGTTTGTAATATTCCTCAATTGAGCCAACTGTAAGAAATTGAGTGTTGGATTGGTTGAGTACGTTGTACACCCACCTCTTGTTCGAGTTTATTGACGTAATTTATATTGTAATACTTTTTCGGTTCTGTGCTTTCATATGTACACTCTATATGCTTACATATTGAACACTTATCAGGATAGATACCATCGCACTTCACTTTCTTACGTCGACAGCCGTCACACTTGAACATATCAGGTTAGATTTTAACGTGGCAAGTATTGCATACACACTGCTCGAGTTTTCATCTTGCTCGCTTTCGGCATAATGGTGTGATGTGAAGAAGAATGTATATCCTGAATGACTTTAATTATACGCATATACTTTTGTCTATTTTCCTGGCTTACCTCTTCCTCTAGAAACCCCTCGGTGAGTTTTACCGTTCACGGCAATATACACCGGTATTATCTATATGACGTCGCTGTGGAAGTTATTATTGTTTGAAATACAACCATCAAGATGTCATTAGTAGGTAAATCAGTGTTTATAACTGGAGCATCCTCTGGTATTGGTGCGGCTCTAGCAAAGCAATTAGTAGTAGCTGGTGCAGATGTCTACCTCTTTGCTAGATCAACAGACAAGCTAAAAAGCCTTGCTGAAGAAATAAAACTTCAAAATTCCGAAAAAAAAGCTCAAGTAGCATTTTCACAAGATGGTGATGTTACACAGTATGATAAAGTCAAGAAAGCCGTCGATGAGTGTATAGCTGCATTTGGAAAGATTGACATACTTATAAACAATGCTGGACTGGCTTTAGGTGCACCAAGACGTTTCCACGAGCAAAGTTTAGAGGAAATTCAAACAGTGAATGACGTAAACGTGATGGGTGTGTATTGGGCAACTCATGCAGTACTTAACGGATCAATGATTAAGAATAATAGCGGTACAATACTCAATGTTAGCTCAATTACCGGTCTCAACGCACCTACGTTCCCAGGTGAGGCGACATACCATGCGTCGAAGACTTCCTTGGAGGGATTCTCAAATGTATTGAGACATGAGTTAACCGGAACGGACATAAAGGTTCTGGTAATCAGACCAGGTTGTGTTGAGACGCATTTCCATGAACAGCGTGTCGGATATGACAAGAAACTCTACGATGATTTCTTCTCTGGCTTTGAGTGAGTTTCGATTTTAGTTATAAGGCCGTCATTGACGAACATGACAGACAACTTACGGCTGATGAGGTTGCTGAAGGCGCGATATCAATGCTTAGTACCTCCCTGAAAGTCTCAATAAATGCTTTGAATATCATGCCTACTCGTGAGTATCATGAGAAGATATCATTTTGCTAACCATGTACAGCTCAACGCGGATACATCAATGACACTACGTGGAATGCACGCCATGGTATCCAACGTTAATTTTCTTATGAACCTGTTTCACCTATGACTTCTGAGCGAAGATTTTCCAAACCAATTTCATCAATTGAAATATGTCTGAATGTTGAATTTGAATAAATAAAGGTTTTGCTCAGTTATACTCTCATCTGTGACATTATTGGCTTTCTTTTCGTTTTATCTGCCGCCATGATTTCAAATAAACAGATTACTCAGTTGCAACCGCAACATCCGATTTTCTGAAAGTAGCTCATCTCTCATTCAAATGCTTGAAGCCTTTGTGAAAGTCCTATACAGATCGTAGTCAGTGTTCGTTCGACCATTTGGCTAAAATATTATAATACTCTTGGACCTCTCCTCGAGACAAGAAATTCGGCGCTAATACGCAGTAGAAATCCAGAAAGTATCACTATAGTGTTTTGCGGCTGATGTTAATGTAGGTTTTTTTTAGCTGGAAGATGAAAAGTTTCACTTTTCGTCCAAGGGAAGCGTGAGTCGAAACGCTGATTCACATTGAGGATTAACAATTTTGTATGTAATACTGTTCCTTCGGGTGACTTTTTAATTTCAATTGCATCGACAATAATAAACATTTTAATGACAAGTATAAATATTAACATCAGCATACATTATCTACCCCTCTTCCTACTCAAAGCAGAGAAATCTTAAGTTACATCATAAACAAGAGCTAATTATGTATGAGAAATAAAGTAATTAAGTATTGAACAAATCGATAGGGGAACTACCGGGTATAGAAGAATTATCTAATACAGATGTTGTAATTACTGTGAAAAAAATGAGCGTGGTTGACATATTTGCCAATAAAGCAAAAAAAATTGTAAAAATGATAATTATAAACAATATCCAATGTGAGGCTTGTTTGTCTGCAAATCTGAGCGCTAAAATTATCTAGAAATCTTTCTCTCGATCATCATTACCGAAGCTGCTTGAGAGATTACCAAATGAGCTGGTCGTCATTCTTCTTTTATCATTAGGTGTATCAGGTGCGCCAGCCATCAAAACCCTTGCATCCTCTGGTGAGAGACTATCAGGATTGTCACGTACATTAGCCCTCTGTACTCTCTCCCTTGAGCCAGGTGATGGTGGCCTTGGTGGTGGGAACATAGTCTGTGCTTGGTCAAGTGGGATAGTAGGAATAGTGCAACTGGAAACTACGGGTGCTGAGGTTTTGTTAGAAAAGCAATTTTTATTTATAAACTACGTACCGTGGACATCTCTAACGATGGATGCCTTCATGAGGGCATTCATCCATTCGCGTGATACTGATTTCTCTTCAGATGCGAAATAATGGACGTCTTTTTCACTTTCATGCACGATCTTGAACGCAAAGTTATTACGTGAAGAGTTGGACTCATCATTCATAACTCTAAATCCATTAAGTTGTATGAATCCTTTAAGTTGTTTGTCATTTTCGTTCTTAAGGTAGAATAATTGAGATCCCTTGAGAACAAAGTAACGCATCTTCCATCCATATCTATCACCGCGTTTCTTCATCCATCCTTTACAATCGCATCTGCCAATCTTTTGGAGAGCTGTACCTTCACGTTCTTGGAAGTTCGTGATATCAACAACTGACCTTCTTTTATCGGATGAAATTGAAATAGTATCAACGAATTGCGAATCATTTTGAGCAGTCTGTGGAGATAAACTTGAACGAGTGGAGGCACCACTGCCATTCATATTCCTAATTGATCTCTTTGAACCTAACAAACGAGATGCTGAGAATGGTTTGCGGGATTTCTCTTCAGGTGAGTTTGTATCATTGGAGGCACCAGAGTAACGAGGAGCTGGTTTACGAGGGTTGCCTTTCGATCCTACGCCGAAAAATGCTGAAGTATCAGAGGTGTGTTTTTTAGCAGCAGATGAGCGCGGTGAATGCATAACTGGCGAGTGTGTCGTCGATCCACTGAACGCACGCTTGAGCGATGCAGTAGCTGATCCAGCTTTTGGAGAATCCGTTTGATTTGGTACCTTTTCTGGTACAGCTATTACTTGATCATGCTCACGTTCTGGTTCTTCAGGTGTTTGCTCCAAAACTCCTGAATTCTTATGTGAAAGCAGACCAGATCCTGTTCTTTGAGCGAAGGATGTTGGACGTGATGGCATGTCCTCATTCAGATCAACTGGTGAAGCTACGGATGTTGTGTAATTGCCTCCACTTGCGTTCCGCATTGATGATGTTTCACTACCTGGTCTGCCGGTGGATGCTGACTGTGGTTGCGAGTGTTGGACATCAAGACCAGCCTGGCTGCGTAATTCCTTAATTGCATTGGCTATCTTAACTCTCTTTCCAAATGCGATGATGTCAATTTCCTTCAAAGATGCGGCATCCATTTCGATGAGGACGTCACCCGAGATTTCGTGTTCTCTGAGTTTATCCTTAATTGAAGTGTCGAAGCCCTTACTTACGGCCCATTCTATGACTCTTTCAACAGACCATTGTTCAACATTTTCATATGAATTGCGTGAATTACTTGATTTTGAAGTCTCTTGTGATGCGCGTTGTGTATTTGCAATCGCGGTGTTGACAGGTGGAAGTGATGAATGAGAAATTGGTTTGCTAGCTTTTTGTGTAGAGTTTGAGTCATGCTTGTAATCTCTCGAATCATGTTTGTAATCCCTTGAATCATGTTTCTCACGTTTGTTATCCCACTGTGCAGATCCCGAATCACGTGGGTTATTCTCAATTGGTTTGATAGTTGGCGTAGGATCATGAGCATTGAGTGGATACGACGATGGTATCGAGGGCTTTTTGAAATCCTGTTTATCATCGACCTCACCAGTAGGTGTGTAAGTATTCTTTAAACCAGATGGTTTACTTTGAACTGGTTGGCGGGGCATCATAGCATCAAGTGGAGATTCTGGAATGACCTCCGCAGGATCTTTGGAAGGTACTAGTAGTTCATTTCTTGGTGCTGTTGCAGTGTGAGGTGTCGTATCTTCATCACTATCCTCGCCGAATTCTAAGCTAGTTGGTGCATTATTTGATCCATTAGCTTGAGCATTCTTCTTTGCGAGAAGAGAGCGTGCTTTTGCATTCACCTCATCATCGTCATCATCTGTGTTGTCATCAGTCGACACTGTAATTTGGGATGACGTCTTAGAATTCGTTTGTTCAACAATAGGTGCGAGGAGCTGTTTGTCTTGACTGTCATCATTTAAGGAGTTGTTCGATCCTTTGTGAGGGTCGTCCACGTTGAACTCATTTATTGCGTCTTGTATTTCCGTCATTGTAGCTTTCATATCATCTTTCGGAGTATTCGAAGGTGTATTTCCTGGTTGCGATTGCTTTCCTACTTTTGTTTCGCCGGTTGCAGCACTAATTGGAGCTATACCTGGTGCTATAGGTCTTGCCCAGGATGTGTATGATTCTGGGAAGAGACCTTCTTTGCCATCTTCGTTTACACCGACCCACCTGGTTTTACATTAGGGTATGTAGAGTGCATGTGCTCTCAACTCACCAGCCATCTGAATATTCCTTGTCAGTTTCCAGAACTCTAATCTGTTGACCACATTTGAAGCTAATCTCATCGCCAACTTCAGCGTCAAAGTCAAACATGGCATAGATAGAGAATCCTGTTTCATCTAAATTATTTGGAGGCGTTCCAAAGCTGTTGAATGGTGAGAAGATGTGAAGTAAGCAAGCAAGTAACGTACCTGGAGATGAAGAGTAAGTTTAGACAGAATAGATAGCATATAGACTCACGGCATTGTAGATTTCGTATATTTCTAAGTAGTTATTATCAACTCCCAAAACCGGATGATGGTAGTTATAACGCAAGAACGGGAAAGTGGAGATGAGCGATGAGCGATCTAGCTCTTAGCCGATAGTATATATCTACTGTAAAATATAATAAATCACCTAATCACTCTTCTTGAGGGTCTCCCATTTCGGCATCTCTGAAGTAGTGCAGCTGTACAACGCATAAAGAAGAATAATTAAATAAATAAATAATAAAAGGAACTATGAAATAACGATATTTTAATAATAAATTATGTTCTTTTATTAAAAAAATTACATCTTCAACCTTCATTCCATACGATCACTATGGCAGATCAAGAATTCAACGAGGAAGCTGGCTGGGGTGAACCAGAAGCCACTAATGACTTCGCAGACGCTCCACCACAATCAGAGAATGTCGATGACGAAGTACGTGGACGTCCACTCTCACGTTCACCACCTCCAGCTGAGAGATACTCTCCTCGTCCGTTATCCCGTTCACCACCACCACCAAGAAGATCACCACCTGTTCCAAAGCGCCGCAATGAGAACCCACCAGAGCCTAACGAAACTCTCGGTGTATTCGGATTATCCATTAGAACTCGTGAGATCGATTTAGAGGATGAGTTCAACAGATTCGGTAAAGTTGAAAAAGTTACTATCGTATACGATCAACGCTCTGAGCGCTCACGTGGATTCGGTTTCATTAAGATGGCTACCATCGACGATGCAGAGAAATGCATTGAGGCTCTCAACGGTATCGATATCCACGGTAGAAGAATCAGAGTTGATTTCTCTGCTACTAAGCGCCCACACAGCCCAACACCAGGTCAATACATGGGTGTAAAGCGTAAGTTTAATGTCTCAGTGAGTGGTAGAGAAACTAAAAATTTTCATAGGCTTCGACGAGCGTCGTTATGATAGCCGCGGCCCACCACGTGATCGCTACCGTGGTCCTCCACGTCGTGACCGTGACGATTGGAGATCATCCAGACGTAGCCCACCACCAAGGAGACGCTACAGTCGCTCACCACCACCAAGACGCTCTTACCGTGATTATAGCCCACCTCCACCAAGATACAGTGGTAGACCACGCTCAAGATCCCCACCACCACGTGGTGGCTATGGTAGACGTTCACCTCCACCAAGGCGCTCTCCTCCTCCAAGACGCTACAGTCGCTCACCACCACCAAGACGTTACTCACCATCACCAGTTCGTGATTAAGGAAGGTAATGAAAATCTGCTTTTCTACTAACCTCTTTAGCTCTAAATTGAATCTATCCTAAAAAATTGCAAAATATTATAAGAACATTTCCCCTGTTTTCTTTCAAGTAATCAAGTTATACATATTCAAAAAAAAATATATATCCAAGGATGATCAAGCTGTATGTGAAGAAAGTATTTGAAGTGGTCAAAATTTGCTACATCAAAACTGAATGTGAAAACAATTTTGTACATTAAGAAAAAGCAAGGCGAAGAATTAACGCGAAAAAATGCCAGAAAAATAAACCGCGTCGTGTTCTACTTTGAATTAAACTATCATGTTATCTCACTTTGTGGGAATATTCTTGTAGATGCACACGTTTATAAAATAAGATGCGGATTTATAAATTACAAAATCATTAAAGGCTTTCCATTAATTCACCAAGGTACATTTTTGCGTCTTTGCCGCTTGAGACTATAATAGGTTCGCTTGGATGGATGTCTACTGCGTTGACTGTGCCAGTGTGACCAGGCAACTAAGGACTTTGTTAGTAGAATTTGGAAAGAGCGAAAGAACCCACTTTGTAAAGAATATTACCGGTTTCAACGTCCCATACAGTGACAGTTCTGTCTGCACTACCGACTGCTACGCGAGCAGCATCTTGTGTCCATGCGGGTTGAGTGTATACACCTTCAAATGATGAAACTGTACCATGAAGTACTCTATGAATTCTCGAAGGATCATTCGTAAACGGCCTGACATCCCATATCCTAACTGTAGAATCATTTGAACAAGAGAGGAGGTATTGACCAGTAGGTGATAATCTGAGGAAAGTGACAGTATCAGAGTGACCTCTCAAGGAATACAACTTGGAGTGTGTTTTGAGATCGTATGCGTGTATCTCATTGTCAAGGCCACCAATGAAGATTGTTGACTCATCATCTGACCATTCAATACTAATAACTGGGGCATTCCAGTTTATCACATGGAGTGGATGTTTCGATTCACTGTAATCCCAAATACAGATTTTGTTGTCATCACCTGCACTCGCCAGCAATTCATGGGAAGGATTCTTCGAAAGACTAATAGCATTAACGATGTCAGTGTGTTCCCTCAACCGCCTGATTAACTTTCCGGAGAAGGAATCCCATACGGCGATTGTGTTATCAGCTGAAGCGGTGATGATAGCGGGGTTTGAAGGGGAAGTGCGTGATAAAGCTAAACTAGTGATAGCTTGCTTGTGTGCGAAAGGGATATAGCCGAAGTTCTCGTTCGTATATGTTTTCCAGAGTGAGATAGATCTATCAGTGGATACGGCGACGAGGAAGTTTCCAGTGAGGTCGAATTTAACGGCGGTTATCTCGTCTGTGTGACAGCCTTCTAGCTTTATTATAGGCGCAGCGAGTTTAGAAGTTCGTTGGACGCTTCTGATGAGTTGGTTATCGCTGTCCTTCTTCTGTGAGAGAGCTAGTTGTTGAGTGTTTGGGCTGTTCAAACCGAGCTTATCTTCAAGATCAGATGATTTTACGCGTTTGCTTATAAGCTGGTTGCTATTCTCTGATATGCGTTTAGCCATAGTGACAGTCTGAGCTGTAGGAGTTAGCTAAGCAGTTGAGTTAATAAGCGAGTCTCTAGTCTATGAAAATAGATAAATAAGAATAAAATTTATTTATTATTTCTTATTTTGTTAAATAAAATAATTTTTTATCTTGGACCTTGTCTGCAAATCTGAGAACTTCCTTCCTTGCCTTGCCAAATTAACTAGGAAGAGTGAGAAAAATATATTCTAGAGACATAGCGCTAATATTCTACAGTGGGTGTAGATATTCGCCGTCACCACGTAAAGACGGGCAAGCGTACTGCCCCAAAGAGTGAGGATCCATACCTCCTCTTGTTGGTCCGTCTCTTCCGCTTCCTCGCTCGTCGTACAGACAGCCAATTCAACAAGGTCGTTCTCAGACGTTTGTTTATGTCTAAGATGAACAAGCCACCACTTTCAATCTCAAAGTTGGCCTACCTCTCTAAGAACTACCCTCAAGCCAAGCAAGGTGCTACCATCGTCAACGTTGGCCCTGTCACTGACGACAACCGCCTCTTGGAAGTTCCAAAGATGAGCATCGCTGCACTCAGATTCACAAAGACTGCACGCGCTCGTATTGAAGCCGCAGGTGGTGAATGCCTCACCCTTGACCAGCTCGCCCTTAGAGCTCCAACTGGCTCAAACGTCGTCCTTCTCCGTGGTAAGAAGACCGCTCGTGAGGCTAACCGTCACTTCGGTTTCGGTCCACACAAGCACAAGAAGCCATACACCATCTCAAAGGGCAGAAAGTTCGAGAACGCTCGTGGTAGACGTAAGTCACGTGCTTTCAAGGTATGTTCGCAACTTCTACTCCCCGCACTTTTTCTGATAAAATTTTTTAGGTATAAGCTAAGATTTGGCTACTCCACTTATGGCTTTTTTTGTACCGTCGATTTACAAATATTAAAGCACCCATCTTTCATATCTTTTGTGCCCTTTCGTGAGCAAGAGCGAGCGCTTTTGATAAGCTACTATCATCTTCTTTGATGAAACTTGCTGGTATTGTTTGTTTGCTGGTATCAGCTCTAGCTTCTGGCACGTCTATTCTCCAAAACAGAGCTCGTTTGTCTGCTATTCCTCGATGTACACACTCTAACTCCAAACAGCAGAGAAACTACCGCAAGGTTTCCACTGGGGAGCAGCCAGTGCAGCTTATCAAAGTATGTCTTATATACTACAGTGTATATAAATACTCATAGTTCCTCATAGTTGAAGGAAATACCGTGGGTCTATCACGCAGTAAACTACATCATCATACTCAGACTGCCCTAGAAAGGCGGCGGAAGAGGTCCTTCAATTTGGTAATCTATAAACTACTTATATTAATCCATATTCACATATATCAGGGACAAATTCTTCGCGGACGGAAAGCACTCTGCCGATGGTGCAACAGGTGAACCAGCTTCAGATAGCTATCACAGATATGCAGAGGATATAGCTTTACTTAAATCGTTAGTGGTTTCTTTATTATTTATTATCTTGCTCACCTGTATCAGATATGGTGCAACTGCATACAGATTCTCAATATCTTGGCCTAGAGTGATACCACGCGGGGGTAAGAACTCGCCTGTAAACCATGAAGGGCTTGCCTATTATAACAGACTTATAAATGAGATTATCGGGCAGGGTCTCACTCCATTTGTTACCATCTATCACTGGGATGCTCCTCAAGCATTAGAGGATAAATACGGTAGCTGGCTATCAGAACAGATAGTAGACGATTATGAAAGATACGCCCGTGTCTTGTTTGAAAATTTCGGTGATAGAGTCAAACACTGGATAACAATAAATGAGCCACTGACAATATCAGCTGAGGCATATGTGAGTATATATATAATTGATGAATATATCTAACAATACTCAGATTGTCGGTATTTTCGCACCAGGACATACGGATCTTACAGAATCTTATAAAGTAGCTAAAAACCAAATCATGGCACACGCAAGAGCATATCATGTTTACAAAAATGAATTTGCATCGCACCAACATGGTGAAATTGGAATAACATTGAACGGAAATTGGTTCGAACCGGCTGATAACTCTCCTAAAGCGAGAGAAGCAGCACAAGTTATGATGGATTTCCAATGGGGACTTTACGCTGATCCTATATACAAAAATGGAGACTATCCAAGATCCCTTCACGAACGTAATTCAGAATATTTATCATATTTCACACCAGAAGAATCAAAATATATCGCTCATAGTGCTGACTTTATGGGTATGAACGCATACACTTCTAGCGTAGCATATGGTAATGCTACTGATAACCCATCAACTGGTTATACCTATACCAGCTTTTGGTTCCCAAATGGTACGGCCGTTGGAGGAGAATCAAACGAAAGTTGGTTATGGGACACACCTTGGGGCTTTGAAAAGCTTTTGGTATACTTATGGGATAACTATCATTATCCAATATATATAACAGAGAATGGATTCTCTGCAAAGGATGAAAATAGTAAACCACTCAATGAACTAGTACAAGATTATGATAGAGTAAACTACCACGACGGCTACCTCAATGCTATGTTGAGAGCTATACATAGGGGTGCCGATATTAGATCCTATTTCGCTTGGGCTATAACAGATAATCTCGAATGGGCAAGTGGATATAGCTCTAGATTCGGTATCACACACGTAGATTTCGATACTCAAGTTCGTACTCCTAAACTGACTAGTCAGTTTCTAAAAGAGTGGTTTAAATGGCATTCATGAGGGATTTCTTGAGATGAACACAGGAGGTGTATTCCTTGAAGACCTTTTTGCTTTTCATTTACTTGACTTTTGTTGTAATACCATATTAATGCATTATCTTTGATCAAAGAAACGTAGTGTTTGAAAATTTTCAATCGAGGTCGGTGATGTCAAAAATTAATCAAAATAATTACAAAATAGTATTTTTTGAGTTTTTATAATTATAAAAGCTGTGTTTTTTAGTGCAATTTAGAGGGTACTTTGGGAGTTGTTAGACTTGGAAAACACAGCTACAAGCCTTATATACTCTCACGAATAATTGTATATGTCAAAGTAAATTGAATAATTTAAATTTCTCGGATCAATAGAAATAGCAAAATAATACACCTATTGTGGTTTCTATGTGTATCCGTTTCAATGAAACATCTACAAATGCAATATTTGAAGTTAGATTTATTAATCAAGTATCATTAAGGAGAATAGTTATTGTAGTATTAGTATAATGTAAATACTTATGCATTCTCAAATATCAGTTTAACTGTACATCACGTATTTCTTATCGTACGTTCACTTAAATGGCGAATCAATCAATAGACATTCTAGTGACAATAAAGAAGACAAATGCATAATTAGATAATTAATTAATGTTATCACTCAAAATCACTCAATTTCACACTACCAGAAATGACAGACGAGTGCAGACTAAAAAAAAAATCCTGTAAACCAATTGATTCGAAATAGTAAAAACCAGTTCACAAGTTCTGCCAAAGGGCATGCCGAGCCTAGTGATACCGAGCTTAAGCGAAGGTTGATGGACGCTTGGCTTGGAATTCGCTTCTGAAGTTTTTGTTTCTGTTGTGAGCGAGTGGGAACTTGAGGTTCTTTTGGAGGAGTTGACGGATGTATCTGTAAAATATGTTAAGAAATGGTATTGTAAAAAATTCTCCACATACGGTCTACGGACATCCTCAGTCTTCTCGATCTCAGCAACACGGAGAATTTGAACAGAGCGGAAACGAGCTCTGTGTCTAGCAGCCATGTCTTGGTAGAGAGCGTGTACGGCGTCGACACGTGATAATTCACGGAATTCCTTGTACATGTTGTGAATACCTGAACGTGAGTCGTATCTCAACCAAATACCGAAGTTCTTTGGCTTGAGTGGCTTCTTCTCGCTGATAACGTTAACAGAGACGATTTCACCGGTACCCTTCTTCATCTTTCTGTATTGACCAACGAAGTACCAGAAACGTGACTTGGCGACGACCTCGTTTGGTGCAAAGATTCTCATTCTGTAGAGCTTAGGAGTTGGATCAACTTCAGTCGGAAGTCTACGTCCAACGACTGTGGAGTGTTAGTCTATGTATATTTTCGACTTTGCTAGTACACACCTAAATACTCTGAGAACTTGTGTTGACGGCTAACACCAGGCATTCTATAACGTAAAATTAGATACGTTTATTTAGTCTGTCTTTTCTTCTCACCTTGATCAAGACGGTCGCTGAGCAAGAGGTGGGTTGAGAGGAGCAAGTTTTTAGAGAGAAGGTCATCACATTTTCAATTCTAAGATAAATAAATAAATATTAATAAATAAATAAATAGTACGCCATATTTTATTCAATTCTGTTATTTTATTTTATTATTCCATTGTCTTCTTTAATTCGCAGCTAGATACTCAGCTGGTGATTAGATTGTACGAGGATTTATTGTACACCACCGTAATATGCTACTATTATACTATTCTATTGTAGACTCCCGTTCTATTCAGTCTGTGTATAGTCTATCTCTTCTCTCATAGAGTAAGAGAAGATGATTAGACAGATGGTTTAATAGCTCGATAGTTAGTTATTTACAATATATAAACACACACAATATTTTTACACCTAAAATCATATAACGACAACAGTTTACAAAACCGTCTTACAGAAACGCGTAGATGATCAGTACCATTTCCATATTGGGTATCCTACAATCAGCCTATCACTTTCACCTCCTTTATTAAATATTTCACTCTTCGCTTCACACTACATTAACTTCAGATATGCGTAGATTGATAGTCTGCGTCGATGGCGCATGGGAAGATAGCACAGATAGAGTTGGCGTTGATTCAAATATTCTACACTTACTTAGGTCTATTGAAAGTGTACGTTTGAGGTCCTTACTTGTTATGAGCTCACTGATTACACAGGTTGATAAGAGAACGCGCCCAGCTACGATGCAATACGCTCATCATACAACCGCACATTTCAGCAATAGCTTAGTCTCACAGATACTTGGCGTAGCTTATCAGGGCTTCGCTAATCTCCTTTTTGAACTCTATTCGTTCATTTCAATGAATTACAGCGAAGGCGATGAGATTTTCATCTTTGGGTTTAGTAAAGGTGCTTATATGGCTCGTATATTGGCAGCTATACTCAATGATGTTGGAGTTCTACCTCGTGATGATGTCAGACAGTTCTTTGTGATACTCAAAGCATACATTGATCGCAAGAACGGAGGAACACGAGTTGATGAAGCCAATAATGTTTTAAAACCATGGTTGCTTTCTTCACCTGATAATACGCGTCATAAAGACCAACAATTTATTGTCAAGTGAGTGGACTTATGCTGCTTTTACACTTATTCATAGTTAGATGCCTCGGATTATTCGACTGCACGGTTCAGTCTTCATATAAACTACCAATGTGGGTAATCAAGGAGAGTCGTCGCGTATTTGACAATTTTATCAGCATAGGCTCGCGAGTTTCGAGTATTATTAATAAACCAGAATATTGTTTTGGGTTACCGGTAAGCGCAAAACATATAATTTTCTTACAAAGTTTATTTATTCGCTTAAGGACGCTCTTCTTGGACATCGTATCGAACATTGTTACCATGCACTCGCACTCAACGAGAATAGATCCAATCTGCGAGATCTACGTCTTGAACTCTCAAACACCGGCAGAGAGAAGGGTCAGAAGTGCAAACAAGTTTGGTTTACAGGCAGCAGTGGTGACATTGGTGGATCATACTCTGTGAGGGAATTGGCAGACTTGACAAGAATCTGGATGGCTGTAGGTGTGTTTTATAACTTTAAGTTGAATTAAATCATTGAATAGGGTCAACTTGATCCAATTATCTCTTTGAATAAGGAAATGCTCAAAGAGCAATTCGCAATGCCGGTTTTCAGATGGGGTTTGCAACCACCGCATAACCCTTATACATCGAAGTTGACAGCTTTAATGCCGGTCAAACGCACACCTAAATTTGTTACAGGAGGCACAGAGAAACTTCATCCTAGTGTTCTATCAGGGTCGTTCGATCTAGCTGAACCACTGATTGCAGCTATAGAACGAAACACAGATTTAATTGAAGAATTGAGTGCATTGGAGGATGAGGTAATGAGAGAATGGACATTGTCTAACAATCATGACGCTGATCATCTTGAAATTACCTACGCTATCGATCATAAACACTTTGATGAAGAGCAAGATGAAACTAGGTTTCAAAAATTTCTCTACCAGCTTCAATTAATCTTTGTTTATATCATTTTAATCTTTTTACGGAAAATTGAGTTATTATTTGGATTTTATCATATCAAGTAGCAATAGCAAGAAGATTTTGTAATTTTAGTTGTAATAGCAAGCTATGAAATGTATGGTTTACAATCTATTTATTGCATCGAAATGATCTATTGTCTATATGCTGGGTACCTGCGAAACCAATCCACATAAATTTTCATACCGTTCTGATGCAACACCATTTATGAACTTGTTTACCACCAGCCAGCCAATAAAGAGCGAAAAATCAAATTTCATTACATCGCGAAGCAATTACGTGGAAATATGATAGAAAATTTTCCTTCATTTCAACAATGCTATCTCAAGTTTGCTATCAATAGTATGTACACTTATCGATTAGCAGACCCCACTAATAGGTCATTTAAAACTTCCTATACAGTCGTTATTTCCCATATAAACATTATATTAGCTTTGATATGATAGGGTTCATTAAATATCAATATTCGGATATGCTTCTATGAGAGATCTGCATTATTCGTGTAGAAGATGCTAGACTATCGAACCATAACGCAGATCCAGTAAAGTACGATAATCTAACAATTGCATTTTTATCACAATTTGGAAACTTAGTTATATAATTGTATATTTAGGCATTTAACATGGATAAAGCAGAGTAAAGTTCTCATTCATGATTTTATATGCTGCAAATAGATGATTATTATAATAACTTCCACATCTTTTTAAAAATTAGTATGAATATAAGGGCAAACAAACCAACAGCTATTTTTCATTTTTATTGGTTACTTTGATGAAAATCTAGGCTTCACGATTAATAGTGATATAAATAAATGAAAATGATAAAACCACTAATAGTACTACTTTAATGCCATGCATGAAGACAAAAATGATAAGTCGAAAAGATGCTAAAAGAAATAATTAGATAAAGAAGAAATTGTTCATTGTTTTTAAAATAATTCAACTTTTTGCGATAAATAATATATAAATATGATTGATTGTCCATGAACTATTTATTGCTTGATTATAAGTTAATAAGCTAAATTCTACCCTCCAATATAGCATCAATTGAGCTATTAATGAAATCTTTCTTATTCTCAATATCAACTTCAGGGTAACGTTCTGCAATATGTTCTCGTGCCGTTCGTTTCGTGACTTGCATTAATGGTGTTGTAGCAAGATATTGTCTTAATGACATAAGAATGTTATCATCAGTTGGATCACTTAGGGATGTTGAATAAGCTGCTGATGCAGGTCTAGACGCTGTCTGTACATCAGATTGAGGTGTTGGCATACCGAATCCAAATTGTGATTGGGAGTGCGATTGAGGGAGCAGTTGTTGCTCACTCATTCCATACATTGATGCGTACGGATTGAAACTCATTCTGCTCATCCTTGATGGTGCCAACCCTGGTGGATTGTATGGTGAAGGCGTTGGTGCATATGGATTATTCGGCATTAGGTTATTTGTTGCGAGTGTGTAAGTTGAATAAGGACGTGGCATATTCATATTAGCTTGAGGTGGTGGGAATTGGAAATCAGAGATTGTGGAACTCATTCCTCTGGCATCACTGAATGGATTTGAACCATTTGTCTTGGTATATAATTCTTGCTCGTAATCATCAAAAGTCTTCAATGGTAATTGACTCTCGTCAAACGGTTCCTCATCCGTAGCTACAATCTTAGTGTGTCCCTTCTCACCAATAACAACTCTTGTGGAACCCCAACCGAAATCATCGAAATGCCAGAATGAGTAGAGCGGAAGATAGAACGACCACAGTGGATAACTGATTAAGTAAATCAACATCCAACCGACGTATTGCCATTCTCTCTTTAATAAGAAGATTACGATTTGGAAACCATATGTAGCCTATCATGTGATTAGTTGGTATCCTCTGGAATGAACTCTACACTTACAGCAAGCATAATGATTGTGATGATTGGGAATGGTCCCTGACCAATAGCGACAATAGTAATAAGATAAATGCTAATTCGTTGTTAGAGTTTTCGACAAATTTAGTACCTCAACTCACAGATAAATAAGTACTGCTGGTAGAAGAATAGTCGAAATAAGATCGATAATAACGATGAATCTCATACTGAAACATAAGAAACCGCAGATATCAGGTAAATTGATCAACTCTGTAAAGTTGTGAACAGTAGAATTAATCCATCTACGTCTCTGTGACATCAAAATGGACCAAGTTTCAGGAGCTGCAGTGTGAGCAATAGCATCAGCTGTAAACTTCAACTTAAATGAAGCGAAGTATTTCAACATAATAGTAGTGAGGTAACGATCTTCACCTAAAGAAAGCAAATTCTTTTTATGAAGAGTATCAACGTTATTCTCCGAATAATCCTCTATAACCCGAGTTGAAATAATCAGTGGTTTACCTTTATCTTCTGTGCGTAACCTATACATAGAGAAACAACCAGGAAGACAAGTGACAGTACCGAATAAACTTTCGAAAGCTTTAGCTAAATGATGTGAAATGAAATATTCGTAAACTTGTATCATAGTCCACCAACTATCTTCTTCATTGTCAAGACGAGTTTCACCACATATACCAATGATTGCACTATCATCTACGCAATTCGCTACTAGGCGATTTGCAGCTTCGGGTGTAACGGATGTATCTGCATCAACCATGAACAAATATTCATAGAAACTAGGATCAATTCCTATAATATTCTTCATCTGATGCATCATTTCCAGTTCAAGTGGGTACATTGGACTATTAAAGTGAACTCTATTGAGGAATCTCATGACTAGAATTTGTGAATCACGTTTACCTCTATTACCAGGTTTTGAACGCTCCGTAGGTTTACCAACTTTTGCAACAACCATGAAAGGAACGACGTGACCTTCAAATTCGTAAAGACCTGAGTATACTTTTCCGTAATTCATTTGTTTTCCACCCTCGCCGAGAGACTTAAACAACAATGGTTCAGGATCAATTTGAGGATCAACTCCAAATATATCCAAAACTATACGAGGTGTTGTCCTATCATTACCACCACCAATGATGTTACCATCACAAATAACCAAGATCAACTTGCGTTTATCGTCATACTCTAACCCAGCTAAACTATCAATAGTCTTCTTGAGCGATTCTTCTCCTTCTGTGTATGCAGGTACCTTAAGTAATCGTTAATTGTCATTTTCAGAAATATTTCACTGCTCACCTGGCAAATAATGAATTTATCTTGCAACTCAGGTTTACGTTTGCTACCCAATTGCAAAGCAGAAAGGAATTTGACGAGGAGAATGCAACAGAGGAAAACAGTGAAAGACAACAGAATGTAATTCTGTACTTGACATCTAGGAGTATCTCTAAAGTCAACTTCTCCGAGAAAATGAGCACGTTTAAGGCATTGTTTATGTTGATTGGCACGTGTGCTATCCATACCGTTCAAAACATTGTTAAGATCTTTGGTGATATCTTGACCAGCATTCTTTTTGAAAAGATCCGTAACACTCTTATCCATATATTCTACTTTGTCATTTGTAGATTGATAGTAATCCAATGTTGACAAGTAGGTCGTTAAGTCGTAAACGCCATTGTCATAAATAGCTTTCTGCTTGTTATTGTCAAATCCATCCTTCTCAACGTCGCTCTTCTGTATAACCATCGATCCTTTCAACATTGGTTTCATTTTTGGAAGGAAAGTGTCCGCATACCAGTTGGAAGATTCCAAAGCGGTGCTTTCTGCTCCTTGGTATTGTCTACCGGACGTATGATCTGCTGTTGGTACTTCTAATTGCTTTTGTGCGTTGAAGGTTGGAACGTCTCCATCCGTCAAACCTTCGCAAGCCCACTCAAGCGGTGGAGGGAAATAATCTGTGAGATCTAAACCAGCGAGTTGATGCATCAAATCCGAAGATACTGGGCGAGAATCAATATCTGAATGCTGAGATCTCCAAAAGTCTGAAATGTCATATACTATAGGGTATTATTAGATAAGTTGTTGATTTGCAATGAAACCTACCTGAACCTCTAATACCGACCCAGAAATTATCATCAGCGGTATATTCTCCAAGTTGGCCTTCACTCCATGCTTTATTATACCTTGGACAGAGAATTTTACCGAATCCAATAATGTAGAACAAGACTATACCGCAGAATAATGCAATAAGCATGCAAAGTGTGAGTTTTTCTCTCCATGCAAAACGTACATCTGGACGCTTCATTCTACCTATGGTTGAAAGCAAGAAAGAGGGAATAAACCAAGTAAATGCCCAAACTAACTTCACCCATAGACGTCTGGAAGTACTACGAGGAGCCTTTTGAACATCTTGTTGGCGTTGTGCGATGAAACTTTGTGATCTACTCTTCTCTGATATTGCATCTTTGTCTGTCCATCCATACTCTAAACCTGACTCATCATCATCATTGAAATCCTTCTTCGTATATGATGGCGTTTCGTCGTCGACTGGTTCATAATTTTTTGTAACGGTCTGTGGGAATCCATAACCGTCATCTGATTCATTGTATGGAGTAGTTGTCATTGGGACAAAGTTTGTGGATGCACGAGTCATATCTGGTCTGTCCACTGTCATTTCCTTTGGAAGTTCACCATAGCTGTCTTCACCTTCGCTATGCTCTTCTTCGTTTATATCTCTAATATCATCTTCTAGTATCTTCCAAGCTGCATAACTCAACCAAACATACTCGTTACCAAGTTCGTAGTCTAGTCCATTGCCGAGCTCGTGTTCAGTGAGATAAGTTTGCGCAGCTTGCTTTGCGACATCACTATCGTCAACAGGCTCACCAGATATATATCTCATACAGAAATCCTCAAAGGTGTAATGAGATACATACTCAGCTCTCTTTCTTGCGATAGTATCAGCAATTGAAAGAGCATCCAACTGATATCTTAATCTACGTTTATCAATTGCATTTGGAGATAAACTATCATTTGGACGCAAAGAGATTACGCTCCAAAGTTGGCATTTGTCAACGGCGTTGAGCATGTCAGCCAAGCTCACATCAATTTGTGAAGAGATAGGGTGAATCTCATAACTGCTGAGATTTTGCTTGGAAGTAGCTTGCGAAAGACCAGCATCAATTGGGTTAGTAATCGGTGAAACGTCTCTTAGTGGCATAGAAGAGATTTGAGAATCAGCGATGGTCTCTTCATCAACAGGATGCATCTTCGTGAATAATGAAGGGCCACTGAAGAGTTTCCCAATAAATGAGCTATTTGATGAACGCAAAGTTGACACTGTCAACGGATCAAGTCTATCTTGGTCACGTTGGATGAAGTCATGTGCATCATAACTAACGTGTCCAGCATAGTGATTGATGGTGAATTGTGAACTAGCTGAGTTACCATATGTGGGAGGAGTGAAAACAAAAGCTTTGTGCGTATGGAAAGCACCACCAATTGAATTAATGAAAGCATCATCAGCATTCTTCTCAAGTAATGTACCACTTTTTATCTGTTTTCCAGATTGATTGAGTAAGCCCAATACACCCAATGGTTTACCAGGTGGTGGATGTGTTGATGGATATGTAGATGAACCGCGTAATAAGTGCAATGTCTCACTATTGGCGATACCCTTGTTTGGTAATTGAAGACCATCGTTAGTTTGCATACCATTGTAAGCGCTACTGTCATCGAAGACCCTTCTTAAGAGGTATGAGTTGAGGATTTCAGCAGTATAATTGATATTAAAGTCGTGATAGCCACTAGTTGTTGAATTGATGAGTGGGTATGATTGCCTAGACATGACTGAATTGGTTGGTGATCTGTTACTGAATCCAGGTATATCAAATTGTAAAACTTGTAATGCGCTTCTCTCACTGACAAGTTTATGGTTACCGGATTCGATGACGTATGCAAAAAGTATAGCGTAGAGGTCTTGTATGAGGTGATCACGTTGAAGGGAAGCACCTTTAGCATCAAGAAGATGAGTGCTGATATCCTTCTTAATATAAACGCTTCTGTTAACGAGCAAGACTTCCAATTCATCAGGTTCGATACCAAGTAGATGAGATGCAATTTCCAATTCATGAGTAGTTGAAACTGCTGCCGAGGTATCTCTTGTTTCAGCGTCACTGAATTCGATATTCGAAAGTGTCAGAATAGCCACGATTAAACTCCAGATAGCATCAATGTGCTTTTGCTTAAAGCCCAAGGTGATGAAAGCATCGTAGAGAGAATTATACCCAGCGTGATCATCAGAGAATGGACCAAATGGGAGTTTAAAGCAACCGCTTGATGCTAACATTGCATATGAGCTTGGATCCTGTAGTTCATATAATTGTTGCAAGTTTGGCGGTGCACCTGCTAAGAACTGATAAAAGACGTGAAATGAGCGCTCATCTGGACCCAAAAGAGAGAGTCTAGATTTGTCTAGATTGAAAGGAAGAGATTTAGAACCAATGAGTTTACCAGATTTCGTGAATTGTAATTCATGAAGAATGGAATGTCTTGAAGCGTTACTTGAAAGGGAAGTTTTAGCATTACCAAAGCTGTTTATGATAACATCCAAAGCTTGTATCTTTTCAATCAATTGAGAAGATTCCAAGGATGTATTTGTAAGAAAGAGTAGTTGATTCGTGATGAGTGATCTGTTGAAGGATTTACCAGAACCTGTAAGACCGCTACCGAAGTGTTAGTGAATAGACAAGAAAAGAAAGCTTATCGTACTTGTATATTACTGCCTGACTGACAGATTTTCTTTTCAAAGATAGTAAGATACGCGATGACAGATCGTAAGGGTGTGGTTGTAAAATGCTCGTTGAAGGGTCATAAGTGAGATCTTTATACTCTCTCTGGGACTCTGCATTATAAGATTGTAAATGCTTTAAAGGGTTTATCGTAATGAATGAAGATGAGCCTAGTTTGATAAACGGGAGATCTAATCTAAATCTAGACTGCAATAGAGAGATAATATCATCTGTATTAGGGTATAATAACGTATCTCTATTATCATTTAATTTTATTAGAGAATTTAGATTCGTTATTTCAGCCATCTCTTGACTGATTGAGCTCAAGAGGGGGAGATAGACGTCCGCCAAAATAAGATGAGTCAATCTGAGGAAGATTTCAAAGATTTTAGTCAAGAAGAGTTTGGTGATGAATTTGGTGAATTCGAGAATGAAGAGGATCTATCGGTAGATTTATTGGAATCTGAAGAAGAAAGACAAGTTGGATTCGATAAGCAAATATTAGTTACGCAATACGCAAGAGATATACACCAAGATTTATCTAATACAGCTCTACCAAAGGCTTTGGATTATGATTACAGTTACACTAGGAGGCAATTCTTGTTAGTATTGGGGAAGCCTTTGAATTTAGATGAGATTAAAGTAAATAAGCTACCACCTTTGCAGTTATCACTTAATCAACAAGATCATACACCAACCGTAGCTAATACATCTAAACCTGAGAATACTCCGATTGATCCAGCTGTCGATATCGAGTCTATACAGTTAGAAATCGATAATATAGACACTTTCACTTTAAACCTAATACCAATCACTGAATTATCTAAATTACGTGATAACCTACGCTCAAATGAGCAATCCGTTAATCAACAGCTAACTTATAATCTAGAACAGCTAGATACACTCAGAAATGATAACGAAACATATAACACATTAATTTCTGATTTAATCAAAGAAACTAATAATAAATTATCAAAAAACTACTCCATGAGATCAAAAATTCAACCCAAATCGGTCAACTTAATGGAGAGAACAGGTAGTGCAGGCTTATGGGGTCCTAATAACCTCCCAAAGACACCTCCAGAGAGAGTTCTCAGTCCAGGTCTGACATTATCTGGGAACAGAGTGAATTGGTAATCATCGTCCCTTCAACCCACACAACCATGTCTTCTCTCTTTGGAACTAAGCAACAAAAGCCAGATGTAAATAAAATGAAATTAGAGATTCAACAAGCCAGCGCTTTAGCTAATGCTCAACAATTGATAAATAATATGAATAACCAATGTTATGATAAATGTATACTTAAACCTTCAACTTCACTTTCCTCATCTGAGGAAGGTTGCCTTAGCAACTGCATGCAAAGATATATGGAGGCTTGTGGGTTTTACTTGTTTTATGTACTTATCAGCTCACAACAGACAGTCAACATCATCTCAACTACTTATGTACAAAGGATGTCAAAGGAAAGACACGAACAAACAGCTTAGATGCATTCAATTTCTACTTTGACTTTAACTTTCCAAGTAACTCTTGTTGGAGCGATCTCTTCCTGAACTCCTCACCTTGTCCATTGATTATACGTATTTCATTAAGAATATCTTTAGTTTTACCAAGGTATACTTCAGCCAGGCTATTCCTTATACCTCTTTCATGCTCTTCAATCAATCTACCAATGTTGGTTATATGAGCAGAAGGTGCAGGAACATTAGCGTTAGTTTCGCACTGTCTGGTTAAACTGCCCGACAAGTTTGTCTTTGATTCCTTCTCATCGTTTTTTAATGAGAGTATAACCGTAGTAGTGAGCTTATAGTTGGCTTCTCTACCATGTGTGCTGACCTCAAATACGTGTACACTGTCCCAACTACCATCGTCAACGGTCTTTTTGATTAAGACAACACCTGCGAAGTTAGCGCTGCCATCTAAATCCCATAGGTATACACCAGATAAGCCACCTTCAAAGTACATATCTCTGTAGGTTTCTAATGCGTCATTCATACCAGTTTCTAATTGGCGTAATTGAGGAGATGGCAATGTGCCATCTGATAACTCAGGGATGTAGCTATTGGTATATGGAGATCTGTAGCTATCGCCATCTCTGTTGTAATCGCAGATGAGATACTCTCTGTTGCTACTATCTGTGCGTATCTCTAAGGGTTTATCCACGCTACCAAGGAATTCATCTTGTGTATCTAGATCGTCACTGACGAGTTCGCTAAGACATCCCAAATTGCTGTCAATATTCTGAGGAGCTAATCTTCTGACGAGGTCTAATAAAGCTTCTATTTTATCTGTCCTATTAGATGGTGTAAGCCTAGTCATATTTTTATTGATAATTATACAACTAACATTTTTGGTATCTCGTTGTTCTAAACAGAAAGATACATCTTAATATCAAACTACGAAGAGCACAATATTAAATGGATAACTATGATGCCATTATAGTCGGTGCAGGTATCGCAGGTCCTCCATTAGCAGCCGCTTTATCTAAGCAGAACCGTAGAGTTTTGTTAATCGAACGAGATTGGTCTGAACCCGATAGAAGTGAGTTTATTGATTAGCAGTATGCTTTACTAACGAGCGAATAAAGTCGTCGGAGAAGTACGCTTTTTATTCTTTACCTACCCATCTAACTTCATATCAGCTCTTGCAACCAGGTGGTCTCAACGCTCTCAAAGAGTTAGAAATGTCTTCTGCTTTAGAAAACATAGACAGCATACCTGTAGAAGGCTATTGTGTCATTTACAATAAGGAGCCTGTTCATATTCCATACCCATTCAGCGATCTATCGTCCAAGCGTCATCAAGGCAGGTCATTCCATCACGGTCGATTCATACAAGGTCTTAGAGAGCTAGCAAAGCAAGAAAAATCTATTACTACTGTAGAAGCCACAGTAAAATCACTCATGATTGATAATGATGTCGTAAAGGGTGTTTCAACATCAGATGGGAAGTCTTATAAAGCACCTATTACATTCATAGCGGATGGCTGCTTCTCTAACCTTCGTAAATTTGCTCTCAAGGAGGCACTCCCCCCAAAAACGTGTTCCTGGTTCGTTGGTTTAATCCTACACGATTGTGAACTACCAAAGAAGTATCACGGGAATGTCATCCTAGGTGATAACCACGCTTGTGTACTTCTTTACCAAATTGGTAACAACGACGTACGCATTTTGATGGATGTCAGAGGTGATAGACCATCAATACCAAAATTACCTGATCATATAAAGAAGGATATTCTTCCACATCTTCCAGAATCAGTTCAGCAACCCCTTTTAAATGCTCTCAGTGATCCTGAACAAAGGCTTAGAATTATGCCAAATAGTTACATGCGTCCAACTTCCCGGAATGCGAACACACGTAAAGGAGTCTTACTCATAGGTGATGCACATAATCAACGCCACCCACTCACGGGTGGCGGAATGACTTGTGCTTTGACGGATGTTAACACCCTGACAAAAGAATTAGACGGTGTGGATTTACACAATTGGGATGCAGTCAAACTTTGTCTTCATAATTGGGATTGGACGAGACGCTCAACCGCTGGAACGGTCAATACTTTGAGTATGGCATTGTACGATCTATTCAGTGGAGACGATGATGATTTGAAGGTGTTAAGGCAGGGTTGCTTTAGGTACTTCCTTCAAGGTGGAGATTGTATAGATGGCCCTGTAGCTCTTCTTAGTGCTGTTAGACCAGAACCATTGGTACTTTTCTATCATTTCTTTGCTGTCGCTTTCAAGAGTATATCATTACTTTACGCACAATCAAGCTCAAACGTAGTTTTCACAACTTTCAAAGCAATACATGTTCTCAAAACGGCATGTATCGTACTTCTCCCAACCATGGTAATGGAATTAGTTCCATACCCTCAACATGTTTTGAAATTTTTGCTCTTAGTATCACTTTTCATACTAGGTTTAGCAATTCACATACAATCGCTCTAGAATTATACCCAAAATGTAATAAATAAATTTATAGAATTGACAAAATCTAATCAAATTTTATTGAGTTGCTACCCATGAAAATTTCACCTCCTTTGTAGCTACCTCTCTTTTTCTTGTTCTTTTCTTTTCTGAAACCAGCGCCTTTAGTTGGTGCTAAATCAGCAGCTGCTTTATGTCCGAAGTCCTTTTCAGATAAACCGATACCTTCAAATGAGTTATCAGCCAATCTGTTATCATGGAAAGTTACATCTTCTGCTATAACTCTTCTAAATCTTTCATTTTGAACTTTCTTTTGTTTTCCGTTGGCACTTGTCGTGGTTGTTGTTACTGTAGTTTCCTTTCCGTTTGGTGTTGATGATTCAGTGGTCTCAACTGTTGTGTTATCATCTAATTTTTGCTTTTTGGTTTGTTTAGCGACCGGTTTTTCATCTTCGCTAGAGCTTGAGTCGCTAGAGCTTGATGAGGAAGAAGAAGAAGAAGCACTAGCTTTGCGCTTTTTTGTCTCAGCGGCTGGTTTAGCAACTACGGTCTTCTTTTCTTCATCGCTTGAAGAATCTGAATCTGAGCTGTCTGATGAGCTGCTGCTAGATGCTGCCTTTTTCACAGGTGATGTTTTCTTCGCAGCTGGTGATGGCTTCTTTTCATCCTCACTGTCTGAGCTATCTGAAGAGCTTGAAGAGCTTGATGATGAGCTGCTAGCTGCCTTCTTCGGAGATGGCTTCTTAGCTGCTGCTGCTGGTTTCTCATCCTCGCTATCTGAGCTGGAGGAAGAGGAGTCGCTGCTGTCTTCTTCCTTAGATGCTGGTTCGGCAGCTGGTTTGTCATCATCGTCGCTGTCACTACTACTACTGCTGCTGCTACTGTCGCTATCGCTATCACTATCATCCTCTGTATCCTTCTTGGCTTGCTCAAGTTTGGCGGTAACAGCTTCCAAGATAAGTGAACACTTTGGATCATCCTTAGATTTCGCTAACTTGCTGCTATCAATTTCAAGGTTTTTCTCCTCGATTTCTTTTAGAAGTTTGCTAGCAGTTTTGTCTAATTTGTTAGCGAACAAAAATGCATGTACGAGTAATAGAGTAGCTGGGTAATAGGTTAGAATGGGTGTAAGTGAGCTAAAGGGAATCAACTAACCAGACAGTTCTTTGCTATTTACCATTATTTTCAATTACTGACGATCGTTGTAAGAAAAAGAGAACTTCTTCTCAAACTATCAACGAGTAATTCAGAAACTATTAAATGAGTCAAGCGTCGTCGAATTGGCTCAATTTGAAAAAAGTTCGTTTCTTATCTTACAATGGAGTTTGCTAATCAAATTTAGAAATTACCTACTACTTCTAATAATACAGGCACAAAACGTAAACGCAAGTTAAATACACCAAGAGAAGATATAAAGAAATCTAGAATGTCAGATAATACTAATAACAAGGAAGTAACAACCGGCGTAGTCAAACCAACTGCTTCTATACTACCAACAGAAGTTACAGGCCCGAAAGCAGAAATTGGCAAATATTTAGCCATGGATTGTGAAATGGTTGGTGTAGGTAGAGATGGTGAAGAGAGTGTTTTAGCCCGCGTTAGTATAGTCAACTACCATGGCGCTGTTATCTACGACACTTTTGTCCGTCCAATGGAGAAAGTAACCGATTTTCGTACATGGGTCAGTGGTGTTACCTTCAAAGATGTAGAGAAAGCTCCTCTATTCAGTGAAGTTCAGCAGCATGTTGCAGATTTGTTAGAGGGTAGAATTCTCATAGGACACGCGATTAATAACGATTTGAGAGCTTTATTGTTGACGCATCCACCTTCGCATATAAGGGATACCGCAAAGTATGAACAATTGCACACTATCGCTAAAACTAAGAGACCAAAACTCAAAGCTCTCGCTAAGCTCGTTCTTGGTATTGATATCCAAGAAAACGAACACAGTTCTGTAATTGATGCGCAAGCTACAATGGAAGTGTACAAACGTTATCAATCATTGTGGGAGGGCACTCTCGCTCGTCAGGCAAAGATACTCCAAGCTAAGAAATCTGGCAAGAAAGGTGCAAAAAAGAGTAACAATAGCAATATTAAGAAGAAGAGTCCAGTCAACCTCAACTCAGCTGCTCCTACCGCATCTTCTGCATCTTCATCTGACTGGTGGAATGAATCTGCCATGACAACAGCATAATTAATCATCATAATACCAAATAGACCAACTTGTTGTATAAATACACTATTTATTGCTCTTTAACTTTTAAACTCTTTTCTCTTTCTCTCTAATCTTTGATGCTTTCTTTCCTCTCTATATGCAGTCTCTTCTTTCACTTCTGGTGTGTCTTCATATGCTCTACTACCCATACCCCAGGAACCAAGGCCCATTCCATGATCCTCTCTTACACCCCAAACGTGATTATTAGAGAAAACAGGTGCATTGTCACGTTGAAGTATACCACCTGGGTTGTTATACTCTTCGCCAAAATCTTCACCATGGGTAGCCATTTCAGCTAACTTTTTTATACCTTTTGTTGCATTTGTACTTTTCTCCCAAACTCTAGCTGAAATTGGTAAACTTATCCATTTTTCTGGATGATTTGTTAAGTAATTTGAAGATCCCATTTCAATTAATCTAGATACAGCGCGTCTATATGCGAATTTTTCATCTTCACCTGATAAAATTGCTAATCCGTGTAATTGTTGAGCAGGTCGTGTTTGTAATTTTGAGCTGATCGTACCTGCACTTGATACATGCGGTGATGATTGCGCTTCTATACCTTCAGATATGGCTTCATAAGCTATTAAATCATCAATCTCTTCTTGTTTACCCGTCGAATCAGGAAAAAATAATCTATCAATATTGTCTTGCGCGTAAGCTATCAATCTACATTTTGATTCATAAAGGGCGTCTATAAGTGTAATGAATCTTCTCGCTTGATTCTTTTGAGATATGCGCATAACTGGTATTTGATCAATAATTATAGTATCAAATGTACTAGCAAGTGCTAAGTAATCTGATGCACCGAGTGGCTAATTGGATTATCAATTTATATCTCATGATAAAAAATAACTCACGCTATCACATAATTCTGTGAAGGTGAATTTAGCTATACCCTTTGAAGTTTCATTAATATAGACTTCACGTCCATAAACCATTAATTTCCGCGATTGTCGTTCACTTCCCATCAATTTTTCAACAAGACATTCAAATTCATGTCTGTCATTGACAAACCATGATATAGTCTCACCGTGTGGTTTAGTTGTCCGATGATCTATTCCTGCATCGAGATTTAAACCATTACAACGCCTTTCAAGAGCGAAAAGAAAGTCATTTAGGTTCTTCGATCCTACACCTTTAGCATATAGTTCTGACGGTGGTTTGTTGGATGTAGAGAGGAGAATTCCACCAAACCTCAAAAACCAACTGAGGGTATCTCTAAGCAAAACTGCTGATGCTATGTCTAACATTTGTAGCTCATCTAAATAGAGTATATGGCCATGGTTGAGAAATAACTTTCGAGCAACAGCAAAAGAGATTGAGGTATGCATCATTAACGAATTCTCCGCTTCTAGATCTACTGGATTAGATTTTTGGGCTTCCTCACTGAAAATACCTCTTCTCCGCTGCATTTCTTCCCATACTAAACCATAGACTAAAGTCATAAAAGCATGATAATGTAGTCTAATTTTACGGGATGTTGGTAGACTTCCAAACCAAATGTCTAAAATGAATGACTTCCCAGATCCTGGATCACCATAAAGTAGGATGCCTTTCGGAGTTTGAAGACCTTCCAAAGCTTCAGTACCGGTGAGTGACTTCACCAATGCTGTTTCCTTATCGTGGTCATCGTGGCTGCGTAAATTGGTGAGACGTTTGAATGAGTTTATCCAACCGGACTCTTGTTTAAGTGCTCTACTAATTGGTTTTAAAGTTCTGAGTAATTCCAATGGTGGTGTATATTCACATAATTCCTTATGATGTCCTTTCAATCTTGTCAATATCGCTAATTGATCGCGATCGTTATCAATCTCTCCGAGTGCTAGCTATGTAATAAATTTAGATGATAAAATAAGTAAATGAACAGCCTCACTTTAGCTCTCCATAAATCTATCGGATTTGTGTGCACGATCTGCGTAGATCTCTTTATCAAGCTCCATCTCATGAAGGAGTTTCTTCAAGATGTTATTAGGTATGCAAGAATATATATAAAGTTATCTATTACACAAAATCATATCCAGCTACTTTCCCTTGGCTATTATGAGCTCGCGGGGCAGTCGGACTTCTACTCCTATTGTAATCAATACGCTGTTCACCTGCAGCTACAGAAGGGAATGAAGAAAAGAGATCTGGATGCTTGGGCAAAGGTGATTCTCTTTTGAATTGTGTTGTGTAGTTAGCCGATGTAAATCATCTAGTAATTCACTCACTTGAAAAAGGGATGTTTGAGTGCATCAACACATGATATTCTCTTTTTTGGATCATATGTCAATAATTTTGCCATTAAATCTATACCAGATTCTGTTAATATTTTATAATGCTGTCTAAGAGAGCTGTATAAAGGAAATTGTGATGTGTTTATGGATTTTGCATGAGGAAGTTTACTAAATCCACTCCATATGTCGTCGCTTGGTTGACCCAACATTGTGAATATCAACTTTAGCTGTTCAAGTTCACTACGACCCCCAAACATGGGTTCACTTGTAATTAGTTCGCCAAAGATGCAACCTATACTCCAAGCATCAACCGCTGTAGTATATTTTTTCTCTCCGAGTAAGATTTCGGGTGCCCTTGAGTTGTTTTATTAGGAAAACAAACTCACTGCTGTTGTAACTCACCTGTACCAGAGGGTTACGACTAATTGTGTCATTTCATCTACTGGATCAGCATATCGTCTAGCCATACCGAAATCTGCTACTTTAATCTGCCCTCGATTGTTCATAAGCAAGTTACTAGCTTTCAAATCCCTATGTAGAATCCAATTAGAGTGAGCATGTGCCGTAGCTTCTAATAACTGCTTCAAGAGTGTCTTGACTTCAGAAATCAAAAATGGCTCAGGCATAGTGTGCATGAGGGTCTTTAAGTCATGCTCAACAAAGTCCATAACAATATAAATCTGATTAAGTGTGTCGCCAACTACAATCTCTCTAACATTGACAATATGAGGATGTTGACAGATAAGTAGTGAGTGTATTTCCCTTAATGAAGTTATGGGGAATCCGTACTTTTCTTCTTCTAATTTCAAACGCTTTAACGCGACGATCTCACCAGTTTCTTTACATCTCGCCCTGAAAACGATACCATATGTACCTTCCTCTATATGATTCAAACGCTCGTAATTATCAACAGATCTGCAGCTTTTAAGTGGTGGGTGATCCTGCCTCTCTGGAACCGTTTTAGCTCGAGTTTGCATGTAGCAATGATGAAAGTGAATGATAAAGAAGTAAATTGCGTGAATATATTAATATATTTGATATATATGGTGTATTTTCTTTTATCACTTTTAATACTGAACAACCATGATACCAACGATCTCTAGATTGACAAAACCAGCTTATCCTGGACACTGGCCAGTAGGGAAATTAGAAAACCTCTTCTTAGCAGCTGGCAGTGCAGTTGTATCTTTAGTAGATGTTTACAGACATGGTGAGTTCATATATGTACTATATCTCAACATCTAATACTCCATAGACATGCTTGCAACGCTCACAGAAACATCTACCCCTACTATGCTACTACAGCAAATGCGTCAAGGTATGCTGTCTTCAGATAATGGAAGACGCATTCTAGCCGAAAGACCGAGAATATCAACAAAGAGTGTGGATTTAGACGCACTCAGGGATTTGCCAAAAGGTACATTAGGGAGAGAATACTCTTTATGGTTGGAGAGATGTGGCGTCACTCCTGATACTCGTGATCCAGTTCATTACATTGACGATGAAGAGTTAGCATATATCGTTCAACGGTATAGGGAGAGTCATGATCTCTATCATCTATTACTTGGACAGAGAGTTGATATTCTCTCTGAACTTATCATAAAATGGTTCGAATTTTCACATTTCAAGCTTCCAGTAGCTGGTTTATCAAGTGCATTTGGTCCATTACGTCTTAGACATAGTTGGCAGCGTCAGGACTTATTCACTCGCTCCGGTCCATGGGCTATCAGACAAGGTAACAGGTGCGCGCCATTAATGGGTATATATTGGGAGAATGAATGGTCGACAAATCTCGCAGAATTGAGACAGCGCATGAACTTAACAGACGTACCAGATTGGAGAGATGGAAAAGGTCCACAGGGTAAAGGCAAGGCAAAATTTGGCAGTGGATTAGAAATCGGAGGTGCTTGATGTATTATAGATGTTTCCCGTAACTTCTAATTATTATACAATATTAATCATCTGCGTGTCATTCCTAATAACTCATTGATCATAAATCTATGCGTGACTTATATCTTATGATAACTCAATGAGGCTAATATGCTAATGTAATGTAAACAATCAGAGTTATGAAAGGTCTTCAAAGTAATACATCTAAATATCGATAGCATCAACAGTAATCTCATAATGATCGTTTGTCCACTTTGCCGACACGCTAATGTATGATTTTAATAAAAGAGGATATAAACGCATAAACACCTACCTAGAGAGATCCTTCACGATGAAATCCGGCCCTGAAGCTTTTATAGTATCAATTGGGTAAGATGTGAGAACAGCAATGACAACAGCACCTGCCGCTTTACCAGCTGTAATACCAGAGGGTGCATCTTCAAGTACCAAGCAGTCTGTAGCACTTTGTTTAATAACTTTCGCACCTTCGAGGAATGGCGAAGGATCTGGCTTGCCTCTAACGACATTTTCTGACGTAATGAAAGATTCTGGTTGCTTAATTTGTGATATACTGAGTGCAGCGCTAGCATATACTTTAGTGGCAGATGTTACGATGGTCCAGTTGTTGTGATTGTCGTTTAGCTGGTCAAGAAGCTCATTAACACCGGGAAGGATAACTAAACCATTCAAACCCTGTTCTTGTCTTTTCTTAGCGCATGCTAGGATAGTCTCCTCAAAACGCTTAGCTTCAGACGCGATTGTATCTGGGTTCTCTAATTTACAAAAGCGAATCATCTGGAGTATATGTAAGATACTGCAGTAAATAATAAGCGAAACTGACATTCTCATGGGTTCTTACACCATGTGAATGCTTTAGAACGTCCTCCAAACTAATAAATGGGTAATCCTGTGCAAATTGAGCCCATGTTGCTTCTACAGCCGGTGTGGACTCAATGAGAGTACCATCCATATCCGAGAGAACACCTTTTACACTGTTATATACGGTAAGTCTTGATATTCGCACATTGTAAATTATGCTGACGTGAATGTAGTCTTCATTTTCTGAGAAAGTGGTAGTAGAAGGAAAAGAGTCAGGCAGACAGGTCGCTAAGGAAGGAAGAACTGGATAAACGTGAATGGTAAGGATATCTCTATGTAGGTCTGGTATACAAATGAGTGAGAGAATGTATAAACTATTACGTGTCTAGCAAGAAAGGTATCCGGTGTATATATTGAAGGGATAGATATCTGAGTAGCTAGCGCAATCTATCTAGTAGATTCCAAGTGACTACAAATTTGTTAGAAGAACTTGAAAAAGAACGGCTGGGTTTGTCAGACAAAACTATCTAGATTCCAGTATAATCAGCATATTTAACTAAGCTGTCCCTATACTATATTTGACATCCTATAAAACCCGTATGCCAAGAGTACTACTCACAGATGACTGTTCGAGTTAAAGGAGTGAAAGAGGCTGAGATTTATTATTAAAATAAAAATTATTCACTCAGAACACAATTATTAATTCATCTTATAAGTTTATTTTTAGCCGTTCTCCGCTTGCACTGCGACACCGATGTCAGAACAACCTGAGCCGGGACTCAGTACACAGCTAGAACCAGAGGAAGTGAGTATCGCCTTATTTATATACTCCCTATATTCATTCTTCCATACAGCTGGATATATTCTCTGCTGCCCAGCGTGGTGACACTGCCTGTATTGATAATCTCATCGCCAGCGGCAAGGCAGACGCAAATGACAGGGATCAAGAGAACATAACTGCTTTGCATTGGGCGTCAATTAATGGTCAAGTTGAAACTTGCAATTATCTCCTCGACAAAGGCGCAGAAGTCGACGCATTTGGGGGTGAACTCGTATCTACCCCTTTACAATGGGCCGCTAGGAATGGTCACTTGTATGTTTTGTACACTCTCATCAAACACGGTGCAAATCCATCCACTATGGACAGTCAAGGTTTCAACGCCTTGCATTTAGTAGTACATTCTTCAGTTATCATGGCCGTATTCTACGTATTACAACAAAACATCGACATAGACGCACCTGATGTCCAAGTTAGTAGTCGATCTTTTACCACGTGGACGCTTATTGACCGATACACAGGGACATACACCATTAATGTGGGCTGCTTATCAAGGTGACGCCCTATCAGTCGATGCCCTGATCAGGCATGGCGCTGGTATCAACAAGTTCGATCAAGCTGGTCTCACTCCACTTCATTGGGCTACTGTTAGAGGTGCGTAATAGCTTTACTTTCGAACTTCCTTTAACAATAATCCAAGGCAATAGAGTTTGCTTGCGTCACATTATAGAAGCAGGTGCTGACTTATCTGCAAAATCAAATGACGGCAAAACGCCTCTTGCAATGGCGCATGAATTAAAATCAATTGGAGCTTATAGACGCGCGCTCGCTGATTGTGGCAGAAATGAGGATGGTAGCGTACGTGAGAAGCCTTTGTCAGATGTATGTTTTTCAGTTATATGGCGAATTATACTTAACAACCATTCAGCGGAATACAAATATCGTAATATTCATTTTACCAGTTTTTTTCATGGGTCTAATCTTTTGGACTCTTGCCTCTCTGCCATCTTACATGGCCATACCCATAGCTATTGGAGAATCTTACGCACAATTTCACATTGTAGGTCATTTACAAGCATTTCGCCGTCAACTAACACATCAAAGGTCTCAAAAGTATTACTTGACAGCCGGGGTCAAAGTAATGAATTAGTGAAGACACCTTTCCTTGCTGCAATTGTCTTATCGTCTATGATCTGGCTAACGTATTGTTGGGTTACTCGTTTAGTATGGAGTAGGTAAATAGGAGGTATAATGAACTTCGCTAAATCATTTTAGATACTATGGATCACCCACTCGCCAACATAGTTTTTATCATTAGTTTGACTATCTGCGTTTGGAATTTCTTAAGAGCAATGCAATTAGACCCAGGAAGCGTTGCTAAACCATCGAGTCAGTCTGAAATTAAACAACATATAGAAGAACTAGTTTCGCAAGGCAGGCTCAATGGTCAAAACTTCTGCATTTATACGCTGGTGAGTTGTTATCCACTATAACAATGGCCCTATCTAATAACCGGACGTTAGTGCAAGAAACCACTTCGTAGTAAATATGACAGGGTCACAAACACATTGGTTGCTAGATTCGATCATTACTGTCCTTGGGTATGGAATGCTGTCGGTAGTAACAATCATCGTCAGTTTGTTTGTTTCGTCCTCAGTATGATCATTGGTATTATAGCATTCGACAAGCTCTCATTTGATTGTGAGTTGACCAACTAATCAGAAGTTGTCATACTAATTATATATTAGTGTTTAGAAAATTGTCACCAAAATATACCTACGATGATATAGACGCAGACATGCAGTTCTGCTTAATGCCAGAGAAACTATGTATTGCTTCTCATCAAGATGGCTTTCTGTTTGCTATGTCTTGTTGGTTGACATTACAGCTTTCTTGGACATTCGTGTTGCTTGGCACGCAATTATGGCAAGTAGCCAGGCAACTCACTTCTTTAGAGGTATCTAGTGCGTTTCTACTTTAGAAAATGCGATGATCAAATCTGACGACTCCAAAGACCTTGGCAGATTCGGATTCATGGGAGGCAAAGGCACAAGTGCGGCTGACCAGCAAGGGATGGTTAATAAGCAGCGTCAATTGCTCGCAAATAACCCAAACCCTACGAAAACGCAAAAGCCAAGCTTCATACTTCAAATTTTAGGATTGGATAGATTTACGAAAGGGAAAGCAGGAGAAGGCTTGGCGAAGGCCTCAAGAGCCAACAATCCATTTGATATCGGAGTGTTTGGTAACTGTATGGACTTCTGGACCAATGGAAAGCAATTAGGCGTCGATTGGACTCAATTATATGAGATACCTCAAGAGGGCTTCAAAGAGAAGCGCAGAAAGGACAAAGGAAAAGCCAAAGAGAAAAATGAAGATAATACGACACTAGGTATGCGCGTTATGTCTATGGCTCGTCTTAGAAACAGTACGCAACCAGAGAATCCGTATCAACCTGTGCGAGGAAGTGAACCAGTATGAGTATCAAAATAAATATAAAAAGTTTGTATACCAAAATGCATAATGTACGATTAGAATTGGGGGACCTATGATCACCTTCTTCTCGAATTTGGCGTACCTTGGCATAGTGATGAGACGAACGTTGTTAAATGTATTTTATGTGATAGAAGGCGTAAAAGTGATAAAAGTGTAAGTTACAAAATATTTCTGTTAATATTATAAATGAATAATTATATCAAGCTTTCATTGGCCTTCTTTAGCGCACTATTGGATGTTTTAATGACGTCGCAAGGCACGGCCTCGGACCAACAACGTGTGATAGAATTCTTTTACAAAACGTGATAAATGTGGTCTTACATCCTTAGTCTTCTACATCCAACTCATATTGCCAATTCATGCCACGTCTCGCTGAGCTTGACTATATCTTTGCGATATGTTTAATGTCAGTAGCTCTGTATAATCTGGACCCAATCTGACATACTATAGAACATCATTCTTGGACGCATATGGTATGGGTGCTAATGATGTTGCTAATTCCTTCTCAACAAGGTGACTATTATTCCAAAAAGTCGTGTCAACTCCACTAACAATGTTTTAGTGTTTCATCGCGCTCTCTTTCATTCAGAAAGGCGATCTTAGCAGCCGCTATTTGTGAATTCCTTGGTGCTATCCTTGTCGGTGCTCGTGTCGCTTCAACAATCAAAGACAGTATCATTCCACTCAGTAACTTCCCAACTGTAGGCTTCCAAATGTTGGGTTTCGCATGTGTATCCGCAGGTAGTTCAACTTTCCAGATCTTTGCAACCAGACTCGGTATGCCTGTATCAGCAACACACACAGTCATTGGTACGTGTTTCATGGTAAAATTTTCTACCCTCGCTGACAAAGTACTAGGTTCTGTTATTGGTGTAGGCATTGCAAGTGGTGGTGCTCAGTCAGTCAACTGGAAATGGGATGGTGTCGGTCAAGTTTTTGCAAGTTGGGGTATTGCACCAGCAATTAGTGGTGGTTTTGCAGCAATTATCTTCTTGATTACAAAATACGGTATATTAAAACGTAAAAACTCCGCCACTTTAGCCTTTATCGCTGCCCCAATCTATTTCTTCGTAGTTGCTGCAATTCTCACAATGGCTATCTTATGGAAAGGTGCCAGCACTGTTAAGGTCGATGAATTATCAACAGGTACACTTGTTGGATCCATTATTGGAACTGGTGCTGCGGTAGCACTCTTGTCCATCTTGTTCTTCTTACCATACGTTCATTGCCAAGTTATCAAGAAGGATTACACTATCAAAATCTGGCACATCTTCTTGGGACCTCTCTTGTGGTTCAGAAAGGCACCAGAAGACGCCAATGACAATACCTTAGCTGTGCCAGATTACTACGCAGGTCATCGTGAAGAAGATTGGTCCCACCTCGATGGTCAATATAAAAAACCAGAAACAATTGATGCTGCTGAAGAGTGCAGAAGCATTTCACAGAAGTCCGTACACTCACAACCACAAGCTGATGCAAATCACCCATCAAAATTATCAGAAGAAGTTGAAAAACAAGACATTACAGGTAGACCACCAAAGCCAAACTACCACCCAATTGAAGGTGCCTGGATTGAACCATGGAACATCTGGATTGGTTTGCGTTACAATTTATTACCATTTTTGAATTACTACCTTTTCGGTGGTCTCAGAACTGATATTCATCAAATGCAGAAGTCAGGATCAGATAAAACTCAAGCTAGAATTAGGGACATGCATGCGGAAGCTACGCAATATGACAATAACACAGAACACATTTTCTCTTTCATGCAAGTTATGACAGCATGTGTCGCAAGTTTCTCTCATGGTAGTAACGATGTTTCAAACGCTATCGCACCACTCGCTGCAGTTTACTACTGTTGGAGCACTAGTGAATACTCAGGTGAAAAATCAGAAATACCAGTTTGGGTAATTGCATTCGGTGGTATTGGTATCGTTATTGGATTAGCAACATACGGTTGGAGATTGATGAGTGTTTTGGGTAATAGGCTCACTCTTCACTCCCCTTCAAGAGGTTTCAGTATGGAATTAGGTGCTTCAATCACTGTAATTCTTGCATCTCAATTTGGTATACCAGTTTCATCAACACAAAGTATTACAGGTGCAACAGTTGGTGTCAGTTGTTGTTCTGGTACCTTTAAAACAACAAATTGGAAAGCATTAGCCTTCTTCTTTTACTCATGGTGCATCACTTTACCACTCGCTGGTATTGTATCTGGATGCTTATTTGGTATTATTGCCAATGCACCTGGATTCCACAACATTTGAAGTTAACGACAAATAATAGACCACTCATTCCACTGGCTTTTCTTTTTTACTACGAATGGATCTTGTAACTATATTAATAAACTTACTATAGATATATTAATGTTTTTGTACATTTTTTCTGACTGCAAAATGACCTTATAAATGGAACAAATACAACAAAACAAAACCACGATAATAGAAAGATTATGTCCAAGTACATACTAAATTGGAGGGGTTTCAGGCTCATGAGAATTTAGGTTCTCAATATCACGCCGTTGAATCTTTTCATTAGAATTTTCATTTGTATTTTCATAATCATTGTCCTGACTATGTTGATGAATAATTTCATCTTCATATTCTAATTCAATTTCTTCTCTGAACTTCTCGATCCAAGGATGTTCTAGTAATTCGTCAACTGTTGGACGCTTCTTGGGATCGATTATAAGACATTGTCTTATGAAGTCAATACCCAGTTCACTTAATTCATTAGTTGAAGGTAATTGTGGTGGTTGACCAGAAACACCAATATGGAACTTTTTCAGGTTAGTATGTGTTATGAAATCAATGTAGAAGTTCTTACCATGATTGCCCATTCATTATCTAAGCCATGCCATGGTTTGCGGCCTGTACACAATTCCAGCAGAACGCAACCGAATGACCAAACATCCATAGCGCCAAATGCACCGGCTTTATCGCCTTCTCCTTTTATGACTTCTGGAGACATATACATTGGTGTACCAGCGAGTGATCCACCTGGACCATCATTGTTCTTATTATTCCTCCTTGTTCTAGCAATTGTTCTATTTCTTTGCAAGACTTTAGCTGCACCGAAATCAACCATCTTGAGAATACCGATATCGTTCAGAAGTATGTCTAATGAAGTCGTTAAAGTGCGTTTGTTAACAATAGGATTACTCACTATCTGGTTTAATATCCCTATGTACTACGTTATTCGAATGAAGATACTGTAAACCTTCCAACATTTGATATGCATATACTCTCATAACACTCTCGTCTTCAATTCTACCGTGTTCTAATAATCCGGCTAAACTACCACCTTGACAAAATTCTTCGAAAATGTAGACTTTTTCTTTATGTACTTCAATACCATAATATTCAACGATATTTGGATGTGATAGCATTTCCATTACTTTCATTTCGTCATGTATCTGTTTATATAATGTACCAGGATCATTGACATCAATGAATCTAATTTCTTTAACCGCCATAATACCACCTGTATCTAAATTAACAGCTAAATACACAGAACCGAATGTACCTGCACCAATTAAACGACCTTGTTGCCATCTAATCGATACATTTGAAGCAGCATTTGCTAAAACAATTAATGATCTGTCGCCGATCTTCTCAGTATCAAGTACTCTACCAACGAGGTTTTGTTCTTTCTCAAAGTTTCTTCGACGATTTTCAATTGCGTATATACCTCTCATAGATTCTTCAACGAAGTACCTAACGCTACTATTTGCACCATCATAACTATGATACCAACCTGCATCTGAGAGGAATTGTCCATATCTGTCATTTTTATGTCCATCGTCATCTGATGTAATAGAAGATAACATTCTCATTTTCTTTGCTTCCTCTTTGGCTTCTTTCTCTTTTTTAGCTTCAAAGCTACTCCTTGCACCAAGGATATCAAAATGTGAAACTAACAATGTCATGCACATTGCAACTTTTTCACGAAGGAGGTCGAATTCATTTGATTTGAGTTCTAAAATGTTTTCACCTTGTGATATTGACATTGCAGATTCAAGTGCGTTGACAGCCCATCTGAATGTTTTTCTATCAGTTGGTATACAATCTTCACAAATGAATGCAAGCCAATCGATTGCAAGTTTCATTAAAACCTTATTGAACATCTCAAGCGCAGGTGATTCCATATATTTAATAGCATGTTGTCCATGCTCGGCCGCAAATGAATACCAGTTTGATAATGTGTCTTGTCTATTTGGTATACCATGTAATTTTTTTCTTAGTAGCATAGGTGAATTACCAATAGCTAAAGTTAACTTATAAGCAGCTAAACTTATTTTACGTAATTCCCTATCAACTTTTGGTAGAGCGACTTGCTCTTGTGCTATCGTTCTAAATGGAAAATTTGATATAGGTGGACTAACACCATCTGGATTTGATACAAGCCAAATGGATTCAAATTTTTCCTTAGCTCTGCGTAAATGGTTTGTTGGACCATCAGCTATTAACCTAATTCTTTTCTCTTGAAGCTCTAAATCAACAGGTCCAAGATCAATTTCCATAATTGAACCATTCCAAAAGAATGGAGCACGAGGTGAAATGACTAATAAATATCTCGCCTCCGGTTCAGTGAAAATATCGGTCTGAGATTGCTTATCTTGATAAAGGAAAGCGCGCGTGAGTAAATTAATGATGAGCTCTGGTCTATCTGCCAATTGACTATCTGCTACGATATAAATACTCTCTGACGCTAAATATTCGGAGTAAACGAGGAAATGATTCGTACTAACTAATGTTTCTATGAAGACGTTCAAATCAAAATCCTCTAAACTATATTCAGAGGAGTTATCGAAACGCAAAGCGAGACGTCTTGAGATGTATGTTAGTTAAGTCTTCTTTAATCACTTAAAACTCACTTGCTAAATCTATGAAGCTTTCTATATCTCAAGCGAACATTCTCCAAAATAGTGCTATACCAGAAAAGTGTTTCACTGTGTTGCATATTTGTAATATCAACTGATTTCAATTGTATTTCAAAGTAATTGGCGATACGTTTCATTAATCTGTTGGTGAGAGAGCAGAAACGTTCCGCAACAACGATATCGGCACCTTCGATTTCTTCAACAATACTTAGCAAAAAGTTCCATTGGTCTTCCAAAATATCAGTTTCCTTGAAATAGAGTGCTTTGCTACCACTTTTAAGTTTAATGAGAATTAATCTGAAGAATTGCTGTACTGTTTTCAATAACACTTTGTCATAGTCTGATACGTTCTCATTAGGCAATTCCCATTTTACCATACCAGTAGTTTCATCAACAATCCTTGTATTGTACTCTGAGCATTTCCTCTTGATAAAAGTGGCTTGAGAAAGTGCTATTCTGATATCTTCAATGAGCTGATCAACAACTAAACCGGTAGGATCAGAAACTTTCGCTGCGTATTCTAACTTAATATGAAGGGCCTCTTGCATCAGTTTTATTGGGAACCTTGTAAGTATAACCAATTCATTGTCAAAAGCAGGTAAATTGAGACCTTCAAAAACGTGCCTCCAATTAATATGCAAGTCTTTCGCTTTATCCAAGACAGATGTAAGTGAAACAAGTGTACGTTTTTCAAATAATGTCTGGAATGATTCCTCTTTTAGCAATTTCTCAATAAAAGACATCGGTTCGACGTTTCGGCGAGTAGTTTGATCTTTAAAAGAATCGTCAGTTTTTATGGATCTATCGACGCTCTCTTGTGAATTATGTGAAGCTACAGGTGGCATCATTAGTGGTGTATCAGATTCGCTGGCTCTTGTTACATCTAAGTCACTACTATCAGTCCATGTACGAAGTGTTTGAATTGTGGCTCTTAATGATTTGACGACAGTTGCATATGAACATAGCGCGTTGAGTTTATCTTTGAAGTCCTTGGATGCATACATTGGTTTAGCTTCCTCTAAAGCCTTGGTGTTAGGATAAAACGACTCGACAAAATCAATTTGATGTAGAATGGCATCAACTTGTCTAAGAGCCACCTTGGTATTTGGTGTGAGAATTGAATGTGGTATTATTGAAGGAGTGATGTAAGATTCGTCGCCATCGCCAGGGAATTCATCGAGACTACTAGGTTCGTTTGTTGCTTTAAAATTAAGCAACTGATCGAGAATATCATCAGCAGCTAATCTACACTCTTCTAAATTTGAGAGTTCATCGTCTACTGTTCTGCCTTTCAACTTCGCACGTAAACCAACCCAAAGTTGATATTGATAGTTGGCTTTAGATTCATTTTCATTTTTTGTTAAGTTACCTATCATTCTCGACTTCTCAGATTTCAGTACCTCTCCCTGTAAAACTGAAGCTAACATGAGCTGCCACTCCAAACGTTCCTCAGCATCGAACTTTACTTGTTCAAGGCCTCCTAATTCCTCACTGTGATGTATCTGATTGTATACCATGTCATCCTCATCGTTCAAATCCTGATAATCGAGCTTATCTAATCCTTTCTTAATATAATCTTGATCTGGATCATCGTCATACTTATGCTTATTCTTGTGCTTTATGACTCTTCTGGCGTGCTCTCCAACTCTATTAAAAGTTGTACGTTTTTCGTTCTCATCAGAATTCTTTCCCGCCGATTTCTTCATGACGGCATAAGTCTAAGATACATTGAGTGGATAAATTACATAAAATTAGGAAATCTATACAATAATTAAATTAAATTACCATTGCTTCATCTTGGATAATTCCAGGGCCTCTCTCTGTAGAAGTTTGTATCTCTCTTCTTATCTCTGGTGAAATTTGTGGATGGACGTTAGATTTTACAACATCAAGTAGCTAGAAATGGTGTTAGATATGTTTTCGTTTATACGCATAAAAATGTACTTACGGCATCCTTTTGTTCTGGTGTTAAATCAGCTGAGTAACGCTGACAAAAGACTAGCAAACTTTGATGCCATAAAACTGGCATTTTACGCTGCTCTCTTGCGAATCTCATAAAATGATAAACTAAACCATCTAATACTTTGTATGGTAATGCGTACTTCTTGTCGAGTAAAACTCTGATGAACAAACTCGTTGGTCCAGCATAATCCATTTCGGCGAGATGCAACAATGCAGCTGCAGAGTGTAGTACTGGTATGGATACTTTTGATAAAACACTGGCAAATACAGCTGCCTCCTTCAATGTACATCCTGTCTCGCAGAGTGGGAATAAGATACCTTTGAAGAATGCTGCTGGCTTGTATAGAGATTTCCTGAGGGCATCGTATAAGTGAACATCCATCTTCTTAGTGTTTGGATCATTGAGGTTATCCCTACATCTGTCTAACAAAACATGCTGATAGAACAATCTTGTTTGGTGAGCTTTAAGGTTACTAGCAAATAATCTAGTAGCCGCGTACGTTGCGTGAGGAGTCCAACTTTCTGGACCGGTGAGTTGTAAAACGGCAATCCAATTAGGCAATGACGGTATTATCTTGAAGGCTTTTGGTAATGGACCAGATTTATAACGTGATAGCAGCTGTCCAACTTTGGTGTAGACTTCTACAACTTTGTCGGAGAGTCCTGGAGTCTTTTCCTGTTTCTCCTTTGGCTGTCCACTCTCTTCTATTTTCTCCAAGATAATATCAGCAAGAGTGCGTCTATTGGTAGTATTTGTAGGCATAAAGGTGTCGATAGCTTGTTGATCAGATGGGTCGATATCCTACACGTGTTAGTGCATATTATATAAATATCTATAACACTCACAAATTGTTGGAATTCATCCTCATTTACTTCCTCGATAACCTCGTCTTCTTCGATGCCATCATCGCCTTCTTGTCTGAGTTTGAAGGCACCGTCATCCTCCTCGTCATTTAGGGTATCACCCAGTGTATCCTCGAGGATTTGCTCTCTTTCGAGCTCTTCTTGTTGTTGTTTTGCGAGCGATAAGATTTTAGATGAAGTTTTTGGATCTATGATAGACTGTAGAAGTAGTTTAGATAAAGATTAGTACAATATATTGTATTGTTCTACTTACTGTCTCCTCTCCGTCTTCTCTATCATCTGAATTTGACTTAGATTTTGGCTGAGTGACTCTACCAAATTTATTATAGGCGTCGTCGTCATTTAACTGTTTCTCTAATGGATCGTGTCTGCTATTGTTTTTGTTAGTTTTTATTTTGCCCATCTTGACTGTAAATTTCAAAGCACCTCTCTAGACTTTCTACCTTCAAAAAATGGCTGATCACAGGGACGCTGTATTAAATAGTAAAGAATTCGTGGAATCATCCCCAATGCCAAAGGATGTGCCACACGTCGATGAATTGGGTGTCACTTCCGCACCACTCAAATCAGCCTCCTTCTTCATAGGCGATAAGTGCAAAGAGTACAATGACGATTTTATGCTTTGTAAGCAAGAGAACAACAACCCAGAGCATTGCTTGAAGGAGGGTCGTAAGGTTACAAGATGTGCCGCTTCTGTGTGAGTATAGTTAGTTTTGAACTAGAAAGACGTTTAATTGGTACAGTATATCGGATATAAATAAACACTGCTTTAAGCAATTCGAATCTCACTTCCAATGTTTGGAATTTAACAATCAGGTGCGTTCTCATTGGATGATACCGCATACAGCCGCTCACACACGATAGTACTTCTACCCTTGTAGAAAACAAGAACGTAGCTTGAACGAATGTGTTGCAGCTAGCTTAAACTTGCACAAAAACATCCCTGGCACTCCAGAAGGTCAGCCACAAATACACGAAAAGACAAACCCAATCCACAAGCGCGTACAACATTAGAATGTATTAATTCATATCCACTCTTTCCTGACAATTTACTCTCGCTCCATCTCATCTTCTCTCGTATCTGTCAACACGGTCGTTGTCCCTATAGTGTCGTGATCCCCGATCATCTCTGGAGGACCTATAATCATCTCTGTAATCACGATAATCCCTATGACTACGAGATGCTCTATCATCACGAGAACCTCTATAATCTTTTTTATAGCCTCCACGTCTGTCGTCTCTCCTTGGACTTCGACTACGTTGCCTCTTCTGCTCACGTCTATCTCTTTCTTCTAAATCAAAGACCATAGCTCCGCCAGCTTTAGGAAGATCCCTTCGTGGCACACTTTCTCTTGTATGTCTACCTTTCTTTCCTTGACCACCCAGCCATTGTGTGTGTAACTTACTGACCGATTGTGAGAAGTCGACGAAAATACGTCTATCATCAACCAAAACATTTTGCATTCGGAAATAGGCTGCTTCGGCTGATTCCCTTTGATCGAACTCTATGAAGGCATAACAAAGACTGCTACCGTCGTTCTTATCTCTTATTACTTCACAACTGAGAATTTTACCAAATCTACTAAATATCAATTCCAAATCTTCATCTCTCGTAACCGGATTTAATTTGCACACGAATAAAATATTTTCAGGTGGCCTTATCTCTGCAAATGGTAAATCACCGACCATTTCCAATGTCAATGCTGACGCGGATGCTGCATGATCTCTCCTCCTTTTCTCTTTGACTTCCTCATCCAAATCTTGTTCTAGATCTTCATCTGAGCCTATCCTTACCAATCCACTGTTGGCGTCTGGTACGTCTGTAGGAGGCTCATTTGGTATTACTAGACTAGCTGGATCGTCGAATGGATCTTCAAGTATGACAACGTGTCTTATACGCACATCCTTGTATGGTCTACCATCACTATCTACGTAAACCTCATTCATCTTTTCTAAGGTATCTAAACCTTCGACAACCTGTCCAAAAGGCGCGTGTTTACCATCTAAATAAGAAATGTTCTCTCCTAATGTTATAAAGAACTGACTACCACAACCTGGCTTTCCTTCGCTATCCCTAGACACTGCCATTGATACCGTACCCTTCTCCTTGTGCTTCAAACTCGGCTTTATCTCCGGTGTGAAGTATTTAGTACGATTATTAAGAACACCTTCAATTGAGTTACCGCCTTTTCCAGTCGCTTCAGGGTCACCAACTTGTGCTAGGAAATTCTTAGATACTGTTTAGTGTAAGACAGAGAAGTGGTAAGTTTAATAACTCACCATTAAAGAAGGCATTCAGGTTGTAGTAATATATCTTGCACAGCTTTAGGAAGTTACATGTAGTAGCTGGGCAATCTTTAGTCCAGAGATCAATCTATTTCGACGTTAGCTAATAGATCTAAAAATATTCGTTCTTTATACTTACTACTATATCTCCTAAGCTAGTCTCTATAAGTACTGCTGCACCTGGCTCTTCTGCCATTGATGACGTTAGGGAATTAACACAAGGCAGAATATTTCAGAGGATATCTATAATTCATTATATGAAAAATGTATTCAAAGTAATTAAACGCATTTCTTCTTCCAACTTTTCACTCTACGCTTGTTTTAACCACTGACTAGGTCTTCTAGTACTTTTCCAGACGTTATATCTGTCACATTTAGGCCATTTCCAAAGCTATCAAGTCCCCTTTTTATGGTGTTCTGATTATTTACTGGGTTCTTCGAGGCTGTTAAAGCTAATATGAGGGCAAGACTAATCAAAAGTAACTTCATTGTTTTCTTGAGAGTACTCACACGCTTTTAGAAATGTATTGAATGTATGCATTCCAAATTCGGTTTATCTATCATTGCGTAATGTATGTAGCAATATGAATAATTGGGGTAATTTTACTATACCATGCTGCTCTACACCTACAGTTTCTAATACAACTATGTTTTATGTCTTGATAGGCTCAGAACAAAGTAAATGAACCTGGACGAAATTCTCCCCTCTGTTACCAGCTCCTCGACTTTAACAACTTGGCACATCTCCAATGTTGAAACTATTTATACAATACCTAACGCATTGATCATTCAATTGACCGAATCGAGCTAGTGTCGCCAGTTTGGTATTCAATTCTACTTAGAACTCATTATAATGAACCATAGCAATATTCGGTAATTTCAGGGTTTCAAGACTACTTTCGCTAGCTAACATATCTGACCAAAAATACTCAAATGCATTATATTAGTTCGGTAGCTTTATTGAATCGCTATGTATTGGGTAATAACAAATTAGAATAATTTTTGACAATGTCGGATTACATCAAAAAACTCCAAATTTAAACACGACTTATATTTGCCCACATCATCGATGGTGAAACCTATTTGATGTCTAATGACCTAACACCTGAAATTGTGATGGTATTAGTTGACGTCACAGAAGGACCAAGTAACTTTGTCCGTCCAATGTTAAGCAATCCAGAAGAGTATCAAGCCAAGGAATTGTCGGGTGCAGCAGTGCTATACATTATGATTTGGATAGCTGATATATTCTGCAACGTGAGCGGTATAACCGTAAAATAACAGCAGACTCCAGTCCAAGAATTACTTAAATTCATTCCTCTTTGAATTGGTCTAATTTTCATGAGATAATGCTCTTCGTTAATGAATTCGGCTACAGTAGTTCCAAGACAAATGGAGAAGTTGACTGGATAGTTAAACAAGCTGATGGACCGCCAACTGAATTTGAGAAGTATTTGGATAGGTTCTACGATAGCTCAAATAATATAGTATTGATTTGTATATAAGTTATACTAGACACACATACGTCTTCGAAAATTACTCCTCATCCTAAATATCATTGGTTTCCAAAGAGGATAGGTAGGACTCATTAAAATTGTAAAACATTGAAGAGACTTCAATACAAAGTACACTTCATAATTATCAGGCAAAATTATTGTTCCGAGTTTATCTGATAATATATATATATTATTGAACGTTATTAACTACAGCTGCTGGAGCATACGGGAAAAAACCATCCATCACATTGTTTGTTATCACTTAAACTTTAATTAGATCTCTACGTTAATAAAGCTCATTAAAACAATCACGTTGAGTTGTAAATTTTGTCACTTACATTTATGAAAATTGAAAGTACAGTTTGCAAATGATTATATATTTAAATGGAGAAAATTTCGTAAACTTGAACTTCGCTTTGGACCCTTGATGATTTGCACCGCTTTCAACATAGCTTAGTTTTTTAATTAAACTCCTGCGTACCTTTCCTCTCAAAAGACCCGAAGTGCGGTGTAAGGATATATAAGTGGCTTTCGTCTTTTCTTTTAGTTCAACATTGTAAATAACTCGAATGTTTAACAAGATTTTCCTCGTTTCAGCTGCCTTGACTGGTGCTGTAGTTAACGCAGCAATATACGCGACATTCTACTCAGACTCTGATTGCACGAAGGATGCATCGACAGATTTTAGCGTAAATAATCCTGGTAAGCTAGTAACGAGCCAAAATTAGATATAACTAAAATTTGCAGGTTGTTTCAGTGTTGGTGGTAATGAATACGTCAAATACCATGGCGTAAACGGACAATGTTTCTCGTTGGTTAAGTCACCAGCACCAAGCTGTCCATGCCAATTCGATTGTATTACTGGTATTAATAGTGTGGGCAGCACAGTTAGTACATGTGGACTTGCTATCCCTACTAATACATGCTACCACATCGGGAAATCTGAATCGCTTCGATTCATAGGTGGTTCCTGTGGCACAAGTAACTGTCCAGATCGCTCAAGTAGATCTATTCCTACTCTTGAAGAATACCAAGAGGATATTGAGGGAGTTGTCGAAGATGAAGAAGAGCAAACAGAAGAAGCGGAAGAAGAGCCAGAGGAAGAAAGAAGTGAATCCTCAGAAGAAACATCAGAAGAAGAAGAGAGAAGAGAATCGCCAGAAGAAGCATCAGCAGAATTAATAAGTACGTACAGTAATGGTACATCACCTGCTCTCGACCGCAGAGACTATGGTAAACCTGGGCTTGGATACTACCGTTTCTGCAAGGATGAATACTGTACTCTTGACTGTTCAATCAATTTTAGAACAACTAACACAGGTTGTATTGCTGGTGATGGATTCAAATCTATTCAGTTTTTAGGTAGTGTTTCATCGGACATTAATCTTCGTCTAGTTCACACACCACATGGAGAATGTAGTTGTCAAGATGATTGTTGGCATGTCACTGGTAATGAGTGTATAGCATTACCAGAGAAACAGCGAGGTACAGGCTCATATCGTATGACGACAGAGAGTAGCTGCGCTAAAAACAATTGTTAAATAAGCAGGTAATTACGAAGTTTGGGATAAATACGCTAGTAATAATAATAATAATACATACCTACATACATCCGCCAATTTTACGAATTTGAGCCGTTTGTGGGATTTGAGGAGAGAGCGGATCGGAGGATATTGGCGACGTAGGAACAGCTACCGTCGTTGCTGAGATGAAGGCCTATGAGGTCATATAACATTGAGTGAAGATTTTCACACAAAGTAGCTCAACACAGGCGCTGTAGATGATTGCATGGGATGTATGGGTATGAGTCTGTGCCGTATTCTGTAGTACACCTTAACACCTTTATAGTTCTAATGCATGAGAAAGCAGAGAGTTTCATCGATTATCTACGTGAGGCAATTTCTGAATTAATAGGGTGGAATGAACGCTATAAAAGAACATATGGGATAATTGAGGGTTGAGGAACAGATTAAGCTGTTCAATAACACTTTTTCCGGGGTCGTTGCTGAGTACCTAATACGCCCACCAACGATGACGTTAGTATTCGATCATCAAAGATGATCTCAAACATCAGAATATTTCACGTGAGGTGCTTCTTTATATTGAATTAAATTTACTACTCTAAAAAATCTAAGAAGAAAACTTCTATGACTTATGCTATTTGATCCCCTTCAAGGCTTCATAATGATTACCGTTGACGTGACAGATAGCTATCAACCGTTCTCCGCTAAACCTGAAAGTTCTGCAAGATGTCCCATGGCTCGACGTAACTGAGAACATTCGAGTGACGCAAATCATCAAGACATTTTACGCCACTAGTCAAGAAACGCTTCCAGCAAATTCGGCAACCCTTCAAATCCTCATATTCTAAGAAGTATTGATGGACGCAGGTTAACTTTGTATCGTCTTAACAATATATTCAGATTTCAACATCATCATGTGTATACTGTAGCCGCCAGCTGTTCTGAAGAGGTACCTTCCAGTATAAAGAGGCCCGTATGACTGCAAATATCACAGATGCTTTGAACCAGGGAACGCAATTATAAATGTCGAAAATTAGTGTGCTCTACAACGCCCAAGGCAGAAGTGTGACAAAGAAGCCCTAATCTCCTCTCAGCTGTTATCCTAACAACTTTAATGGCAACATAATTTGAGAGCGTCTCTATATTATCTGAACGGAGTTAAGACATTGAAAAGTTGACATATTTTGGTTTGAACTATATCTTCGTGACTTTCTGAAATAACTCTATTTGAGTATTTATATTGTACAAGGTACATATCATAATGAAGTCATGCGGTTAAAGAGGCTATTATATTTTCTACAGTGTTAATGGATTGGATAGTAGAAGAAAGAGGATCATTTTTTTTGCTTATGTAATCTTGAATTATTTACTAACAGTACATATGTCTTTGTTAGTTGGCAGCTTAACTTATTCGTTAGTAAATTGAATTTTGGGACTGGATACCTATTCGACGACTTATCACTCATATTGCTTGCTAATCCACTTGCTATCAATTCATCGAACAACTAACAAAAACACTTGGTTTGCTCAATTTAAGTGATTCTTTTCCTATCTATGACTTGCTGTAAATGCTTTTGGCACAGTCGTAGGGGTGGGGGGTCATCACATATTTGTTTGTACATCTTAATGAACTCTGGGATTTGTAACATTCCCAGAATCATTGGCATTTACTTTAACAGCAGAAATCACGGCTCTGTGTGTTGATTCAACAGCAGCAACTTGAATGAATGACGTAAACAAAGGAGCCACTGCACATATAAGAGCAAAGAAAATGACATTACATTAGCTTGAGTGCTATTGATCTCAGGACTTACGGCATACGGTTAGGTTAGGTTATGGTTATGGATTGGTTGGTTAGGTTTTAGGTTACAAAATACTATCAAAAGATCGTTACTAAAAAGTGAAAATTTTAAAAATAAGACATCTTAATGTTCGCCTAAATCAAGCGGAAGTTTGTCACTCTTTTCCTTACGAGTGCAAACGAAATAAGCCTCTGTAGGTGGTCCCAGTTGGGGGTAATCCTGCGCCATTGCTTGAAGTGCTCCGTGGTGAGAGTGCTCATGGCACCCCCCGCACCAAGCACAATTGGCACAAACGTAACTGGAACATGGTTGCGATACTTGAGGACCTTCTTGTGGGCCTGATGGTTCAAACCAACTCGAATTAACTCACTACCACTCTTCTTCTGCCAATCCTTGGTAACTTGTTGTATATGAGGGACCAAGGCGATTGATGAATGAACAGTGATATCATGCATCGTAAGTGCTCCAGCACCATTACTCTCCTTGAGGACC